AAAATAGAAATAAAAAACACAAAAGAAAAAGAAAAAAAAAAACAAAAAAAAAAAAAACCAAAAAACGAAAGAAAAAACAACAATAAAATAAAACAAAAAATAAAAGAAAAAGAAACAAAAAAAAATCATGTTGAAAAAAAAAGAAAACAAAAAATAAAAAAGAATAAAAACAAAACAGACACAAAAAAGAAAAAACATAAAAATATTAAAAAAAAAAAAAAAAAAAAAACAACCAACAACAAAAAAACCAAAAAAAAAAGAAAAAAAAAAGGAAAAAAAAAAGAATATAAAAAAAACAAAATGAAAAATACCAAAGAAAAAAAAAACACAACCGGCAATCAAAAAAAAAAAAAAAAAAAAAAAAGCAAAAAAAAAAAAAACAGAAAACAAAAAAAAAAAAGAAAAGAAAAAAAAAAACACTGAAATAAGATACAAAGCAAGACAAGTTTTAAAAAAAAAAAAAGTAACGAAAAAAAAAAAAAAAAGAGAATTAAAAAAAAAAACAAAAACAAAACAAAGCGGAAACGCAAAAAAGAAATAAGAAAAAAAAAAAAATAAAATAACAAAAATAAAAAAAATAAAAAAAAAAAAAAAAATAAAGTTAAAAATAACAGAAAAATTAAAACAAAAATGAAAAAAAGACAGCAACAAAAAAAAAAAAAAAAAAAAAAACAAAAAAAAAAAAAAAAAAAAAAGAAAAAAAAAATAAGGAGAAAAAGAAAAAAACAAAAAAAAAAATAATAAAAAAAAAAGAACAACAACAGAAGAAAAAAAAAAAAAGAACACAACAGGAAAAAATAAAACATAAAAAAAAAAAACAGAGAAGCCAGAAAAAGAAAAAAAAAAAGAAGAAACAAAAAAAAATAAAAAAACATAAAGAAAAACAAGAAAAACAAAAAACAAGAAACAAAAAAAGAAAAAAAAAAATAGAAAGTACAAAAAATAAAGAAAAACAAGGATAAAAAGAATGACACAGTACAAAAAATAAAAAAAAAAAGAAAAAAGAAAAACAAAAGCAAAAAAAATACAGATACAAAAAAATAAAAAAAAAAAAAAAAAGACAAAATAAAAAAAAAAAAAAAAAAAAAAAAAAAAAAAAAGAAAATAAACAAAAAAAAAAAAAAAAAGTAAAAAGAAAGAAGAACAATAGAAAGAAATAAAAATGAAAAAGTAAAAAAAACATAATTAAACAAAAAAAAAGAAAAAAAAAAACGAAGAAAATGAAAAGAATAAAACTAAGAAAAAAAGTAAAAAAAAATTCAAAGCAAAAAAAAATAAACAGAAAACATAAGGAAAAAAAAAAAAAAAAAAAATAAAATTTAAAAAAATGAAGATAAAAAAAACAAAAAAAAAAAAAAAAAAAACAACAAATCAAAAAACAAATAAAAAAAAAAAAAAAAAAAATAAAAAAAAACAAAAAAACAAATAGAAGAAAAAAATAAAAGACACAACAAAAAAAACACAATTAAAAAAAGAAAAAAAAGGAAACAAAGCTAAAGCATAAAACAAAACAACGAAGAAAAAAAAAAAAAAAACAAACAAGACTACAAAAGATAAAAAAGAAAAAATAGACACAACAAATAGAAAAAAAAAAAAAAAAAAAAAAAAAAAAAAGAAAATCAAAAATAAGACAGAAAAAAAAACAGCAAAAAAAAACATAACAGAAAAAGAAAACGAAAAAAAAAGAAAAAAGAAATACAAATAAAAAAAAAAAAAAGATAGAAACGAAATAAACAAAAACTAAAAAAAAAAAAAAAAAACAGAAAAACAAAAAAAGAAAAAAAAAAAAAAAAAAAAACAAAAAATATTAAAAAAAAAAAAAAATAAAACGATAATAAGAATAGATAAAACAACAAAAAAAAACAAAAAAAAAAAAACGAAAAAAAAAAAAGAGAAAAAACAACAAGAAAAAAAACAAAAGAAAAAAGCAACAACAACTGCTAAAACAACAAAAAATACGAACAAAGAAAAAAAAAAAATCAAACAAGAAAATGAAACGGAAGAGAAAAAAAAAAAATAAAAAAAGCTTCAGAAAAACAATATGGCGTTCTCAACTGTTACATTCTCAGCTGTTACATGATTTGTCATGCAAATTTGCCACCAAGATCGCCACGATTAAGCTGCTTCGCATGACAAATATCCGAAGGGCTAAACAGCATCTAACTCCGTGCCAAATTTGTAATGCAAAAGGCGCAATCTTCCCCCTTTCACTTTCGCCTTTCTTGCATTACAAATTCATGTAACAGTTGAGAATGTAACATTTGAGAACGCCATAAGCTGTGTGCCGACTTTCGATAGCCGCTGGAACCAGGAAGCTCGCTGCTCCGGCTCGTTCTTTGCATGATCACTGTTTGTGCTAGCACGTTTTTGCAGGTCAAGATTAATGTCTGGGTCGGAGTTGTTACCAATGCTGGAATTGGAAACTTTCTGCGTACCCGGAATTATAGCGGCTGCTGGTGCAGCTCCTGGTTGCGGCGGGTTCACGTTGTTTATCTGGAAACCCGAGGAAGTAGACGCGGCAGCGAGGCCACCAGCCGTAGTAGAAGCTCGAGGGGCTGCCGCGGGTAAAGCACTGTGATCGACAATCTGTGTGCCGCCATCATCTCCACCTCCTGCGAAGAACAAATCCTTGACGCGTGAGACGAGGGAACGCTTCGGTTGTTGCTCCTGAAGATGCTCTTGTGCAGCTTGTTGCCTCGCTTGCTTTTCTGATTGCGACTCACCAAAAGCGAAGGCGTCTTGCGACTGCAGCAGCGTCCCGTCGACCCCGAGCGCTGGCTGCGCCGCTCCTTGCTGTAGTATCCTTGTTCCAGCAAAATGATCCCTTTCCTTGTCGTTATTCTTCCTGAGATCCAGAATGTTTCCCTTCCTGCTATCATCGTGATTCTCTTCTTCGTCGAACAAGCCATGACTGATGCTCTCTGTTTTGCGCTGCTGGTTGTTTTTCTCCGCCCTTTGGGCGGCAGAAAAAGCCGCTGCGCCGCTACTGGACGAGGAAGAGCCGCCAGCTGTGATGTTTTGACCCTGCATGGGCATCATGGAGTCGGCGCCGACCGCCACACTGGTTCGCAATCTCTTCGGTGAGACCAGGGCTTGCTTCGAACTCGGCTTTTTCGGCGACAGACTGCACCTTTGCGTCTGTTCGACAAACCCGAAAACTTTTCCCTTGATCGGGCGCACTTTTGGCAGGGAGAAAGGAACGATTTGCTTGTCATCTTCATCGTCGGAACGATTCTTGTTGTCAAGAACAGGCTGGCCATCATCTTCTATTTTCCCTGCAAGTAGCTGGTCGTCTAGCGACAGCCTTGGCGTGCCCGGTAGAAATTGTTCCTCGTCGGCCGCGGGTCGTTGTTCTGGAGGATGGTCATTCTCATTCTGTGCATCAAAGTCGCCTTCGTTCACGATGATCTGCGTTCCAGGCTGGTGGGCAGGTGCGGTTGTTTCTTGTACCGGAGTTGCGCCTGGTTGCTGTACCAAATCGTCGACATCCCCCGGCTCAGAGTCCTCGTCGCGAACGCTTTGTGTCGGGGGGATCGATTCGGTGCGCTCAACTTCTTCAGTCATCTTTAGCCTTATTGTTATTTGGCAAAAATCATATTATCGCGCTGGGGTGCAGAGCCACTGCGTCCTTGAAGTAACGACTTCACTTCGCACTAAAAGTGAAACTACTGAAATCAAAATACTAATTACGAACTGTACTAACAGTATAGTAGCTCCACATGTGCAGCAGCAGCGGAATGCGACCGCGTCAAGGCATACTTACTGCTGCCACAGGAGCAGCTACGGAGCCCATAACTATCCATGAGACCACATAAAGTGGTGCTCCACCATAATTGCTGCTGGTCTTTTTATCCCTGAACTTAATTTAATGGATTAAAAAACGTACTACAGATGATCAAGAAGTTTCTAGAATGCTACAGTGTGCGTGTCCGTGTGTGTCTCAGAAAGACGAAGGAGCATGAGCAAAACGTTAGGTAGTTCAAATAACCAGTGAAGTACCTACAATGGGATCGTCCTCATTATTGAAGCCGACAGTCGATTTCAAATCTAGCTTGTCAACAAACAACTTGCCTTTAGATAGAAGAACATGAACAACTCCTGCGGCTCTCATATTCGACCGAATAAAGCGAACCGATTTACTACGCTCACAACTATAACTTGTCTTCGATGAAGCCGTAGTTAGTGGTAGAGGCGAACGAAACCAACAAATCAAACAAAAGCAAAGGAAATGACGATGATGTGAACAGGCAATACTACTTGTCGAAGAAGCGCAAAAATGCCGTCGCCTCGCAGGACATTAGCATTATACAGCCGCGATCAGCAAGAGGAGCATCAGCTGCATGCCATATGATTTGCTTTTAAATTTTTACGGTAGGCGTGCGTAGAAAGTGCGTTCTACTACAATTGTGCACCTGCAGTAGTCACTTATTTTCGTTATTTTTTTATGTTGCGAGAGTGAGCCTCAGCCTCTCATCCCCCAAAATCCGGGTCTAAAAATCTCCTCTGAAACACGTCAAAAGTGTCGTTGTAAGGTTCTATGTTGATGTAAGGGGGAAACGCAAGTTCAAACGGGTTGATTCTCTATGCACTGCAAAAGTATCGTACTCGTATAAATGCATTACAAATTTCCTCAGCATTAGAGGTAATGCTGATTTACCTTAACAAAAGGATTTGTAATGCATGACTGCAATACGAGTACGATACTTTTGCACTTCATATTCTCTTCATGTTCACGATTTTCTCCTCATTTTCTTCGTCGACAAAGCTGCGGAAATACTCGCCCGCGAGCTTCTGCGAGAATCGGCGACTCACGTACACCTGGTCTTTCCCCAATTGTGCGACCTTCACGTACTTCCCCAGGGACATCAAAATGTCCATTTTGAAAACATTCTTCGCGTCGACCTCTATCAAGTATGAGAGTGCATAACTACTCCCGATCCCCCTGATTTGTGATGCAAAATCCCAAATCCAAGCGCCAGCTCGTGGCTCTGTTTGCATGACAGATTCCGGAAGTAGCCCGAACAGTACTCCACTAGGCGCGTGAACTTGTCATGCGCAGGTCCTACGTGTGCTGGTGGTTGTAATCGCTGTTTATGCCATACAAAAAACAAACGAAGGGGAGGGGGAGTGGTGCTCTCTTCATATCAAGAAGACATTGATGTTTGGAAACTTCTCGAACGGAAAATCGACAAGAATCTCGTACTCCCCCCCTTCCACGTCAATAGAAATGAAGTCGATCTCGTGCTTATCCTTTGCAAAAGCATCGCACTCCTCGTACTCGTAGTGATCGCAATCATGCATGACAAATCGAAATCGAAATCTGTTGGCTTCCTAGCAGGTAATTCACCATGACAAAAAATTCCATTTGCCATGCTGAGAAAAAAAATTGTCATGCCCTTAACACTAGTACGATGCAATTCTTTTGCAATTCATAGTGCTTCTCCGACGCACCATTCTCCAGCAGTAAATCCTCCAGCGTGATTACCTCGGTCGTGATATCCTGAGCAAAAACGTCTCCGCCCCAGAGATGTGATGCGAATGATCTGCATGCTGAAAATAAAAATGTTTCTCATGCGGAGCCCCACGAGAGGCATTTTCTGGCTGTGTTTTGGAATTTGTGATGCTCGAATCAGAGTGCTCTGCTAGATCTGTGATGCTGCCGCACTATCTAACGCTAAGCGCGACCACACCGCGAGCCGGAACTTGTCACGCGCAACAACCAAAGGCTTGTGGATTTGTCTAGCGGATTCTCCATCTTGACTCTGGGGAGCTGGGAACGTTTTTACAAATGATACGTGAACGTTGACTGGAGGAACCGCGCGGCCTCGCCGCCTCCGTCTTGACCTCCTTCCAGCTTTGTCCAGAATAATTCTTCCGTCTCGCCGGCCGATCTCCCCTTCAGATGCCCAACAGACCCGGTGTAATCGAGGGAAAAGTTTTGCAGTTCCCGCTTCCGGCCGACGGCCCGCTTTTCGACCACGCAGGTTCGGTATTGCTCCAGAATGTAGTGCTGCGCCGGGTTTGGCTCGACGCAAATCCCCTTCCAGTTGAAGCACTGATCAAACACCGCGGTGTTGGAAAGCTCAAACGCTTATCCAGTGCAAAAGTATCGCACTCCCACTCGTAGAAATTGCAGCTGCCATGCATGACAAATCTATCTCTCTACCTGATACAGCATGAGAAACTCAATTTGTTCTCGAGAAAATTTGTAATGCAGTTTAGACGTAGTACGATTCGATACTTTTGCAATGTATAACGCCCCCATGGCGCCGATGTCGATGTAGATCCCATCGGAGGACTTGTACGCGAAGAGCTTGTATCAAATGCAAAAATGTCTGGGTCTGGAAACGTGTGATGCTGGTTGGCGTATCATGAGTCGGCCACAAGTGCAGGCTCAGCATGACAAGTTTCTGAGCTTCGAGGTGTTGCCTATTCTGCATGACAAACTGCGTTTCTGCATGACAAAAAAACGAGGTTCCTCTACTTGGGTAACGTGCATGACAGACTTTGGGGTCATGCTGGCAGAGCATGACAGACCTTCCATTCTTCCAGACCCAGACATTTTCACAATCCATAGCTTGTGCACCAAGTCTTGCCTTGTTTTCAGCGTCTTCTTATCCACCACAGTGGGGAAAATTTGGTTGCGAAAGAAATTGTGGAACAGAAACCACTATGAATTGCAAAAGTGTCTGGGTCTGGAAGGATCCGACCTTGTGATGCGTGTTTCGGATCCTACAAAGACTTGTGATGCATAAACGTGCAAAAGGTGCCCACTTCTGACCATGCTGAGAGGGCATTTCTCATGCAGAAAACGCATCATTAAGGAACAACTGCAGAACCTGTGATGCTGGGCCCTGCATTCCAGACGTGGGGGAGCTAGAGCTTGGAAAAACTGCATGACAAATCTCGGAGACTCCCAGACCCAGACATTTTTACATTTGATAACCAGTCTTGGTTCCACTGCCCGAGATATCCTGTGCAAAAGTATCGCACTCGTAGTCGTACTAATTGCAAATATGCATGACAAATGTTTTTATTAAGGCAAAACAGCATTACAAGTTCCAGTTTCCTTCTTGCCAAAATTATTTGTAATGCGATTTATACTAGTACGATACTTTTGCAATGCATACGAAGCCGAGGAAGTAGTCCTTTTTCGGGTCGTACCAGTTCTCCGTGTTCCGGCCCAGTATCCTCTTCCCCGGGGGGAGCCCCTTTGGATTGCTGAACTCCGCGCAGTTCGCTTTTTCGAAGTAGAAGTCGTGCACCAGTTCCGGCATCAGTGCGCAAACGCAGACGGGCGACTGGGTCTCGAACCCCTCCTCCTTGGTGTAGTCGTTTCTTTTGTGCTTGTAGCACGGACCGTAGGACCCGTATTTGGAGTCGAGCACGGCTTGCATGGCGGACGTCGAGGCTTGCATGTTGTTGATCAGGTCTTCGGGGTCACCACACAACGAGCTTCGCCACTGGGAGTAGGTGAACTGGCACTGCTGCTTCAATTTCACTTTTTGCTTTTTCTGCTCCTCCAGTGTTATCTGCCCTTCGGATAACTTGATTTCGTCGGTGAGGCTGTCTCCATCCCCACAGCCGTCCGTGAGCCAAAGAATCACGGTCGGGTCTTTCGCCCACTTTTGGAGTTTCTTGAATGTGAACTTCGGAGTGTCCCGCCCGAACGCGAGAACGTCGCACTTGGAGCCGAGGGGGCTACTTGGCGCCGTGGAAGTTGTAAACGGGTTGTTCTGGTCCTCCTTGCTATCGACGTCTTCTGTTGGCGATTCTTTCGCTTTATCCAATCGATAAGAGAGATTATCCTCTGGGCCTATTCGGTCCGCGATTCTCCCATTTTCGTCGACAAACGCCAGCTCCCTCACGTCCGGATGCGGTTTTATGCCATTCGCTTTCCTATCTTCTTCCTCAAACCGCTTTTGCCTCTCCGTCTTGCTTTCGTCCGCACTGCTCCCAGACGCGTAACTCTGGTGGGCGGCCATTGGGTCTTCGTAATTGACCTCTATTTTTGCGTATCAAATTCGAAAATGTCTGGGTCTGGAAGGTTTCCAGGTTTGTCATGCATATTTTGCATGACCCATGATGCTTGTAAAGCATGGCCTAGCATCACAGACTTTTTGAGGGCATCCTGATGCCTATTTCGCATGACAAATGTTTATGTTGCCCTTCCCGCGTAGCACAAAATGGGCTCCTCTGCCTGGTCATGCAATACAAATGTTTTTAGGATCCGAAGATAGCATCACAAGCTGAAACCTTCCAGACGCAGACATTTTTGCATTTGATATTGCGTTCGGGAACCCGAGTTGCAGGTACTGGAGAACTATGCATTGCAAGAGTATCGCACTAGTACAAATTGCATGACAAACTTTTTCAAGAAGAAAAATGAAATTTGTAATGCTGATTTACCCAAAAAGGGATATCTGTGATGCATGATAGCAATTACTACGAGTACGATAATTTTGCACAGGATAAGAAAGTCCAAATCGAAATCAGTGTCGATTAGCACGTAGATGCATCACAATAAAAAGTGTTAACGTTAACGGTTTTCACAGATGATCATTGCAGTCATGCATCACGAATGTAGCCCAACAAGCATGCCATGCATGACAAATTCTGGCACGTTTTGCGATGCATTGCTGCGTCACAAATTCCGTTTTTAGCGTTGACATTTCTTCCTGAGATAAGATGAACTGGGGAAAGATCATCATGAACCGCTGGAGCAGGACGCTGGAGGAATCTCCAATCCCAAGCCAACAAAACCGGATGTATTCCGCCGGGTAGGACTTTCTCGTTTTTGACAAAATCTGTTCGTCTTTTTTTTCTTCTTGTTGCACGCCGGCACTAGAACTAGATTGCAGCTCTACTTTATCGTCGCTACGAGTTTTGTTTTTCTTCTTCTCTTCGCTTGTTGTGTTCTGATGTGCTTTGATCTGTAACTTCGGATCGTCTTTCTGGGGTCCGTTGTAGGAAAGATCAACGGTGGTCGTGGTATGCTCTTCTGTTCTTGCGCTGTCTCTGGTCGTGCAGGTTCCGCCGGCATCTGCCCCACCTGAGCAAGCATTTCCATTTTCTCTTTCGTCCTCGATATTATACCGTGCTTGGAAGTGGCTGACGCCTGTGGTTTCGTCGGGCGCCCATTCACCAACCAAGCCGCTGCCGTGAAAGAAAAGGATTTGCAACACCTTCAGGAGGTACATCACTGAACGGTCTAGCGCCTCACTCAGTTCCGGCTTCGGCGTCGCGCGAAAGATCAACGAGGTGTCGATCTTTTTTGAGATGGACTTTTGCATAATTGTTGTTCCTTTATGCAGGTCCTGCTGCGCAGATGAAAACTGTTGCGGTTGTAGCAACAGATGAAATATAGCCCAAAAAACAACGGCCGACAAAAGGTTCCGGCTGTGCTGCCTGCGCAGCGGCTGCGCATAATTGTGCAACTGCTTCGAAATCATCTTGGTCATCCTTGTTTTACCCGTAGGTTTCAGATGAAAAGGAGGCACTTATTATAGCTGTACTCTTGATATCATAAACATAAGTAAACTTCTGAAAGGAAGAGAGAGAAACAAAAACAAAACAAATAGATACTAAAAAGCGCGGCGAACATCAGTGCGCCCTTTGCTCTGGCAGTCGATTAAGATCGAGTTTTATTTTCGCTTGTGGTGCAGCTCTCTCTAAAATATAAATAAATTCACAACGAGGTCGTGGACGAGGCACCACATGGAATACGCACACAGAATTAAGCGAAGAAGATGATCGTCAAGCAAGATAGATCCTGGGATCGGAAAAAAAAATACAGAACATAAACAAAAACATAGGGAAGATAGGAAGCATGATTGTCAGGGCCCTCTTAAAGTTCGGATCCACAGTGAACAATTCCCATGTGCGGCGCTGTCCAGCAGCACCGCCTCACGGTTACCACGGCCTTGCGAGCAGTAAAAAGCTGACTCAGAGGGCCGCGGAAAAAATGTTGTCGTGGGAGAAGTTGTAGTCGGCTTTGCAAAGAAGAGAAGTTATGTCGCGTTGGAAACAAATAGACTATCATAAGATCAGGTTCAGCAGCTTCAGGCGTAGTTGTAAAAATCTTCATCTCATCTAGTTCTAGAGTGATACGGCGTTTTTACAACTTTTCTTTATTTTCCTCGTCCTCAGAGTTCTCGAAAAAGCATGTACATGTTGTGCAAAAGCAGAAACCTGCTCGAGAGCACATCGTCTGCGATGCCCTTGTTGTTTTCAAAATCCAGCGAGAAATCACCGATCTGCTGCAGCGGCGCCTGCTGCTCTGGGTTCAGCACGTTCCGGCCGTGGTTGTTGGCCTGATTGAGCCGCACCAGCCCCCGCTTCTCGCTCTCGAGCCGCTGGCTCAGGTTCCGTATCGTTAGCAACAGCAGTTTCTGCATCTGCAGCCGCACCCGACTACGATCAATCGCGTACAGCCACAGCCCCCGCCCGTAACTGCCGGACTGCGCTCCGAACGCTGTAGGTGGAGGCCCGGCCGCGACGGAGTGCGCGCCCTTCGGGATTTCTTGGATTAGCAGCGTCCCGTTCCGAAACAAGTCGTTCAGCGCGCGTCGGACTTTCGGCAGCGAACAGAGGCAGACCTCTATCGTGAGGAAAAACGTCCCCACCCCAGAGTCAAGATGGGGATGATGCACCAAAAACCTAGAAGTCTTGGGGGTCACACATGACAGACTTCAGCGCGTACTGTAGTGCAGATTAGCGTGGACAGTCGCATCACAAATCCATCTGCTCATCCTGTTTAGTACAGCATTACAAATTTTAGAACGCGATTGGAAATGTCTATCATGGGTACTATGCGCATCACAAATATTCCTGTCATTGGAAATCAGCATGACAACTCTGGGGTGGGGGCATTTTTACACAGGATAACCTCTTCGATGCGCCGTTCGTCGTGGTACCGGATTGGGTCTTCGTTCAGAATATGCATTGCAAATATGTCTGGGTCTGGAAACGTGTGATGCTAATTTGCGAATGGTGGGCGCACTGCAATGTGCAGCCCAGCATGACAAGTTTTTTGTGCTGTTGTGTGTTTCGTTTTTCGCATGACAAGCTGCGTTTTTGCATGACAGGCAAGAGGCACTTTTCCTGGTCATGCATCACAGATTTGAGAGTCATGCCAGACGAGCATGACAAGCTTGCAGTTTCTTCCAGACCCAGACATTTTTGCGATCCATACAGAAAGTTGAAGACCCGAAACGCCACCGGGCCGTGGTTCCAGTGAATCAGGCGGCCGTACAGGTCCTGGTAAATCTATGAAAGCCTCAGGTTGGAAATCCTCAAAGTGGGAAAAATTTGTAATGCAAAAAAACGACTCCAGTTGGAGCACCATTTATAGTCGGCGCATGACAAAATTCCCGGGCACTCAAAACGTGTCTGTCATGCTAGTTAGGCGAAGGGGTGCCCTCCTCTCATGCTAATCAGGAGCCCAATTCTGAACCCGTTGTACATGCACAATAGTCGGCCTCCATTGCGTTCTCTGCAATACAGTCTTTTTGGTGTCGCATTTCATGCATCACAAATTATTTCCACTTTGAGGATTTCCATTCTGAGGGTGTCATAAAATCTGGCGCCAAATCTGCTCGCCGTCCAGCATGAAGGCGTCACCGCTGTTGATCTGCACTTTCGTACTATTTGAGGAGGAAGTAGGAGGAGGTTTCCGACCTCCTACCCCGCCCGGCGAAATCGCCAGGGCGGCCGCCGCGGCTGCGGTTTTCTGCTTCTTGGACTTCGGCCCGCGCTTGGACTTCGAGCCTGTCGACGTCATGCTCTGGTTCAACAAAAGCATCTGCATGCTGTCGTCCAAATCTCCAGCGGCAATGCGCTGGACCAAGCCAGAGGCTGTTGTAGGCGACAAATTTAAATTTTTGCTAAACGAGTGGGTGCTTGTACAAATTGACAAATCTTCAAAATTCTATCCTACTGACGTCGCACAAAAAACTGCACGTACGCCAACGCAATACGAGGAACAACGCATTGCCGTTTATTGTGGTAATGTGATTTTTAGGCCAGAACAACAAGCACTAAGAGAGCAGAGGCAGAACTACTCAAAAAATATGTCTTCAATACTTTCGTTCAGGAGCAAAGTAAGTCCTTCCGCAATCTGCTCGGGGGTCAAAACGTCTGAGAGGTCGTCGCTCAACTGTGACTGCAGGACGATTCTCCCCTGGGTAGGAACAGCCCCACCTCCCTGGCCGCCCCCGCCCATCATTCCCGGCGTTATCGGTTTTTTCAACTTCAAAGACGGATACTTCTGCGGCACGGACGGACCACTCTGTAGTTGATGATCTAGCAGATTGTCACCACCACTTGTCGTGTCCTTCTTACCCACACCCCCACCACCTCCGATTTCTGTCGCCCGCAAAAGCGCCCGGAAGACCAGTTTCGCGGATTTATTCGCTATGTGACCTACTAACGGTTCCTCGATTTGTGACAAAACCACGTGTCGGTTGAGAAGCGGCAGGTTGGCTCGGTACACCGTTTGAGAGAGGTTCAGACTCTCCAATTCTGCGTTGGCGCTGTGATAAATTTCCGCCGCCTTCGCATCGTTGTTGAATCTCGCGATTTTCAAAAGCTGCTCGCGAAAAACCTCGTTGTCCGTCTTCCGCCGGAGCGGATTCGCCTTGATAAGCCAGCCACTCGACTCCAGTTCGCCAACGAGCCGAAGAAGGGTCGCTAGTTCCATCCGGGGAAAGTTGTCCCCCGCTTTCGTGTTCTTGTTTTTGGAAGTTGCAGCAGTATCTTGTTCCTGCTGGGGGTGCTGATTTGATGTTTGCAACATTTGGGCGTCCTCCTCCTCCGAGTCTTCTTGCCGTTGTCTTTTCTTCGTTTGCAGCTTTTTCATCGCAGGATTGCTCGCTGCCGAGCCGGAACGACCTCTCTTGTTGTCTTTCTTGTTACCCTGAAGCAGGAGATCTGGCTGTAGTTCTTCTTGTTGCCCCCCTTGATACGGTAATGAGAACAGCTCCACCATGGTACTTACCGAAACCTTCCCGCGGTGCAAGACTTCCCGCATCACGCGCGCGGCGGCCGGGTTCACGACATTTTGAATCACCTTCACGAACTCCGGGAACCGGGCGCGCCAGAAAACGGAGTCCAAATCCGCGTAGAAACGGGCTGGCTTGTTTATCGGTGGAAGTGAGCTGCTGGAGGAGGAAGAGGACGACCCTCCTGCAAGAGCAGTTGATGTTGCACTCAAGCCAAACATCCCGTCGTCCACCACACGCACGATGTTGTGCTGCATGAGAGAGACCAAAGTTACTGGCGGCACGACGGGCCACAGACGACGCCCTGAGAACCCACGAAGATCCTGAAAAGATCACCCCCGACACCCCAGGGGGAGGGGTCGGAAAGATTCGGAGCGTCCGCCCCTCTGTAGCTTCCAGGGACAGCCTGCCGACGAAAGGGAAGCATAGACCGCTCGTGTAACGCGCGTTACACGAAGGTATGGTAGATGTGAGAAAGGGCCAGACGCCCCGCGGGCGTTGCCACAGGCGCTAGCTTGCTGGGAGTGACAAATAACCACGCCCAACAAAGGCGAGCGAGTGGTCGCGCGGTTGTAAAAGCCCTGGCGCGACGCGGAACAATCTGGGGCCCGGCAATGGACGGAACTGCCCCCGTCCGCAGGGTCCATCTCGCTTCCATGGGCCAGATATACCCGAGCCCGAGGACAAGGCCAGGTCGGAAATGGTCCAGCAAAAGACGGCGCACTAGCCCCAAAGCGAGTTTTTTTTTTAATTCAAAAACGAAGCCGCTGAATTTGTTGAATCAAAGAAACAGCCCGTGTTTCAAGGGTAGAAAGGCCACTTCTTGAACCCCGAACAAAGGATCCGACCAAGGTTCAAACAATGTTCAAAGTCGCCAATCACGGCGGTATGGCGAAAGCTTCAGAGGCCAAAAAAAAGTTCCTAAAAAGTTCCGTTCAAGATCCGATAAAGTTCCGATCAAGATCCTGTCCAGAGGACACTTTTTTGGCCACTTTTTTGCGCCGCCAAATCCATAGATTCTAGGCGGGGGAGGGGCCAGGAAAAGCGGCGAAAAAAGTGTCCTCTGGACAGGATCTTGATCGGAACTTTTGAAAATGGAGATGGCGGCCATGAACTCTGGAAAATGGCCCCGTGCCTGGCCGAATTCCACTGGAGAATGCTCCTGAGTACAAAAATTGTGCCGCGGGGAGAAAACTCCCACCCTTGTTTGACATGCTTTCTGCAGGATTGGCCTGCCGATCCCCGCGACCCCAAGAAGCAAAACACTTGGCACCACATCGCGCCAAAGGCCATCGCCTCTCTGCGGGCTCCCGGATGCTGGGCAGGTAGAATGCCTGCGGTCGAAACACCTCCGCGCCACCCCCTTTCCAATGTCCAAGACTACCGCGAAAAAACTACAGAAGCACACCAGAAGGGGGGGCAAAAGGACACGCTGGCCGCGGCGGGCGGCGCGTTCCCTGGCGGCTGGCCCGCGCCAAGTTTTGCGTGGCCGTAAAATACCGACATACCCCCGCAACGGGAAAAAAAATCGCGCTTCCCAAACAGGGCGGCCCTCGGGATAGGCTCGGCAGCTATGCGACACGCCCAGAAAAGGCCGCGCAAATTTGCTATACAAAGGAGGCAAAGCGAAGGCCAAAACATTGGGCCTGATTCGTAATTTCGGGGCGCCGAAGTAGCCCAGCGGCCAGGATCTTGATAGGATCTTTTTGGGATCTCAGACGAGCTGAAGTGGCCCGGCGTTCCGTGAGTAACAAAGCGGACTTCGTTTCCTCCCCAGTCGGGCAGGTACCGGAGTACTGGGTTAGCTGTCGCATGAAGACCATCAGTTCGCCGACGGACAATCCTTCCGCGGCGTCGTTTCCGAACGACAGGAGCGTCCAACCAACGGTCGCTGCCGCTTTCCCGAACTCAAGCTCCAGCCGCTCCCGGGCATACTCGAATTCTGGATTCGTCGCCATTTTGAAAGTTTCGATTCGTCTGGTTCGTTGCTTGCCGGGTTAAATCTCTAAATCATAAAGATAAATCAGATGGGAAAATAAAATGATCGGATCTCATTTCTCATGTGGAGATGAAACAGCAGGACGAGGATCGGGAAGTTCCTAACAAGTAGTAGTGCAGTGCTTACATATTACTGTGTTGTCGAGATGATGTCGCTGTGGACTTACTTGCGTTAAATCAGTGTGGTGCCCCAGAGAGATAGTGGCGGTGGCGCGCAGTCGTGGTATGAGCCGCTCGGGCTTGCTTTTTTTCACAGCTGCAACTACCATCATATCCAGACGGTGATCAATATCATGTCGGAATCGTGTGTAGACTTTTCTTGGACTTGATCAGCTGCGTGATGCATTAATGGTGGTGATCGTGATCTAAAACGACTTTTGTGTAGGAACGATCTTAGTTCTTAGGTCCACGGCAAAACGATGAAGTGGTCATCATTATTCAGGAGACCCACAGTGTTGGTTCTATTTGTTGCACTGACTTTTCAAGATCATGATAAGATAAAGATCGTGTGTGACCACCTAGAACTACGTTTTCCTCCGAACAAGTCGTGGTCCTGGTCGTGTTACTCTTACTTCTTTATACGATATAATTTTTGATATGTAGCTCTTATCAGGACTATAAAGCATCGATGCTCGTCACTTTCAGATCTTCTGGCGGAGGATTTTACATCATGTGCGAAGGAGGTGGCTGTGCACCAAATACTTGTTTTCAGTTGGGGTATCCCGGCAACAGCCGGACGTCGACACTTTGCGCATACCTGGCGCGTTTGAGACTTTCGAGCCCCAAATCCGCGTCCTCGTACCCCCGGCACTTTTCGGGCGCGACGTTCAAGCGCTTGGCAGCTTCGAGAAACAAATCCGGAGCGGGTTTTCCGTTCACCACGTCCTCTCGCGTCACGATCGTTTCGAAGAGCTCCGTCAGGCCATTTCGCTCCAGGTCCGCAAGCACGTGGGCTTTGTCCCCGCTGCTGGCCACGGCGAGTTTTTTCTGACCTTGTTTTTTCGCCTCCTTCGCAAACCGAGTCACACAGGTAATTTCCCCCGGGTATTCACCTGATGGTGGTCGTATAGTATTGGAATGGAAACGCGTGGTTGTAATGGTGTCGTAGGTACGATCTACGGCACTTGTTGCGACGTCAAGAAAGTCGTAAATTTGAAAGTCCCCGCAGTAGACTGGGACTAGATTCCATTCGTCAAAGCGTATTTATCAAGTGAATACTTACTACCTTTCGCCCTCATAGCCTCAACGATTTGAAACTTTTCGTCCAGAAATTTATCCACAAACGCCTGGTCAGTGCTGGAGTACCCCTCCGACGCGTCCAGTACTTGCTCGACAATTTGCCTCACGGGGGTGCCGGCAAGCGCGTAAAATTTGGATTTTGGGAAGTTCAGCTTGTATTTTTCGACCAGCTGCGCCCAGCCAATCCAAAAGTATTCCATGCTGTTTACCAAGGTGCCATCGCAGTCAAAAATCAACGCGTCTATCACGCTGTCGTCCAAAGAAGTCTCCTGCTGCGCAGTGTGGTCCGAGCCTCCTCGTGGTGCGCTTGTTGCGGGCACGGCAGCGGAGTTGTCATCTCCTGCCATGGTGTCCTGGTGCGCCTGGTGACGAATGCTTTGTAGTTTACAGAACCGAATTGGAATTATGAACTTAAACGTAGACTTTTAATTTGATTTCGAGAAGAAAGCACTTATACTTAATTAGTTACGGCGTTACTTATTTTCTCTTTCTTCACACACAAAAACTACTAAAACCATGAATGTGCTAGAAATCGTTGTAAGAGAACCAATCCGATCCATGCAATAATAACTGTTATTTGTACTTAGCGACTCGGAACGGAATCTCAATCCTGAGCGCGAATTGGCGCTGGAATGGGAGCGCAACCTGCGCAAGTGAAAGACAATTGCAAGCGGTGCAGCTGCAACTTTTTACGCATCTCGATCCATCGTTGTTCATCCGGTATGGTATAGTCGTATCCAGCAAACATGATAACCGACCGTCGAAACGAGATCCAGAAAAAACTACATTCTTATTGCCTGGATGTGGTGGATCCATCATCATCTACCACCTTCATCTGCTGGTGCTGATCATCTCCGTGAAATATTTCTCTCTTTATCCTTATCCTGCAGCTGCCATGTACTATATCTATGAAATTGTATCAAGAACCGATGTCAACACACTGAAAGAATTCAAAACAAGATCAGCAGGCGACCGCACCGCAATGCAGCGGAAATTCGAGACAAGCAATACGCTGCCTCGTCCCCGTCCGCTTCGAGCGAACAGGAAGGCTTCTGTTTTTTCTCGCATTCATCTGACTTTGTGCCGCTAATGCTAAATAAACAGTAGCAAAGCACTGGATGTGTTGTTGGTTCCTCGCTTTGGATTTTACTATATTGTCAGTTCTACTTCTTTTCTCTTGCCCCAAAAATACTGCTTCCCACGCGCACCGACGTCGAGCCTTCTTTTATCGCGATGGTAAAGTCGTTACTCATTCCCATGGAGAGCTCCAATCCAACTTTTCGTCCTTGCTCACCGGTGGACGAAGAGTAACCTTGTCGCAGAAGGGTTTCTGCGTCCAAGTCGGCCATGGCCTCCTGGAGCTGTTTTCTGCAACTTTGCAGCAGCGCGAAGTCTTCCGTGCGACAGCCACTGTAGTCTGGCGCGCCGATGGTCATGAGGCCCTTTAGTCGGAGATTCGGGCAAGTCTTCCAGATGAAATTCGCGAGTGGGAGGAGATCTTCTGCGGAAATACCGTTTTTCGATTCCTCTCCACTGCTGTTCAACTGCAAGAAAATGTCGAGCGCCGCAGTCGGAAAGAGCTTCTCCACTGTCTGGTTTAGAAGTTTTGCCAATTTCTCGCTGTCAACAGTTTCCACCGTGAGGTTCAGGCGGGGGGCTTCAACTTTTGATTGTTCTACTTCTACTGATGCGCCATTTTTATCGACAAGAACCTTTGCGCCCTTCAACAACTGTTGCGCCTTGTTGCTCTGCAAGTGGCCGATAAAGTGCCACCTGATATCTGGTAAGTCTGTCAGCTCCTCCATCTTCTGGGCAAGTTCCTGCACGTAATTTTCGCCGAAATAGCGCTGGCCGTGCCTGTAGGCTTCGCGAATCATGTCTGACGGTTTCGTTTTGGAAACGGCGACTAGTCGGACTTTAATACCACCGCTTTCGTTGGAGGTGGATGATTCTTGCTGTCTGCTGCTCGCTGCCTCTTCGACTTTCGCCAAAACCGACTTCAGATTATTTGCAATGGGCTCGAGCAGTGCCGCCGGAGTGCTGGCAGCAGATCCAGCTTCTTGGGAAGCTTCTGTCGCCATGGTTCTGAAATTTCGCGGCACAAACGCTAAGGTATTGCTCCTACTCAAAGGTCGTGGATGAAAACGGAGAGTGGAGTTAATATCATGGTTCGAAACAGGTTTATTTCGCGAAAAAATTCTACTTTCAAAACAAAGCAAGTTCGTTTGCTTTATGCCTACCAGTTCGTGCGCTGTATGCCTAATCCCAAGGCTTCTAGGGAAGTCGCGTCGGCCAGCATACAACCACGAGGATACCGACCTGGAGGTAAACATTCTGCTAAAATATTAAGACCTAGACAGAGTTATCACTTATCCTCATCGTCATCTCCGCCATCAAAGAAACAAATTTTCTTGTGGTGCTGGTGTAACGAACTTGTTTGCGCTCCCGAGCGAGCGTTCGCCGATAGAAAAGATATTGCATTCATGATCAGCATCTTTCTTTGTAGATGATCCCTAGTTGGAGTTGGTCGGAGAACTGGAAGTGGATCATTTGAAGACAAGAATGTCATCGAGGGTCATCAGATCATCGCGACCAGAAACTCGCATGACGTGTGCGCACGTGAACTTCTTGAAGGAACAGCTTCTCCCAACCAGACCACTTCTCGCCCCAAGCAGATACCTAGGGCACACGCACCGAAACAGGGAGGCAGTAGGCGAACACACAGGTGGTATCGCCCAGCCACATATAACTCCCGCGCTGGGGCGTAGTATTCATCATCAGGTTGCTTTGGTTTACAAAAAAAGGTTTTCGCTGGTATCTGTGTATAGCAGTACTTCTTGACACGACTTTTTATCTTTGCTTCGTTTCCAAGCGCATGCCCCTCGAGGACGCGATGCAGTCACAATCGTTCAGCCATCTGTCGAAATCGTAGAGTTGGTTCCACTTCGCCCACCACTTTTCTTTTCTCCGCATCAGTTTCTGGACGCGGCAGTGATTTTGTGCGTCTGGCGATTCGACATCGACGCGGAGGTCCTCGCGTGGGGCTTTTGACGAAATTTTCTGGTCTTCGTTGCCCTGATGATTTTCACCTTTACAGCTCCCTTTGATTTGGTGCTTTTGCAGCTTTTCTACATCTACTCCTTCCTCCGGGTCTGACACCTTCTGATCAACAGGTTTGCAGCTCTCTTGCCTTTGACTCGCTTCCAGCAACAAAACCTTTTGTCGCTCTCTCGTCCTCGGTAGCTGCTGCTTCTCGTAAAAGTTCAGCCAGAAGTCGTCGGTGTAAAATTTCTTGGGTTCTTGAAGATGTGGCGTGCTTCTTTCTTGTTGTCGACGATTATTTTGTCCTCTTCTCGGTTCCATTTCCAAGTTCGGGCTCGCGTCGCAGGCATTGAAAAATCTCCGGCCTGGCGGGTGAAACCAAGCATTTATTGCGAGGTGCTTGCAGTCTGAGGTCGAGTCAGCTGAAGGACAACTCGTACTGCAGGAATGCACTTCGTGGAACCAAGAGGCCGGTAAGTAAAGCATCTCCCCAGCTTCCAAAGTCACCGTGAGTGGCTGCAAACCTGACGATGCAGCAACTTCAGCTGCTGTGAAATGGGAGAAGTGCGGCGGCAGATTACCTGTTGCGCCGTCAGGTTTCCTTTTATCTTCGCCGAGTGACGTCGTGCTATCCGAGCTGATGTCCTCTTCGTCACTGCTGCAGCTTGAAAAATCCGTGCGGCGCCGCTTGTTCTGGATGGTATCCTTCGAACTACCACGATCCCGGCGTCGTTTTCCTCCTCGTCCTCTCGTCTGATGTCGTAGCAGCGCCTGCTCCAGAAAGGCCTCGTCCTCATCGCTGTCAACTGTTGTATTCGAGGTTGTATTTTTCTTTCGTGGTCTCTTGTAAAAATCAGCGGCCTTTTCGTCCTCCACGACGCTACAGAGCGCTCCATCGCTGCGGACTTCAGCGTCGTAAGTCAAAAGTCCATTCCAATGGCAGACCCGCTTCGTGCTCGTATACTTTTTGATCGTGTTCTTGGTCGTTGTGTGCGTCGCTTTTCCACCGTCGTCCTGGTTCGTCGTATTTTTAAAGACGATTTCGTGCATATCTGGCGGGAAAAGGAGAAACCTCTTCCTCCCTTCGTGTAGGTAGTACAAATTGTCGTGGAAATCGTGGTGCAGCGGTGTTTGCGCCTTTTCCCGACCATACCACAGGTTGTACTGGTAGGGGATCAGGTGATTCCCCAGAATTCGGTCCGCGAAAAAATCCTGTGCGACATCGAAAAGCGTTGCTGTAGCGGAGCGTTGTTCATCCACTTGCTTGGCAGCCGGCGGTGCTGAACCATTTTGTGCAGTTGCTGTCGTGTGCAAAAAATGATCTCCACAGAGCACCGCGTTTCGCCCATAATCGTCCTGCGGCAGTGGCTGGGTTGTCAAATAAAGCTTTTCACGAGATGTACTAGAGCTGTTCCTGTTTCCACTACTACATGAGCTTTTGCTCGTTTTCCCAGCCAAGCTTTGCTCAAACTCTGCGAAACGGCAGACGGCACGCTCCTCTGCACTCCGGGAGCCAAACTTGTTGTTCGACCTGCTAGTGATATCTTCACTATCAGGAGAACATGCCGGTGAGACGTCTCCACCCTCTGCCAATTCTTCTTTTTCAAACGCGACCTTGGTGTCCTCTCCGCACCAATGCGATATCGACTGTCCCTGCAATAGTTCCGGCACGTTTTGCACGATCACCGGCTGTCGCTTGTCCACATACAACTCACAGAACGTTTCCGCGCCGGGCCAATTTCTGTAGTCGATCTTGGGAATGCTGGGAGCCTCGATCTTCGTATTGGTTTCCTTCATGTAGTTGCCCGGTGCGGGTGCCGGTATCGCGTTTCTTGCAGTCATAATTGATTCTCGTGTCAGAGCTGTGTCCTGTTCGTCATCAACTTCGAGTACTTCGGGTGAAATAAGAGCCTCGGGATGTATCTCTATACACAATGATCTTCAAATTGAGCAGGACATAGAAGTGCGCTACTTCAACTTCTTCAACATCTAAATCGCCCTCAATTTTACACGACGGAATCCTGCAACTTAGGAACTCTGATAAATGTACGGAGATGGCAATTGTTGACTTTATTGTTGACTCCTGCCATCTGATACTACAGGTACAGGGATAGTAGACGTAGTAAAGCTTGGACTTTTACGACTCGACATGAGCGATCGTCCACGAATCAAGTGCACCGCCTGATCGTTCTTGTCCGGAGGACATAGTAGTGACCCAATTTTCATTTCATATTTGGCGATCCATATAGCAAGAATAGCACTGCATGATCCTACCATAAATACATCAAGATGAAGATCACAGTTTTGCTTTTTGGTATGATGATCGTCAACTTCTTCTTGATCTTTGTTGCTTTCTTCACCTGCCTGGGCGCGGCGTCGCGTCAAACAAGGTTCGAGGCCCTTCGTGCTTCTTGTTCTTTTTTCGCGTTGATCACGAGCTTTTTCGCGTTGATCACGAGCTTGATCAAACACCTTTCTTCTTCAGACAGTACTACCCTCACATTGTTTGATCATCCTCTTCAGTTCGCTGTCGCCAAATGCAAATATCGAGCTGCGAAGCGGATTGGGAATTTTGGTGTGTCCACGTCAGGAACTACCACGGTAAAAAGCAGTTAGATAATAATTTCCAACAAGTTCATCATCTCGTACCCACCATAATTCAACTTTTTCTTAATTCTCAAAAAATACCGAGCAACTTTGGCTCGACATGAGGACTCAACTCCACTTTACAAAAAACAAATATTCTCAGACTTGACTCCGCCGTGGCTCTTTGGCCGTCTGCGAAGTTTTTGAGTTTGTCGAAAAAAATGAAATAGAAATGAAAGCGATCTCTTCTCCTAAATCGTTAAAAGTCTCTGCCACAATCCTTAAGCCTAAGTGATGAAGTAGTCGCGGTTATAAGTATATAGTTAAAATGAAAATGAAAAACGAAGTAGCAATGTTAGACGTGTAACTGCTCTCGTCACATCACCCGCTTGTAACTGCCGTTCGTTGCCTCGTCCAGCACCCTGCGCTATCACGAGAAAAAAGTGTTACAGTTACACATTTGTTGGAGTTTCTGCATCACAAATTTTCTCTGTGTGGCAGAGAAAACTTGCAATGCGATGATCATAAGGGAAAACAGGAAGGTAACGAGCCTCCCAAGCATTTCGTGCATGAGAAAGGCTGTCTGTGTTGCCGGTCTTGCAACACAGTGTGTAACTGTAACACTTTTTCTTGAGATATGCGCTGGATGAGCACCATGATCGTCTTTTTCGCGATTTTGTCGTCCACGCCCTGTTCCTGCAGGTACCGCAACAGCGTTTCCCTTTTCACCTTGCTGCCAATCGCCACGCGGTCGGTGATTTGGTTCTCGCAGTTCTTGACGTCCTCTTTCTCATGTTCCTGTACCTCCGCGTTTCGCCGGTTGGCGTTCGCCTCCAGCGTAGCCGCGCTGAACAGCCGGAAGGCCTCTTTCACGTGGTAGGGTTGGACCTGGTGCGCGACGATTCTTGTTCTTTCATGATGGTTCGTCCGCCACTTCCTGCTCCGGCTAAAGGATAGAGACCCCAAGCATGAATGAAGATATTGCTCCGAAAAATAAAACGTAATCTACGACATCAGATCATATTTTTCTACCTGGTCCATCAATTGCATCCTTGCCTGGGATTCCGCTATGCGCGAAATGGCCTCCAGCTGCCGCACCGTGATCGGCAACGTTACCGAGTTCCCCGTGGCTTTCTGCTCCGCCATCGCTTGTCGGATGCTGATGTAGTTTGCCTGCAGATGCTATGGATGTGTCAGAGTTGAAATCGACAAAGTTGAAATAACTTGTAATGCATAAAATCGATACCAGTTGCAAGCCCAACTTCTCAGCGGCGCATGACAAATTTGAGTAGAGTCGAAAGCCAATTTGTAATGCTGTTTGGGTAAGGAGGACGCCTTTTGTCATGCTACTTTAGCAGCTCGATTTCTACCCCGAAACAGGCTTACAATCTGCCTTCCTTGCCTACTCTGCAAGACAGGCATTTTCTGCATTGCATTTTATGCATGACAAACTATTTCAACTTTGACGATTTCAATCCTGACAGTTCCATAGATGCTGTGCGGACTCCTGCGTCAGCCGCGGGTCGCACCGCCGCTTCGCGAAGGTGACGAACTTCTTCATGTCTTCGCCGCTGATGGGCGGATTCACGAAGTTCATGTTTTCCAAATTGTTTTTGCTCGCCCCATATGGATTGCAAAAGTGTCTGGGTCTGGAAGGATGTAACTTGTGATGCTGCATTTGGATTCCGAAAAAAACTGTATTGCCTGAGCAGCAAAGGGAATGTAATTTTTGCTACGCGATGGAGAGGGCATTTGTCATGCGGTAGAGGCTGCATCGCGAATTCCTCTAAAAATATGTGATGTTAGGGCATGCATCACAGATATCATGGGTCATGCAAAATATGCATGACAAACCTGGCAATCTTCCAGACCCAGACATTTTTGCAGTTGATACCCCGTGCAGCCGGATCACGTGCTTGGCGAGCTCGTAGTCCCGTGCTGCATCCTGCACATCTCGGATGAGGAAAATCAAATCGAACCGGGACAGAATGGAGGACGCAAAGTCAATCTGCTCCGCGGTGCTGGTTTGGTCGTCGTACGTCCCGTAGATCGGATTTGCGGCCGCCAAGACGGAGCACCGCGTGTTGAGCACGACGGTGATCCCGGCCTTCGCGATGGAGATGGTCTGCTGCTCCATGGCCTCGTGGATCGCGACGCGGTCATCGTTGCGCATCTTATCAAACTCGTCGATGCAAACGACCCCTAGATGGTGTTGTATGTTTTCTTTTTATGTTTTTGTGTCCGCTTCCCAGAACAACTCTCCTGAAACTACACCAGAGAGATGCGAAGGCAAAGGTAGTGAAGCATTATACCTCCATCAGCCAGCACCATGGCACCGCCCTCCAGCGCGAAGCCGCCGTCCCCTGCCTTGACAATAGCCGCGGTGAGCCCGGCCGCACTCGATCCTTTTCCAGACGTGTACACGCAGACCGGGGCGCACCGGTGGACGAATTTCAAAAATTGGGACTGTAGATGTGGAACGGGTTTTATTTTCATGTATGCAAGATTTCGGCACGACAACGACTCACGACTGGATCGTGGACTGCAGGAAGAAAAATGTACAGGAAAATAACAAATTGCAATAGTAGATTGCGCAGGATGAGAAAGTTTATGAATTTCTCCACTGGTGCACTACACTTGTCCTTGTGTCGCAACTAAAAGAAAAACAGCACCACTAGCGCCCTTTATTTTACCTTCGCCGTACTTGGGTCTCCGAGCAGGAGGACATTAATGTCCCCCCTGAGTTTGGTCTGATCCGGCAGTTTTTTCGCTGCCCCGCCGAAGAGCAAGCACCCCACCGCTTGCTTCACCATGTCGATGTTATCTTTGTCGGACGCACAAATACTGGGGGCGACCGATTTCGCGACGGCCTCTATTATCGGAATCATCTTCCCGTTTTGTTCCACGCTATCCAAGAAAAAAACTGTGTCAGTGTAACTTTCTTCGGCTGACAGCATCACAAATTTGCTCTACATGACAGAGAAAACCTGTCATGCGCGGCTTGCATTAAGGGAAAACACGCATGAAAAGCAAAAGAGGGCTTCATGTTTGTGCTGTGGCATGACAGGGGTGTAGCTCTGTTGTATGTTCTGCATTACAGAGTTACACTTACACAGTTTTTTTCTTGCATACACGCCCTCGCGGGCCCACTGTTTGAATTTTTCCTCTTCCGCGACCGAGACTTTTGGCCCTGTATGTAGCAGGAAAAACAACAAGCAGGTTATCTTCTTTCATCGTCGAGGAGTGCGAAATCGAAGAAAAATCAATGGTGCATGCAGAGTCGTCATCAATCACAACGAGTATCTATTAGAAAGCTCTTTGTGGTTCTATAGGAAGAATATTACCTATTCGCAAATTTCCGCCCTTCACAAAGCCAATTGCCTGCAGGTACGACAGGTGGATCGTTTTCCCCGCTTTGCCGTTGTCCTTCTTGGTGCTCGCGTCTTGGTTTACTGGTACGCCAATGATGGCGACGCGGTTCCCCGGCTGCAGTGCGTCGACCATGCTGCGGTTCATGATGCAGTTGATGGACCGGGGCATATCTCCGAGCGGGACGTCCTCCGGGAGCTCCTGGAGCTTTATCTCCTGCATGTCCCAGTATGTGCACTCGTCAGGGACGACGAGAAAAGGATTGGGATCGCACTTCTCCTGCTCCTGACCGACCGCGTTCTCGCCGGCCTGACCCATCTGGTCCGCAGGAAGGTTCTCGCGATCTGGTAGGAGCGAGTGTGGATTTCACTTTACAATTTCATCACCATCATGTTCACGACTACTGTAACTGCTTAAGAACAAGTCGTGTCGTGCTGGTGCAGCATGCAGAAATACAAGGGTTAACACGATGCTGATCCAACGACACCAAAATGAAGAACAGCGAGAAGATGTTGGTGTTGATCAAGAAAGGAGTCCTCAAAACAAAATACTGGTGCATTTCTTGGGAAGCTGGATGCCGTGCAGGCCAGGTCTTACTTCTTTTGCGGTCGTGAAGCCGCAGCTCTTGCAGCGGATCGTCATCTTTTTTGCTTTGTGCCGCTTCGACTTGCACTGCACCACAATTCCGGACACCATGACCAGGCTCTCCACTTCTTCAGCTAAAAGTTTCCGTATTTTCCGCAGCGGCATACCGGAGGACTTCAGCTGGTTACTGTCCTCGTATGAAATGCAAAAGCATCGTACTAGTGGAAATCGCATGACAAATTCCCTCAGCATGAAAAATGAAACTTGTAATGCGGCTTTGACTTAACAAATAGATTTGTAATGCATGACTGCAATTACTACGAATGCGATACTTTTGCACAGGATACCTCGTCGTCCTCCACCACGTTGCAGGTCAACTGCACCTGCAGGTGGTCCGAACTAGGCAGTTTCTCCAGGTGGGGTAGTTGCTGCCGCTGCTCCTCTGTCAAGCCGCCGTGGAGCGCTGGTGGGTTAGGGACGAGGTTCGACAATGTAGAAAGAAACGAAAGAAAAACATACTCTTTGTTTTCCGTAGAATCCTAATTCAAGAACGACGCGGCTAGCTGCATGTAGAAGAGGACAATCGCTTTGAACGCTGAAGTACGAGCTCAAAAACAAACAAACGCGTACACTTCATTTCCTCGTCGTAAAAGTCCTTGCAGCATCTTTCCATGATTGGAATAAATTGCGACGGTCGCAGAATGATGCTGTCCTTGACCATGTTCAATTCCATCTCCATCTTGTCATCGTCCGTCGTTTATGCATTGCAAAAGTATCGCAATTGCACTAGTATATTATAAATTGCATCACAAATTTTGGCAAGAAGAAAAGTGGAATTTGTAATGCTGTTTTACATTAGGAAGGAGATTTGTCATGCATATTTGCAATTAGCACGACTACGATACTTTTGCACAGGATATCGTTTTCGCAAACTGGTAGAAATCGTCCATGTTTAAAAGCATCTTCGCCTCGCCCGCGTCTGTTTTCAGAATTTTGATTAGCTCATCGTTGTCATTGTGTGAGTGTGACGACGACCAATAACGTACAACTACAAATACAACAAGAGCGAGAGCCGCCCGCCACTTTTGTTTTAATAAACAAACTGTGAATGTACAGATATTCCGCTCCAGCTGCTCCTTGTATTTGTAGCCTCCGGTCAAATCCGTGCATTTTTTGAGAAACCAGGTCATGCGGTCCCGAAACCGCGCGTCCGCCAAGACTCGGTTGTCATCCTGGTCCACATGCTCCTCGCCCTCAGTGACATCCCGCCCGCCGAACCAGGACCACTGGTTCTGCGTGTACGTCCCAACGCCTCCTAGCATTTTGCTCTTGCAGGCTGCGGCTCTTCGTGGCCTTGTTCAAGAACGAAGCAGGTGATGCTGCGCCCGTGATGAACAGGTGATACCTTGCTTCCGAAAGCAGGAAAGGAGCCGCACGCTACCGAAACATTTTATGACTTTTGTTGTTTGTTCCTCCTGGTACGCTTATCGATATAAAACTTGAATCACAATTGGTTCACATTTTTGAATTGACGTGTAGGGCCACGAAATCATGAACTTCCGTTTACATACACTATCTTTTCTATTTTGAGTTTATGGAGGAAGCCAAAGCAGCAGCATTTTCACGCAAATTTTGTTCTCACAGCTTCATCTCGCACATCAACAACTCTGGTGTACATCAACACAGTCAATAGTCCACCCTTTTGCTTTTCTTTGCTCAGCAACAAGATTCACTTTGCAGTAGTTGCTGTCATTTTATTTCCTCATAACTTGTTCTGTTCTTTTGGAAGAACGATGGAAAGAACCTGGCTTTTGCACTTGCCATGAAAAGACCAAGACGTCGACCGAACATACCAGATTAGTAATGTGAACACTTTACTCACTTGTAGAGCATGATTGAAGGCTGGACTCAGACAATTTCTGCTCCTCCCCAGGTGGTGCAATTTCATTTTGCTATCTAGATACAATGCTCAAACAGTCATAGTTTCGTCAAACAATCATGATCATCCACCATCTATCATGCTCTATGCCCCCCGTGGTCCCGCGGCGAGCTGCATGCGCTCCTGTTTGAACTTCGACACACGCTTTCCGGTTTGGGGTTTTTGCAAAGAATCAAACCACGCCCGATTTTCTGCGGACTGAAACGGGTTGTTCGCAGACGAAGTCGAAGCCACACCCACAGGATCATGGTTCACGTCTACCACTTCTTCTAAAGGAGCCTCGGCAAACCTCACTTTTTTTCCAGGAAGGGCACCAGCATCTGCCGTCACGGCTTTCGTATTCGTCCCTGCACTTCTACTGGCGGATGCAACTCCACGCACAGTTGGTCCTCCCGGTCGTGAAGTAGAAGATGCGATATTAGTTCTGGCAGGGACAACAAAGCTATCTTCATCCATGTCCAGCGCTTCTAAGTCTACAATTCCCTTCGACGAGATTTGCTGCGCACCGAGGGGGGGACTGGAACAATTGGCAGTAATCGTGTCGTGGTCTGTCTCGGAGACGACTTGAATCAGAGACGAAGTGGTGGCACTAGCCGATGATGTCGCTGCACGACCGCCCGTAGCTCCATCTACGTGGAGCTTCAGGTTGCTGTCAAGAGTCTTGGTCGGGGAGGAGGAACCGGATCCGGAACGAGGAGTAGGTGCGGGTTCCTTCTTGGTATCTTTGGGAGCAGCTGCGCTTGTGATCATCCCTGGTCCACCAGCAGTTGAGGCAGATTTATTCATTTGGCCCGGTATGAGAATGCTTTGGCTAATCGCAGACCGAGATGATTTGTTCGCGTTTGACGAACTAGTTGTACAACGACCTTTGTAGCTGTCCAGTTGGTGGAGGTATCCTGTCGAGTTCGAAGTGCCAGCTATCACAGGAGGAACAGAAGAAGCTAAGGTCGTACCACCGGTGGTGGAGGACTTTGATGTGGATCTGCTAGTACCACGACTATCCGGCGCAACCTTAGTATCCTTTATTTTCGAGCTAGTGTTCTTATCCTCCAGTAGATCGAGCACCCGTTCCGAGACTTGGCGATCATTCACCTCCAACAAGGCCATCTTTTTCCTCTGTGCCTGCTGCTTCTGATCCAGCTGCTTTCCAAACGTGGCTTGGTCGTACTGCGTGCCAGCGCTCTGGATCTTTTGCTTCAGCGCGTTTTTCTCAAAAACAGATTTATTCGAAGAACTGCAACTGCTGGACAACAGCAAGCTCTGCTTCGCGGCCGAACCCGGTAATACGCGCGGCGGCGGCTCGCACCCCTCGATCCCGCTGTACATCTTGTCAATCAGGGCTTGCTGCTTCGCCAAATCCACCATTGCGTCGCCGAGGATCAGGCCGCTGGCGTTGCCTTGACCAGTGCCGGCTGTCGTGTCATCGTCTTCTTCAGATTCATCGTCGGAATTATTTTCGTCACCGTCAGAAGAAGATCTAGATGAAGAGTCTTCATCTTCACTCCTCATCTTTGCGTTCTTCTTTCTCGCAGCAGCCATGGCGTTCTCAGTTTCTTCCAACCTTCGAAGCATTTCGTCGAGGGAGGAAGCAGCCGGATTGGCACTTTTGAGCGGTTTCGACTCCGTGGTCTGCGCCTCCTGCTTCATGCTGGCAGATGTCGCTGGTTCTGGTGTTTTCCCCCCTCCGTCAGTGCTGGACCTTTCCTTCGCCTTCGTGCTTTTTTTTCCGCCGTGGTTACTGGAAAACATCTCCATCGCCAGTTTCTCCGCCCGAGCCGCATCCTCAGCAGCGATTCTCTCCATTTCTAGCCTTTTTTTCTCCTCTGCACTGTTATTTTCGTTCTCGGTTTTCTTCTTGTTTTCCTTGTCAGCGTTAGTTCTACTTTCCTTCATGTGACGCTCGAGGTCGCCTTCCTTCTCTTCGATCTCAACGATTTCAGACTCGGATGGTTTTATTCCCGGTTCTGCCACCTTGCGCGCGGCTTCACCACCCTTGTTGGTTGTAGAAGACGCTGCAGTAGCAGCGGTTTTCCATTTATTTTCGTCCACCATATCCGGCACAATCACTTCCCGTTCCAGCACATTCGGTTTCTCGACCCCGGCCGTGGTTTTTTTCTCATCTCTAATCTTCCTCGCCTCGAGAATCTTATCCTCAAACAGCATCTTTCTCTCCTTCTCCAGGTCCGCAATCGCGTCCATTTGCGCTGAAATGAGTTTCTTGTTCTCCCTGTGCCGCTCCTCAATCGTCTTCAGCGCGTTCGGAATGGTGCGCTCCGCGTAGTAACTGTCCCCCAGGTGCATGATCACCTCGTTCGTCCGCTCGATGTGGCCCTCAAAAAAGATCCCGTCGCCAAAGGGCACCATAATGTCGTGTTGAAGTTTTTTCGGCAAGTCGGTCAGGGTCGAGATCAGCTCGTCGTATTTCGATTCAAAGTCCTGCAGCTGCTTCAGCGAGCCCTGCATCTCGCGCAGCGATTGCTTGAACTTCTTCTCCGCGGCGTCCATTTTGATCTTATGATGTCGCGGAAAAATACAAAGAAGAGAGTGCCCTGCAAAACACTGCTACATACAAGTTGAGTATGGCTGCCGTCACTATCCAAAGAAGAAAGAAAAACTGTGGTAACTTGCTTGATGAGTCGCGAAGATAATCTATGTTGACGTTTCAAATGTTCTTCTTCAAATCCCTGTAGTTCTGGCCTTCGCATCAAAGAACGCAACAAATATTTTCACAATTTTTGCGGTACTCGCCGCACAGGAGTTCCACGAACTCCATGGTGTTTGTGCCTCGCGGCTAGCGTTCATCGGTCTGATCCAAGGCATTTTTGACGAATATGTTTTCATTTCTTCCACCGGTTGCGGTTCTGAAGATCTTCATCTTTTTCTATTTCTGTTATTTCCGCGAACGATCGTTTTCATCGACATTGACAAGGATCCTCAAAACAAGCTGTGTCACTTTCAGCAGGAGCATCTTAGTGTATGGATCGCAGAAGTGATGAACTTCCTGACGGGGTCGCGCCCGATGTACTTCGAGCCTTCTCGGTGTCATATCGAACAAGAAAGAGGGACTACCAGCAGTGGAACCATCGCGGATAAAGCAGAGGGAATACTCAACATCACTCCCAACAATACTACAAGGCGAGGACGGCGCGAAGTTGTCTTCCGACGTGATATCCTCGACAAAATACCAACAATACGCGTGTTTTCTGTTCATCGTTTTCGTTTTCACATGTTGAGCTACAAAGTCACAACGAAGGTACTATCACAGCCAACTTCCACGGCCACACCGCGGATTCTTTAATCAAGCGCGATTTGGCGATGGAAATCGTGCTGGAGGGTCGACGACGTCAGCCAGTTGTGAGACGGTGAGACGAGGAGAAGATTTCTACTTTTCTACTGTTCTCTGCGCCTTATCCTCAAAGCCCCAACTCGCCCATGAACATGGTTTGATCGCTGCTTCCGGAGCACAGTATTCTCTCCTTCGGGTGGAACGCAATGTCGTTCACGGAGCCTTCGTGGCCCGGGAGCTGGTACTGCAATTCCAGCGAGTTGGCGCTCCAGACGTAGACCATGCGGTCCGAACTCCCCGCGCCGAAAACGGTACCATCCTTGCTCCATCGGCACCGGAGCAGATTCTTCTCGTAGTTGTGCGTGTGGCCCTGGACAATGCCGATACACCGGGACTCGCCATGGGGAATAAAGGGCCGAACCTGCAGTTTTGTGTAGAATGATGTCGACAAAAATGCAAGGAGTTGAAGACCAGCTGCGTCCCCAAGGGCACAATAAAGACGCAAAGTCTACTGCTCCTCTAGTTTCGGCATCGGCACGACAAATACAAATTTATTAAAATGCAAATCAGGCCGCAAACTCCAATCAAATATTCTATACGTCCCACATCCGCACGGTTTGGTCCATACTATTTGAAATGAGCTTCTCCCCATCTGGACTCAGGTCGATGCCGGTAATGCTGTCGCTGTGGCCTTCCAAAACGTAGAGCTCCTCATCGGCGCGAGACCGGACGTCGAAGACCTATTTTGATCGATTCGCAGAGATAGTTCTCACACTTTCACACTTGAGTGTTGCTTTATACAAGAGGGAAATATACGAGCAGCGATACGACCAAAATTTGAATTGATTCTGAGACATCTAACTACTATCGCCTTGTTCTTTTATTTTGATTTTCTTTCATGGATGCTGATGATATAAATGCCTATACCCTAATGGTGTCGTCCAGACTGGCCGCGAAAATTTTTTCTGCTGTGTCATCGAAGCAGACGCCCAGGATCTGGTACTGGTGATCGAAACTGTGCACGCATTTCCGTATTCTCAAATCCCACAGCTTCGTCGACCCGTCGTCTCCACCACTCACAAGCATGGGATCGCCGCGGCGTGAACGCTGTTTGGAGGTGGAAAATTTGCATTTTTATTTATTGAATAAATAAAAATGATGAAAATGAAAATGTGGGGCCTTCGCCTTCCGGGTCTTCGGTTTCTATTAGAATCTGGTGAAGTTGTTGACATCAGGTGGCGGCCGTAAAGAAAAAGAATTCATGACCGCTGAAACTGGAAGCATTAAGCGGCGAAGCGTTCTCATATTTCTCTTACCTGCATGGAGTTCACAATTGCGGTATGCCCGTTCAACTTTTTGATCCTCTGTCCGGTCTCCGCGTCCCAAACGGCGCAGGACTTGTCAGCGGAGCAGGAGTAGACCTGTTGCTGGTCCGCGCTCCAGTGCACCTCTAAGACAGCATTGTTATGACCCTGAAGACACCCGTAGTTCTCTGCGTCGCCGTAGCTGTGGAGTGTTTGGTATAGGTATTGATGTTTAGGTGGTTCTTTACAAGTTGGAGGTTAGTGCAACTAGCGCATTTCAAATGAAAACGATAGCCAGAGTCTCAAGAACTTCTACAGAACAAGTTTTCACGCAGAGTCAATATCCGAGTAGATAAGATTGGGATAGTACACGTTCCACAGGAATATTTTGTTGTCGAAGGAGCAACTGGCGAGTCGCTTTCCGTCCGGACTAAATTCGCAGCCGTACACCGCACCGCCGTGGCCGACGAGCCGCATTGATGGGCCTGCAAGACCGGTAAGTCGCTCATGTTGGGGGACCTGCAGAGTTTTCGAACTTGAAATAATATGGAAAGGAGGTAGAGGTACAGAAAAAATTATGTAACTCGTTCATGCATTCAGCAAAAGCGCAGCCTTTCATTTTTTTCATAATTGAATTGGGATGCTTCTGCTTTTACCTGAATGAGAGCTTGCTCCAATGCTGGGGTCAGCTCGTAGCGGGCTTTTTTTGCTTCCGGCTCACCCATATCAAATGTAAAAATGCCTGGGTCTGGAAAGTTGCCAGGTTTGTCATGCATATTTTGCATGACTCAGGATGTCTGTAATGCATGATCTAGCATCACATATTTCTAGAGGCGTTCCTGATGCCTATCCCGCATGACAAATGTCCTCCCCGCGTAGCACAAACTGGGCGCCTCTTGCTGGTCATGCAATACAGATTTTTTTAGAATCCAAGGTTAGCATCACAAGTTCCAACTGTCCAGACCCAGACATTTTTGCATTTGATAGCCCAGGAGCGGATCGTCGCTGTCTTGTCGCAAGGCGAGGGCCATTTTTCCTTTGGAAGGATGAAACTAAGTACCTTTTCTTGGAAATGGAAAATGAGATGAAACTCGTAGTTTAACAGCCTCGAATAGTGTTGTAGTCGTGAGGTTTTCGTAGTAGAAGCAACTTACTTATCGTCATCCTCATCTTTGTCAAACTAGTAATACTAAGATACAAATTGTTGTGTCGCCATTTCTTGTCTATACCTACATAGCTCTACAACCCCTTCATGAATATCGGTTGAACCGTTGTCGTTCCTGGTCAAAACAAAAAGCAAAGGTTAATAAATCAAACGGGAAAGAAAAAGTGGAAGTGATCAAGTAAAGATCGTGATTCTGACGATACTTTTCTACCATTGCTGTGCGTAAGATCTCAGTTCGCGCTCAATGAATAGACTTGATCGTCTATGTGCCGTGTGTCTTTTTTTCTGACCTTTTTTATGAATTTTTACATGACGTTGCGTACAAATCAATGCAGGAAGGGAACGGTTGTAACAAAAGGCTGATCTTCTTCTTCGCGACAATTCTAGTGGAACAGTCCTGCAAGCAAAATGCAGCCCTCTCGGGGTTTTTTCGTTTGTGATGCTTTCTGCAGTGCAAGAGTTTGATATTACATGGAGTCAACTTGTTATCAAAAGAGAAGAGCAGCGAGGCTGAGATTGGTTCGACACGTGCGGGCTGTTCTTTGAAATGCGTCACACCATCAGATTCAAGACAGGCAAACGCGGTGCAAATTCAAATAGTTTTCTTGCCCTTGAAGTCCTTCGCGGTACGTCGACTGGCGCAGCCTGATTTGTTGCATGTTGCTTTGTGCTCTCCTTTCGCACGGTCCAACTACTGTTTCATCTTCGACGAGGTTTTCTTTTGTTTCTCGGCAATTTCATTGTTGTAAAGGAGGAGCGGGCGGTGGTGGAACCTTGTATGTCATTGAGATCATTGGGCGAAATCAGATAAACAAGTTTTTGTTCATCGACAATTCCTTCGAGACGACGAGACTCAAAGCCCCATGACACACGCAGAAGAGTGTTGACTAGTAGAGCAACAGTTCTTAATAAATGTAGACAATGACAATGACCACACAGGGTGAAATACAGTACTTCATGCCGCCCGCCCTGCTTCCGGAAAATTTTTACGGAAAAAAAGTTCTGCTGTTCTTGGCGCTTGTCGCCAATTTCGTCGTTTTCTGGTCAACATATTTCGCGTCCTTCGGCCTCCAAACCGGAGCTTCAGCTTGATGAACCACTCGTAAAAGTTCGTCGCTTTTTGTAAGGACTTCATTGGTTCTGCTCCTTATATTCGGTGTATTTGTCCTTGGCCATTTCGAAGCCCTCCTTGCTCTTTTCTGCGATGGCGTCGCGGGTTATGCAAAACGAACCTGCCCTCGCGGCTAAAACAAAAAGCTGGAGCTGTTGATGTTGAATTTGAATTCCATGCTTAGTGTGATGATCCAGACATGTTGCATAGGCTAGCACAGCTGCTTGCAGAGTGAGATAGAACAACATTCTTATTTTAGTTTTGAGCTCCACTGTTTCTCTTCTCCTTTTGGTGCATGGTGCGAGCCTTCTGTAGTTCACAGGCAGGGTAGGCTGTTTCAGCGAAGATTTTTCTGCGCGATAAATGTTGGCTTCAGCTCTTCCGACTTGTAGACGCCGAGGACCGAGCCCAAGACGCCGCCGGTGATGAATGCGAAGCAGTCCAACATTTTTTTGGGATTTTCTGGAGAGCTACAAAAGAAAAACCAGAAAAGGAGAACCCTCGAGAAGAGAGACTTTGTGGCTCTGATGAAACTGAATGAAGTATTAAAGCTGATTACGAGCCGCGATCAACTGGCAGGCAGGCGCTGGCTATTTATATATTGTGATTAGCATGAATTGCATCACGCTGTACTAAGTGAGTTGTCGTCGTCGGGACTGCAGCTGTGAATGCTAATGCTTGTGTTGTTCACAGGAAGAGGAACAGTAACAGATCTTTCCCAATAAAAATAAATGTGGAGTGAACATACAATGGGCCTCAGCCTCGTCACTAGTTCTAGTACTTCTATCTCGGGCGGGCAACATGTGTACATGACGACGGCAGAGTAGTTGCTCAGAAATTGTACATAACTCGAAGATGCCATGGGATCTCATCACACGCAATCGTCGCACTCATCACATCATCGTTCCGTGTGCTGCTCTTTTAGCTACTTATTTCACTACTTGAAGTAGCTGAGTAGCGTGAGATCGGACAACAGCTGTTCCAACGGATTTGGTACCTACCTCCGCAACACCACGTCACATGTTCTGTCTCATGGTCGCGAATCTTAACCGATTCCCAAATTTGATGTTCAGCTTTTTTTACTTTCAGCTTGTAGCTTCTCCTGACTTTCAATTTTTACAATACCAATAGATTCTTGTTTCCACACAACAGGCTTTCTCGTTGTCTTTCGTACAGTAGCTCGTCAAATCATGTTAAAATTGACCAAAATATTGGATCGCTAGCACGAGAGCAGATGAACCAGCGCCACCGATGCCGCATCTACTACCGCGTGCTGTCTAGTAAAAATAGTTTCAACTGTGAATAAAATAGAAGTTTCAGCCTCGACACCTCCTGTATTGTAGTTGTAGCTCGACGTTTTAGACTCCGTAGAGGAAACGAAATAGCCGAAGGTTCATTTCTTTCGATAATTATCCAAGTTCAATATGGGACAAAAATTAGCATATGGATTTGATAGCTAACAAATCAAATGTAAGGAACAATGCGAAACGCGTTTGTGAATAGAATTGCATATCATTCAGGTAAATTGATATCACATCGGTTCATTTCTTTGGGTTCGTAAAAAAGTAAAAGACGAGCAGTGCACAACTTAGACTTACACTTTGGAAAACAAGTGTGCCTCTATTCATTATTTTGACGAAGCGACAAGGACCAGCCCGACTTTTCCTCAAAACCCGGCGGACATCTGTAGTACTCGATAGGTATCAGGATAACGATCGGCCAGAGCCCCCGCTTGCTGAGCGAGATTGCCAGATCCATTGAAATCAGCACTGCTTCCGTTGTCTGCCCGACGGGACCGCATGTGCTGCGAGTGCGCTGCCGGATCCAGCATGGGTTCGTACCGCAGCTTCTTCTTGATCGTGCCGGTGCTTGCCCGCAGACTAAGATTGTGTTGAGTCTGGTGCGGATGTTGTTGCCCCGGATTTGCGAAACTTCTCGGCACAGCAGCGCCAGGTCCACCTCCGCCGCGCCTCGTTGAGGCTTGTTGCGGTGCTCCTGCCGATGATCCCCGCTCGTGGATGTTGACAAAGTCTTCCTCCTCATCGTCTTCGAAGAACATGACGCTGGGCTCAGAGTCGATGTAGGCACTGCGATTGTTCGCATTTGTTCCGTTTTTCGCGGCAAAATTGCTTTGCGCATGCTGCTGTTGCTTAAAAGCCCTCGACTTGCTTCCGTTTCTGCTGCCCGTATTCCCCGCACGACTACTAGTACTCGTTCCACCCCCACCTCCGGTCATCTGCTGCTGTTGACTCGCGACCGATACCGGCGTCGTGTTCACGTCTGTCACGGGGGTGCTGGTTAAGACCGCGTTATTCGTGGATGCGTTCGAAGCCGTCTCCCCACCCTGGTAAAACACCGGACTGACCCCGCCGCCGCCGGGAAACTGGTACCGATTGTTTGGCGCAAACGCCTCCCGTTTGCGCCGCTGTCTCTGGTAGTCGTCGGCGACAAAGGCCTCTGTCATGGCATCGGAAACGACTTCGCGCACGGAATCCAGAATCACCCGGTCCAGGTAATTCTGCCCCAGCCCCCCGGGGGAATCCTCGTTAATGCCACCGCCTCCCCCCGCGGCACCTCCTCCCGCGGCCCCTCCACCGCCTCGCGTGGCTACCAGAGCAGACCGCAGCTGCGCCATCTCGTGCGCCTGTTGCTGCTGGAACTCACGGAAGAAGGATTTCAGGTCCTGCATGTTAGGATCACCGGAAGGGTTGTTATATTCAGGTTGGCTTGCTTGAACAGGACCTCCAAATAAATGATCGCCCTGTTGCTCTGCGCGGAGCTGTTACAGTGTTTTAGTTTATTATTACGTCAAAAAGATCAGAAAAAATTTCAACGCTTCTACAACTGAGTCGCTCGTCCCCAATGCCAATTCAGATGATAAACAAGCCTAAATAAAACATGCCGTGGCATTGATCTTCATACCCTTCGCTCCATCTCTTCCATTTGTGCTTGCATCGTTCTGACGGTATTTCTCAGCCCTTCGTCCTGACTCGATCCCTTGCTATCAAGCTTACTCTGTTTGCTACTCACCGCCGGGTGGTGCAGCGGCTGGTGGCCGATCGGAGGTGCAGCTCCAACTAGTAAGCTATCAGCAGCTCCGGTAGAAGTTCCGCGCGGCGGAGTCGTGAGAAGAGGGTGCTGGTGTTCGCTCACCGAGTTGTTATTTTGTCCTCCGACGCCATGTGGTACTTGCGTGGCAGCACTTTCGACAGAAATCCGATGCAGGCGGTTCTCGCGCTCGGCTGATCCCGGCACAAGAACTGGGTTTGGCAAGTACATAGGCTGTTGCTGTTGCTGTGGTCCTAGCTGACCGCCGGCACTCCCAGGAACCAGACTACGGTGCGGATTCGGCGACGCGTGCAATTGCGTCGTCAACACGCTGTGCTGCAGCGGATCGGTCATCTGAAAAGGCGGCAGTCCGAGGGACGACCCGGTACTGCCGTAGCTCGCGCGCCCTACCACGTTGGGGGCGATGGACTCGAGCAATCTGACAGATTCGTGCAGTGATTTCCGGGTTGTATCCAACTCGGTCCGCAGCTCTGACTCGCGCCGTTGCGCCTCGCGCTCGTTGTCCGCGATGGTTCGCTCGAGAGAGAGCAGTTTCTCCTCCATCTTCCTTTCCAAAGTGTCGCAACGCATCTCGTATGCATTGCAAAAGTTGTATCGGACCGGGAGGACTACGAGCAGTAAAGATCGCATGACAAATTTGCTCAGCGCGAAGTGAAATGATTAATTCCGATTTACCCTAACATTTTGTGATGCAAATGCAATAAAAGCGTCGAGATTATTAATGCAACTAAAGGTGCGATACTTTAACTTTTGCATTGCATATCTGGTCCGATTGCGTGCGGTAGTTTGACGTCCTATCCGCCTCGTGCTTCGCCTCCTCCAGCCGCTTTCGCTCCAGCTCCGCTTTTTTCCGCGTCTCCTCCAGTGCTTCGGCCTCGAACTGCAGCCTGCTCGCCTGCAGCTGCCTCTCCGCAAGAAACACGTCCTGCCGCTGCTTCGCGTCCCGTTCCAGCTCGTCGAGAATTACGCCCTGCTTCTGTTTAACCTCCAAATACGCCTTTTGCTGCAGCTCCTGCGTCTGCGCTGCGAGGTGTTCCGCGTGCTTTTGGCTCTCGCGTTCGAACTGGTCCAGGTAGCGGGATATGCATTGCAAAAGTGTCGTATGGGTAGGGGTACGTGCTAATAGTGGGAATTGCATGAAAAATGCAAATTGAAATTTGTTCGTTCAAGAAGCGTCGCGTCACGCAGATTCAATATCAGACCACAGCAGATCATGCAGATGCAGATCTGTAAAAATGCCGGCGCCGCGTGACTGGCATTTGTACGAGTACCACGATGCTTTTGCCGGTTGAATATGGGACTCGACCTGGAACTCGATCTCCTTCGTTTTCCGGACCAAATCCTGCTCCAGTTCCGATTTTCGAGCGTCGAGGTCGCGGGCTATCTCTTTCTTTCGCTCCAGGAGCTGCTCCTCCACATGGCGGCTACGCTCAGCGTGCTGCTTCTCGAGATTGAGTCGCTTCTGTTCGAGGCTGCTGTCCACGAGCCGTTGGTGCTGGCAGTAAGAGTTTTTGGAAGTGGTGGACTAGTCGAAACCAAACTGCGAAGAACAGACCGATTCAGCAACATCAACTACATGTCGAAAAAATAAGCCAAAACACTGAATACAAAACGTACCTCGCCAAGCAACTTCGTGCTTTCTGTCGCAAGGTCCGCGGCGCTGCGGCTGGCGACGTTTTCTAGAGACGATCGCTGCTCTTCTACAAACTCGCTTTCCCGCTGCCGCCACTTCTCCTGCGCCAAGTGGTGTTCGCGCTCCGATTTCTCCCGTATTTCGCGGAGAGCTTGCTGCAACTCGATCTCTGCCCCACTCCGCTGCTGGTCGAACTTGCGTAGCCACTGCTCTTGGAGCCGCTGCGCCTGGTGGTCGAAGCTGGAGTTTTTCAGTTTTTTATCAAACATCAACGGCTTTAGGGGCGCATCAAATGCCTAAGACTGGGTGATTCAAGTAGAAGAAGCCGAAAATAAAGCACACAATATTTGTCCTGCTGCAGCGAAAAACATCAATACTCCCTTTGCCAGTCGAGTTCCATGTCGCGCCTTTTCTCTGGCATTTTCTTCACTTCGTCTGCCATCTGCAGCCGCAATTCCGCTAGACTGGCCGTCATCTGCTCCTGCAACCTCGTTTCCATCTGTTCCAGAGCCGTGCTTAACTCCTCCTCCTTCTGGTAGTTTGCTTCCGCCAGCATCTGGCTCACGTCCTCCCGGTTCCGCTCGGCGTCCTCTTGTTCCTTCTGCCGCAGAAATTCCTGCAGTTTTTCGTCCATGTCGACCTGCGACTGCCGCCGCTCCTCGGCGAACGCGATTTTTGCGTTTTCGATTTCCTCGCGAAGCTTCTCTTCATACTCCGCCTGCAACCGCACCGCCTGCTCCGCGAGCTGCTTCTCCTGCTCGTGGTGCTGGTTCACTTTGGAAACGTACTGTGCCTCGACGATCGGGTCCACGAGATTTTCATCCTCGGTTTCTCCCAACGCCGCCTGTTCGTCGTCGTAGTTGTTGTCGCTGGTCTGTTCCTGCGCGGAGGAAGTGTCCCCGGGGGTCCGCTGTTGCAGATTCAGCGGGAATTTCTTCCGCTCCCCCGAGGACTTGCTCAAGGAGCTCTGTCTCAGCAAGTTATCCTCTTTTGGTGTGTCCGCGGGCGTTTCGATTTCGATCTTCGCCGTCAGGGGCTCGGAATTTGGAACGGAGCTCTGCTGCTGCTGCAATACCATGTTGCCCAACCTCTCCGCTAAACTCCAGCACTCGTCATCCGACAGCGGACATTTGTGTTCCTCGCCGAAGATGGAATGCCACAGCGTGACCAGCATCCACAGTTTCGTGTAGACTTGGCAGCACGCGGCGACTTTCGGGTTGTCGGACCGCTCTTGCGAGCTGTCCTCACGGTTCACGTAGATCGTGAGGGCAGGGGTTTGGCCGTCCTCCGAAGCGGGTTTGTGCTCCTTAATCAACCACGTTCCCATGCCCTTTAGCGATTTCCGCCCTGCGTGCTTCTGCATGACCGCGACGAGTCTCGATTTTTTATCGAATAGGTCGTCAGTTTGCAGCACTTCGCGGACAACGGGGATAAGTTCGTGGAAGAAGGACTGCAGCGGGTGTTTCCAGGCCTGCAAAGGTCGTTGCGGTGGGGGTGTGGTTATTCTAGTGTGTAGTTTCGCTTTCGTATTGGATTCAAGAAGAAGATTGAGCATAATTCGCTCACTGATTGTATTCTGTCACGTTGACATGCTTATGGACAAAAGCACACGGAGCCTCGCGACATGATCTACTTCCTACTTCGTTTGTCAACTATACTTACCTTCTTATCCGCCGGAATGCTGCCCACGTGCTCGAAGTACACCCGGCTCTTTTCGTATGGAAGAAAAAAGTTTGTCACAGTCACTAACTTGCAGGCTTTGCATTACAAATTTTTTTAGCATCACAAGTTTTCCTTGTATTGCAGAAAAACTAGGGAAGTCCCCTTGTCATGCATTTGCACGCATGACAGCCAATTTTGCATTGCAAAAATGCGCATGAGTGATCGTGACGAGCTTTTTTTGTTTGATATTTCGTCACGCTTGGCCCGCCAGGGTGGCATCAAAGGCCTTAAGAACAGCTTCGTGAAAAGCTCCGTCTCCTCGCCGGGCTCTAAATGCAGGTACTTCGCGTACTGTTCTGGCACCATCCACTTCTTCAATGCCAGCCCCGCGTCCCAGTCTTTTACAGCCTGTTCCGCCAGCGCCCGGAGCTCGCCCGTCTTCCCGCTACGATTCATGGCTTTCATGTCGCGGTCCAGCCCCTCCTCCTGGTCGAAACCGAGCGTCGGGGTGCGGTCAAAGTTCTTTGAAGCACTGGAAGACGATGCGGCTTCGTTCATGTTGTTGACTACTTTCGGCGTTCTTGTCGCGTCCTCCTCTGCACTTGCTGTTGCGTTCCCGTATTTATTGCCTCCATCCACCGCATGATGATCTTCATCTGTTTTATTCAACACAGTAGTTTTCTTCGACGCGGGCGGCGAAGCCAGTCCCAAATCTTCTTTCGACGTGGACGTCACCAGCTCCTCGCTCGACGAAGAGGACTGCGACCCCTTGTAGTATTTCTCGTACTCGCGGAGATACGTGCGGTACTCCGGCTCGAGTAGGCGGCTCAGCGGATCGAACTTCGGCTGGAAAAAGCTGCTTTCGTAAGATCTGGGAGTGGTCCAGGTTGTGGTTTCCGTGCCTGGGTGGTGGTAGTATTTCTTCTTCTTCTGCGTACTAGAACTACTACTGCTTGCAGCCGCGGCTCCAGCTTCTCCCTCGAGAACCTCATGCGCCTGGTACTCGGCGACCCTCTGTTCAAAGGCCTTTTCCCACGCGTCGAGGGCGACCTGCGTGCGCGAGTGCGCCTCCTTGTCATGCTCCTGGATTTTGGCGTCGTCGAGCAGCTGCCCGGTGGTTGCGTCGAGGTACGCGAAACCGTTATCGGCCCAAACGTACTCGAAATTGTTCTTCAGATCGACGACGGAAGCGTGGTAGGGAAGTTCCCACGAGGTCTCGTTGGTGTCCGGATTGAAGAAGTACACGCCAGATTCCTCGGTAGCGACAATCTGCCACGGGTCGAGAAGCGGAAACCTGAGAAGTACAGTGATGTTTTTCGAATAGGGTTGTATAGGCAATGCGTATGCGATGCACCTCAGCAACATGAATGTCGAGAGCTTGATGTAGTTGAATGATGCACATGATGCAGCTCATTCAGCAACATATTAGGCTGACGATTTTGATTATTCTGTACGCAAAACCAAAAATCTTCATCTTCAAAATGATGACTTCACTACTTCAGCGCCTCAACGAGGACGACAAACAGCGCCGGATTTTCGTCGTGCAGAATGTTGAAATGCTTCCCAACATACTGCCGGGCTTGCTCCTCGGTAAGCCGCTCCATGGTGTACGACAGTTGTGATGCTACCTACCAATAAAGAACCTGCTTGCCGCGGCGGCCAGCCGGCAGCTCTCCGAAAAGAACCCCAACTCTTGCCTAGACATTTTGATTTTCATTTTTTGCGTCGCATTTTGGATCTTTTGCGAATAGCAGGAACAGCATTCTTCGATTTCTCCTCACGACACTTGAAGAGCAGCAGGCCATTGTAGTTTTTCCTCGTTTGCGTTGTCGATTTGTTCTTGCTCACTCGTTGTCACACAACTCTGTGTCTTCGATGCAAGAGGCTCACTCTGGCACTGTCACGATTTTGCACACGCTGATAGAAACACTGCTTGAGCGGGGAGTCACACTCTTTCAGTGCTGCTCCTTGCACTGTCTATAATTTCATTGTGGCACTACTTGCTTTCGTCAAGTCCTCTTGTTTCGAGTTCCGCATTGAAATCCTCAACATGATCCGAAAAAGCATCTGCATTGCAAGACAGAGGCAAACTCTACTCGAATACTATTTCAGATTTCCATATGGACCTCAAAATCAGTGACTTCAAACGAATCGAGGATTCTGTCGACGTCCTCCCGCGTCTTCCGCATGCTCTCCTGCAGCTGTTCTTGATACGCGGCCCGCTTTCGCTTCTTTGTACTTTCGTTGTAGTCTTGTGGTCCGGGGGTTCTTGCTCCACCACCGCCCTGCGGAGTTTGCTCGAAGGCACTAGTGCTTGGTGGGAAGAAAGAAGCAGACTCCGAGTGATGTAGTGTTGAGCTAGACGTGGATCTTCCCCCGGGGCTTGGCTGGTCTTCGGATTCTTGTGAATGCTTGGCACGAGGACCACGCGGCGGAGCGGATCCCGAAACGACCTGGGAAAGGATGCAAAAGTTTTGGAGATCGAGTTCGAGAAAGAAGGATGAAGAGGATGAAATGAACTATCCACCTAGATACACGCACCCCCACCCACAAACTTGGTAGCACGAGCATCAATAGTACCTTCATTATTCGCCCCGCCTTTCCTCGCGTTGTTCCCTGGTCGGGGGTCCACGCGGTTGCCTGTGTTTTTAACGAGGAAGGCGCACCAGCTCCGCCGCTGCGGTCCCGCATGGATCTGCGTAGGGTATCGAACTGCAGGCGAGATCGGTTGTGCGTTGGAGTGCGATACCTGAGAAGTCGCTGTTACAGCTTGTACTTGAACTTGCGTATCTGATGGGAAATATCCTGCTGAGGACTACTTCTGAGTGATAGAAAAACCGAAATTTCTTTGGTTCATCAAAGTGATATGAAAATCCGCAGCTAGTGTGACAGTACGGTGTGCTCGACACTAGCATCTCCTCGTCTTCGGCTTCGTTTTGGAACTCCCCGAGTGTTTCCCTTTCCGCTACCTCCGGCGGGAGATGCAGACTCAGCACCTTGTACTGCAGCCGCGCCACGCCCGTCTGCAGGTTCTCGAGTATCCCCTGCACCGCGCGCACCACCGTATCCGGCTCTTTTTCCCGTAGCAGGTCCAGCGCGACCCTAACGTGGTTTCGAAGCCCGGCAAAATCGGTGCGCATGGCCGCAGTTGTCGCTTCCACAGTCGTGGTGGGAGAGGCTGCTGCTGTACCAACTAAAGCGGCGGCCACAGGATCTACTTCCGTGGCTCGGTGCAGCGAAGAGGTTGTCGTGGAAGACGAAACTACACTCGGGTCGTAGTTGCCGTCTTCTTGCAGTTTATTCTTAATGTTCGCGTAGCTTCCACCGTCTATTCTTTTGTGCAGTTTCTTCAGAGGCAGCGGTGGCGGCACGCGACGTCTCGGCTCGGGGTAGAAAACAGGTGGGCTGTTCCTGTTGTGCGAAGATGGTGTTTGCCGGTTGTTATAATTTCTCGGCTGCATCATTGGACTGCTCCGAGAGGGTGTTACAACAGTGCTTGAGGGACTCATCTGTGTTGATCTAGAAGTTGTCGTCCCCTCATTGTTCCAATTCCAACTGGCTGCTTGCTGCCCCGCTGGTGCCTGACCACCCTGGTCGTCGTCGTCGTGTCTGGTCTTATTACCACGCTGCGATTTGTTACGGTAATGGTAATCATGGGCTTTCCCTTTCGCCGCTCCGTCCCTATCCCTGCTTTCGCTATCCGTATACTGTCGCTCCATTTCCTCCTGCTCCTCAAGCAACACGCGTCGGAGGTCGTCTCGCGTGAAGGACGCTTCCGTGCGGAAAACATTCCAGTCCTTCCTATTCGAAAAAGACTGCGGTGCCGGGTTGCGGTTTCGGCTAGGGGACACCTGCGTCGATGATCGAGTCTCGTCATCATGATTATACCCTCGGAAAACAAATTCGCCATCACCAAAGGAACTATCTCCAACTGCTGTTCCCGCCGCTTCTGTGCCACCACCTCCATGCCTTAACTGGGCGTAGCTGGGCCGCTTGGTCGACATCGCGTTAGAAGGATTCTTGTTGCCATTCTTCCTTTTCCCAGGCGAAGTAGAGGATGAAGTAGACGCTCTCAGAATCATGTTGCCAGTTGCACTAGAGCTCCGACCTGCCGGCGCTGCCTTCGTCGTTCTGACAGCCCGATCCAAGTGTCGCACCATGCTCGTTGCGCTCGCCGACGACGCGTCCAGCCACACAAACGACCCACTCTGGTCCGCTGCAACGGATGAGTTGTTGTGTGGAACCGAAGCCGCATGTGGTCCGCGGCGGTTGTAGCTGCTCTGACGTTCTTGTTGGAACGACTTCTGCGACGGGGACGATATGTAGCTGCTATTAATGGAGCCTTTGTTTCTGCTGATGGGTCCGGGGCGGGTGGAAGATGACGACGGAGTCGCTCCTGTAGATGGAGCTCCAAGCGGTCCAAAATGGGGCCGCTGTAGTTGTGCCAGGCGTTTCGCTTTGTCCACGTTGCTGTTCTGCTGTTGTAACAGGGACTTGGTCGAAAATGAGCGAAAATGGCGCTGCAGTTCGAAATCTGGGTCCCGCGAGAAGGCACCAGAGGAGGCAGCAACCATTTTTGATTTGGTTCTTCTCGAAATTCAAATATACCAAAGCGCGGTCAAGAGGAATAACAATTCACGCGAACGCGACGACGAGCACAGGCTGACAGCGGTACCAGACAACTGCAAATAGGAATAGCCTCGGAAGCAGTAAAAGCGCGTGAGGCTACAATGCAAAAAAACGCAAAAACTTACGCGTCTTGTCTAAATAAAATGCCAGAGAAACGAAAAAACGAGCACGACGACGAAGACCACCTTCAACTTCTTCTCGTTACGATTGGTGCAACTACATGATATGTGGAAACGACGACAACAACGATGACGAAGATCAAGATTTGGAATTTCTCAGACACTCGACGGCGACAAAAAGACATGAAGGAAGTTCATGCCTAAGTTCGGTAAATCTTCTTGAAACAACCTCCACTCTCTTGAGAACCTCTTTGGCGACTCTCACTCTTTGACGAGGAAGTTGTGATTCAGATTATTGCGCGTCTATAATTTACAAGATGAAGATGTTTCCTCTTCCTAGTTGATGCGAGGGGTTGAACATCTTGAAAACCGAAGGCAGAGCCTTAGTCGGTGAAGATACATTCGGGCTCGTGAGCCAGATATCGACATTCTAATTTTCTGAAAAAAAAAATCGAAAAGTGCTGGTGAGTGTGCGTTTTGGGTTTTCATGTCCACGTCCAAAAAATCTTGTGTACATTTAGGTTGTAATGCCCACCACATCAAATGTTGCGTGAAAAAAATCGCTGCGTGCGATTGCGATGCGCATAGAAAAAAAATGGAGTTATGAGGATGTTGATCATATGGTTATGGTGAAGAATAATGTATGTGGCTACTTACCAAATCACTATTGTACATGTTCGGGACACACGACAAACTAACACTGTCACTGTATCATCGTTCTGATGATCATGTCCACATAAATCTCTTGGTAGTTACAGGCGAAAAAAATCAACCAAGCAAACCAATCCGGAAGGTCGCGATATCATACATGCCTTTTGTCTCGTACCGGGAGCGGAGGCTGGCGCTGGGAATATCAAATAACGGCTAGAATGGTACTAGAATGAAAAAAGTATATGTCCTCGCATATGTCACAAAAGTGGTATTGCTGCTCCCTACTTATCTACAACTCAGCATTGCTCGCAAAGCAGGTCGTCGACGTCCACTGGCTCACCGCTTTCCTTCTTCCCACTGCCAACCACTTTATCCAGTTCCTCGAAAGTTCTCCACTGGTGCTTCACTTCCCCTTCGTCGGTTACCTTGACAATCCGCAGCCCGCTAGTTTTCTTGTCCAAAATCCCCTTGCCAACACCAGATAAACCTAGCGGATCGCCCTTCGGATCGGTTTCGATGTTCACCCCGACCGCGCCCGTGGTCACCACCTGCATGCCCTTGTAGCTGGTTGTCATTTGGGTGTGTAGTTTTTTAGTATCACAAATAAGCGGTATGTTTTGGACTTGGTCTACTCTGCAGATTCTCATAATCGTATATACAATGTCATCGTCAAACTCAAACATGTATATGAGAGTTCGGCTCGTCTCAATAAGAAGTTAGTTTTAGTACTTTCCAACTGAGTTGCGGTGGTAGTGTCCTCCAAACCAGGCCTTGCAGCCGCAAGAGTGCAATCGCTCCAGCGTGTGTAGGCGGACGTTTTTATTCCAGTTAAAGTACGCTGACGGCTCTTTGGGTGTTTTGATGAAGGGCGATATGTGGGAGAACGCGATCACAGCCTTTGCCGGCTTTTCTAGCCGCTCTTCAATCTCGCCCTCGAACCACTCGTCTTGTCGCTGAACCTCTTTTTCAACCTCTTCCGCCGCCTCCGCCGTGACCAGCTGCGAATTCAAAACCATGCAATAAACGCCGCCCATCCAGAAAGAAAAGTAGTCCGCACCTGATTCATATTTTGACGATGTGCAGTGCCCCCGTCGTAAAGTAGCTATAGATTTAGATGCACTGTCCATGCAGGTCAAGGAAAGACATTGATACAATTCGAGTCGTCTGGTGCTTTTGCAGCATCAAAAAACGTCGAACAAATCATCTTTTAAAGGAAAAGAGTATCGTGTATGTGAATATGCTATACCCCAATTAACCCGATATTCTTCGAGAGTGAAGCCGTTCGGCCGATTCCCCACATCATGGTTGCCGCAGCAGCAAAGCAGTGGGATTTCCGGGTCTATCTCGTCCAGCAACTCCTGCAGTTCGGCGATCTGCGCTCTGCGCTTGGCGTCTGCGGCCAAGCGTTTCGCTTGCTCGTCTATCTCTTGTTTACTTTCTCGCACCTTCAGAATCGACGGAGATTGCGGAACGGCAGGCTGTTTACTGGTCTTGTCACTAGCGGACTTTTTTCCCTCCGGCGACTTTATCAACAGCTGCTTCTTAGCACTTGGTGGCTGCTCATCTTCCGCTTGGTCTTTTGGCACTTCATCAAGAAGAACTGCAGAAGTGCTGCTCCGTTTCATCGGTGTGGAGCTCAGCCTGTTGTCCGTTTTCTTTGGAGAAGAAGCGCCGGAGGATATCAAGGCGGCACTTGAAGATGATGACGGTCCCGCTGTGCCCTTGAAAGTGGAGGAAGAGGAGGAAGAGCTATTGCCCGCACTTGCTACTTTGGTGGCCACAGCTGTCTTTCCCGCCGACGAATTCGACGACGAATTGAGAGTATTGTTATTTCCTACCGTGGTCACGATTCTCGACCCGGTGACAAAGGGTTTCGGGGACGCGAGTGGCATGCGAAAATGAACCATCTTCGTCTTGGAAGAGGACGTCCGCTTGTTGCCAGGTTTTGTCGCCGCAGTTGCTGCCGCAGTACCAGTACTATCTTCGCCGGTAGTTGCGTTCTTTTTCGGTGAAGATGAGTTGTTCTTTCCGCCTCCTGTGCTCGTTCTTTTCCCAGAAGATTTGCTCTGGTCACCATTCTGTTTCTTCTCAGCCTCTACCTGATTCTGCGAAACCACCCCCGGAAACTCGTCCGTCATGTCACCGCACAGCACGACAAACGCGGGCTTCAAATGGTTGATGGTTTTCACAGCGGACCGGATCATTTCAAGCTCCAGCTCGTGTCGTTCCGCGACGGACAATTGTTTCGGCCCTAGGTTTTCCGACATGCCCAGCTGGGTATCGGCGAGCTGCACGAAATGGAAGCCCTGCTTGAACTTTCCCTGGTTTGTTGCGGTAAGGTAGGGAACGGACATGGAATCGAAGTTGGCCTTGATGAGCCCTCCCTTCTTAAACCTCGGCTTCACCACATGACCTATCTTCTTCTTCATGGCGGCCATCATCTTTTTCATGGCTGGCGCTGCAACGGGCTTCCTCACTGGGATGGTTCGCTTCTTCATCTGGTTCATTTTCATCATCTTCTTCATAGGTTTTGTTAGTTTCACAGATGAAGCTTGGGATGGATTCCGCTTGTTTGCACCAGTTTTCGTCGTGTTCGTATTTTTCCCGTCTTTTTTCATGGCACTCATCTTCTTAAAGGTATTCACCTTCACCAGAGCAGCTCGAAATTTCTTCATGACTAGGTTTTTCTTGTAGAGTTTATGCTCCTTGCCCGAGTGTGTTTTGGGTCGCGAAGCGGGTCGTGCAGGGGATGGCTTCGCACCTCCAGATGTTGAAGCGGAGGAGGAAGAGGAGGACGACGCCGCTCCGGCTCCGGGGGCGTAGGAGGTAGCCTTCTTCATCGTTCACTGTTAATATAACCGTAGTTCTAGAAGTTGTGAACAAACCTACAAAGAAACCAAAGGTTGCCGTTTGTGGTCGCTCAGGGTCTTGTCTCGAATAGACGAGATGATACAGCTTTATTTCCACCTACTTGAATGTTTATTATATTTTATGCTGTTTCGTTTTCGTACACGAAGACGAATAAATGTGGGGAAACGGAAATGGAAATCGAATACTAGTCGTGTGGGTGGGAGACGGAGATGTAAAAAAATTGGTGGTACATTCGGGCCCAAAGTTAGAAGTTTGCTTTGCGAGACTGTGTCAGATTTGGATTTGTGCTTCAGTTTGATCGTTCTGGCCGACAATACCCGATTTGTGTTTTTGTGCGTGTTTGCGAGAAAAAGACCGCATTTCCCTAGTTGCTTCTGAGACACTAAGTAGAACTACGAGAACGAAGCGAAATAAGAAGCAGAAGTTGATGTCCCACTAGGTAGTATTCTTCTCACGTCTAGTACTGCTAGAAGAAAGTTTGATCTTCTAGCCCAGAAAAAAAAAAAAAAACGATGCCAAGCTGACCCCTTTGCACCCCAGATCACATGAAGTTGGCTCTTCGAAAAAAAAAACCGACTTGCACAAAATCCGTAAAAAAAAAGAAGAAAAAACGAAAACAAGTACAGGCCGACGGAAGCGCAGGACATGTTCAAACAAAGCTGGCCGCTCGGGATCGTTCGCCAGGACTACGTGACGTCACGAAAACTATTTGGGTTTTGGAAAAAAGATCGTCGAGGAAATGTCTCCTGGCTCCTGGTCATGCATTACATCAAAAAGGCGGCCACATATTCCGAACATTCATGGCAATTAATCGACGCGACCTGTCATCTGTCAGACAGAAAAAAGGCTCTCCAAAGGGGCGGGAAAAAATCATTTTCATGTTCATTGGAATGAGCTGCAGTGTCCATTTGCAGTCGCAGTGCAAAATATTTGAGACGAAGACAAACAAATTTTTATATGTTCATTTTGGATTTCACATCTTGATCTTTCCTTAATAATGACAAGGACGGTCGTATCTAGCATTAGCTAGCGTAGTCAACAACGGAGCAGCAGAGGAGTGCGAGTAACTAATGCGGACCTCGACCTCCTTCTGCTTGTCTATGTCGTGCGCACGAAGAAATACTGTAATCGAATTCAACAAAGCGAAAGCGCGTCGGAAGGGACACGTCTGTGCAAGAAACATAGACTATGCGTGGAGCAGGGCCGTTAGTTTTACGACTGTGTGTTTTGTTTTCTGGATGAGGGTCACTATAGAGACGAGAAACCGGAGGCTGAGCCAGGGTCGCGTAGCCGAGATAAGGGGGTGGAAAATCAGGATGAAGTCTATTTTGCGCTCGGGGAGGGGGGTGCTACGTGTCATAAATCAATGGGACAGGGTTTGCAAGCTTTTCGGAGGTGGTCTACTCTTCTTGTAGTTGGTTGTAGTCAAAAAAAACACGTGGGCGGTGGTTTTTCTCTGATTGCGCGGCGTAAAGTGGTATGAAATTGGTTTTACACCACGTAAATCAATCGAAGCGAAGTCACTGCACAGGAAGAACGCAATGCTAGTACACACGGTCGTGCGTACTCACAATGGGATTGGAAATGCTACCGCCCATTAGCTCAGCAATAGGAATAGCCTATCACTTTAATTTAGTATATCTCCACGTAGCGACTTCACGGCGAGAACCCCACCAAGAGGGCAGTGCCACCCTCCTGGCGAGGAATCTCACCGTGCAACAGAACTACATGTCAAGGCGGGCGTGGGTCCTTACGCTTTTACTATCTTTACTTTCGTCTTCGCTATGTTTCTATCAATGGATACTCCAAAGCAGTGTGGTCTTCTTTTACAGTTAGCTAGCAATTGCGGGGAGCAAGGCTGGTTGCAAGAATCGGATGCGGGCGTGATTTCGACTAGTATCCGGAAAATCTTCGGCTTGTTTGGCGATGCCGTAGCAAGGACCTGATGAAATGAGTCTACTTGACCCCTACATGGCAACTGAGTGCTTTGACCGCTACTTGTCATGCCGCTTATTGTAACCGTAATTCTCCTGCTCTGTAGTTACTGTTGTGCCGCCGGCGTCACGTACTTACTCTTGCTGAGTGGTTCAGCAGCTGTTTCGATTTTCTTTTTCTTCTGCACCGCAAACGGGCTGCGACGTGGCGCTCCGTGTTTCTTCAGCCATAGAAGCCAGTGAATTTAGAAAGCCCGTAGGAGTCCGACTTTTGTACTGGTTTTACATGGGTCGCCTGGGTACTTGACGAGAAGGATTGGCGGTAGCTCTGAAAAGGAGGTGCCCGCCGCATTGTGCCCAAAAATGCACCAAAACCAAAAGAAACAGGACATCGATACAGGGATAATAGTACTGGCACAACGAAGCAGGAGAGGGATGATTTCCGTGCTGTTCGAAACTGTACTGTACAACTTGTAGGAGCACGACCAAAACCGTGCGATATCTTTGTCGTCGCTGGCTCATAAGCCGTGTCACGCTCGTCCCTAGGACATGATCGCCGCACCTCCTGGAGAAGCACTAGATCCAGCAACACCCCCAACGACGAGCGTCCGATCTCCACTGGTGGTACGGCTTGGCGTTCCACCGGACACCGTGCGACTGATGGTTTGCTGCAGCATCGCAGTTGCACCCCCTCCCACTCCTACTCCAACACCAACTCCACCTCTTCCGGCTAGTTTCTTTTCCTCCCGGAGTTGCTTCAGCTCTTCCTTCTGCTTCAGAAAGGTTTGGTACTTCCGGGAGAAGACTTCGACGTAGAAACTCGCCCCGTTCCAGATGTTGACCGTGATGCAGACGCAGCCGAGGACAACCATCAGGTACTGGGAGCGGTACCAGAAGACGCAGGGCAGCATGGAGACGGCCGCGACGAGAAAATTGAGAAAAAAGTACCAAAACTCGTGCCACTTCGTGTTCACCGTGATCTTCCGCAGGATGCTCTGACCCGTCTGCGTGCCGACGACCCAGCGGTACAGATTCAGGTACTCCGGGTCCTCGGGGATGGGCCAGATGTAGTTGCTGCTGAAGTAGGAAAACACCTGCTGCAACGCGTAGAACAGCAGCGGCACGACCCAAAGCTCAACCCACCCGACCTCCTCCGGGTCGTACTGCGCGAAGCTTAGCGCCCTTTTGCGAAACAAACTCACCTCCGAAATGCTGGCGCTCTCGTGCCGAATCACGTAGCAACAGAGAAAAGGGACCACGTGAATGAAAACCTGAGGAGATCAATATCATGAGATAGTGAGAAAATTTCTTTTGCGTTGCTGAACTACTCTAGAAACACCAAACGCGGCCGTGCTGCACAAAATTACAAGTAGACCCGCTCTGCGCCACTACAGCGGGTCTCCGAGAAAAAAAATTTTACAACGTACAACCGTCAAAAACAATAACAAACAATTAACAAAGTATTTTTCAGAAGGAAAATATAATAAAAATCTTTCGTACGCTTGTGCAGTGTTCCCAGGAGTGGAACACCAAGGAGTTGCGAAACAGTGTGGAGGCCAGCAGCATGGGTCCGCAGGAGGCGGAGAACACAACGCAGAAGAGCAGCTTGGACCAAGGCAGCACCCAGAGGTACAGCAATAGCAAGAGATTCCCGAAGTAGCAAAAGTCGAGTAAAAAGTAGACCCACTTCAACCGCTTGTACTTCCAGAACCGCCAGGGGATCAGGACGCACAGCTGGAGGGTGTACAAGTACGGCGTGAGAAGGAACTTGTGCGGGCCGAAAATGAAGTAGCAAACCAGGATCAAATTCATGATGCCCCCCGTGAAGGAAAGTTTGTCCCACAGCTTGATGTACGACGGATCCTCGCGCTTTTCCAGAACTTGCTTCACCAACTCCAGGTCGCCACTGTACTTGAGGAGCAGCTTTTTGATCATGTCCCTTTTTCTCCGCCGTTTCGTCAGCAGAATCTTCCGTTGCAGCTCTTCTTCCGTTTGCTGTGGTCCAGTTGCTGCACCAGCGTCACTGCTAAAGTTGTTCTGTCGCTTTTTGCAAGCGCCCTTTAGCTTCTTCCCGGTTTTCATCGTGGTCGTCGAAAGCAGCCGCAGCGCAACCATTTCCCGCAATACCCGAACCTTGTCGCCGGGAGTTTCGGCTGCGCTGAACTGCGCTCGAATCTGCTGCAGCTCATCGACCGGCAGGCGGGCGAAAAATTTGGCGAGCAACTGTTGTCTGCGGGACGAAGACGACGGTGACGCTGCTGTGGGCCCGGTTCCTGGGCTGGACAGGGGTGTAGCGCTCGTTGTAGACACAGTGCAAGTGCTTGTAAGACCACCATCGACTCCTGTGCTCATTGTGCTGCCTACGTTGCTGCTTGACGTAGGGGCTGCGTTCGAGGATGAACTGGAACTCCACAGGTCCGAGGAAGGTGGGCTTGAGGACCCGAAACGAGACGACGGCTGGACCAGATGTGGTCCTGACGTGGTACCGCCTACAGCTGCAGCCGGTTCACCAGTAGCAGTACCGTCCGCTGCAAGCGCTTCGTACAGGAGATTCTTCTCAGATTCCAACATGATCTCAGCTTTCTCACCGTTCATGGTCCTATCTTTTTCGTCACTGCTAGAAGTCGTGTGCCCCCTGTAATTTCCGCCCCGGTTCTTCTTCATGTTCGCACCGCGGTAGCGGAGGGTCGCGTTTGCTGTGGAGGTTTGGCCAACATCGTCGCTGCTCATCTTCTGATCTACAACTTGACGCTGCTCATTCGTTGTTCCCGCTTCTGCACTTATCGTCGCGCCGGCGCGTTGATGAGAAGCCGGCTGGTTGTCACCACTGTCCGGCGTCGACGGCACCGTACTTGACGCAGACGGCACCTCCAAGCGCTGTCTTGTTTCAGCACTTCCTGTAAGATTCTCGTGCTGAAAGATGGCTCGCTGAAGGATTTCCTGCTCCACCTGGAGCTCCTTCTGCAACTGCTTTCCGTCGTGATCGCCAACAGCACTCATCCACTGCAAAAGTATCGCACTCGTATTATAATTGCCAGCCTTGCATCACAGACCTAGTTCTTTTCTTAAGTACCTGATCCTGAATCAGCACGATAATTTTCATTTATTTTCCTTTCCAAAAAGTTTGTCATGCGATTTATACTTCAGTAGTACGATAGTTTTGCAATGCATACGACTCCCGGACGCCACATCCACGGCGTCCCGGAACAGCGCGGCGATTTCTTCCCCGGTGAACTCGACGGAGTCGTGGCTTCCCGGAGTGGAATCATCCGCCTCCTCCTCCTCCTCACCGGTAGTTGTTCCCGGCGGGTAGAGGTGCGCAGTGGTAGCAACATCTTGCTCCTCGCCCCGCAAGAGCTCGTCGACCAGCTCGCCATCGTCTAGGGAGTGCAAGGAGGACAAATCTACGCTGTCGTCCAAATCTTCTTCGTCGTCGTGTTTATTTTCAGCATTTTGTACTAGCTGTTGATCTTGGCGTTCCTCTTCGGGCTGAAGCTTTTTTTCAAGTGAAGACTCCTCCATTTTCGGAGCGTCGTAGCGTGCGACTGCGAGTAGTGCTGCTGTTGTTGTGTCTTCGAGTAGTTGCACCTGGTCTTCCCCTTCTTCGCGTGGCACCAGTCGCAGCTCCAGCTTTACGTCGTCCTCAACATCGCAAGACTTGTCGCTTCATGCCGTGGAAGTGGGAACGCGAGTTATTATAGATACGTACCTCCGCATTACTACTGTATCTTCTTGCATCGTCGTGTTGAAGATGCTTCTTTCTTGTACAACGCAGCAATCAACATAGGTGGAAATCAAAGAAACGCTTCGACGAGTGAGCAACCCAATGCGTTCTTCTTGAAATCTAAATGTATCTTAATCTTAAATTTTTTTTCGTTCTCCACTTTGTGCACTTAGCATTTCGTTATTTTCTCGTACCGGAACTACAGGAAAAATGAAGCCCAGAAAGGCAGAGAGAGAGATGTCATCCAAAAGCTTAATCAAGAAGTGCCTGGTCACAGACAAAGACTTCTGAAAAGGTCGCGCAGCCAGAAAAGGGCTGGTATCCAATCAATTTTTGCCGGTCACAGTAGATCTCACGTTCTTCAGAGCATTTGATGTAACCTCTTCGGTGTGGGCACTCATTTTTCTTTTTGTTTTTCTGCTTCGTCTTTGTGATTCTACTCATCTTCAACCTCCCCAGGAGGAGTACTAGCGATAGAGATCGCAAGTGCAGTTCCGGGTGGTCGTGCGCTCAGGTTTCTCTCAATAATTTGGTTTAAAAGCTACCATGATGTTGAACACACATACTCGTCGCACACCATCGTGACGCGCAAAAATCGAAGAAGAAGCCATAGCCAACGCTGACTTGCAGAAACGAGAATGAAAACCATTTCGAGAAGACCTACTAGGTAGACACACAACTAAAGTTTTACTTTAGCAAGTACTCCAACTAATAAATAAATTCGGGTGAGGATTTTCTCAAAAACTACAAAAGACTCATGTTCTTGCTGCAGCACTTGCAGGAGTCTCTGCCTGTCCTTGTCGCGCCACCTCTACTTGACCGAGATGCCAGCTTTGCACGAGTCTCCAATATGGAATGCTCTCCCAGCCGCACTTTGGCGAAATGCCGCGGCCGCCGATTTGCATCAGCGCAATCCGATCGGCGGTTGTTTCTCCTCGCAATTTTGGGTTGCTATCCAGCATGATTTCCACCGCTTTTCGCATATTAGCGTACCGCTGTTCCGCTGCGGTGTCAACGCTCGGATCGTGGCCGTCTTTCTGATAGAGCAGACTCATGTGCGGCACTCGGCACGGAGGCGCGAATAGAAGGAGCTCCTCGTCGGTGTGATTACTGGGCTGACGTTCTTGTTGAACAAGACCACCGCCCAGCAAGCTGCGTTGTAGCTCCTTGCACAGAAAAACCAACTCAGGGCTGCGCGCCACCTCTAGGTACAGGTCCTGCGCCCAGAAATTGCGCTCCGATCGGACCGCGGTGAAGGGTATTAATATGGGAGCGCTACTAGTAGAGCCCCCTGAACCTCTGTCTTCATCTCCAACCGGGCCCTCTACTGCATTAGTATCCGAGGAGTTGCTGCGCCACGTCTTGAATGTCTGCACGACCTGTGCTACTCTCTCGATGGCATCACTCTCCCGAAGCCCTCGCGTTCCACCGCAAACGGTCACGTGGGGCTGAAACCTTGGCATGCCGGTTGCCGCAGCGAAAACGTCTATTATTTCCGATTGAATCAAACGCTCTGTGCGTTCTTCCGGCAAGAGCCAAACCACAAAACGATCGTCATGTTGATCTAACTCGCCCGGCGTTGTAGCTGCTCCAGCTTCAAGTTCAACATGTTCAGTTCTGCCGCCCATTACTTTTAAGGGCTTCGCGCGTGGTGGTGGTCAAGTACAAGTAGCGCAAGCCACAATCATAAATACAACACAACAGAAAGAGTTGGTGTACTAAAAAGTAATACTAATGGCGATTTGAAGATAAAGCTAAACAATGCTTTGAGTGGATTACTCTCATTTTCATCAGCGCAGCAGCTCACTCTTGCTTCACATTCATCATTCTTTCCTGAGAATCTCCTTTCTGTACCGACGACGAGCCCCCAAGGTTGGTGAAAAAGAAGAGACAAAGGTGGGCATGATCTTGTAGCTTACGATCCTGTCCTTCATGATCTTCGTCGCAAACACTTACTACGTGCGAGGATGACCACGATGAACAGGAAATTTCCGATTTGTAGTTGTAGTTCGTGTGAAGAACGACGTGATCAGATGCTCTACTCCTTGTGTAGTGAAAAGCTTCTTCGTTTCTGGATCAGACGATCGAGGAACCACCTATCCAGGTTCTTTCCGATCTCTGCCAATTTTTCGGCCGGGTGACCAAGAAGATCATGCTCGGTTGCACCTCCGGGGACGTCTCCTCTTGCTTTGCGAGGTAAATTCGCCAGCGAGAACATGCGCAACCTTCACAATAATGAGAATCTGCTTTGTCAAGAATTGTGTTTCATCCCTTCAGTTCAGTTGCAGGCTCTGGCGGGTCTGGTTTTCGCAAGTAAGCGAAGCGTTTGGCCACAAGTCTCGCCGATAGAAAGTCATCACTCGGAGGCGTTCTACTTTCGCTTTCCTTGACCAAGGCATTATTAAGAAGCTCCTGTTGAGTACTACTGCTTTTGTCTCGTACTTCCAACTCTATCAGTTCTATTCCGTTGTGCGCTACTTTCCTTTTGCCCTCCACGCTATCGTCCCAGTAGCGCGAAAATTGAAAGACTGCAATAAGCGGACACGACAAGCTGTTGTTGTCAACAGGTCCTGTTGCCGCCCAATGAGCGTCTGCCAGCTGTGGTTCCTTTTGTTCCGACGCAAAGGCGAAAGCCTCTTCGGGCCAATCTTTCCTGTCAACGACCTTGTAGTCCCAGTAGAGGTTTTTGGCGTACGATTCCAGAAAAAACTTCTCAACGGTCGGAATCACCGTTTTCTCTTTCCCTACCATGCCGAACATGTCAACGTCAGCTGTGAGAAGCGGAAACAGCTTCAAATGCAGTGTTTCCTTCTTCGTGTCGAGGCTTTCTTCCTGCCCGATTTCGTTGGATACGCGGCAATACAGGTCGGCCCAAGCGTCGCAAACCGGTTGCAAGAACGCCATTTGTTCTTGCGGAGTGTTGTAATCTGCCGCTTCATCCTGCTTTCGCCCTGGTGTAGTCATGTTGTTGCTCTAGTGTAGCTCTACTTCTTCATCTGACCCCGGGATTTATTTTTATATTCATAGAATTTCTCCACGACCACTGTTCACACACATAAACCGAAACTGAATCCGTTCCCGATGCGAAGCTTACGCGACGCAGCCGAACGTGAAGCTCTCTCTCTACTTTGCAGCGCCCAACTAAACAGGATTTGATCTTGTCAAGGCAGGGACTTTGATAATCGACGTAACCAGCTCGTCCGACTGAGACGATATTGAAGAACGAAAACAGTAATGACAGGCAAACAGCTGAGTCGTGCTGCTACTGCGACGTCAGGATGATCCTACATCAAGTTTCCGATAATTCGATGCGGAAGATCCATGCGCGAACAGCAACAGTGTTTATTCATTCCGATGCGATGAATGGAGCTGGAGGCGGGAACGGGACGTGCCTAGACACATATTTCGCCGCGTCCGCATCCGCACGGAAAAACTGGAACTCCGAATTTCTTTTTCGCGTTTTTCTTCTTGGTTTTCCTCTTGTTCATTCTAGGAACCTCAGTCATTCTATACCTGTGTGAAACGAGCAGCCGAAGTGAAAATCAGCTTCGCGCTCCTGCTTTTTCTGTTGATACTCTTAGCTTGAAAAATTTTGGGAAAAGAGACACGCTACCTATATGGTGAGAGAAATACAACAATAAGCATAGCAAAGTAAACTAACCTTGGCATATGGTGACACCTCAGATATCCAGATGAAGCCGCAAAAATCACAATCAGTGACTACAGCGAAGAAGTACATATGTCGCTATACCTCGAAATAACTCATGAATCAATTAGCCTGGCATCCCCGCAAAAGTTTAACTTTAACGGGGCCGTGTCGAAAACGGACAGGCAAACCGAAGTAGCCTAAAAAGTCTTTGTTGGGGTCGCTGAGGGTCAGGAGGAGTGCTGATACGTCGCGGTGCTGAAATTTGACGACGCGGGGACTGCTCCAGTTGCCCGTTCAGTCCACCTGGCAGAAGTTGTATCACGGATAGTTGTGTTCCTTTCCCCCGTGGTGGCTGAGCATCAGCTCGACGAGATTCCGCTCCGAAACGGATAGTCGCGCCGCTAACTCATCTTCTCATATGCCTGTCTACTTGGTAGCACTCGGTAACTGCAAATAGAAGACAGAGGCATAGCGGCGCACGTAGGGTTCCCGATGACGGGCTGTGCGAAGACGAATCGTATCTGAGTACTAATTTCACCTCCAACTAGACTCGTACCCATTGAAGAACCGGAAGGGAAGATCCAGACGCAGACACGTCGCTTGAAGGTGGGGTAGAAGTCGCTGCAGTGAGCGAGGTGCGCACTCTTTTCATCTTTTATGGTGTCCGTTCGTGAGGCCCGCCTTGCTCGTCCCGTTAGGAGCTCCTCCAGCGTCCTGCTCCTTCTTGACCTGCTGTTGCGCCACGATGGCGTCCTGTTCCTTCTTGATCTGGATCGCAGCCGCAGACACACTGAAATCCAAGCTATGGATGTGTCAGGATCGAAATCAACAAAATCAAAAAATGTGTGATGCATAAAACGTAGGGCACTGAAGGCCTGTATTGGGGAGCAGGCAAATGAGACCGATTGCAAGCCTGTTTAGGGATATACAATGCGCTGCCAGAGTAGCACGACAGGACGACTCTTCTTTGCCCAAACAGCATGACAGACTGGATTTGGGTGCTCCCAAAATTTGTCATGCGCCACTTAGAAACTGAGGCTACAACTGACATCGATTTTGTGCATCACAAATTTTTCGATTTTGTCAATTTCGATTCTGACACTTCCATACAAGCCGATGTCTTCGTAGTACCCCTGCCCGTAGATCCCCAGCTTGAACACGTAGCCCGGTCGCTTGCCCTCGAATTTCTCGGTAGGTAAAAAGGGTTTCTTGAAGGTGTGCCGTGCCTCCTCCTTCTCCCGTTCTTCCTGCTTTCGCTGTTCCACCTTCTTTTTCGTGGCCTCCCGCGCTTTGTCCTTCGTCTCGCCGTCCAAGAGGAGCTTGATCTCAGGCTCTAAAGCCTCCGGCTTCCAGTGCTTGCTCCATATTGTCTTCACGTACTCCTTCAGCTTCTGTGGCGTCTTCATCCGCCAATGCGAAACTTTCTTCGCGATGCCGGGCCAGTGCAACCTGTAGGGTTTTTGTTTGTAGTGAGCCTGAACCTTGTTGCCATCGACAATTCACTAGCGGTAGGGAGCTACTACTTCTACTGCTCCTTTATTGACTTGCTGTGAGTGAGTTGTCAGCGAGTTGCTGGGTCATAATTTGTGACAAAACCTCTCAACAGCTGCATAGGAAGCGCAGGTCGTCGCACGCGAAAAGTAAAAAGCAAAGACTGCTATCAACCAAGCAACTGCAACATCAAGGCTACTACAAGAAATCACAACATGACTATACCCTCTATTTGGATCGGCGTCCGCGCACTTTGTGATTATTTCGCGTTGCTCGTGCAGGGACCCGTTGGCGAGCTCGAAGGCCAGGGCCATGCCCCAGGCGTCGCCGACCTTGGGAGACAAAGTCGTCGCGCGCTGCAGCCATTTCCGTGCTTTCGGGATTTTTCGGTCCTCCCAGAAAAGCTCGGCGACGGCCATCTGGACATAGGTGTCGTTTTCGCAATGCTTCAGCGCATCGACACTCTTTGCGTTCTGCCCATTCTTCGGCTCCATGGCAATGGCTTTCGCCCATAATATCCCACTGGCTGGACACTCTTGAAGGCCTGTAGTTGGATTTGGTAAAGTGGCGGAACAATCATGTTCATGGGTGATCAATCATGTCATAGCGCGCTGCTCCGAAGAGTCGAAACAACAAACGATATCTAACTCGCAATTCTTTAGCACGGCGCAACGAGGGTTAAAGATGCCCATCCCCATACTGCTTCTGCTGCACTTCAACGGAGCAAGGTTATAGAAGCAACTCGAGGACAAACTACGCATACCTTTGTTTATCATGTGCTGTGCCATTTTGTCGTTTCGATCGAGCTCTTCCACCAACACGCCCCAGTACCACAGCAGTTCTGACTTTGGATTTCTCAGTCGGGCCTTCTCGAGCAACGCTCGCGCCTTCGGATACCGCTGCTGGCGTACCTCCGCGTCGACGCAACACACCCACAGGTCGACGGATTTGGGGCACTCCTGCAGCCCGCGCTCGAACATTCGGGTCGCGTCTGCAGCGCCGGCGACGCTGGTGTGCGGGTCTTCCAGAATCAGCTGGCCAGCGATCATGTAGAGCTTTGCGGTCTTGGGGTGTCGCTTCAGCGCCTTCTCGCACAGGGCCTTCGCTTGCGTGAACTTCTGGTCCTCGCGCTCGAGCTGGATGCTCTGCTGCCACACCTTCGCAGACGACTCCACCGTGTGTCGTGCGCGCTCAAGAATCATGCGCGCCCGCTGCACTTCCTGCGACTCAGACTCCAGCTTGGCCGCCGCAAGAGAAATGGACTCGCTACCCGGAAGAAACTTGTCGGCGTCTTGGAGGACCTGTAATGTCGTGTGGAACCGCATGATGATCTTCATTGTCATTCATCAACAAGTATTCTGTACTATTAAGTGGAAGTGCTGCGAACGACTACAGTGGCTGGCGGCCATCAAACTCTACTTGCATGTCGGATTATGCAACATTTGTAGCTGTATGGAACAAGAAAAAATCATACAAAAGCTGCACAAAGTAGGTAGATGTCAATGTCTTCGTCCTCTCTTCAAAACAAACGTCGTACCCTTCTGGCCCCGGGCAGGTCCCCGCTGAGCCACTTTTGCTTCGCTCGCATGAGCCACAGCACCTCCGCGCCCGGGCAGTTTTCGCAGGCTCGTGCCAGCACCTTGTCCAGCGATTCTCTTGTGCCGTACTTGATTTCCAGCTCGCCGTACCGGCGCCACAGCCCCTTTTTCGTCGGAAGCTCCCGCACGGCGGCCTCCAGCACGGCGCGCGCGGTCCCGATGCTGCCCTTGGATTCCAGCGTCTGCGCGTCCTGGATCCAGATGCGTTTCACCGTTTTTGGGTCGTAGGCGCTGGACGATTGGTCCAGCTGGGACTCGAGTTTGAGCTTGATGGTTTTGTTCACGATGGCCGTGCAGGTTTTCGGGTACTTGCTCGCCTCGGCCTCGGCGGCGTGCGAGAGCCAGGTGTCGCGATCCATGTGGACGCCCACCTTTTGCAGCGCCTGCACGCCGCGGCCAAACAGCGTCTCCACCTCCTGCGTGTCCGTGTTCGGCGCCCCCTGCTCGTGCAGTTTCGCCGCGTTTACCCAGATTAGGAAGGAGTGCGGGCAATTTTTCCTTGCTTGGTTCAGCACGCCCTGCGCCTCGTCGAAGGGACACAACTTCGCCAGCGCGAGCCACATGTCCACACTGGTGGGCAGGCACTGGACGGCGCGGATCAGCAGGGTTTTCGCGTTCTCCTTGTCTTCCAAGCCGATGGCTTCCTTCCACAAGGTCTCTGAGTTCGGAATGAACTCCAAAGCCTTTCGGAGCACCTTGGATTTTCGGGGCCGCTCGGTTTCCAAGTTCGCGGCCTCCAACCAGAGGCGGACGCTGTAGCGGTTCTGCTTTACGCCTGTCGTTGTGGGGAAAAGAGAATAATGCGAGGAGGTTCTGCACAAAATAAAATCCGGAAAAGTATTAAAATCATAATCATCTCGAGCAGATGAACGACTCTTCTTGACAAGAAAAGCTACAACCAGCCTACTGACACTACCACTAGGTCACTATTTGATTTTTATTTTCCTTCATATGTACATTTAGTTTCCGCAGAAAATAAAACGCCGAAGTTTCATCGTGTAAGTACCTTGCGCAATCACGCTTTTTGCGCCTTCCAGACTGCCTTTCCGTTCTAAACGGACGGCCTCAATCCATATTTCTTCGTTTTCCGGACAGTTCTTTACTCCCTGGACAATCATCTCGCGGGCGACAGCGTCGCGACCTGCGATTTCCTCTACTCGTGCGGCGGCAATCCATCCGGGGGCGTGCTTAGGATTGCTCTGCGTTACGCTAGACATCAGAAGTCGGGTCTGGAAAAGCAGGTTTGGGTTTTTTTTAGTGCAGCTGAAGCTCGAGCGTGTGAATAAACAAAGGAAGAGCAGTATGTAATGCGTCGTGATCATCATGAAAAAAACTGCAGTTGATGACCATGACGAGCAGCAACTTCGTCGGACGAAGGACGCTAATTATTGCACTTGAAGCTCACGAAAAAAAAAAAAATCTGTAGAAATATGATACCTTCTTCAAGTCGCTGATATCGATTCCCTGACCCGGGTTCCGGGCCTGCAAATCGGTTAGGAAACCTCCAACGTCGGTGCGGGCGACGTTACTCACTTTGCCCTCCATGTCGGCCAGTTTCAGAAAGAGTCCCTGCCCTATGGATGTGTCAGAGTTGAAATCGACAAAGTTGAAATAATTTGTCATGCATAAAATGGATGCCAGTTGGAACCCAGTTTTCAAGTGGCGCAAGACAAATTTTCGGAGCACCGGAATCCAATTTGTCATGCTGTTTGTGCACAGAAGACTGCTTTTGTCATGCTCCTTTAGCAGCTCTATCCCGAACCCTAAATAGGCTCACAGTCTGCCTCTCTTGCCATCCCGGCTAGACAGGCACTTCATGCCTTGCATTTTATGCATTGCAAATCATTTCAACTTTGACGATTTCAAACCTGACGCTTCCATATGCCCCTTCGCGGCCGCGAAGTCCGTGATTGCGGATCGGTAGCCGCCTGCAGAGGGCGTCTGCATGCCAGAGGGGGTCTGCATGCCCGATAAGGGGGTGGACATGCCGCTGGAAGACGAGGGGACGTTTCCGGACCGGTAACTGCCAATCATCGCGGGCGTCATCATCCCCAGCGGGGTACTCATGCCCAACGGTGTGCTCATGCCGCCACCTGGAGTTGATTTTGTTTGCGTTTGCTTTCCCTTTCGCTTCTGAAAAGCATGTACGATTGGCGCAGAGCGAGGATAACGGTCTTCTCTCCAAATTCAGTCAATGACTACATGAGCAGTAAATACAATGTGGAGCAAGCTTCTTCGGCACTGTATTAGCTGCCAAGGCGAGCCAGGAACTGCTATCGAACTGTCTAAGTTTCCTGAGCAGTAAATACAAAAATGAGCAACAGAACAGCTGCAGCAGCGCACCAACATATCTTTCAGGTTTGAAGTACTTACCCATCATTCCCAGTGGCGTCTGGCCGCCTCCTGCGACACCGGGCATGCCTGGTCTTGCCCGGCCGGCCATCATGCTTAGTGGTGTTTGCATGCCCATTGGGGTTTGCATCCCCATGGGGGTCTGCATGCCGAGTGGCGTGCTCATACCACCACCCATACCGCCCATGCCAAGAGGTGTGCTCATGCCGCCCATGCCCATCGGCGTGCTCATTCCGCTCGGGTTGGCCATTGGCGTCTGGGCGCCCTGCACGCTGCTCCCCATCGCCCCGTGCTTCATCAGACCGGTGGTGCCCGCGAGCACGTGGTCGGGCATAGCGTAAATCGAGTCGCGCTTTCTGTGTTTGATTTTCAGATGCTCCTGGGCGTCCGGAATGTTGTTCCACTCTTCGTTGGATACCTGTGGGGGAGAGTGAATGAAATCAAATGTCGTGCAACAAACTTCTAAGTACATTCATACGCTTGAGCGCAAACACAAAGATATTCTTCCCCAGAGACCAGGAAGTAGAAGGTCCTGGATATAGTTCTTTCTGTTTCTTTCGCCATCGCAGACCTAGTGCAGCAGGTTCAACAAGCAGATTTCACAAACTAAAACTATACCCTCCCAAGTTCTCGGGTCAAGTCTGCGAACTGCTGTCTCACCGTCGGTTTATCCGCACGCATCTTTTTCAGTTCGTTTTTCATTCGCTCTTCGCGCCACTTGGCTCTCCTCTCATCCAAGCGAACGTCGCACTCGTTGTAAATTCGGTCCGCCTCCTCATCGTCTTTTTCGTAATTTATTCCCGCGAAAAGACTACCACCGTACCCGGCAAACTCGTCGTAGTTGCTGTCTCCGAGATCCTGTAATATTAGAGTGGTTTTTTGTATTGGTGCACATCCAGTACTATGAATGTGGCACCTAAAAACATTATAGTAAAATTTGATCCTCACAGTTGATATTTAAGCAAAAAAAAATACCGTTTTGTCGTCGTCTCTGTCGACTTCGTCACGACTGACACCACCGATAAACCCGGTCGCACCACGACCTCGACCTGGAATGTAGCCCGGTGGCGGCGCCCCGAACCTTAGATCCCCGTGCTCCTCCGGTCCCTTTCCGCCCTTGTCCCCGCCCTTTTTACCCGCCCCTTTCTTGGCTCCGTCGTAGTTGTCAGGCCGGGTCATAATCTTGAAGGGCGCCGCACCACGCCCCGCACCAGCGACATAGCCCTGCGGGGCCGCGCTGTCGATCTTCTGCCGCTTGGCATTCGGTACCAGCGACATCTTGTTGACGACGGTCGGGAGCTATCTATCAGTTGTCGCGGTGGTTTTTGAGCGTTACTAGTGCCGCACTTCTTCACGACGTAGCGCGTGCTGACGTTGGAATAAAACGCCGCTCCAAAGAGTATGCCGCGGTGACACTGCTCCACTTGCGCTATCAGAAATTATGCTGCTGCTGCGCAACACACGGCTGCGTGGTGTCTACTGTTCGAGGCGTCATCAGCAGACCGGTAATATTTCTTTTTCTGCTAGTTTACAGAAATGAAAATTGTGTCGAGAGACTGATCAAAATAAATCGCTACCACTTTTTTATTTAGTCTACTCCATGAACTATACTCGTGGTAGTACAGGACCCATCATGCTTCCGTAAACCATACAACTCCCTTTCTAGCCTGAAAGTGATAGTAAAATTCCCTACTTTGGATGAAGGTAGGAAGCGGAAAAATCAGCGCAACATAGCAGCAGTATTCAAAAGTTTTGATCGAACTCCACCAAACTGATCGTGTCCAATATCTGCTTTCTTACAAAAAAAAGAACCAAAAATGCTGCATTGAAAACAAATTCGAAGATCTTACGTCGGGCTAACTACAAAAAAAAACACTAAAGCCAAAGAACATAGAGAGATCCATCCGAGCTAGCTTGTGTAAGTGCTACGGTTCTTTTTTCCATTGAGTATCGCAGCAGGAAGATTTAAGATGCAATTCCATCTTCGTCCATATTGGACATAAGTGTTGAGGATCTACTTCGTCGCATCTAGCGTGATCTCTTTTGGGATCGACTCAAATGACTTCAACACTGCAATTGGCATTGCCACTGGCTCAAGCTTCTTGAACATGAACTATAATTCGACTACTATTTCAATTTTTGATGTAGATGTTTTTTTTTGGTATCAATCAAACTTAATCGTTCGAAGGTATGAAGAGCTACAACGGTGTCAGCGTTTCCGTTGATCATGTTGCAAAAAATAATCAATCTCAATGAACATGAAGAACAAGCAGAGCAGCGTGTCTTGTAACGTTTTTCGGCTCGTCTCTTCTGCATCGCCTTTCTTTTGGTGGTGGTCTTAAAAATTGCGCATGATCGGAAGCTGTCGCTATCCACGCGGCCATCATCAGCCGTTCTTAAATAATATTGCATCTCAAGTCCAAGTCGAGGAGGTCACCAACTGTCATACATCATTTCATTTTCCCCTTGTTGCATCTTGACGACAAGTCATGGCGCCACACCCTCATCTGGTTCTGCTGGCACGGCCGCCGCTGGGTGCGTGATAAAAGCAATCCCGGGAGATACGTCTTGCTGCGCGCCTGCGTCGGTTCCGCCTCTGCTCTCGTCTCTGTTTATTTCTCCCTGCTCCAGGTACTCGTCCAAATTAGTGATTTTTTTCGCCTCAAACAGATCTAACAGCGAGGAGCTGTACCGCACGGCCGCGTTCAGGGCCAGCACCGCGGTCTCCCGCAGTTGGTGGAGTAAAGACAGGGAAACATCCTCTTTTTGCACCTCATTCTGCTGTTCTTCGGGTACCCCGGGATACCTCCGAATCGCCGAAAGCTCCTCGTCGCTACTCTCCGACTCGCTCGAGTCGTGCCCAAGAACATCCAGCTGCGGCGAGGTCGTGGCGAGCAGCCATGAGGGCTGGGGTAGTGCTGTTGATGTCCTGGACGAAGTAGAGGGAACAAGTTGTCGCCCATTTTTCATCCTGGTACGTCTTCGTTGGGTAGTAGCACCGGTTGCACCCCGAGATGAACTTCTCGATAAAGCTCCACCAGCACCCTCGGGCCCGAGCACTGAGGAGATAAACGGGTACTGCTGAAATTCTTCCTCGGTCCTCTGCTCTACTTCCAGATCGGCCGCCAGAGTCGCCGAGGTGCGGGTCATCAAGCCTAAGCTATTGGTGAACAACATGGCATCCAAGGCGTTGACTTTCTGGTGCCCCTCCGGGTCCTTGGCGGTGGTCAGCAGACCCCCGACGCGTCGCGCGCGCCGCGAGTGCGGAAACTGGAAGGCGAACGCCCGGAAGATGGTTGCAAACAAGTTTTTCAGCGGAATGTTGTTTTGAAAGATGCAGTAGTGCAAGGCCGTGTTGTCCAATAAATCCCGGTGGGCAAAGTTCAAGAAGTAGGGACACGCGAGTAACGGCTTGACCAGACTCTCGTTCCCCACGTAGCAGTATGGATTGCAAAAGTATCGTAATCGTACTCGTATAAATGCATTACAAATTAGTCCAGCATTACAAATTAAATTTGTAATGCTGAATTACCTTGACAAAGAGATTTGTAAATGCATAAACGCAATCACTACGAATACGATACTTTTGCACAGCATAAGCAGGCAATGTGCAGCGCCGTCTCCCCGTTTTTGTTCACGTGGTTCACCTTGTGGAAGCGCGGCACCTGTTTCAACAACGCGAGAACGACCGGAACGCGCTCCTCCCGGCAGTACTTGTGCAGGAAGGTGTCGCCGGTGGGAGGGTCAACCGCGTTCAATTCGTCAGTTGCCATCTGGAACACAATTACCTCCGGGTTGTTGCTCCGACTGCCGAGCGCCTCGGCGAGGGAACTGTCCTCAAACTCCATGTTCTTCACGATGGCCAGCAATTGCCGCGGTGGCGGAAGGTTGGACGCGTGGTCTACTGCAGCTCTCGCTCCAGAAGCCGGCGTGGTCTTGCCGCCAGGACCACTGCGCCGGTTGTTCTTTTGCGGATTGTCGTTCATCTCCTCCTCGTTGCCAGCACTCGTCGTAGTTTCTTGTCGCTCTAGCTGGTTCAACATCAGCGGTGTCGTGGCAACATCTTCACTATGCGGCGGCGCTTCGCCGTCGGGGTGGAAGTCTTCCGCGGAGGAGGAAAAGGCGCTACTGGGCGAACCTGGGAGGAGGTGCTGCTGCTGCTGTGTGTTTTTATTCGGTGTAGTCTTGTTCCTGTTTCTGCTGGACGCAGTTCCGCTTGTTGTAGAAGTCCTCTCCCTCGCAGTCGTAGTTAACCCTGCTTCTGGCTGCGACGCAGTACTATCTTCTCCACCTCCGCGCAGGAGCTCGTCGTTGACCAAGAGGTCTTCATCTGCGAGCAGAGTGCCGGTTTCCACGTCTAACAAATTGACCACCGGCTCCGGCGCCTCCACGGCGGCGGCCACCATCGGCCGGAGTAAGCCGATGGTAAAGACGCCGAGCTGCTTCTTCGGGATGGCAATGTTCAACGGGTCTCCATTGACGCGGAAAATCTGCAGGGGCTCCATCTCCTCGTCCGCGGATTCCGGGGGTGGAATGAGGGTTTCGGTTGGCGCGGCGAAGTGCTCCACAAAGTTAAAGCTGGGCCGCAAGAGCATGTCGGCGTCGCGCTCGTTGCCGTTGGGCGGCAGCGCGGAGGCGGGCGCGGGGGCGTGGGCGGCCATGGACAGCGTGGAGGTGCGGTCATTCGCGTTTTTAGCAGTAGCTGGAGGGTGATTTGTATTCGGTCCTGCTCCCCGAGGACCGAAATTCGGTCGCGAACGAGACGAAGAAGACGCTTGCTCTACTTCCAGTTGCGCACCGTGCTCCAGTGGAAATCTTCGACCTCCCACGTCTTCACTTACACTTGTGTCCCTTTGCACGATTTGTCCGGTCCTGGCATCTAAGAAAACGGGAATCAGGTGCCTTGACTCGTCATCAGGATTTTGATTTTCATCAAGCGAACCTGTAGAAATTATTCCGCCGTCAGATAAAGATGACGCAAAAGGCACGGTCGGCTGTTGATTCTGAGGGGTGACAACTTGGTGGGCGAGAATCAAATCTCGCAAGTACGCCTGGTCGTATTGCAACTCGCGCGCGATCGCGGGATCCAGGGCTTTCTTGTTGGAAGGCCGCCCACGGCTGCCTCTTGATGTTCCTCCACCAGATGCAGATTTATTTTTTCGCGAAGACAAAGTAGAGGTCCTGGCGCCTCCATCTGTTCCACCTGGTAGTTCTTGTTCGCCATCCGCATGAAACCTCACACGCGAGGTGGATGAGGTTGACTCCGATCCGATCTGCTCGTCGTACAAATAGTTGCCGCCTGCATCTCCCGTGGCCGTTCCTGTTGTCGGCGTCGTAGCCGCAACCAGTTGCGCAGGATTCATCTTTTTACGACCAGCGGACGAAGAGGTCGATGAACCGCCAGTACTAGCGTGTCCGCGACTCCCTCGCCCTGTCTGGAGGTGCGGCTGATGTCCTCCGCCGGTAGATGTGAAAACACCATCGACATTGACGCCCACGGGGTTGCGGAACCGCCGCGGACTCGCAACGGAGTCGGTGTCATCGTCGCCCGGAGCTGCTGCGTCATACTCGCCCTCGCCTCCAAGAGCGGCGGGGCGCCGAAAATCTGAATCGTCGTCCGAGGTAGACATGTCTGATGTACTTAAATACTTAGTTCCAATTCTGGTACTTGCCCCGTTTCGTGTGCGAGTAGAAAGGCAGGAGCGCGTGAAGATTGATCGCACCAGATCTCAGACAGGGTGGTCAGAGATGCATATAGTAGATGATCGCAGCTCTGATATTAAGTCAAGAGCTACTTCCTGAGGACCGTCTGTTGTCCTCCTCCTACTAATTGAAGCTAGTATGACGAGAGCCCAAGGTGGTGCTGCCCTCCGCTTCACAATGACATTCGCTCAGGCCACTGTCTTCGACAAAGTGCATCTTCAGCTAGTAAGCTTCCAGCTCGCCGTCGCTCTGGTGACAGACATTGACGGTCAACACTCGACGAAAGGATAGAGGTTGGTTTGCAATTGCAAAAAGTTAAAGTTAGAAGAGTCGGGATGAAATACCGGCAGCAACAAATGGCCACGCGCACGCCAGGCGCTCCTGGCAACATGAGATTTCTCCCGATATCACACATCACTTTCTTGTGGTTGTGCAAATATTTTTGCTATGAGCATCCTGTTGTGACAGTGAGATCGCCATCTTGTGCTTCTTGTGGTGGTAAATCAGGAGTCAACTTCATCAATTTGGTTCGTTCCCACAAATCAAATCGTTCTTTTTCCTCATCGTGTACTACTATCACAGGACGATTGGTCGACGTCTCGCAAAAATAAACTACCAAAGCACCAGACGAAGACAAGTACAGTTTGTTCGGTTGCCCTTGCCGCACTTCCCCGAACATGATCATTATTAGGATCATTTTTGCATCCTTTTTTCACAGGAGTTGCTTCTCCCGCTCCGTACACATCAGCTACAGCTTTCTACTACAAATCCTCGTACTTGGCGGCTTGTCCGGCGACGCAGGCGGCGACCTCGTCTTGCAGCATGCTGGCCTGCAGCCACTCAAACCGGTCCTGCACGATCTCCGCGCGGTTCAGCCGGCGCATCGTGGCCGTCCAATACAAATCCTTCACCCCGCGGTACAACGGGAAGCTGAACAGCAGGAACAGAAACACCGGCCCGATCAAGTGCGGGCTGCTCCAAAACACCTGCTCCGAAAGCGGCGAGGCCGCGGCGGAGAAGAACCTCTTCGGAGAGGTCAGAAAGTTATTCTTGCGGGAAACGTTTTTCCGACACGCGGTGGAGAAGAAACTACTGCTGCTCAACATATTCGTAGTGCCCGACGTAGTCGCACTGGTGCTCCCCCGGCACAAAATCTGTGTCCAGCCACTGCCGGCCATGCTGTTCCTTCCCAATGCAACACGGGCTCGGGACAACATGGCTCTGTCTTTGACTTTGTTACGTCTTAGTTGTAACAAGTGTTCAAGATGATTATCTGCGAGTTTTTTCTGATTTGAATAGATTTGAATGATGTAGGCCAAAAAGGCCAGCTGTTTCGTGTTCACGACAAATGTCATTGTGTATGATCCAAGGGACAAGCAGGTACCGATTTGATGCAACAGAGTTGACTCAATGCCACCAGCAGCAGTACTCTCTCTCTTCTACCGCTATGGAACGTACCACCTGAAAAAAAGAGAGAACACTGGAGGTCACAAGCACCAGCGGGGGAATTTCGTTCTGAGGGTCGCCCGCGACAGGAACGAATGTTGTTGTAGATTGCGTCGCTAGTAATTATGCGATAGAGGACTTTCATGCGCGATGAGAGTTCTTTTCCATAGTAGTTGTGGTTCAGCTTCAGCTCCTGCTCCTGCGGAGGCAATTATGGTGCATCGAGAGGCTAGCGCAGTCCTCACAGCACAACTGATGTCCACAGGCGTGGGTTGTGTTCTTGTTGAAGTGGTTCTTTTGCTGTTGAGAAGTAGTTGCAGTTCGTTGTTCTTGTAGTTGCCTAGTACAAAATCCTAATGCGCTAGTTTTTTCTACAGGAAAAGTCGTGGTTGTCGCTGAAGAGATCGTGCTGTTGTCGCCGGGTCGTGGTTTCGTAATTTGGAGGTCATGTGTTGTTTAAGTATTGTTTCATTGCCTTTAGTAGTGGTTCACCGTGAGTAATATGCTGATAGATGTGTTGTGTTTTTCCCCGCCGCGTTCGCAACAACCCGTCGCAGAAGCAGAACGATGCGTTTGCAAGCACAGCAACAATGTCCATATTCTTGCTCAAAGAAAGCCAGGGCGGCTAGCTTGTCGTAATAGGATTTCAAAGCAATTCTTTCCAATCCTTGTTCGCCCTCGCCCAAAGCCGTCGTCTACTCGTACCAGGACATGCGACTATAATTGCTATACTTCCAAACACGACACCGCTACTAGGATGAAAAACAAATTTTGGAACATATTCAGTAGTTCTTTTCAACATACTGCTGTTGTTGAAAAGTAAACACCACGCGAAGGAAAATGTATGTGTATGTGTAAATGTGAAGCAAAATAAAACGGCATTGAAAATCTGTAATATGTAGTTGTAAAAAAACGCGAAAGCTTTGGATGAAGAACATGAACAATATACTGCGGAGGTGAAGATGCGATTGGTACATGCAAAAGTAGGAGGTCCTTCTCGTCACCATGGTCCGTAGATAGGCAGATCGCATGCCAATTATGTACCAACTCCGCGTGAAGTAGGAAGTGGGACATTTTTCGATTCAAGTCCTATCGTCGTTTGGTATCATTTTAACGTCGGTCAAATCAAACTCATCTGCGTCGTTTCGTTTGCTGTGTTCTTCACTTTCATGGAAGTAGTAGTAGACTTTTGAAGTGGATTTACTTTCGCAGCTAGCACCTTCAACAGTTCGCGCTCGCAGCTTCTTCAACATCGGTGTCGATCTTCGATCCTGATGTACTTCTAATAGAGCTTGTTGAACTATATCGAGTAAATCAGCCTGCCGCCCGACTTGAGTTTTCGGAACCACAAGTACATGTAGTCTGCGGTGAAAACGGTGTGAACCAGGTCGGCAAGGAAGAGCTGCAGGAAGTGCTCCCCGATGTAGAAGAGTACGCCCCAAAAGACCATGCGGAGAAAGCGGGCAATTACCAGAAGACCTGCAAATTATTTTTGATTTTGATGTAGTTCCTTGATCATTTTTCCTGTGACACCGGACAAAGTACAACTAGATCGATGTAGTCAGGCTACTAAAAATTCGCAACAAAAATCACTAGCAGTATCAAAAACAAAACCATGTCAAACAAAAGTTCGGTATAGAATTAAGTTCTTACCAACGTAGTGACTTGTGATCGGCTCCACATCGTACATTTTCTTCATCAGCCAGAGTTGTGGGAGAAGACCTGTATTATGACACAATTTCGTATACGCGGTTTGCGGTTTGCCTTCGGCTTTAGCTTCGATTTTGAAAGTGCATCACAGTCGGATGAGGATGAAGAAGCGCAATTCGAATTCTCGGAAAATTCGCTGCATGACAAACGAATAATTCCACGAAGCTTCCCCATGATACCTGAACCTGAATCATTGCAAAAAGAAGAAACACAAAAATCACATATGAACATAGTAAATTTAAATTCATACCGAGCGCCTCTAGGTACATGGTGAAGGCTACCAGGATCTGCACGGAGAGCCACTGGTCAGATGGGTGGAAGAAGAAGGCCAACACCGCGGCGATCGGTGTAATCGAGTACACCCGGAGCCAGGGAAGCGCGTGCATGGTCGTCGTGTGCTGGTATCGCCAGCAGAGCGCGCAGCACCCTACGGACACCAGCGTGCTGAGGATGAGCTCCAGAAAGGCGAAGTTGGTCTCGATGAGCCTGGTGTCCAGGGTCCAGATACACCTGGTGACGTTGGCGATGGCGAACGCGATCTGGGTGTCGATGGAAAGCCCGTATATCGATTGCGACTTCCAGATCTTGAAACACAGCATCGCGCACGCCAGGCACTGGATGCAGTACCCCATCAAGAAGAGAATGATGTCCATTTTGACGGCTTTTTGGGGTGCGGGTGGCGAAGGTCGGGGAAGTACAAGTAGTTACTACGTCGAAAATGACCCAGCTGCTATAGGACTAGGAGTTCGTCCCCGGTCTTTGTGATTATTTTCAGGAACGTAGCTCTTCGACTCGTGCTACCCTCGTGAAGCAGCTGCTAGTTCTTCTAGCAGTGTTCCAGTTGTATTAATCAAGGCCGCGTGTCGTTGTAGTACTAGTTGTAGAGGTCAATGGAGAAGTCGCGCTTTTGATTTTTGAAGTAGTTGCTGTTGCGCCGAGGGGGCTGTCGTCCTCTGTGCTAAACAGTTCGTAGTGATTGTTGCGCGACGAGTTAAGATGAATGGCGCCCGTCCGAACCTGAAGCTCTCCAACTATGTTTGCGTTTTTTCGCGTCGCTTCGTGAGCGGAAGAGTGTGCTGCTCGTCCAGAACCCAGTTGGTGTCGCTTCTGGTGGGAATAATTTGAGCCGGGTCGCCGAGTTTTCTAGTGCTGCTGCTGTGGCGGTTCTTGTTTGTTTATCTTCGTCGTGTTCTCTACCTACTACCAGGTGCTGCTTGCAGTACAAACGGTGAACGTCACCGCCACTGCACGAACACTGGGTTTGGTTCTCTGAAGATATCGGCCGGTATGATATTTTTCTGAATACTAAAGGTTCGTTCTCGAGTCCGTTATTTTCCTGGAATAGCAAAAGTTTCGGTGGATCAAAATTGGAAAGAATTCAAACAAAGTAAAAATCGATCCTCTTTTGAAGGTTCCAGAAGGAAGAACGCAAGCAGTACTTGCGATATTGTTCAAAACTAAAAGTATTCAAAAAAATAACTCGTCTGAGAAATTCGGTGTCGCTATTAGTCCTATGTGTTGTATCTATACTAGTCGTTCAGATCACGCAAAAGCAGCACTGATCTTGTTGTCAAAAAGCAACTATGAAATTGGAATCACAAACGTCGGCGTATCTATCAAAGAGATGTATACAAAATAACTCTATCGCGATCTGTTCCTCGCCACCACAAATTTGTTTCTTGAAGTGGGATCCTATTTTTTCAATCGGAAATCAAACTCGATTCCGATTCTGAAGCAGAGTTAGTTTTAGACCACGCTTGTACCTACCTTGTGATGGTTATGGTCGATCTTCTGTTGACTTGCGTTGTTGTGTGACCTCGTCGAGGGAAAGCGGCTCAGGAGCGCCCTCGTCGTTAATTACGTATGAATGTCCAGTCGTTCCTCAAAAAGCTCTTTGAATTTTTTTGGATAAAACCAAAAACAGTATAGGACAACAAATATAGAACTCTATGTTTACAGTGCAAAAGCTGAAATTTGTATTCACAAAATTTACGAAATTAATACGAAAGAAATGCGTGTGAAGATTGGAAAAATTGGAAGCCTCTTTGTCTTTGCTACAACGGAAGAGCTGCAGTGTGGGAGACCTGTTAGGAGGACACAGAATGAAAATGACGCGCATGATTTGGTCATATTTATAACGTCATCAAATGCGAACACCAAGATTTGCCGTGTCCTGTGTACGAACGTCCGAAAGAAGCCGTGCACGAGGCAGTGAATCGGGCATAGATATTGAGACGCGGTCTTGTACGTAGAAACAACGAGTCGTGTAGTCCGAAGAAATAGCAGGTCTTGCTTTTCCTTTTGTACGGATGAGGAGCAACGAAACCGAACGTGAAGGAACTTGCCTCACATAATTTTTTTCAAGGCCGTAGTTGCAGCACCAAACAGAAGCATTTTCTTCATAGACAGGCAACAGAATTTGATACTTGTTCATGGCAGAGCTTCTCAATCTGAGACAAACGCTCGCAAACCGAATCCGTACGGGTCACTGCGATCATACCGATTGATTTTGTGCGCAAGTGCCTGTCATTCGGAACGACAATCACCGACGTCCTCGCACAACTTCTGCTGGATCGATTTACTTCTTGTCAGATCGAAAGCAAGCGACGCGCAAAAGCCTCGCCGTGCTTCTCCAGCAAGGAGAGATCGCGTGGCAAGGCAGGCACTCAGACCGCTATGGTAACATTCGGACGTTGAAATGAGAATAATTCTTCAGATCATACGATCTTCAGATCATACGATCTTCAGATCATACGATCTTCAGATCACCACGACATTGCCCGCCACGTTGTATCGTGTTCGTTCTGGCCAGCAGTATGTCGGAGACCGCAGCCGCAGCGGCCTGTGCGGAAGTCGAAACAAATTTTTTTCCGAAGAAGAAACAAAGAGCTGCCCCTTGCCGTCCTCGTGCTTTGTACTTACTTACACTATACACTGTGCAGTGAAGCCTTCAATAGACAGGGCTGCCACACTCCTGCTTCTTCATCTTTGTGAAAGCGGTAGATCATCAGAGCAGAAGACTTCCTTCACAGCAAATCCGCATCCTTCTTGGTCCCCGGTTCCCAACTTGGCGCTATTCTCCCTCCGATTCTAGGGGGCACGGGAACAATGGGCTGGCCCAGGGCGTGGCGGATTGCCAAGATTTCCCCATCGGCGATCTCATCCGGGTCTAGGTCGTCCTCTACGGTCGTCCGAGACTCGGAGGTGACATCCGAGCCGGTGGAGGAACTCGAAGAAGAATTACTTTCATCTGGTGCAGCTGCTCCGTCGGCTGCGGCAGCACCGATGCTCTCTTGTCTTTCTCCATCGCCTCGTTCTAGTACGGTCTGTGTTGAATCTTGACCTCTCTCCACTGCCACGAACGGCGGTGGTGGAGCGTCTTCATCTACCGGCACAACCTCTCCCGGAAGCTGAATTACATCTGTACGTAGATCCGTTGACGAGGACCCCCGGCTGGTGTCCTTGCGGGGATCCTGCGCGGTGGGAGGTGGGAGGTTTCTGTCTGGCGGCGCGCTGGAACAAGCCAATATCGGTGGACTAGAGGAAGACGATGGAACGTTCTGCAATCGCGCTAGCTCCGCCGCGTCGGCATCTGCTACCGCTTTCTGCCCGTTTAGTTGTCCTAAACTATCTTGATTTTTGTGCTCCACCTGCTCAACTGCACCCTCTCGCTTGTGGTCTACTCGATTTCCTCTTTCTGTTGTTGCATTATGTCTATGCGCACCACCCTTGCCGTCGTCGCCAGAAGTGGAAGCGCCGCTGTCTTTACTCTTCAAGCCTACCAACGCCGGTTGCCCTAACACGACTACAGCAGGCGTCATTGGGACTGTCGCAGTCGCCGGAAACTCGGCAATACTAAAGGCCGCTGCAGAAGTACCAGCGACAACGGAAGCACTATCGTCCTCTCCACTCCTGGCAGTGCGCGGCAAAATCTGTGATTGCTCGGACGCCAGATCAAGGCCCCGGGTACTGCTCCGCCCCGCGACCGAACTGCCCGGCACCGCGGCAGTCGTGCTACACACACTCGCGACGCTGGCTTGCTCTGCGTGCTGGTGTAAAAAACCTCCTGGCGCCGAGGGCAAGGATCTGTTGTTGGGAAACAACGGATCCACCGCACCGGTGCCCCCCGTGGCCGCTCCTGCCACAACCGCTGCGCCCCCGCCATTGCTCGTGTCTAGACCTCCCGGGGGAGGTTGTATGTCGGTAGGGACGGAGCCGAGAATTTCCGTCATGAGCCCGCTGTTGGTGCTACTGCCAGCACTCCGACTGTCGTTTTCTTCGTCGTCCGCGGGGAAAACGGGGTTCCCGACCGTGCTGACGGCCATGCAGTGCGGGCGGTAGGCATCGAACCGGCGCACCTCCGCCCCCGCCATCGGGCTGCCGTCGCGGTTGCGGGCCAGCGCCTGGTTGGACAAGTAGACGGACTCCAGCCGGCTGCCCTCGTAGTAGTCCCGCGCGAGGATCATCAGCACCGAGAACCGCTCACGGTTGTAGGCGATCAGCAACACGTGTAAAAACACGCCGCCGCTGGTCAGCGACAGAATGGCGGGCAACACCCACTCACCCACCGAGTCGTCCTCGCTGTGTCCCAGCGCACCGGACAGGTACAAACACCCTAAAACCACCCCGGAAAGCACCATGCCCGTGGACACATCCACCGCCAGGGACAGCCACAGCGGGTACTCGGTCCACCAGTCCTGCAGAAAGGGCCCGCACCGCTGCCACACCCGGTCCGGCACCACGTCGGCGACGCGCGCATCAAAAAACCGTTTCCACTCAAAGCGCTGCCGGTCGCGTAAGGCGTATTCACGCTCGTTCAGGTGTGCGAGGTGCGGATCCAGGTGCAGAAACGACAACGCACCGCTGTTGCGCGAAGAGGAACGACGCGGCCTTGATGTTGTGCCGCGCCTGTGACGAGAAGAGTGATGGTGGTGATGATGGCGGTGGTCTCCTGGCTGTTGTTCCTGATGTTCTTCTCCGGGGGCATCGCGTGGGCCACCGTTATTAGGTACGACGTCTTCACCTCCATAATTCGTGCCTTGAGGATGTTGATCTCCAACGACCGCGTTACCCGTCGTCGTGTCTATCGTGAGCCCGGCTCCTCTGCGCGCAGCACTCGACGTCCCGCCTCGCCTACCACCAGTTCCACTCCGTGTCTGCGCCAAAGTGGTCACCGATCCCGAGGCCACAATACCCGTGCTGCTGGGCGGTGGTGGTGGACGTGGAACGACTCCCGACATATAATTACCACCTCTGTTGTTGGAACTGTGAGGAGTTGCAGGCCCTCCGCTGAATAAAGGGCCATTGGCCCCTGATGCAATGTTGGGACCAGCACGTCCAGTTTGGATGCTGCCGAGAAACGTAAATTCATCCTCATCTTCCTGCTGCGCCTCAAGGTCAATAACTCGATCATCTCGAACTTGATGTAGTTCGGGCCTGTTCTTTTGCCGCACAGCTGCTCTTTGATCTTCTTCCCCCACCACCGACCGGAGTTCTATCGTGCGCGAGGACACCGAGTGCTGGCCACCTAATTTCGTGCCACCCCGCGGCCCACTTGTCGAAACCACCTGATGTGGTGCTGGCAATGCGACCACACTCTCGCCCACAGGCGCGTACTCTGTCTGAATCGCGTTGTCTACATCATCCAACTCATCTAAGTCGTCCACGGAACGGGCCGCCTGCGACTCCCCCACGGCAACAGTTAAAACGCTTACCGTTTCCGCCGCGAACACACTGCTGGTGGTCTCGAACCGAGCTATTTGTTGATAATTCAAACTGGTGGCGAGGTTAGTACTGGTGTGCAACGAGGACCTCGGAGATGACCCACTGCCACAGTCGTCCGGCGCGGGCTCCACCTCCACATGGTAGTACGCTTGTTCCCGGGGGCGCAGCTGATTTTCGTTCCTTTCCACTAGCACCGTTGTCATCTTCGCTGGACCTTCACCTTGTTCCTGTGATCCACCTGCTCGAGGGGCCTTGTTAGTGACGCGAGAGTGCAACAAGTGCGGTCTGCAGGCGAAGATGATACAGCGCAATGAGGTACAATAGAATCTTCACAAACACAAATAAAATTACGATGTGGATGTCTATACGACGACCTTGCAATTTTATCGGATTCTTGTTGACCAGTGCAGCGTGGGTGTTGGGAAGAATTTGATACAACTTCTAGTCATTTTGATAATTTTTCCTAGATTTCTAAATACGTGCATGGGTTGTAAGGGGAGGGGACAAACAATTGAACTATGGCGGGATTTAAGGGTATCAATATCACCTCCAGAAATGCAAGTGACTGGTGGAGAGTGAGAGGCTATAGCGTCCTGGGCGCATTGACGCTTTCATCCCGACTCCTCGGCCCTGTTCGTTGTGTATGAAATTGTGACGGATAAGACTGCAATGCAAAATGAGCCTACTAGTTGTAAAGCTACTAGCACACATTCTTGCTAGTAGCACGGTACCGTCGAAGCCGCGCAAACAATTGCGTGTACCGAGATGTGCTGTAGTAGTGCGTATCCGTATTACATGCAGACAGAAGTACAAAAATGCGACCACGACCAAGTACGATGCTTTCCGAAAAGTTGTACGAGTTTCTTTCTTTGTTGCACGTTCAGCTTCACGTTTTTTCATATTATAATGCACGTATGTATATGATGTAGTAAAACCGATGCTTTGGAAAGCCTGTGTTTCACATCCTGGCGCACGAAAGGTTCAGCTACTTGGAGACCGATGCGTAATGCTTTCACCTTCTTTTTGTGCCTCATACTGACCGACATTTATTTTTTCAGTTGCCTGCAGCAAAAGTTAAAGTTGCTGCAGAGGCACGACAATATCTATCATGAAAATCTTCATTCATCATGCATCACCTCTTGAAGATCAGATCAGATCAGAGGTGTCATAGCATAGCATGGGGTTTGGCGTGTCGGAACTTTAAGAGTGCAGCCGACTTTTTCATGAACTAGAGCTCGACCACGCGTACTATTCTAGTAGAGGCGGCTAACAGTGATGCTTGTACCCCGCCCGCGATACAAATTCCCCGGGCCGTATATCATGCCTATTGGGTGGGACTGGGAATTTCGGCCACTGAACAAAACCCGACAAGCACACCGAAAGTCTTATACCGGTCGATGCTAAAGCTTCACGCGCCGCAACCAGAGCACCGGCTGATTACCCTAAACCCTGTTTAAGTTATCAAGCACTTACTTTTTACTATTCGTCTAATACAAGTTCCCACTTGCATGCATCTACACCTCGGCCTGGATCATTTTGATCTTTTTCTTTGATGGAGGTGGCGGTCCAGAACTTTAAGAGTGCAGCTGGAGCTTTCATGAGCTAAGACTTGACCACGCTTACTAGATGTAGTAGAGGCGGCTAACGATGAACCTGCTCCCCTCCCACGTATCATACAAACCCCAGGGCAAAAACACATGCATATAGGGGGGACGGGGAAAATCAGCCCTACCCAGGCAGGCCCACCGAGAGTCTTGTACCGGTCAATGTAATAACTTCACGCGCCAGACGGGAGCACACGTCGAACCCTAAACCCTGTCTAAGTTATCATTCTCTTACAACTAGATTTTTCCTTCTAACCATACAAAAATTATTATTTTTCATGCATCTCACCTCGGCCTGATTGACATCATTTTTTTTTTTATTTGAACCCTTTTGGTAAAAGTAAAATAGATCCGTCTAGTAGCACCTCGGGCATGTGCAGACACATCGGGGCGACATGCCATGCACAGCAACTGGGAGCAGGATCTCCACTATTTTTTTTTTCCAAGACGGTAACAGGAGTGGCTTTTCTGAACACTATTTTTTTTTTTGTCATTAGGGTATACAAAATTACCGCCTCTGTTTCTTCGTTGGCCGAGGTGCATACAAAAAGGAGACCGACTAATGCCACCGAGCCGCACAGTGGTCTTGTGCGCTACCACTAAGTTTAGGTCGAGACGGGCGCGAGCGCTACGCGGCATGTACTACACGATCATGCACTTGTGACGGCCACGGCAGTTAAGCGATCCGCGGACCGCAATGCAAGCGGGCTGACGCCGTCACGCAAGCTGGGCTCAACGCAGCAGTCAGGCAATCCTAGCCACCACGTCGGCCGTAAAACAGATTTGCGTTTGTCAGAAGTTTGGAGCAGAAACAGACTTAACTAAACCCTTTTGCAGACTAGAGAAGCTAAAAACTAGGCTCCGAAGAGCTGCGCTGGAATGGGCGAGAAGACTATGCTCCGAGGAGCTACATTGGAAAGGTTTGAAAAAACTATGCTCCGAGGAGCGGGCCTAGGGGAGCTAAAACAAAACTAAGCTTTCAGATTTTGGATTTCAATCAAAATAAAACTACACGGCAATAGGTCAGAACAATGGTCTTCGTCATGTGAAAACCCTCAAACCGGCTACAAGCCGTGATTTGTCGAGATCGCCACATTTGAATCAACGTAGGTTTAGTCTTTTCGCAGAAAAAGAGCCCAGGAGCTTTCCTGAACTAACAAAACTGCAGTTTTAGATGGGGACAAGGCGATACATGTGAGATCATGGAAAACAACAGCTTTTTTGGGCTTTCACTACCGTTAGTGAGTCTGTTTTTCCACCTAAACAGAGCGCCTTGTCGTGCAGCCGAACATGATAACCAGAGCGCCTTGTCGTGCAGCCGAACATGATAACCACCATTAATTTCCCCCATGTGCTGCATAGACACGACAGCGGCGGCCACAGGCAGAAACCCCAGGTCGATGGCCGGCAATGCCGTCTTTCACGTTTGTTTTCCTGAAGTTTCCACTTATCAAGAACCTCATCTTGTTTCGACAAGAATATCATCCGATCAGGACCAAGAACTGACACTATTCTTGCTTGGTAGCGCTGATATAATGACTGCTAGTGCCACAACTTCCACCAGCTGTCACGACCGAAGATCATGTTCATCAGTCTTCGGACATCAACCATCGAAGAAATAATTTTCATTGGCGCTTCCTCAATGCTAGATGAGGTATCTTTGACACTCAAGAAAGTGCTTTTTTTCGCCTTTCTATTTCTCGGGCTTTGAGGTGCATTCAAATATACTTGTTACTGCATTTACATTTTGTTGATTTTTTGTCCTAGATAAACGAAATCGAAAATCGAACCCCGGAGAATCTAGTATCTGGACCCCAGTGGAGGTGCAGGAAGAAAAAATGAAGCATAGCCTTAAAATAAGCAATATAAGAAAAGAAGAAAAAAAAAGCTCGGCTGTACTGGAAAAAGGTGTTACATTTGAAGGACTTGTAGTCTTCAGCAGAAGAAGGAAATTAGACAACCCACTTCCAGTGTGTGCTACGCGTCCCAAAAAAAAGTACAACCTTGCATGCATTGAGGGACACCTGCGTCGTTCTGAAGCAGGTGATTTCTTTCGGATACTATTACTCAAACTCAGATACTTTTTATCTGCTGCAAGAACAATATTTACTGAAGTACATGGCATCAAAATCATTCGTATTGTTCGTATGCAAACACAGAAGAGCTTAAACTTTGAAAAAGCGGAGCAGCGCTCGTCAGCTTCAGTGCTGGGTAATGTACAGAATAGCCGCGAAAAGGAAACACTACTGTAGCAATCGATCCCGACACAGCTGCTTCTTGCTCCTTTGTCCTTTTTGACAAGAAAAGAACACAACCGGCGCGGCGTCGTGATCTTCTACTTCTATTCAGTATTTTCCGTTCGCGGTTACATTTTTTGACGGTGCCCCCTGCTGCTTTTTGTGTTCAGCCTTCAGTTTGTTACGGTTTTCCGCACTCAAAGGTGGTGACTCGAACCAACTCGCGTTCGCCCCTTCGGCCTGTTTTAGTTTTACCGGCGTGGGCACGGCGTCCTCGGTCCCCGAAGAACCGCCGTTTGCGGTCGGGCCGCTCGCTGTGGAATTGCTCGAAGAATTGCTGGTATTCTTCTTATCGGGTAATTTGTTACTCGCGGGCACAACTCCGAGATTCTCCGTCGAGGTGGAGGACTCGCTATCCTTGTTCGTTGACGACGACGTGTAGCCCACAAGCTGGGCCGCGAACGGCTGCACGCTGGCCCCTGACTTCGCAGTCGACGTCGTGCCAGTTGTACTGCTAGACGTCGACGTTTTGTGCTGGTCCTTTCCGGTACTCTGTCCGGGGGTAGTGCTTGTGGTCACGTTACTACTGGGGGATGCCGCGGAAGTAGTAGTACTGGAGACGATGTTCTTGGTTTTTGATACGGGTGCAGCTGCAGATGTTGAATTCGCTCCGCCGTACGGGTCGGGCAGCTTGGCTTTTTTCGCTCCTTCACTCTTCAGCTCGCTGGTGAGGGGTTCCTTTTCCAAAATGGCGTTCAACTTTTGGGACGCGATCGGCATTTCTTCGATGTCGATGCCCCGGGAGCTCAGCTTCCGGTATGGAAACGAAAAGTAGTTGTGTGTCACTATCATTTCTTGACGCATTTCCATCAAATTTTGGAGTTCTTTGGTACAACTTCGACACCTGACTTTCAACTACAACCAAATCCTATTTCTAATATTATGAACGATGCTCTGTATCGCAATGCAAGTTCCAAAGGTCATCCTCAGCATGACCACAGCGAAGCTGTAGCCTGCTGTCTGGATGAACAGCTGATAGTGCAAGACAAGCGCTCTACTTCCTCTTCGTACCCTTCCGTTCTCGTCTACGAGTACCATGCGGTCCGGGGTGGCGCTCATGGGGTTACTGTTCAGCCCGCTGCCGAACACGGCGGGAGACGGCCCGTTGGTCCGCAGGTGCCCGGCCCCGACCGCCTGGTTGTTGCTGTTGTTGATGTTTATGTTGATGGAGGAGTTCTGCCACTCGGCGGGTGTAATCCGGGTCCCGCTGGCACTCAGCATGGAGGTCCGACTCAGGCCCAGCGGCGTGCCGGGCAGCGAGGGTGAGCCCTCCTTGTGTACGTAGGCGTAGCCGCGCGCCAGCACATCCAGTGTACGGTGGTGCTCCTCTACCTTGTTCTTCACCACCTCGAACAAAGTGCCCTTGGTCAGCTTCAGACTGCGGGTGCGCAGCGAGGCGCCCCGCATGTTCGCGCAGATGTGCGTCTGCAGCCCCGTGAAGAGCTTCGCGATCTCGCGCCCACTGAACGTCTTCAGCTGCACCGCCACCTCCCGGAGCGCCTCGGAATCGCAGTCGGACTCCTTGTCCTTCAGTGCGGGCGTTGCGGCCGGGTCCGACGCCGTGGAAATCGCGGCCGGGCGTTTCATATGCATTGCAAAATAGGTATCGCACTCGCATAAATTGCAGCCATGCATGACAAATCTCTTTCCACTAAACTACCTGAAGTAGCATTTACAAATTTTAGCTTTGCTCTTGCAGAAATTTGTGATGCTATTTATACTAGTACGTTACTGTTTTGCAATGCATATTTCAGCAACTTGCTGCTGTCCTTGGCCTGGGCGATGTCGTTCAGCTTGATCTTCAACGGCTTCCGCACGTACATGTCGAAGTACTGGAACACCATGCCTGTGAAACAGGAAATATATACGATTTTCAGGCTTTGTTGAAGTTAAAAGCCATTTCTTTATTTTTGTTCGAGAAGCAAAATAAATTTCAATTTCTTGGCGCTTCTACGTCTAGCATCAGGAACATAATAAATGCAAACCATGAGACTAAGTGGATGAAAACGCGCCATCGATTCACTACCGCCTTCAAAAAAATCAAATTAATAGAAGTCGATTATGAACGTAGCATTTGCAGTACGTTCTCGCTCTGCAAGATCGGGTAGACCGAATTCGACGCTTTCGTCGACACGATCCAAAACAGCCGGATCCAAGTCGCCAGGTCGGTTTGTAGCAAGCACCATCAAAAACTGACTCGTTGGAGTACCTGTGAGCAAATTGAAATTATATTGTGAAGAGGAAATGTTCTACTTTCTAGTTACATTGCAAAATAACGCATGAACAAGCAAAACTTTGCAAGTTTTACCATGCAAAATGCATACTCGCGTGACGCCTACAACAGCCATCGTGGGAGATAAATGTGCATGAAGCCTACAAAAGTATCGTGAAAGCCGCATCCGTCATCAAAATCAAAAATAATTGTAGACAAGAATACTGTATCGAAAAACAATGATAATCTATATGTAAAAATTCAAATCTTCAACTTCAAGGCGAAGAACTATACCCGTATGATAGAGCATGGTGGTGAGTGCGTTTCTGAGGCTTTCGCTCATGCTCTTGTTTCTGACGGCCAAAAACGCGTCGGCCTCATCGATGAAAAGCAGCACACCCTTTCGTGATTTGTGCACCCAGGTGAAAAGCTTGTGTAGTTCTGTCACCGCTTGCTCTTCGAGTGGCGCCACGTCCGCGCCCGACATGAAAGCGTATCTGATGAGATGATTGGTAGGCTTTTCATCTTGTATATTCTGACTCCGAGGGAGTTCATCGATCTCGTTTTCGTTGTTTTTCATTTTCGCAAAGGATCATCAAGAAAAAACATCAAATGTGTATTGAAATTGTACTCCAATCCGGAATATTCCGCAAATCGCTGGGCGCACATGGTCTTCCCCGTTCCTGGTGGCCCGTAAAACATGATGTGCAGCAGCGGCATGCCCCGTGCCTTCGCGTTTTTGGTGGCGTTGGCGAGCCGGAAAATTTGTTCCTCTAGCCTCTTGTGCAGCACGACGTCGTCGAATTCGTGGCCCGCACGTTTTCGGCACAAGCAACACGTCAACACATTCTTCAGTAACCTGATTTGCAATCATCAAACCCATAGTTGACATATAAGAAAAAGTCCAAAGATGACTCACTAAGACCATCATTATGTATGTGTATGATAAATAAATCGCTATCCATTTTTTTAGTACCTCCAGGCCTCGCCCATTCGGGTTTTTTTCGAGGTCATGCGCACCAGCGAAGGGCGGCCCAGTCGCTTGTTGAGCTGCTCCCGCAAGAGGGTCGCCATTTCGCGCGTGAAATACACCCCCACCATGACCGCGATGAAGGAGCCCAGGGCGTAGAGCATGTTTTGACTGGAGCCGTACAGTGTGTGAAGCCAGGAGGTGACAATCCGGGCGGTGGCCTGGATGGCCACAATCACCTGCTGCTTCTGGCCCTCAAGCTTCATCTTCTGCTCCCGCGCGTGTACGTCCTCGTTCTCCCGGATCTCTTTTATTTTCGCCTCTTGCTCGATACCTGTGGTGGAAATGAATGATGAGTGGCGGTTGTTAGTTTGAAGCTGCAGATGCACTGCTCCAGCTGGTCTACTAATTTTTCTTTTTCATTCCTGAAGATCCACCTCAAAGTGGAGGAGGTAAAAAAAAAAATTGCAAAATGAACGACAGTCATTCAATGAAGGCATCGACATCTTCGCTAGTAGAGCCGGGTTGGGAATGTTAACGCAGCTGCAAATATCAAACTTATTGCTACTTCACAAGATTGTAGTACGTGCTGCCTCAACTGCCTGCTGCAGCTCCATTTCGGCCTTGTATTTTTGCGAGGCCACTTCGAGCTTTATCCCTTGGAAAAAAGCCGCGGAACTGCAACTACCAGCCCACATTTTGTGTTGCAATAGCTCCAATACCAATGTTGGACCTCCCTCCCGAAGAAAAGGAAGAACTGCAACCAGACGCAGACTACAAAGAAAGACATAGAAATCGGTGGGAAAAAAGCCTTTGCGTTTGTTCTTTAACAAATTTCATTTCTCTTCACAGCAAAAACATCTTGATCTTCATCTTCTGCAAAAAAATGCGATCATCAGCCCGTTGCGTTTTTCCGTTTTCTCTGTGATAGGCTCTTTCATCTCCTTCTCGTGTTTCGCCTTCTCCGATAATTGCCGCAGGTTGCTGATTTCCTGCGCCTTGATCGTCTGCAAGTCGGATTCCAGTTTCCGTTCCTGTTCGTACTTGATTTTGTCCTTGTGCATGGCAATGATAGCCTCTTCGGACTCCTTCTTTTCTTTGTTGCGGAGTTTGATCGTCTTTTGCTCCTCCTCGTACCGCAGCTGTTCGATTTCCTTCAGGACTTTGGCCTTTTCGTACTCCATCTCCGACTTCTTGCGCTTTTCCACCAGGTCGCTGTGCGCCTCCTTTTCCAGCACCTTTTTCATGTTTGCGATGCTGTCTTCCACTTCCGCGATGCGAGACTTAACAGTGGCCGTGTTTTGCTTGCTGTCTTCCTTGAGCAGCGCGAAGTGCGTCTCCAGCTCGGAAAAACGGATCTCCGTCGTCTGCAGTGCCTTGGCCAGCACCTCCGTGGTGGCCACCGTCCGCAGAAGCTGCTCCATGATGTCTCCCGTATGAAAGTAAGCGCACAACTTTACTCGCCTTGCTTCTGGTCCGTCCGCAATAATTGTATTAGTATTTCCGAATAATTCCTCCATGATAGCAACGAAAAGGTGGAAAGACTGCATCTTCACAATTGAATACGGATTTGGCGATCAGGATCACCGGGTAAGAGAATACATAAATTCATATCGTTCATCGTGCTAGCAGCTAAGCGTATAGTTTTCAAAGTTTGTGACGCAATAAAAAGTGCCAGGCGGGCAAAGTTGTGTACTTGTTTCATATTCCCGCTTTTTCTTATTCAACTCCTGTTCGTCCTTCACAAAGCCGAGGCTTTTCGTGTATGCATTGCAAAAGTATCGTAATCGTAGGAACAAAAAGTAATCGTGATGATGCATGACAACTCTTTTTTCCAACCTAAATCAGCATGACCAATTTCATTTGTCATTCTAAGCTATGAATTTGTCAAGCTCATGATCATGCAATCACTACCAGTACAAGAATGCTTTTGCAAATCATATCGTGTGCTCCTCGACGATGTTCTCCTGCTGGTCAAAATCGTGCGCCAAGTGGTTCAACGCACCCACCGCGGAGAACAACCTGCATCATCAAACGGAGAAGTTTTAGTTTAGTTATAGTTCTTTCGTGAGTGATCAGCCAGCTCAACAGGCAGAAACGCGCAATCAAATGAGCCAAATTAGGCCAAATTGATACTTCATCACTAATTTGCATGCTGCTACCTTTGAAGACGATTCGACTCAGATGAGGGGACGACGAGTTTGAATATCCTCAGTCTTCATCTTCTACAACTTCATCAACAGTTCTTGAACAACAAGCTTAATATAATAAGTTCATCGATTATCATAAAAGCTAAAGCTTAACAATGAACGATACAGGTGCGAGTCCCGAATCATGAGCACGTCCTTGTTCACCATCGAGGCCCCCTGCTGGTTGGTCCACCTCCTTTCCGGCACCAACGCCACCTATGCATTGCAAAAGCCTCGTACTAGTATAAATTGCATTGCAAATAATTATATATTTCAATTATTTGCTCAAAAGAAAAAAAAGAATTTGTCATGCTGATTAGCTTCACGTCGGAGATTTGTCATGCATGATTGCAAGTACTACGAGTGCGATGCTTTTGCAGTCCATACCACCGCCTCCGGCATGATTTCCCGCAGGTCTTGCGCCAGAATCCCCAGCTGGGTCTATTACAGTGAAAAGTGCCCCCCACCCCCAAAGTTGCAAAAATTTGTGATGCGAGGTTTCCAAATGAAACCTTTTTGTCATGCATGAAAGGAATATGAATCTTTCTGATGCAGATTCTAGTGTTGTTTCGCATCGCTTGCATGACGAGCACCGCTCTTGCTGGGATCTTTTGCAATACAAATTTTTGCTATTCACAATCGGAAATCTGTGATGCTGATACATGCAAGAGGCCGAATGTTTCATTTGGAAAGGTTTGCAATACAAATGCTTTCAAGTTCGGGGGTGGGGGCGTTTTTCATTGTAATAGGGTCCGGTTGAAAAACTTATTGAAAAATTCGTCCTCCTTGTGCAGGAAGCTTTGCACCTGAGATCGATGATGTGTATAGTTGTTGTTCACATCAAGGCATAAACATCCAGGAATTACTAGACTATCGATTTAGATAGAACTTTTGACAACACTTCTAAATCGACATGTTCTTCGTGCATCATCTTCAATATAATTGCACGATGCTGATGTACTCAGAACTGCACCAGCATGCCAGGATCATATGACGCACCACCAGTGAATGGATTTCTCTAGTAGTACTTGCAAAACTTCTCGCTCCACATCCTGCATGCTGAACGAGGTGAGCATGTACTGTTGTCCTGCTGTGGTACTAGTAATTAATATCTTGTCACCACGTTCTTACCTGCAGCCTTTTGATTTGGCCCAACAAGGATTCCGTGTTCGCGGGAGAGACCTCATCCTTCAGCTATGCATTGCAAAAGTATCGCACTCGTAGTAGTATTGCACTTATGCATTAGCATGACATCAAATTTCTTTCCAAAGGTAAATCTGCATATACAAATTTCATTTCTATTTCTAACGCGAAGCGAATTCTTCGTGCGATTTCTACTAGTGCGATGCTTTTGCAATTCATATGAGTTTTTCGTCCGCAAAGTACGTTTGGTCCACACAGGAGGAGCAACTCAGGAGCCAGTTCGCGGATACTTGCTGCGGTAGCACGAGAAACTGCGACCACAGGGACGACGAGCACGACCCCGCGAGCAGCAACGTGGTTGACACTCTGGACATTCTTTTTTTATTTTCGCGCCGTGGGGGACGCGCGGCAGACGAGCACGAGAGAACAACAGAAGAGGTGGGCACAGGTGGACGGATGAACGACGTTGGTTGTTCTTGTTGCGCCATTTTGATCTACTCCATACTACTTTTCAAATAGGTTATTTCCACTCTTCTAAAGATAGTAAAATCTTCATCTCTCATTCGTTTTGCTAAGTACTTCATCACTCTAGTTTGTCGTGTTTGGTTTCAACAAGTGCGACGAGTCGTGCCAGCATACTTCTAGGTAAAGAGATCCTCACTGCGACTAGGGCTACTGTAACGTCGGGGAATCCATCATATAATTCTGATGCCCCCCAGTTTTTTCAAAAAGGCTTCCGAGCCCTCGCGGAGATTATCCCAAGAGACAAGGACAATCAATCCACGGGGGTGGTCGAATTTTATTTCCGGCGTGCAAAGGAGAAAGATGAAACACTAACTCACCAAGGGGAAAAGAAAAAGATGGATACTCAGATTTTTGGGTAATTTCTAGCACAAAAAAGACAAATCGCAACCTTGGTGAAGCTGAAGTAGTACCGATGGTGTTTTGAAATTGAAATTGACATTGAGAATGAGAAACATTAACATTACAAGTTGAGTGCCGGATATAATTTTTAAGTAGTTCGTCCTGGCGGCGTTCCTCACTTTTTTATCGTGATAGTGAGCGATAGTGTTTCTGTCTTCAATGTCGTTGGAGGGTGGGGTACAAAACGGGGTTCGGGTTCCTGACGAAGGTTATAAGGAAGTAGAAGTAGGATCATGTAGACAAAAGCTTGAATCTGTGCAATGGCTTGCATCTTACACTTCCAGAGGAGAACATACTTAACAGCCTCCTTTTAATGAAGAAAGTTAAAATTTTCGAATACGCTTACCCTCACGCTTTCAATCTTGACATTAACGCTGTACTTCTGCTCGGAGGGTACTTTTTTTACTTACTTCATTACAGTGCCTGTGGCCGGCAGGAGCTGCAAAACACAAACACTACAAAAAAACTTCGCCTACTTCTTTCTCTCTCTCTCTCTCGTTGTCTCTTTGTTGTCCCTCATGCCCTTTCTTCCGGTTTTCATCTTCATTTTCTGTCTCGTTACACGTGCTGTAGCTGTTTGTGTTTGCGCTTTATTTACAAGAAAAATGAGAACTTCTGGGTCTTCGTGCTCAAGCGGAAACGTGGTGCAAGTGTGGAACACATTGTTCGCCGCAAAGAAGAAATCCGAAATTCTTTTGAGCTGCGGCCTTGCCGCTCGGTCGTAATGCCCTCGATTGAACTTTTACTTGTTCTTGTTGGTTCATAATTATCATACTCAGAGCGCACAAACTACATAGATCTCACGTCTCTTGTCTGTTTTTTAAAAAAATCGCGTGTTGCATTCCTTTTGCCTTGCGAGCAATCGTTCAGAAACTTCGATAATATTATACAGCAACCGACGAATCCGCTTGATATGCGTCAGCCTGCGGAAAGCAACGCAGACACGAACTTCGTCTATCTCATCCCATAAAAAATAAAAAAAAAGTGCCATTATCCTTATGTACTTGTACACGAGTTACAAACTGGGACTTCATCCTTCTCCTTGTCCTTCATGCGGTCAAATAAAATATATCCATTTTGAAATTTTTGAAACACGATACTCTTGAGTCCTATACTTTTACTTTTTCTATGACTATGTTCCTTTGCTTGTAGAGAATTCTCATGCCATAGGTGGAGTAGGTACGATCAACATATTCTTTCATATTATAGTACAATTCTCTAGCTGCTTTGCAGCTTTGGGTTAAAATCAAATGGACTCTTGTTCACCTCGGGACTCAGAATCACAGGGAAAACAGATTCTGTGTCAGGTTTGTAGTTTTCAATTTCTTCAGAGCTTCGTCATGCTCGTCCTCTACCTTTTGATTTTTAACTCTCGACGTCAAGTACAATAAACTTCGACTTGTTCATCGCGAGTTTTTATCTTGATGAATAATAAAAAGATGCGATAAATTAAAATGAGCAAAGCACTCTCTACTTCGGTATCAAGCTGAAAATTTTTGTGAAGATCTACTTAATTCAAATGATCAGCTTCCTTGCCGTGCCGCGGCGTCTCCGTCTCGTCAAACATGACATGTCGCGAATCGAAGCCGTCGTTTATCTTCAATGCGAGATAGCTTTTTTCGGACCCGGGCAGCATTTCGATTAGGAATTCAAATTTTTCATTTTGTCGTCCGACAACAAATCGATAAATAGACAGTAGCCAGTTCATAACTATGACGAAACGGTCGCGCAATTGCGCGAAGAAGGTCCACAGGCTGCTGCTGGACATAATTGCCGAGTGCTGTTCTTGCACTGGGTTGATGAAGGGGTCGATAAATAGCCAAGATTCCTCCAGATCGACCTGGAAGACCATGAAAGGAGCCCACAACCCTAAATTCCGTTCTTGTAGAGGAAGTGCAGCGATTTCCTCATCTGAAAGGCGCGTAAATTCCCAGCGGTACGGGTTCTTGTTCAGCTGCCTTTTAAATCGGAAGTCAAATTCGTGAAGAAACTGGGCACGCCCTATGTCCCCTATCGAGATCGCGTTAAGTAAAAGATCACGTCTGACATATCCGGTCTGGCCAGCACGGTACTGCCGAATCTTCGCAGGCTCACCGATGACCGTCACTGGAGCCACCAGGGATTCCCTCTTTTCGGTTGTACCCGGTACCTCGATAGAAGTTACAAACATCTGCTGCTGCGGAAGCTGCAGGGGCTGCAGCTCCTGCCCCGTGGTCGTTAGATGACCAGCAATCTGATCACGAGTCACCTTCTCCTTCGGGCGCTGTCCTTCTTCGTCGTTGAACCTCGTTACTGCCACGTTTTCGAGTTCGGCCGGTTGAGGGTATCGAAACAGGATTACGTAAATCGCGTCGGACTCAGGAGGCCCCCGAGGTATCGAGGCCATATCTCCGGATCCACAAGGCGGGCGGCAAATTCCGGCGCTCGTTTCCGCAGAAAAAACTTTCTGCGCATCTGCTCTTATAATTCGCGCAGGAATGTATGTCTTCGTGGACTCCGAATAATATTGGACATACTTTATGTCCGGCGGTGTCTCGTTCTCGTTGGGTGCTTGGGCGACAGAGGAACGGGTCAGCTTTTCATAGAGGCCGGCAGCGCCAGAAGCTGTCGTTCCTGCTGTTACAACAGCCCCGGCCGCCTGGATGTTGTCCATGGAATCCGAGTCCTTGTCATTAAAAAAATGTCCTCTGATTCGGTCACCAACGAGCTTCGCGAAGGTGTGAAATTTTTCTCCCACCCACTTCCCGATCACACCGCTGACGTCCTTCGTGATTCTAATGCTGTTCGCTACGACTCCAAACACTGCATTTAGGGTCAGCTGTTCAACTTTTTCCTGCTTGAAAAAGCCAAACACCAAACCGGGAAGAAGCCCGGCCAAAAATGCCGGAATAGGGCTCTGTCGCACCCCTGGAATCATCAGAAGGGCGGCGTTCAGCAGCCGAGAAATTCCGTGGCTCATGGTAACGAGCAAGGCCGCGTGCAAACCCTGAGAGAAGATACTCAACAGGATATTTTTCAGATCTGTGGCGGCCGCTTGCAGGTAGTCGACCGCTTTCGCCTTCGCAGATTCTAAACCGTTTTCAATCCTTTGGAGGAACGTCGGAGACTGCTCTTCCGAAGCCTCCCCGTTCCCCTTGTTTCCGCTTTTGCCCGCCACTTTTTCCATCAGGTCGTAAAACAACGCAATCACATACCGAAAGGGAAGATGCATCGCTGAGCTGTCCTTCTTGCTGGACAGAAATTCAAACATGTTCTTCACAAACGTGCTCTCTTCCAAGTGCGCGAGGCTGCTGGGGCTCGCAAGCCTCTCATTCAGCCACGGGAAAAACTTCGTGTCCATGATGTCTTCAAAGCTTGTCCATGATGTGTTCAAAGCTTCTGCAACGAAAGTGCGGAGCTTAGCAAAACACTCGGAGACTTCATCGAGGAGGACGCTCAAGATTTGCTTCAAACGGGCACGTTTGTACTCTGGGGGGCGGCTCCAAGCTACTTCGCGTGCCTGTCCTCCTTGATTGTACCACTCCGACTGGACATGGGTTGACTGCTGAACAAACGAAGTGGACGCGGAGCATCAAAAAGAACAACACACCTCCTGCGCACGGCACCCATCAAGAAAAAGTACATCTACATACATCAATGCGCACGCGGGGCGCCCTAAGCACCACCAGCGACTCTGATACAGATGCTGCCACCAGGTGGGGTTAGGGCTTTTGCGACGGATCCGGAAAGATGCGAGGCAATAAAAAAACTACTTCCGAAATATAAAATCAAACTCGTTGCTGTGCGCATGCGCTGCCAGCAGCCACGGCAGTCAAGGTCAACATATTTTATTTTTTTTTGAAATAACCCAAAGCCTCAGAGTAGTTGCGGCCCACTACAAATGAAGTAAATGCAAGGCCGCGGGGCTTACTAAGCAGATTGCCACACGAATAAATCAACATATGCTGGGCCGCAGAAGATGGTTTTCACTTTGATATAGAATCGGAACCGCCGCTGCTCGTGGGCGGTGTCGCGGTAGAAGAAGCGGAATCGTCCGAGGACGGGCCCGCGCACGAGTTCGCCGGGGGCGGCTTCCTCGAAATGCCGTTCGCAGCTCTTCTCATGCGCTCATCGTCCTCGCTTATGAGCGCGAGTGTATTTTCTTCGTCTCGGAGCGCGAGATCCGTGCTGCTGCCGCTGCTGCTTCTGGATATCTCGCCCCGGGGGACGAGGGCACCGTTGGCCTCTCGCAGCTTTTTCTTTCTTTCTTCCAATTCTCTCGCTTCCCGGTCCTTCTCGTCTTGTTGGTGCTTGTCGTACCTTGCAGCCGCCTCCGCCAACTCGCGTTTCGGTGAAAGAGCTCCCTGGTGGCGTTCTGGTGGTTCTTGTTCATCGGATTCGGAGGGACTATCTCCCTCTTTGCTCTCCGCCTCCTTCGAAAAGTAGTCCTCAAATACAGACGATTATCCAACAAGAAAAAAACTGTGTGTGTTTAAGTGTGGAGTATGTCACCTTCGACGTCGTGGGGTCACAGCGTGGTGCTGGTGGCAAATTGAAATTCAAATTGGTGGTTGTTCTGCATGAAAGAGAAAAAAAATCTATAAACCTGTGGTCATGCACAGCTAGTACGTGTTCGTGAGATCGTGTCCTCCTCCTCGAAAACACGTATATCTATATTAAAGAAAGCACGTATGAAAATAACTAACGACCTCCACCAGGACATCATCTTCATCATGGCTTGCCAGCACGACAAGTGCGACTGTGTATGTGTTGCATGCTTGTTTGCATTTTACATTTACAGGCTTGTTACACGCGACAGACATAGTATTTTTCTTGCATAAGGACCCCCCGTCATCCTTGCCTGCTTTTCCTCCCAAGATCCCCATCATTGTGATGGCTCTTCCACGTCCGTTTCCGATGGCTGCCTCCTCGTTCACTGCTGGATCTGCGCCAGCTTCTCGAGGAGAAGCCGCGGCAACATCCTCATCCACTGGAGGCGGGTTGGGCTTGGGGTTGAAGAACTCGAGAATGGCTCGGTGCAGCACCTTATGGATTGCAAATATGTCCGCGTCTGGGAGTGGGAGGTACTTAGTTGCAAGATTCGTCACGCTAGTCTGGCATGAAGACAACTCCGAGGCTGAGCTGTGCATTGCGTGGTCGCGAAAAGAGGAGCTCCTCTTGCCTTTCATACAGAAACGCGGATGCTCATGCGGAATGCGCACTTCAGAACTATCTCACAAGATTCCAGACACGGAGGACATATTCGCCATGCGTACACCATTTGGAGACCGCCCTTGGCCTTGCATCTTCGTGCTTGAGGTTCGCTTTCATCGGTTTCGTCTGTTGATGGTGTTTCTGCTCTCGGGGGGGTGTCGGCTTCAGCCTTGCCCTCCTGCTCCTCAACATCCTCCTCACCCCCGTTGCTGAACAGTGTGTCAACCAGACACAGCAAGTCAAACCCCCCGTCCGGACTCATGAGTGTGCCCTGCAAGAACAGGCGGATTTCTGGCAGCATCAGGCCGAGCGCCGTCCCCAGACCGGGCACATTATCCACAACCAACGCCACCGCCGCGGAAACGAAGCTGAGCATAAATCCTCCCACCATAGAGCCGACGTTGGAGACAATGTCGTGTGCCATGCTTGCAATTTTTTTCGCCGCAATGCCCGCGAAGAGGTTCTGGACGATGCCGGGCGACTTCCCGATCATCGAGACCAACCCGACCGCTGCCGTTTTGACCAACTTACCCAACATGGCGAAAGTCTTCGTAGCAAAGCCACCAGAACTGCTAGCCTCGCCCGCCCCTAGTTGTGTCAGCGACATTCCTGCAAAGACCACTGGTGTATCCCGTGCAAAAGTTGTACCGCACTCGTAGTACTAACCGCATTTTCCATACATTGCAGAACAGTTGCTAAGGTAGATCCGCATTAAAATACTCTACGTCGCGTAATAAGCGGCCCTCAAATAAGGTCAGAGGTCACGAGACAACATTTGACGCCCGGACGCTTGTCGACAGAGCCTGACGCGCGTGACGTCGTATGGGCTAAGCACTAATCGAACCGAAACCATGCCGCGCGGAGCACAAAGAATTTGCCAGGCAGACTAGCCTCTGCCTGCACTGTAAAGACCCTTGCATGCTAACCCCAATGCCGGCGACACAGAAGCATCGGGGGGCTATCTGCCCTCTGCGTTTCTAAAAAGGGACCTAGCGCGGTTCTTTCGCAAAAATTCCGAGGGGCTAACCGCCCTTTGCATTGATTTTGTACAGGAAATCTAGCCCGGTCCTGGGACAAAAATTTCGGGTGGCTAACCTCCCTTTGCATTTCAAAAAGGGAGGCTAGCCCGGTCCCTGGGCAAAGTTTTCGAGTAGCTAACCTCCCTTTGCATTTCAAAAAGGGAGGCTAGCCCGGTCCCTGGGCAAAAATTTCGGGTAGCTAACCTTTCTTTGCATTTCAAAAAGGGGAGCTAGCCCTTGAGCAAAAATTTCAAAGGGCTAACCTAGGTTTGCATTTCAAAAACCTAGGTTAGGAAAAATGAATTGGCGGGCTTTTGCTAGCCGCCCTTTGCATTTAGGAAAAAAAAAGCGCGCGGCCACGCACTCCCTTTCACACACTGCGCGCACACATGATGCTGGCGTGGTGGGGAAAAAAAAATTTTCGCGCGCTGCGCGCGCCCGAGTCATAACCTTCTTCCTTCGGGAGTTAGCTCCTGCCCAAAAATTTCAGGGGGCTAACCTAGGTTTGCATTTCAAAAACCTAGGTTAGGAAAAATGAATTCGCGCACTTTTCCTAACCGAGGTTTTCAAAATGAAAACCTCGGTTAGGAAAAAAAAATGTGGCTGTTTGCCAAGGCCGCCTTGGCAAACGGCCACATTTTTTTTTCCTAACCAAGGTTTTCATTTTGAAAACCTTGGTTAGGAAAAAAGGCCAAAATCATTTTTCCTAACCGAGGTTTTCATTTTGAAAAGGGCGGTCAGGAAAAATTTCAATGGGCTAACCTCTGTTTGCATTTCAAACAGGGAGGTTAGGAAAAATGAATTCGCCCACTTTTGCTAACCGCCCTTTTCAAAATGGAAAAGGCGGTCAGGAAAAAAAAATCCGGCCGCTTTCCCAGGCTCAGCCTGGAAAGGCGGCACATTTTTTTTTCCTCACCGCCCTTTTCATTTTGAAAAGGGCGGCTAGGAAAAAGGCGCCTACTCATTTTTCCTAACCTCCCTGCTTCAAGTCTCGTTCTCGTGCCCAAGCCACGGCTGCCCATTACCTGAAAAAGTATTGAGGTTGTGAGAATTTTGATGGTGGCTTTCTAGCAGCCAGACTGTGCAAGTTGCGGCAGATGCACTATCACAAGGAAAAGCAAACGATAGGCATCGCAAATGCAGAAACCGACTTGCGTTTTTTATTGTCCGGAAAGGAGAGCAATTAATAGCGCCACTCGTCGCGCACGCAGCATGGGATTGCGGCGGGCGAGGAGTAAGCTTTCCGATTTTCTGTCGCCTTGCTCGCTTTCTTGTTCGGTTCTTGCGCCTGGGCTGTGCAGTTGCTGCAGACGCGCTACGCCAATGATTACGCGTATGCATCTTGTTACACGGAAGCAACTTGCGCTGTTTGTTCTACGGAAATAAAGGGCGCACGCCTGTCGCACAAGGACGAGCAGCAGACGCAGCGCACAAAGCTTCCGACGCGTTTTTGTTTTCCATTCCTAGTCATCAGCTACTCGCGCTCGCTAAAATTATTCCGAGCGATCGGGCGTCAAATGTCTGGACTTATGAAAGGGCCGCTAATTCGGTTCTATAGAGTATATGAGTCAGCTTTATTTTGTAATGCACTTCTTTATTGATGTTGTGCATGTACTACTGGTACGAAATTTTTGCCATCCATATGGTCGTGTCATGGATGTCGAAAGTGCCAGACGCTCACTCTCGTCTCTTTGAGAGTTCCAAGACCAATCCAACACGTGAGTCTTTGACGGATCCGCCATGTTGTGCTGGCCGCCAGGGTTCCCTAGGAAACTACTGGAAACTACTGCACCACTTGACGGCGCGCCAGGCGTTGCTGAAGAGGAAGATGATCCCGACGCTGCGTGCGAAGGTTGTGGGTCTCGGGCTGTGAGAATCACAATATAGAATTATGACTACTTCGATATAATCATAAATATGTTTCAAAGGGCAGGAGCTACGGAAAAATGAAAATCACAATCAGAACAAATATATTCTTGGCCGCGGCACAAGCGAAAACTAAAAGCACAACATGATCGATCAAACGGAAAACTCTTCTTCTCCGAATAAAGAGGGACCACAGCAGCTTCAGATCAGAACCGACAGACACTCGGCAATCACAAAATCCCATACGAACTGCTGGCCTAACAGGCAGCTTTCTCTGGCTATGTACTCGGCGTCGCGCCTCTGTCTTCTACTCTTTCGACGTGTCACATCGTCTCAAAACTAAACAGTAAGTATGTACCTTGGAGTGGTCCCGCCAGCTGTAGTTCAACATTATCTCGCGCTGCAATAGAAGACTGGCGGCCACTTGAGCTAGCCCGCGACACTGGTGTAGCAACTGCGGACGAGGTGGTTGGTTTCTTTTCCAGAGCGCTACTACTAGTAGATGTAGAAGAACCGGCATTATCACGAGAAAAAAGTGTTACAGTTACTGTTACACATTTGCTGGAGTTTCTGCATCACAAATTTTCTCTGTGTGGCAGAGAAAAGTTGTAATGCGAAGATCGCAAGGGAAAACAGGAAGGAAACGAGGCTCCCAAGCATTTCCTGCATGAGAAAGGTTGTCTGTGTTGCCGGTCTTGCAACACAATGTGTAAACTGTAACACTTTTTTCTTGCGATAGGCATCACCAGAACCACCACCACCTCCAACATCAAGATCAGCGGGCTCATGATCTTGGTTAGCACCACCACCTCCACCATCAAGATCAGCGGGCTCATCTTGGTTAGCACCGTTGGCTTCGTCCACCGTGCCTTGCAAGCTTTCCACGAGGCTGACGAAGTTGTAATTCTTTTTGTCTTCGCCTTCCTCTGTAGCTGTCTTGTGTTCTTCGACATCGCTTTCGCCATCGCCATCGCCCGCCTGCTCGGTAGTACTTTCCTCGTCGTCAAACTTGAAGTCGTTTTCCTCGTCTAGATCCTCGTTCTATCCGCTGCAAACATGTCTGGGTCGTGGTCTGGAAACCTCATTATTGCTGGTCTTACATTTTTTATTTCTGTAGCATCTTCTGCATTCATTTTCATCCATGGCCAACAAAGAAAAATCGCAGCAGCTGCCTTTGTCATACAAAAACGCACAAGGAGGTTCTCATGCGGACTGGGTATCTATTTGTTTCTATGCATATGCGGGAGCGTTCCGGAAAAAACTTGTCAAAGAACTTGGCTGCCGCGTTCGAAGTTTGTTCTTTCTGTGCTTATTTGTACCTTTGCACATATAATCTTCCACAGTTCAGGATCGCAACTTTTTCATTTTTCCTGACCCAGACACTACAGTTGCATCTGATAACCCCGCCGTGCTCTTCGCAACGACGCTTTCGATCTTCGTAGTGACTTTCGTCAGCACGTTCCCTCCGCGTGTATGCATTGCAAAAGTATCGCACTAGTACAACTAGTAGAAATTGCGTCACAAATTTGGTCAGCATGAAAAAGCGCGGCACAGAGGTTGTAGGAGCTCTGTCATGCGCGATTGCGATTAGTACAACGAGCGCGATGCTTTTGCAGTGCATATCCTGCGATGAACGACAACTTCGGCAGACTTCGCATGAGATTGTGGAAGAAATGTTGGAGCCAGTTGTGGGCAAACACATGCTCATGGAGGCCGGTGACGACATTTTCCACAACAGAGGGAATCAAGTGCAAAAGTGTCTGGGTCTGGAAGATTGCCAGGTTTGTCATGCATATTTTGAATGGCCCATGATGTCTGTGACGCATCCCCTAGCATCACAGATCTTTAGAGGACTTTGCGTTGCCTCTACCGCATGAGAAATGCCGTCTCCGCGTAGCACAAACTGCACTCCTCTTGCTGGTCATGCAATACAATTTTTATCAGAATCGAAAAAGAAAAACAGAATCACAAGTTCCACCAACCTTCCAGACCCAGACATATTTGCAATCCATAGAGGGAATCATGACCCGAAAGACCTGCTCGATCTGGTCTTCGACGAGTTTTCGGATCTTTTTATTTTCCCCAATGGCGACCAGAGCGGAATCGAGGATCGCGGGAAGCATTGTATCGCATGTAAAAACGTCGACGTCCCAACAGCATCGCTGTCACGCAAATCAGCGCGCTGAAAATGTTTCTCAACATGCGGAGCCCCATGTTGCGAAGCATTCTCTGATCAAGTTTTGGACTTTGTCATGCTCCAAGCAGCACGATGCGCGAGATCTGTGACCACGCTGCTGAAGAACTAGCTCAAACAGGACTACGCTACGAGTCCAGACTTGTCATGCGAAACAGCCAAAACTTGTGGATTTGTCTAGCCGATTCCCGCCCATCTTGACTTCTATGACGTCGTGGGGACGTTTTTACATAGGATAGATTAAGGCTACCGCGGGGCCCGTGGCCTCGCTAACGTTGAACAAGGCGAACACCAAGTCTCCGACGATTTGCACGATCAAGAAGAGCGTGGCGTGGTAGTACAGCATCGAGAAGACCTTGGCCGTTCCTTGCGCAATCTTTCGCCGGATCATCCGCATGCTGTTCTTGAAGGTGCGGAGCAGCGTGCTCTTCAAGTCCCGTAGCACGTTCGTGCCGCTGCGTATCACCACACGTACGTTCTCGCCAAACTGTTTGGCTAACGCTACCATTTCGGTCGTGGCTTCCAGCGCTTGTTCCCCTAATTCCCCTACGTAACCCTTTATGGAATCCATGCCGTCCAATATAACGTCGAACGTTCCTTCCATGGCTTCCGCGGTTGCGTGGGCCGCGTGCCCCACCGCGTTTGCATATGCACCACAAATAAAAATATGTTCTACACGGAGTCAGTAGATCGCGTCTGGAGAATAAATAATGGCGTAGCACAACGTTTTTTACCACATACCTGGTTGTCATCTGCAATCGTACGAGCGTGGTGACGTAGTTGGCTTCGCGCACAGCCAGGTACTTCTATTGGCTCGAGGAAGAGGACAAAGAGAAAGATAAAGCAGCAGACGAGGACAAATGGTGTACGAAAACAAGTAGGCGCAAGAACTTTTCTCACACTCTCTTATCCTGAGTAAAAACGTACCCACACCAGAGTCAGGATGGGGATTTTGCAACACAAACCTAGGAGCTTTGTGAGTCACGCATCACAAGTTGCAGTCCGTAGTGTAGTGCAGGTTCGCAAGGCCAGCTGCATCAGAAATCCATCTGCTCATCCTGTTTACAGCATTACAAATAACACGACTAGAAATGTTTCTCATGGGGACCCGCATTACAAACGTTTCTGTGGATGCAAATCTGCATTACAACTCTGGGGTGGGTACGTTTTTACTCAGGATACTCTCTGTGAGGGACGCAGCAATGAATATTATCAACGTGGATGCTTGCACATTCGATAACAAAGTAAGTAGAAGTATAGTTGATGCAGCAGCCTGCCAGCTGTGTGCGCTATATCATGGCGGCACCGAAGAAAATTGGTGCGTGCACATGAATTAGAATTTGAATTAGAAAGGATTTGGATTTCTATATTATAAATGTTTGTATTTTCTATGCTGGTACTTCTATTTTTGGGTTCGGTTTTTCTTTTTTATTTGCTCCGCCTATAATTATCATCCAGATCAGCTCTACTCCCCGCTGCAATAATATTAAGTATTTGTGATGAGATAACACCGCACCTTGGCCCGCACTGGCCGTTCTTCTTGCCGCAGCGCGCGCTGCGTTGGCCGCAGCGGCGGCTCGCTGCTTTATCCTGAGCAAAAACGTCCCCACCCCAGAGTTGTCATGAAGATCTGCAAGCACAAGAGCATTTGTAATGCACATCCCCATGAGAGGCATTTCCCATCGTGTTTTGTAACTTGTAATGCTGTGAACAGGATAAGGAGATGGATTTGTTATGCGGATTCCAATGCTAAACTGCATTACACTACAGCCTGCAACTTGTCATGCGTCGCTCCCAAAACTTTAAGGTTTCTGTTGCAAAATTCCCATCTTGACTCTGGTGTGGGGACATTTTTACTCAGGATATGCTTCGCGGCCAAAAAAAACGCGCGCGGGTCCTTGACCACTTTCCAAGATATGGGATTCTATCCCACAGAAAAAGACCGACAGGTCATATTTGTAATGCAAAAATAAATACACAGGAAAATCTGTCATGGGCGAGGCCATAACATCCTGTTTAGGGCATGCAATACAGATTTTTTTGTCTATTTATTTTTGCATTACAAATATGACCTGTCGGTCTTTTTCTGGGGGATAGATTCGCAAACGTTCTTGTTACACTCTCGACTGTTACATAAGAACCACTCCCCGCGACTGCGTCGCGGGGCAAGCATTGTATTTGTTCTTCCCGTCGGCTGTGGAAGAAAATGAAAAAAGGGCATCACTTCCGCACCGGAAAAGGAGTGAGATCTCACTTTTGAAAAAATCTCACTTTCGGGTGGCCCAAAGCTGAGACTTCTCAGAAAGTGAGATCATCTCGATGAGCTCTCACTTTTTTCAAAATCTCACATGGCGGCCCAGAAGTGCGATGTCTCAGAAAGTGAGATCTCAGCGAGATGATCGCACTTTTTTCAAAGTCTCACCGTTTGGCCCTCCCGGAAAAGTGATTCGGACAGTGAGACTTCTTAGAAAGTAAGATCTCACTGAGAGCTCGCTTTATTTTTCAGAGTGAGACTCGCTGAGATCTCATCGAGAAGATCTTACTTCTTTCACTTTTTTTCCCAATTCTTTACCTTTCCATCGCCACACTGCTGCGGCGTAGCGGTTTCCCGTCGAGTAGCTGTGTCGGACGCGGCCGAAGGCCCGAGAGCGAAAATCTCCCCCCAGTGAGACCAGCGAAAATTTTTCGCCGAGCTATTCTATTGGGAGGCTCCGAGCCATGAAAAGAAACAGACCTAGGCGTCGCGATATTAACGAAAATAGAACAGAGCACGTCTGATCGAGCAGCGCCTTCTTTTGAAAAAGCAACCGAGTGGCTTTTGGGCTTTGCGCTCGAAAAAAAAGGTGATGGCGCAGCAGAAAAAGCTACAAAGCTTCTGAAGAATACCTTCTGAAGGTTTATCCTAAAGCCTACGCGTTGGCTTTCAGAGAAAGCGGCGTTTTCAATCGGGCAAACAGATTCGCGCGCAACAAAAGCAGCACATTTTGCTGGACCTTCTGAAGATTCTTCAGAAGCTCCACCTTCAGAAGAATTCAAAAACCAAAACCTTCTGAAGGTGTGCTGCTTTTACTTTTTTGATTTTTTTCAAAGTGCGACAATTTTGAAAAAACCTTCAGAAGATTTTGAGTCTTCTGAAGGTATTTTTGGTTGTCCTGATTTTTGGCCATTTTCTACGAGAAAAAAAGCGGCAGTCTTCTGAAGGTTTGCGACGTTGCTATATCGCGCAGACCTTCAGAAGACTGCCTACCTTCTGAAGGTTTAAAAAAGTCGTTTTTTAGTCTTCTGAAGCTTTTTTTGTCAAAAAATCGAGAAAATTCTTCAGAAGGTGAAAAAAAACCTTCAGAAGCCAAAAAAAACGCGCGCGGGTCCTTGACAACTTTCCACATCCCCGCGAGGCCGGGAACTGCAAGCACCGCTGCCGGGGCTGAAGCCGGCAGTGCTGACATGCACAAACCCATCGGAAGACCATCGGGGACCGCGACCGGCCATCGGAAGCCCATCGGAAGCAGAAAGGTAAAGCAGCAGACCACGAGGACAAATGGTGTACTGGCGGCACGACGGGCCACAGACGACGCCCTGAGGTCCCATCAAGATTCTGGAAAGATCACCTCCGACACTCCAGGGGGAGGGGTCGGAACGATTCGGAGCGCCCGCCCCTGTGTAGCCCCTGCGACAACTTGCAGACGAACGGGAAGCAAAGAGCGCTCGCGTAACGCGCGTTACACGATGGTATGGTGGATGTGAGAAAGGGCCAGACGCCCCACGGGCGGTGCCGCAGGTGCTAGCTTGCTGGGAGTGACGAATAACCACGCCCAACAAGGGCGAGCGAGTGGTCGCGCGGTTGTAAAAACCCTGGCGCGACGCGGAACAATCTGGGGCCCGGCAATGGACGGAATTGCATGCCCCCGTCCGCAGGGTCCATCCCGCTTCCATGGGCCAGATATAAGTACCCGACCGATCCCGAGGGCAACCCCAGGTCGGAAATGGTCCAGCAAAAGACGGCGCACTAGCCCCAAAGCGAGTTTTTTTCTTTTTGATTCAAAAACGAACCCGCTGAATTTCCTAAATCAAAGAAAACACGCGCGGCCAAAAAAAACGCGCGCGGGTCCTTGGCAACTTTCCAAGATATGGCATGACTTGGAAAGACCCCCCCTCCCGCGTCGGAAACTCCCCTCGTTGCGGAACTAGAACCCACGGGCTAGAATTTCGAGCGTTTCAAACATATTGAATCCCAATCGTCGCGCGGTGTTGCGAACCACAAAAATCAGGCACGGCCTACGCACGACACTGCACGCACCTTGCAGGCAGTGTGGCAGAGCGTTCCTCTCGGCGGTGTGGCGCGCGCAGTAACGCGCTGCAATCAGAAGGGTCACAATCGCAAAAAATTTTCCGGAGTGGGATAGTTTTTATCCGGGTTCGTTGATAATTCAGCGAGGCCTCGCTCCGGAAGAACGAGAAGCCGAGTATATTTACTTTTTGAAATTCAGGAGTGAGATTTTATTTCCAGGAGTGAATATTCACTGAAATTTCACTCGGTTTCTCGTCCCGCAACGAGAAATCGAGTGAAAATTCAGCGAATTTTCACTTTTTGAAGGGATCACGAATTTTCCGGGATTGAGAATTCTTCTTAGCGAATTCTCGCTCCGGAAAAACTTCGCTCCCGGAGTGAAAATTTTCAAAAAGTGAAAATTCACTGAATTTTCACTCGATTCTGAGTTCCGGAACTGGGCCTCGTTCCGGAACGAGGCCCAGTTCCGGAACTCAGAATCGAGTGAAAATTCAGTGAATTTTCACTTTTTGAAAATTTTCACTCCGGGAGCGAAGTTTTTCCGGAGCGAGAATTCGCTAAGAAGAATTCTCAATCCCGGAAAATTCGTGATCCCTTCAAAAAGTGAAAATTCGCTGAATTTTCACTCGATTTCTCGTTGCGGGACGAGAAACCGAGTGAAATTTCAGTGAATATTCACTCCTGGAAATAAAATCTCACTCCTGAATTTCAAAAAGTAAATATACTCGGCTTCTCGTTCTTCCGGAGCGAGGCCTCGCTGAATTATCAACGAACCCGGATAAAAACTATCCCACTCCGGAAAATTTTTTGCGATTGTGACCCTTCTGATTGCAGCGCGTTACTGCGCGCGCCACACCGCCGAGAGGAACGCTCTGCCACACTGCCTGCAAGGTGCGTGCAGTGTCGTGCGTAGGCCGTGCCTGATTTTTGTGGTTCGCAACACCGCGCGACGATTGGGATTCAATATGTTTGAAACGCTCGAAATTCTAGCCCGTGGGTTCTAGTTCCGCAACGAGGGGAGTTTCCGACGCGGGAGGGGGGGTCTTTCCAAGTCATGCCATATCTTGGAAAGTTGCCAAGGACCCGCGCGCGTTTTTTTTGGCCGCGCGTGTTTTCTTTGATTTAGGAAATTCAGCGGGTTCGTTTTTGAATCAAAAAGAAAAAAACTCGCTTTGGGGCTAGTGCGCCGTCTTTTGCTGGACCATTTCCGACCTGGGGTTGCCCTCGGGATCGGTCGGGTACTTATATCTGGCCCATGGAAGCGGGATGGACCCTGCGGACGGGGGCATGCAATTCCGTCCATTGCCGGGCCCCAGATTGTTCCGCGTCGCGCCAGGGTTTTTACAACCGCGCGACCACTCGCTCGCCCTTGTTGGGCGTGGTTATTCGTCACTCCCAGCAAGCTAGCACCTGCGGCACCGCCCGTGGGGCGTCTGGCCCTTTCTCACATCCACCATACCATCGTGTAACGCGCGTTACGCGAGCGCTCTTTGCTTCCCGTTCGTCTGCAAGTTGTCGCAGGGGCTACACAGGGGCGGGCGCTCCGAATCGTTCCGACCCCTCCCCCTGGAGTGTCGGAGGTGATCTTTCCAGAATCTTGATGGGACCTCAGGGCGTCGTCTGTGGCCCGTCGTGCCGCCAGTACACCATTTGTCCTCGTGGTCTGCTGCTTTACCTTTCTGCTTCCGATGGGCTTCCGATGGCCGGTCGCGGTCCCCGATGGTCTTCCGATGGGTTTGTGCATGTCAGCACTGCCGGCTTCAGCCCCGGCAGCGGTGCTTGCAGTTCCCGGCCTCGCGGGGATGTGGAAAGTTGTCAAGGACCCGCGCGCGTTTTTTTTGGCTTCTGAAGGTTTTTTTTCACCTTCTGAAGAATTTTCTCGATTTTTTGACAAAAAAAGCTTCAGAAGACTAAAAAACGACTTTTTTAAACCTTCAGAAGGTAGGCAGTCTTCTGAAGGTCTGCGCGATATAGCAACGTCGCAAACCTTCAGAAGACTGCCGCTTTTTTTCTCGTAGAAAATGGCCAAAAATCAGGACAACCAAAAACACCTTCAGAAGACTCAAAATCTTCTGAAGGTTTTTTCAAAATTGTCGCACTTTGAAAAAAATCAAAAAAGTAAAAGCAGCACACCTTCAGAAGGTTTTGGTTTTTGAACCTTCTGAAGGTGGAGCTTCTGAAGAATCTTCAGAAGGTCCAGCAAAATGTGCTGCTTTTGTTGCGCGCGAATCTGTTTGCCCGATTGAAAACGCCGCTTTCTCTGAAAGCCAACGCGTAGGCTTTAGGATAAACCTTCAGAAGGTATTCTTCAGAAGCTTTGTAGCTTTTTCTGCTGCGCCATCACCTTTTTTTTCGAGCGCAAAGCCCAAAAGCCACTCGGTTGCTTTTTCAAAAGAAGGCGCTGCTCGATCAGACGTGCTCTGTTCTATTTTCGTTAATATCGCGACGCCTAGGTCTGTTTCTTTTCATGGCTCGGAGCCTCCCAATAGAATAGCTCGGCGAAAAATTTTCGCTGGTCTCACTGGGGGGAGATTTTCGCTCTCGGGCCTTCGGCCGCGTCCGACACAGCTACTCGACGGGAAACCGCTACGCCGCAGCAGTGTGGCGATGGAAAGGTAAAGAATTGGGAAAAAAAGTGAAAGAAGTAAGATCTTCTCGATGAGATCTCAGCGAGTCTCACTCTGAAAAATAAAGCGAGCTCTCAGTGAGATCTTACTTTCTAAGAAGTCTCACTGTCCGAATCACTTTTCCGGGAGGGCCAAACGGTGAGACTTTGAAAAAAGTGCGATCATCTCGCTGAGATCTCACTTTCTGAGACATCGCACTTCTGGGCCGCCATGTGAGATTTTGAAAAAAGTGAGAGCTCATCGAGATGATCTCACTTTCTGAGAAGTCTCAGCTTTGGGCCACCCGAAAGTGAGATTTTTTCAAAAGTGAGATCTCACTCCTTTTCCGGTGCGGAAGTGATGCCCTTTTTTCATTTTCTTCCACAGCCGACGGGAAGAACAAATACAATGCTTGCCCCGCGACGCAGTCGCGGGGAGTGGTTCTTATGTAACAGTCGAGAGTGTAACAAGAACGTTTGCGAATCTATCCCCCAGAAAAAGACCGACAGGTCATATTTGTAATGCAAAATAAATAGACAAAAAAATCTGTATTGCATGCCCTAAACAGGATGTTATGGCCTCGCCCATGACAGATTTTCCTGTGTATTTATTTTTGCATTACAAATATGACCTGTCGGTCTTTTTCTGTGGGATAGAATCGCAAACGTTCTTGTTACACTCTCGACTGTTACATAAGAACCACTCCCCGCGACTGCGTCGCGGGGCAAGCATTGTATTTGTTCTTCCCGTCGGCTGTGGAAGAAAATGAAAAAAGGGCATCACTTCCGCACCGGAAAAGGAGTGAGATCTCACTTTTGAAAAAATCTCACTTTCGGGTGGCCCAAAGCTGAGACTTCTCAGAAAGTGAGATCATCTCGATGAGCTCTCACTTTTTTCAAAATCTCACATGGCGGCCCAGAAGTGCGATGTCTCAGAAAGTGAGATCTCAGCGAGATGATCGCACTTTTTTCAAAGTCTCACCGTTTGGCCCTCCCGGAAAAGTGATTCGGACAGTGAGACTTCTTAGAAAGTAAGATCTCACTGAGAGCTCGCTTTATTTTTCAGAGTGAGACTCGCTGAGATCTCATCGAGAAGATCTTACTTCTTTCACTTTTTTTCCCAATTCTTTACCTTTCCATCGCCACACTGCTGCGGCGTAGCGGTTTCCCGTCGAGTAGCTGTGTCGGACGCGGCCGAAGGCCCGAGAGCGAAAATCTCCCCCCAGTGAGACCAGCGAAAATTTTTCGCCGAGCTATTCTATTGGGAGGCTCCGAGCCATGAAAAGAAACAGACCTAGGCGTCGCGATATTAACGAAAATAGAACAGAGCACGTCTGATCGAGCAGCGCCTTCTTTTGAAAAAGCAACCGAGTGGCTTTTGGGCTTTGCGCTCGAAAAAAAAGGTGATGGCGCAGCAGAAAAAGCTACAAAGCTTCTGAAGAATACCTTCTGAAGGTTTATCCTAAAGCCTACGCGTTGGCTTTCAGAGAAAGCGGCGTTTTCAATCGGGCAAACAGATTCGCGCGCAACAAAAGCAGCACATTTTGCTGGACCTTCTGAAGATTCTTCAGAAGCTCCACCTTCAGAAGGTTCAAAAACCAAAACCTTCTGAAGGTGTGCTGCTTTTACTTTTTTGATTTTTTTCAAAGTGCGACAATTTTGAAAAAACCTTCAGAAGATTTTGAGTCTTCTGAAGGTGTTTTTGGTTGTCCTGATTTTTGGCCATTTTCTACGAGAAAAAAAGCGGCAGTCTTCTGAAGGTTTGCGACGTTGCTATATCGCGCAGACCTTCAGAAGACTGCCTACCTTCTGAAGGTTTAAAAAAGTCGTTTTTTAGTCTTCTGAAGCTTTTTTTGTCAAAAAATCGAGAAAATTCTTCAGAAGGTGAAAAAAAACCTTCAGAAGCCAAAAAAAACGCGCGCGGGTCCTTGACAACTTTCCACATCCCCGCGAGGCCGGGAACTGCAAGCACCGCTGCCGGGGCTGAAGCCGGCAGTGCTGACATGCACAAACCCATCGGAAGACCATCGGGGACCGCGACCGGCCATCGGAAGCCCATCGGAAGCAGAAAGGTAAAGCAGCAGACCACGAGGACAAATGGTGTACTGGCGGCACGACGGGCCACAGACGACGCCCTGAGGTCCCATCAAGATTCTGGAAAGATCACCTCCGACACTCCAGGGGGAGGGGTCGGAACGATTCGGAGCGCCCGCCCCTGTGTAGCCCCTGCGACAACTTGCAGACGAACGGGAAGCAAAGAGCGCTCGCGTAACGCGCGTTACACGATGGTATGGTGGATGTGAGAAAGGGCCAGACGCCCCACGGGCGGTGCCGCAGGTGCTAGCTTGCTGGGAGTGACGAATAACCACGCCCAACAAGGGCGAGCGAGTGGTCGCGCGGTTGTAAAAACCCTGGCGCGACGCGGAACAATCTGGGGCCCGGCAATGGACGGAATTGCATGCCCCCGTCCGCAGGGTCCATCCCGCTTCCATGGGCCAGATATAAGTACCCGACCGATCCCGAGGGCAACCCCAGGTCGGAAATGGTCCAGCAAAAGACGGCGCACTAGCCCCAAAGCGAGTTTTTTTCTTTTTGATTCAAAAACGAACCCGCTGAATTTCCTAAATCAAAGAAAACACGCGCGGCCAAAAAAAACGCGCGCGGGTCCTTGGCAACTTTCCAAGATATGGCATGACTTGGAAAGACCCCCCCTCCCGCGTCGGAAACTCCCCTCGTTGCGGAACTAGAACCCACGGGCTAGAATTTCGAGCGTTTCAAACATATTGAATCCCAATCGTCGCGCGGTGTTGCGAACCACAAAAATCAGGCACGGCCTACGCACGACACTGCACGCACCTTGCAGGCAGTGTGGCAGAGCGTTCCTCTCGGCGGTGTGGCGCGCGCAGTAACGCGCTGCAATCAGAAGGGTCACAATCGCAAAAAATTTTCCGGAGTGGGATAGTTTTTATCCGGGTTCGTTGATAATTCAGCGAGGCCTCGCTCCGGAAGAACGAGAAGCCGAGTATATTTACTTTTTGAAATTCAGGAGTGAGATTTTATTTCCAGGAGTGAATATTCACTGAAATTTCACTCGGTTTCTCGTCCCGCAACGAGAAATCGAGTGAAAATTCAGCGAATTTTCACTTTTTGAAGGGATCACGAATTTTCCGGGATTGAGAATTCTTCTTAGCGAATTCTCGCTCCGGAAAAACTTCGCTCCCGGAGTGAAAATTTTCAAAAAGTGAAAATTCACTGAATTTTCACTCGATTCTGAGTTCCGGAACTGGGCCTCGTTCCGGAACGAGGCCCAGTTCCGGAACTCAGAATCGAGTGAAAATTCAGTGAATTTTCACTTTTTGAAAATTTTCACTTTGGGATCTCAAATTCTCCGGGAGTGACAATTAAGCTCCGGGAAAATTCATGATCCCTTCAAAAAGTGAAAACTCACTGAATTTTCACTCGTCTTCTCGTTGCGGAACGAGAAACCACGTAAAAATTCAGTGAGTATTAACTTTCGGAAAAATTTCACTCCGGGAGCGAGGCTTTCCCGGAGTGCGAATTCGTTGGATTGCTTCGCAATACTCCAGATTAAATCGCGATCCCAAAGTGAGAACTTTCAAAGACACGAGATCCCAAAGTGAGAGGCCAAAACAAACGCGCGCGGGTCCATGACAAATTTCCACATCCCCGCGAGGCCGGGAACTGCAAGCACCGCTGCCGGGGCTGAAGCCGGCAGTGCTGACATGCACAAACCCATCGGAAGACCATCGGGGACCGCGACCGGCCATCGGAAGCCCATCGGAAGCAGAAAGGTAAAGCAGCAGACCACGAGGACAAATGGTGTACTGGCGGCACGACGGGCCACAGACGACGCCCTGAGGTCCCATCAAGATTCTGGAAAGATCACCTCCGACACTCCAGGGGGAGGGGTCGGAACGATTCGGAGCGCCCGCCCCTGTGTAGCCCCTGCGACAACTTGCAGACGAACGGGAAGCAAAGAGCGCTCGCGTAACGCGCGTTACACGATGGAATGGTGGATGTGAGAAAGGGCCAGACGCCCCACGGGCGGTGCCGCAGGTGCTAGCTTGCTGGGAGTGACGAATAACCACGCCCAACAAGGGCGAGCGAGTGGTCGCGCGGTTGTAAAAACCCTGGCGCGACGCGGAACAATCTGGGGCCCGGCAATGGACGGAATTGCATGCCCCCGTCCGCAGGGTCCATCCCGCTTCCATGGGCCAGATATAAGTACCCGACCGATCCCGAGGGCAACCCCAGGTCGGAAATGGTCCAGCAAAAGACGGCGCACTAGCCCCAAAGCGAGTTTTTTTCTTTTTGATTCAAAAACGAACCCGCTGAATTTCCTAAATCAAAGAAAACACGCGCGGCCAAAAAAAACGCGCGCGGGTCCATGACAAGTTTCCAAAAAAAACGCGGATTCACAAACGTTCTTACACTCCCGACTGTTACATGAATTTGATATGCTAACCCGACCGAAACCACAAACGCAACCAATTGGGCACCTTTCCGCAGATGGTCAGGCCACCGGGTCGCGGAGTCAGGCGGGCCGAAGCCATCACCATGTAATGCAAGAATAGCATAGGCGAGAAAAAGAACCTTGCGCGTCTTGCATCACAGATTTGGTGCGGATTCTGGCGCTATTTGGCGCGTCGAGAAATTTCTGTCATGCGAAGTAGCTTGATCGTGGCGATCGCGATGTTCGTGTTGATAGTGATTTATTTTGCGTGAAGATAAATCCATGTAACAGTCGAGAGTGTTACGTTTGAGAATCCCATACAATTGAGAGGCAATTTGTCCTCGGGGAACATCATCGATTTCATTCTCCTTATCAAATGCAAATATGTCATCTCCTGGGTCTGGAAGAGCTTGATGCTTTTTTTTGCATGACACAGAAGGTCTGGCATGCAAAGTAGAGCATCTCAGGTTTTCAGCAGGTTTAGGAACGATAACGAATGCCTAATCCGCATGAGAAGCTCCCTGCCCCTCTTTGTGTAGCAACAAATGAGCAGAGCGGAGCGCCTTTTGTGCTCCATGCATAACAGATTTTTGTTTGGTCTGAAATCAAATGCACATAAGAAGTTTACAACGTGTTGCCAGACCCACACCCAGACATATTTGCAATGCATACTCCTGAAACCAGGCTTATTTGGTCGTGTAGCGGTCCCCCCATCTCCGTGTTCACTTTCGCCATCAGAATCAGAAACAGAATGATGATGATCCTCGTCGGGATAAGTGTGTGAGTCTCGCGCATGATGGAAAAAAGTTGCACCCTGTCTTCGCAACACGAGGTGGGCTGTGGGCCGGTTCTCCGTTTCATCATTTGGATCCTCGTTGTATAGCTCCACACCTGTTACCTGGGGGGGCCCCCCGCCCGTGTCGACGCGGACTGGAGCAAGCACGAGATTCGCACTATCCCCGAGATCCTTAAACTGGCTTAGATGTTCATTTGCGACGTGAGTTATCCAAGGCAAAAAGATTGCTGCCCGTGTAAGTTTGTGATGCTCAATTACATCATGTTGCAAAGTGATTGCGGGGGCTGTCCTCCTGCTGGGCATGCGCATGCATTGCAAGGCCCGTTGTTCAAGCGCGTTCCCACGAACCATCTGCGTATGACAAGTGATTTTTGCTCTCATTTAATGCCGTTCCGCCAAAAAAGTTCTTCGCCTACAATCTTTTTTTTGTTGGATATCAGTTACTTTTTGAGTAGTCAACTGATCGAACTGGTTATGCAAGTAGCGTCAGGACCGAAATGGACAAAGTTACAATTACACATTTGCTGCAATGCACAAAGTTTTGCACAAAATGCCATGCACAAACTACTTGCATGTGTAGTAAAAATGGACAGCAGGCAAGCGAGGCGGATGCGGATTGGTGTGAGCCTGTAGTTTACGTATAGGGCTAAGGATACAGCTCCACCTGCGAAGTGCAAGTGGCACTACAAAAGCTAGCAGTTTCATCTGTGCCGCAAACAGCATGCCGCATTGGGGCAAGGTGCTGGTGCCAAAATTCATTGTCATGCGTCAGTTCGATGATTATACTGGCCTTCCAACTGGTACTATCTATCCACACTGGTGGCTTTATGCATCAATGCAAATGATTTCAACTTTGACAATTTCCGAATAAAACGTGACGCTTCCATACTGTTCTTCAGTTTTCCCGAAAAGATCTCTGAAATCCTCAAGGGAGCCTTATCCTGTGTAAAAACGTCCCCAACCCGCACCCATGGCTGTAATGCAAATCTGCATGCTGAGAATGTTTCTCATGCGGAGCTCCATGAGAAGCGCTTCTAGTCGTGTTTTGGCTTTTGTCATGCTCCAACCTGCGTGATTTGCTAGACCTGTCGCGACGCCGCTGAACTAGCTAAACAAGAAAAGACTACAACGAGGCCAAACTTGTCAACATGCGCATCAACAGCTGCAACTTGTTGATTTGTCTGGCAGATTTCCCATACTGACTATCACTATGCGGTGGGAACGTTTTTGCTCAGGATAAGTCTTCCACGAAGCCGCCCAAGTTCCTTGCGCCGGTCGTCACGAGGCTGGCTCCATCTTCCCATAGTTGGTTAACCTTTTCTTCAATTTTTTCGCGAAGCGCCTTCACGACGCTATCCCAGATCTCCGGCAGGGCCTGCTGGATCACGCTGGCAAAAATGGCTTTGGAAATTTTGTTGAACTCCCGGTAAAGCTATACACAGGAAATTTCCCGTACACGTACAAATGCGGTCTCTGCATGACAAAACTTGGCTTCGATCCTACTTTAGCATGACAAGTTTTACTCTCCAAATTGGTGAAGTTTGTGATGCATGTTGTACATGTACGGGAAATTTGTATTGCATAAAAGCATTTCGGCGAATTGTTCCCCCAGACACCGGTGCAGCAGCGTGTCAAAAAGCAGGGTGACGGGGATGTTCAGGCCCGGTTATGGGACTCTCAACTGTTACATTCTCAACTGTTACATGAATTTGTATTGCAAGAACAGCGAAAGTGAAAGGCAGGATCTTGCAACTTTTGCATTACAGATTTGACACAGATGACTCAGATTTTGTTTAGCCCTTCGAGAATTTGTCATGCCAAGCCGCTTGGCCGTGTGGTTGTTATGTTTTATTATGGTATTTTTGCATGACAAATTCATGCAACAGTTGAGAATGTAACGTTTGAGAACGCCATACCGGTATCAGCTGCGTTGCGGTCTCGGCCGCGACCCCCATCAGCTCACTGATGTAACTGAACACCTGCTGCTGCACGAGAGCAAAAAACTGCTGCAGTTTCTCGCTCTTTTCTTTGGCCGGCACCATGTGCTTCGCAATCAGGTCGCCGATCCACGCGACAGCCGGCTCGAAGACCTCGCTTATCCTGTGGAAAAACCTCCCCACACCAGAGTTGTAATGCAGATTTGCAAAGACAGGAAGACTTGTAATGCGCATCCGCATGAGAGCCATATCCAATCGCGTTTTGGAATTTGTGATGCTGTGAACAGGATGAGCAGATGAATCTGTGATGCGGCTGCACTTGCTAACCTGCACTATACTGCAGAGCGCAACTTGTCATGCGTGACTCACAAAACTCCTAGTTTTGTGTTGCAAAATCCCCATCCTGACTCTGGTGTGGGTACGTTTTTACTCAGGATATCGCTCTGCAGATATTCTAAGGGGCGCCTCAACGTGTTCTGGACCGCGTCGGCCGCGAGGTTCTTCAGGGCATCCGAGTCGAAAAGGCTGGGCGGCAACGCGGCTAAAGCTTGGCTGCCAAAATTCTGAACTGCACTGCCAACATCCTGAAATGTAGTAGACAGGTGGTGCGATAGTGACACCCCGCGTGGAACAGGCAGGCCACCACTTGATGTTTCCGACAGAAACGAGACCGGGTCCCGTTGCCCCGCCGGCAAGTGGAACGGAGGGAGTGGGCGGGCTATCCAGGAAAAAACACCCATCCCCATCCATTCTTGGCATGGCAAATAGTTAAGTTGATTTTATGCATGTTTTGCATGACAAACTGGATCGATGGGGATGGGTGTTTTTTCCTGGATACGGGCAGGTACCGCGACCGGCGCGAGGTTCCACGACGAGTAGGGGCCACCAGCTTGAAGACCACGACCACGGACCTCTGGTTCTTCTTCTGTTCCCTCGAGCGAAGATGCTGTGTGGCCAGGACCAGGATCAACATCATGCTGGATGGCCGCCGCTTCCTTGACCTTGTCATTCATTTTTCCGCCGGTCGTCGTCCCCGACGCAGGAGCTTCTGAAGATGCACTGTCAGGAACAAGGCCCGCAATACTAGACTGCAAAGCAGAGATGCCGTTTCGTTCGGGTGAGCTGGTACCACCCGAGGCTGGTGCGTCCGCTTGCAAATGCGATGGTGCGCCGGATTTTTGTTTTTCGTCTTGGGAGACGAGAGTACTACTACTCAAGTGGTCATCTCCGTGTCGCTCATCTTGTTGCAGGAACGCGTCGCCCGTACTGTCGTGTGGTCCATCTTCCCCGCCTTCGGTCTTCATGATGCGGCCATGATCCTCAGGATGATGGCTATCAGAAGTCGGAGGCCGCTTGAGCAACTCTCCGTCGTTTGATGTTCCACCCGGCAGCGGTGGCTCGATCACTCCTCTTTGAAGATCTTCATCTTCTTTGCCCACGACCTCGTTGTTGGTCTGCCGAAAGTGGTAACTGGCTCGCAGTGTCTCCAAAAACGCAGAGAAAGCAGCGAGCCAGCTGTGCGGAGGTCGTGAGGTGTCCTGGACGTAGGTCTCGCCCGACGCGGAGGAGTCATTATGCACTGCAAAAGCAAATAAAAAACCGCACGCAAATAAATCGCACACACATGATGTTCTTGCATCTAGTACGTATTGTCATAAGCTCGTGGTCACTTTCCTTCTTCATCATGTGTGATTATGATGTTGATGATGATGTTGATGATGATATGATTGTCGTCTCATTTCGATTTCCATCAATGCACAATGTCAATCAACAACAAGTTGAAGATGAGAAAAATACATCTGCTTCATGTTCAGACTGTACTAATTGCACAAAGAAATCAACAACATGATTGCGATCTTCGCGTGCGGGGGCAACAAGCTGTACAGGTGGATAGCCATCGTCCAGCTCGAGCAACACTCCTTGATTAGCCGCGAGCACTCGCTGCCGAGCGACTGCCCCTCGGAGGTTCGCCCGCTTCATTTTTCTCGGTCGCGGCGTCCTCGTCCCAGAAGTCGAAATGTCGCTGTGGCTGCCCGATTGCTCGGACGACGTCATGCGAAGAAGATGCTGATGTGCGGACGACACGGTCGCGGTCGTACTCGAATCGGCCGCGGCCAGGGGCGAGCTGCTCTCCCGGGTGGAGGTGGTGCCAGGTGACGAGAAGTCGCTGTTCATCAGGTTGTTTTCATCCGCCGTGTTCGCGCCGTCTTCAACAACTTTCACGGCGAAACAAGCAGTGTGCGGGACGAGGAGAAAGGAGGTAGGAGAAAGGACGTCGAATAAAACGACCGCGAGCATGAAGAACAGCCACGACTGGAGGAACTGAAGCTGATGCTGTTGCACTTCTCCCATCGGTCGTCGACGACCGCCACCGTCGGTACGACGAGGATGAGGATTTTCTTGTAGTTTATTGTGATTGTGACGGCGCCGCTCATGCTCTTCCTCTTGCAAGAAGAACGCGTCAAAAACTACATCGACAAACGGAATCGCCGACTTCCTCGTGAAAGTTATCTTCTCGGGGGCGAGGACCCGGTCTGATGCTCCTGCTGTGTCACAAAAATCGTGTTCGTGCTCTTTCTCAGGAGAAAAAGTAGGACTAGTGATGTGGTGCCGTTCATCCCTGCTTGTTCCTGCTCCTCTCGTCGAAGATGCGAATAGGTGTGGTTCTGGATGAGCGAGCAGGTCGTGTGGTTTTTTTTCTCCACGTCCCAACTTCCCCAACATCTTCTTCCACCCACGGTGTGGCGGAACGAGGGACCCCTTGCCCTTCTTGAAGACGCGGGGGGCGCCTGTTGGTTCCGGGTCAGTTCGAGTTCCTTGATGTTCTTGTCCAGCCTGGCCAGGCACGTGGGCGCGGTTCTGGACCTCCGGGGTGGAGTTGTAGTACGCAACATGGCGGGCGGGGGCGCTCACGGTTTGCCGGACCTGCTGCGGCCCGGCCATGGGCTTGATGGCGTAGAAGACCGGCATGGCGACAGTTTTGGTCCGTCGCGTCGGTCTTGCTTCCGTTTAAATTTTTAAAATTTTTTGTTTCTTAATAATGTAGATACTTAAAAATTTGGGTCGTGCAACTCTTCAGGGATGAAAGGAATAAAGACGTGAAAAAAAATACTGATTCTGATAATTCAAAAATAGAACTGCGTTTTCTCTGGTAAAGACAGATAAAGTAAATATGTTTATGTATAGATACTGTACAAAAGAAAAAAATTTTTTGAAAAACGAAGATAATAACGAAGATAAAGTACTAGAGACACAACGATCTGCGCAAGGATAAGAGAGTTAGTACGGTAGGAGGAAAAATCAAACGAAAATAGGGTCGATAGTTTTTTAGAGCTTCGTTGTGACTATGATAAAGGGGGTGCGTGCAAAAAAGTCGCGCTCGTTTAAAATATTTTTTTGTCAGGTTAGTAGTACACGTACAGGGAAAAAGATTTGTTCGTCGTTGATGTTAAGCGAAAACAGGTGTTGTGCTCGTCTTAGATATAAAAAAGTGCTCCTTTTCGTTGGGTTTGAATGAGTGCGAGGAGTTTGTATTTGTAATTCTTGTTAGTTTTCCTTTGTATAAAGCGAAATTCTTCATTGGGGGGAATATTGAGAAGAGCAAGGCGTTTCTAGGTAGAAACCTTTTTGCACATACGCACAGTAGCTATGGCAAAAGAACGCCTGGGGTGAGAGTGTCCATGGATTGATGCACGACAGTTGTTTTTCCTTTTTGTAAGTACACAAGCGTCGGAAATGGCAAGCAGAGACAATAAGCAAAACGACCGATGGACTATTTACGATGAAAAATAAACGATCAAAGTCAAACCGAAGAACTGATCAAGCAGCCTACTACCGGTTCCGGTTGTGAACGAAAGCGATGCTCGTAGCTTGTTGCGCACGAAGATGCATGAACGATACAGACCGTCAAGTTCGTGGTACGATGAAAGGACCGAGCAGGGAGTGCGGCTTCGATGCACGACGAATTTTTATTTGGACGAACTCAGGAGGCACCTGCAACCGATTTGAATACGCTTATTTGTCATGAGGACGCACGAGTACTTACAAATTGGAATTTACTTGACGAAATCCGAAAGGGAAGTCCACGACATGTGCAACCTAAAGAACCGACAAGTTTTGCGCACGATGTCCAGGATCACAACCGGATGCTGGACGCAAATAAATACTGTTGTCCTAAAGCTAAAGAACCTTACGTCATACGTATATCTAAGCCTCGAAAAAGCAATTGCTAGTAGCACGAAACCGAGGAAGCCTTGTCATACCGAGGGATCTGCAAAAAGAAAAAAACACTATACACAACAAAGAAGAGAGAACAGCTTTCGAGTGCGTTGCATGGAAGGCCAAAGCTAGAAGCATGGCAAAGTTAACTTCAATCCCTGTCAACCTGTTAGAATTTCACACAAAGCAAAGTTTTCGTGTGGGGAGTTTTCGGAGCATGCCAGTGTAACAATTATACAGTAAGCTAGAGAGATCACGCCGCGAGTTATACAGTGGAACAAGGCAAGACGTATGAAAATGCTCAGAACGTGAAGATCATGAGATTTTTACAGATGTACTACCGGTCAAATTGATGGAAATACAGGGGGACAAGGCGCGTCGTGCAGGATCAGTAAAAAGGAAAACGAGCTATCCAGTGGGGAGCTAATATTATCGGGAATCAGTAATGCGCGTGATCTAAAAGTCGCAGTCTATGGCATTCCTGTGCCGAGTAGCAAATTAGCACTATAGATCAGTAAAAACGAGCTATCCAGTGGGGAGGTAATAATACATACTTACTCAGCAACGACCAACACACCACCATCATCCCGAATAACAGGAACAAAACCAGATGGCCACTTCAAAACTGTATGTCAGCCGACGCCGCGCCTGTTCATGTAGAGCTCCCGCATGTCGTCCAGGCATCGCATCAATTCCTGCTGCAGGATCTTCGCACTATATCCCTGCTGTGTGAGCATGCAGATGGTGCCAAGCAGTGCGGTCTTTGGGAATATGGTGCTGGAGAGCTTCAGGCGGGCAAGATGGCCCCGAACAACACCGCGCTGCCGTTTCTGCATCCCGGCACTGTAGGCGGACGCAAAGGGTTTGCCGGTCAGCGTCGCCTCCGTGTTGATCGTAGTGCCCAGAATGTGGACAAGCAAGCCACAGACCTTCAGCGGGGTCGAAGTATCCAGAACAAGCCGGCAACCCGGGTAAAAATGTTCGACCATCGTATCGGCTGCGCTCCCCGCCGCTTTGATGGCAAACTTGTCGTCCGCAAATCTCCGAGCCGTGAGCAGCCTATTGCCGGACTGAAAGGCAGTTTCGGTAGCCAACGCGAAGCCGTTCGAGAGGGGCGTCCCGAACTGTGAGCCCATCGGGCAGCCGAAGGCTTGGCGGTAAACGCGCCCCAGGGCACGCACATAGGAGTACGCGACATCGTGCCGCGCGACAGTCAGGAGGTCATCGAGGTGGATGTAGTTCCAGTGCATTTCATTTGGCCTGATTCTCGTGTAGGTGACCGAACGAAGGCGGCGCTGTAGTCTTTTGCCCTTAGCAACAAAATGCTTCTAAGTATTCGTCTGGGTCGCGCCAGCTTTTCTTCTGCTTTCTTATTTAACACAGAATTAAGTAGATACTAACTCTTGTTTACAACTATTGGACAGAACCAGACTCTTCATCTTTAATTGATGCTCTTGCTGCTCCGAAAGGGAAGTCAATCACAATGAGTAGAGTCGATTGCTAGACTTTGGCCTTGGTCTACAACAGAGCTACGTACATATTCATAGGCCATATCCTCAAGAAGAGCGAATGCTAGATACCACAACTTTACAACTGTCGACAACTTGTGGGTGAACTTGAACCAACGATGCGAAGAAGGGGCGCGATCGTCAACATCGTTTTCGTTTATTATTCACCCTGTAAATCAGAACGTGAAGACTTTAGGAAATCATCGGCACGAAGGATGTCCCGATAATGATATAATGCGTTGCTAGGTGGCTCCACCTCTAGGCCCCGGGAAATCATCGTGATAGTGTGTACGAAAAGAAAAAAGAATACTAAAATCAGAATGAAAAAAAGATTGAAAAGAATGTGCCAACGTCGAGTCCTGCCTGTACAGACACCCAACAATCATGCGCTCCCGCCGGCAATGGATGCCGATCCTCAATACGCAGCTTTTTGATGATCATGATGAAGATGCCTTCACCTCTGCGAAAATTTGCTTTGCAACAAGAGCAACACTCCTGTCATTGATATTTCATTTTCATATATGAATATGAGTAGTATTTTCTTTTTGTTCGGAGCTTGAGTATGTTAGTTCCTTTATCGTCAAAAAAAATCATCGACGTTGGAAAAATAAAAAAGACACAGTAAACAAGCTTTTTAAAAAACTTATTTATCAGAACGTGCATTCAAAAAGGCAGATACGAAAGAGATGAACAGGTAATTACTAGAGAGACGAATAGATACGCGTGAAAATCTCGATCTCTAGAAGTTCAACTGACCTGGTATCTCGTCTTGTTGTACGATGTGGCTGCACGCGCTAGAACGTAGAAATCAGGTTGGGAGCGCGAATCTGCGCGATCCTGCACTCATTCAAATCGGTTTTCTTCACACTGTGTTGTCGTTATGTTAAACATGACGCCAGCCCAGTATGAGGAGGCCTCTCCTCCAGAGTCAGCACGGCCAATGATTGGCGATCCAAGAACTTAATTGAAACCCTTGCTCTCCCGCCGGAGCCGGAGTATCTGATGCGCTGCTCTCATCTGCACTCGTTCCAACTAGCCTGGTCCTGATCGCCTCAACAGCAGCTTTTGCAAAAATTCCAAACCTGTCCTGAACGTAGATATGAGAGTGCATAACTCACCCTTTCCTGCATTTGTAGGGCATGAACACAACCTCAAGCGTCAGCAAGAATGCATGATAATTTTGCACATGCACAGGACTGTAGAAGTGCTTCTATTGTGACTGCCACAACTTGTCACGCACACAATGCCAAGACGAAGACGAGGACAGGGCTATGGCAAGGGGTTTTACATCATTTACTTTTACACTTAGACTAGAGATACATTTCAATTTCTTTGGTTTTGGATTTGGTCGTTTGTATTTGCATGACAAATGAGGGGGCACTACTTGTGCACTCTCATAGTAGTTGACGATCGGCGCGACGCCATCCGTGAACTTCACGTGCTGTTTGACAAGACCGGTGACTGAATCCAAAATCGTGTTTTCCACATAATCGAGCTTGAAGAAGCCCCAGACCAACGCGGGGAGGACCCCGGCCAAAAATGTCGGAATGGGGGTCTGCCGAACACCTGGAACCAGCAGAACAGCGGCGACCAACAAGCGAGATATTCCATGGCTGGCAGCAGATACCAGGGCAGCATACAGCCCTTGGGTGAGGAAGCTTCGTAGCTGCTCCAAAATCTTCTTACCCAAATTTTTCAAGAAGGCGACGGCTTTGTCGCGTGCGCCCATCACATGGTCCCGAATCTCGCTAACGATTGCCGATTCCATTTGAAACACCTACCCCTCCCAACGCCCGCTTGATGATGCCGATACTACCTGAAAAAATCGTCATCAGGCACACAGCAAGACCAGTGCGCCACTCGCCAGGCCTGGAAAACAGCTGGCTGGCGCCAAGGCGTCGGCCCGCTCGATTGATCGTCACGGGCGCAGCCCTGTTGTCCAGCCATTGAAACTGGTGCGGCAATCTTGGTGAGCCCGAAGATGTGGTTTGATGGTGATGATTTGGAGGCAGTGTGGTCCGGGATCGCAAACGTGAAGCTAATCCCCCCTTCCGGCGCAAGGAAGATCCGCGCGCCCAGTTCAAGTACGCAGCCAATCAACTAGAACTAGAGTGCGCCTGTTTGCGTCTAGCCCTAGCGCTGACAGCGCTATGGAAATGCTGCTAACTACGAAATGAACAAACCAAACGAGCCCGTCTGACTTTTACTAAAAAGAGCAGAATGTATCTGCGCCACGGGCCGCCGCACACCATCCCCATGATCGAGAAGGTAAAACTAAAAGGAAAGGTATAAGGCACAGCAACAGCCTACTTGCCAGTTGCACTTGTGGGCTCGGCGAGAGCTTTCGCGTTGTTCAGCATACGCCTTCGGTGCACAGTATTCTAATTCTACGCAAAACACCGACAACCTACCAGCGGGGAAGTTGATAGGGTTAGGCGCTTTTTTTTTTTGTGCGTAAGATCCCCTTTTCTCGACCGATGTTTCAAATAATTTGTCCGCCTTCTCAAAAACGGGCAACGTGGTGCCTTCGTCTTGTGGTCCTGCCGAGTGTGGAGTTTTGGCAGCAGACTCCTTCAGTTTGGAGGACTCTGGGGCAGATTGGCCTTCCTCCGCAACAGATACGTCTTTCTCGCCGGTAGTTGAGGGCTTCGCTGAAGAAGATGAAGAAGTAGTTGGAGAATCGCTTTGCAGATAAGTAGAACTCGACTCCCCCGGGTCGCTCTCGTCGTCGCTCAGAACTTCATCTTCCGCTTGTGGCAACGCGGACGGAGGGGGCTCGCTTGGTTCCAATTTCTCCTGGTTTGTTTCCCGGCGTTTTTCTTCTTCTTTTTCATGCTTCTGACACTTTTTCGCCGCCAGCTTCAATTCGTTTCCAGCAGGGCGGTTGCGATTGGCACCGGCCTCGTCTTCACTAAGTGCCGATGCTTCCCCGCGTCCGGCCGTCATCGTCGAGCCAGTAGGAGAGTCCTCCATCTTGTCTGTCACGGGCAGTTTCGCTTCATCACCGGAAGTAGCTTGAAGGTAATTTACTAAACCTCGTTGCGTCCTCGTATGATCACCTTCTACTTCCGCTCCTTCTAAAATTTCGCTCAAGTGAACTGTGGACGAGTCGCCATTTGCTGCTGTTTCTTGGTCATCAACACCGAGAAAAGCTTTAATGGCGTCGCGGAGGAGTTTTTGCAGAACCGGAAGATGACCGCTCGTAGAAGCAGCTTGTCCTTCGTTCCCGGAAGCAAGTTGCTCATCTGCAGGTGCAACTACAGGAGAAGTCTCTTCCTCAACAGTTGAGCTGCCGTTGAACAGCGATTCGAGCATTTGCATGAAGTTGGAACTTGTTTCCGCTTCTTATGCATTGCAAACATGTTGTATGGGTCTGGAAGGATGCAAACCTGTGATGCGGACGCTCAACAAGCAGACGATAAACAACATCTGTGTTGCATAGTCAGCAAAAGATTTCCAATTTTTGTCTCGAGGAGCTGGCATTTCTGCTTGTCTTCATGCAGACAGGATAGGCATGGAGGAGTCACCGCAAAGGCTGTGGTCATGATACTCCATGTTGCATTCCAGACGACCACCTTTCTGCAGAGGCAAAAAATGCATGTCAAATCAACGTCTGCTTACTTCCAGACCCAAAAAAGATATTTGCAAGACCTACTCCATCAGTATTTTCAGGATGATCTTCTTTTCCCAGGAGAACTCCTTGCATCTTGGCGCGGAGGCCCGGCATCGCTAGACCAAGAAATACTCCACCTCCAGGTATTTCGTCCAGCACAAGCGCTGCAGCTGCAAGGATATTCTGTGTAAACTACACTTCAGGGCAACACGGTGAGTTGGAGTTAAATCAAGCGTGAGGGTGAGTATTTGTATCTATGAGCATTGCGCTTCTCGGAGTCCAAGATCTACTAAGTTCCGAACTCACTGACTTTATGATTGTCAGCGAATTGGAACAATTTCGATTGCAAAGGGTGACATGACGGCTCTAGTTGTGGGCTACATGCAAATACAATGACGCCGGTGGGTTACGACACATACACAATTCGCGGATGTCATGTCAGTGAGAGTAAATTACTAAGCCCGCCCGGGCAGCGCGAGCCCCCATTACGCATTGGGGGTCGCCGCCCGGGGTAGGGTGGCGCCGCCCCAAGAACTTGCTTCAGCCAAAGGGCCGCGGCACCGCAGCCCATTGGCCCCCGTCCCGCTGTGTTTCCGGGGTTTCGGCATGCGCGTGCCCCGTTTCAGCGCCATCAGAAACGGCAGCTGGGGTTGGTCCGGGAGCGGGACCCGGGATCGGCGATCCGCGGGATTACTCCAGGGACAACAAAAATCGGCTCGGACACTGAGCAACAACAGCGTCGAGCAATCGGATCGGGCTTCGCAAACGCGGAGCCGCGTCTTCGACATCATACTTAGTAGACTTACGAGGAAGAATTATTTCTACGATTGAGTACCAGTCTCAGTTTCTTCGATTGACAACTTAGTTGTCAAGCAAACGAGAAACTCTAAGAACTGGCATCACCCGTTCAAAAAAATTGAAAATATAAAAAAAAACAAGTCCCGCCACCTATAATTCACCGTCACTCACAGTCCTCGACAACACGGATGACTGAGACCCTTTATTTGACGGCATTAGATTGATGCAGATGGAGATGATCATACGTAATGAAAAAATTGAGGAAACTCGTTCACCCGCGCGCGAGGAAGCGCTTTCTCCTCGACACGTGTGAGGGCATCCAGTGGGCGTGCACCCTGACAAGCCCAGAATATACTTACATAGGAAACAATGGAGAGCACCAAACCCCCGAGCATGGACGCCACATTACTTACAAAGTCTTGAGCCATGCTCGCAACCCTCTTCGCCACACTGTCTGCCGGCATATGCACTGGCACTCCAAAAGCATCATCTAAATAGTACTCAGCGAGAGCATGCAAGGATAGATGAATGCAAATGCATACTGATTGAGAACAGCTGCCTCCACCCAGCATTTGGACCACAAAAAAAATCAAAAAAAGAAAAAGTATGAATATTCGACCCGAGTTCGGGTCTTCTACAGCTACAGGCCCGCACCCAGAGGTGGGAACGGGAGCGAAAGACATTCCCAAAGCGAAACAAAATCAGTCCACCGCGACGGTGGTCACGAGAGCAGTGCGCACTTATCTACTCCGCAGCGCTGGAGGAGCTTGCCCCTGTGGCGATGCCTTTTTTTGCCTCGCCTCTTCATCTCTAGTCTTTTCGGTGCGTCCTTCTGAATGGAAATAGACGAAAGCCCTAATCTTCAGTCGTCGTCTTGATTTGACGACCAAGGCACATCAGAAAAAATAAATGTCTACTTGTACTTGTACAGCCAGAATTATGTCAAGAGTGCAATATAGTTTTGATGCCTTTGCAGTTGGTAAAGCACGTGCTTAAGGAACTTCGGCGACTTTTGCAGGAGCGCAATAAGTCCAACTGCTGCTACTTTGACCCATTTTATCACGTTGTCCACAATAAATGAGGGCGCCGTCGCACTGCCGTCTTCACCACCTTCTTGATGATTCAGACGCTGCAGTTCTTTAGTCTGTACCATCGACATTGCGGGGGGACGCGCACTGGTGCCTGGTGAGTCCTGTCGTGGTAGTAAGAAATAGGCACCACGGCGGCTGCTGTCATAGTCATTTCGGGAGTTCCTCGTCCAATCGACGAGGTGGAACCCAGGCACGTTTTGTTGTTGTTCGCTCGTTTCCAGAACGCTGCCACCATTTTGATCTGCCGTCCTCGCTCCTGTCAAGAAGTTGTTGGCTTTGAATATCACAGAAGAACCTGAAATACTTGGGCACGTATCAATTTGAATTTCATCTCACCTTCGCCTCTTTTAATGAGGAGAGGCAGAGCGAGTAGAGCAAGTCATTCAATTTCAAGTTCTAAGTTTAAGTGGTGAATATATAGAAGACTAATCAAACAAAATCGACTATATAGAAGACAAGGTACGACTAATCAAACAAAAGCCCTGTGCACGAATTGCCCTGATAAGCTGCCTGCTGGATCTGAAAGTAAAAGCGCCTGAGCAACTGCTACCGAACTAGCAGCACTCGTCGAAGTAGTCTTCTTTTGTCTCTTTCGCTGGCCCCTACCCAGGCCAGTCTGTTCTCAAAGAGAGACGGGCAAAATTACAGACCAAATGCGCAAGAGAAAAGAACAAGAAGCGTGGGGACAGATGCTACATATACAAACATAGTTATAGACATGGAGACGTGATCATGACATCGGGTCGGCGCGTCAACATGATCTGCAGCACTGTGACTTCATCTTCCACTTCACCAGCTGATTGTGCGTGCGTAGAAAGATGAAAATCAAAATCCAATAAAGGCTAGCGAACTCATCATGACGCGTCTAGCTCTTACCTGGGGTATCGCTGTGTTCGTCTTGCTGTTCCTGTTGCTTCTCTACTTTTGCATGTTTCTGCTTTACCTCTTCTGTTAGGCCTGTGACAAAAGTCTCTTCTTCTGTAGTAGTAGTTTGTGTTTCGCCGTTCGATGTCCCGCTGTCGCCTTCGGGTTTGGCTTCCCCGGGCTGCCTGGCTTTGTCCTCGTTGTCAACAAACAATCTTAAGTATGCGCGATCGTTATTTAGCTCTTCCAGCGGCTTCGTCATCAGCTTTTCTTTGACCGTTGCAGTGATTTTCGCAAGCGGATTAGCCATGGCTGCAAAATTGCTCATGAGACCGTGAGTCCCCATGATAAATTGCTTCATTGCATTATGGTAAAAGACGCGACGGCGGGCATCCGCGAAGAGATCTTGGACCACGGTCGGAATGATTTCCTTAAACACTTTCGCGCATTGGTTTTCGACTTTCCTTTGGATTTCCTTGTTCGCCCCCACAGTGAGCAAAACTGTTTTGAGAACCGCAGGAAGCACGACCGCTACGCCTTCTCCCGTCAACACTTCAATGTTGAACGCGGCGAAGACCAAATCCCCGACGAGATGCACAATCCAAAAAAGAAAAGTGGGGTAGAACAGCATCGAGAACAACTTAACCATTCCATCTGTGATCTTGTCTATGATCGTGTTGATGCTGAACTTGAAGGTGGTCCGCATATGGACGATAAACAATCATGCACGACCGACCAACCGCCCCAGATGTCACTACGCCTTGGTCTTTTCGCCAATCATGACCACACACTTGCACAGGCTACACAAGCAGATGCTAAAACTAGTGTCTCTCCTGGAGCTCCTGGTGCAGCAGGAGCTAAATGCGGACGCTTTTTGTGCCTGCAGGGGCACACATCTGAACGACCCGGAGATTTTTGCCGAGATGGCTCAGGTTTATTGAGTTCATCGATCGGCATCGGTAGTATTTTTGCTCCAAGAACGAGCCCGAGAGCAGGCTGCGCGACATCAACTTCAACATCTACGTTTCCCACGACAATGATTCTTCAAATCAATCTCAAAGTCCTACTTTATACTCGTGACGAGCAGAAGGATAGCCGCCGGTCTTGCTGCGAGACTCTTAAAAATGTAAATGACGAAAGACCAGGAGGCAGAGCGAGGCGGGGCGAAATTGGTTCTTGCGGTTTTGGTCGGTCAGTTGCATAAACCATTTTTTGCTTGAAATCGCGCATAACGTTGAAGCCGCTGCGTATAACTATAATGCCCTCCTGGACAACCCGATTCGCGGTCTTGGTCACTACACTGAAGGTCTCTTGCGCCATCTTCCCCGCGGCGGCGACGCGATTATCGAGGGCCTGTGCCATCCCTGCAAGCCGCCCGTTGCGCCATTTGAGATCTCCGGCTTCTGACCGCCTCAGGTGCGGCTTTGGGTTTCCGGCTTCTCTTTCGGGTTCAACATCAGGACCATGTTCTTGTTCATCCTTGTAAATATGGTTTTGCCTGCGGAGTGAGTAACGTGCGAGACCCCCTGTCCCTGTGGCACGCGATCTCAGGAGCTTGGCCTTGGCCTCCGGGGCCGTAGTTTTTGCTAGTACTTCTTCCATCGATAGCTTTTCGCAGTCCTCTAAGATAGTCACGCTACGCTGTTCTAACTCACCGCTCGACCCTCGCACGAATTGGATCAAAACGTCATCTACATCTTTGTCATTCCCCCGGAGTTGGGCGTCCAGATGCTGATCCTCATTGCCGTCGACGATCTTCACATCCTGTTGTTTTTCCGAAGCGGCTGGGGCCTTCCGCCAGATAAGACTGTCGAGTAAAATGTTTTTACCTTTCTCGACAACGCTGCTTGCAGCCTTGCCAGCCCTATTGAGAAGATCCTTCGCAGCTGTTCCCAGCATCGTTGCGATTTGGCTGGGCAGTTCGTAGGCTATTTTTGCAACAATCTCCGGAAGCACAAGCTCAATGACAGTGTTGAGCAGACCCGTCTTGATGTCATCGAATTTTTTGCTCAGCCTTTCTTGGAATATATCCCCCAGAACACCGTTCAGCAGCTTCATAAACAGTGGTACTAAAACTTGCGACAAACCAGGTACCAAGCCGACAGCCGTCTCGAGAGAAACCGCCATGAGCTCGCTAAAATAGCTAAACGTTTCCATTTTTGAGAGGCCCAAAAAGTTCTCTATCTTCGCCTCTTCGCTTTTGAGGTCCTGGAACACCGAGTTCTGCAAAGTTTTGCTGATCCACCCGGCCGCGTGCCCATTCAGAAAGTCCATCGTTTTTGTCCACAAAGAAGTAAAAGGAGTCTGTGCATTGTTCAGAAGTCTTTGCAATGGTCCTTGTCCGTCTCCAGCAGAAGAACTTGTTAGGAAGGAAGCTGGCAAAGAGTTACCCAGAGGCAGGTGGAACTGGGGAAGGGGGCGTGTCGGTACCGCGACGGGCGCGAGATTCCACGAGTACGCGCCTTGGTGAGGGACCAGTGCGTTTTCATCTTCTGCTTCCCCCTGTGCTGCGTGTCCCCCACCACGAGCAGGCGCTTCATCATTCTTGTCATTCAATGTTCCACCGGGCGGAGAAACATCACCGCCGTGTCGGTCCTCTGGAGATGAGCCTGACGGGGCCAGTGCGTCCGCCTCCGATGTTGCGGACCTTTCAGCTTCGGAGAACGCCTGGTCTTGCTCATCTCGTTGCAAGAGTGCAGTGCCCGTTTTTCTTTCACCTTGGTCGTCTTCATGCCATCCTGCTCAAGATGGCTGTCAGTCGCAGGAGGAGGCTTGTTGATCTGGCCGTCGTTTGTTCCCCGCGACTGTTCGACTCGTCCTTCTTGCTGTCCTTTCAAAGCCGGACCTTTGGCCTCGTCAAGAACATTCTGCCGAAAATAATCAGCTCGTAGTGTTTCCAAAAACGCAGAGAAGGCGGCCAACCAGCTGTGCGGAGATCGTCGAGTGGAAGAGCTATTATGCATTGCAAAATCAATAATGTCGCATGCATGATCCCGCGTGGTCGCGTATGTTGCAGATGAGTTTGATGTTGCTGTAGTTCGTTTTTTACTTTTACGAGTAAAGAATTTTCATTATGTCTTCCAAAACGATGCACTTTGTCGTGACGATGGTCATCAGCAACAAGAGGAGAATGAGACAGACTCTCCATCAACATGCATCTCTTTGTTCTCCTGGTTCTTCTCATTCTCTTCATCCTCGAGCTATATATATATAATCTGCAAGAACTACACGACAGCCGCGGTCGCGTGCGACAAGCTTCTTGCTCTACAGGATAGTCAACATCATTGAGCTCGTCTCGGTCAACTGCAAGCACCTGCTGCCGAGCAGCTATCCCGCGGAGGTTTCCCCACTTGACTCGTTTCGATCGCCCCGGCCCGGGCGAAGCGGACGCGCCAGTTGTAGTAGGGCGCCCTCCCTCGACGAGGCTTGTAGTTGTACCGGACTCGGACGGGGACGACATGCGATGTGCGGACATCACAGAGGCAGCGGTCGTGCTCGAATCGGCCACGGCGGCCGCGCTCCTCGACGTCTCCGGGTCGCCAGGCACGTGGTCGCTGGTGACCTGGTTACCTTGCACGACTTTCACGGCGAAAGCAGTATAGTTGTGCCCTTCTTGCGTCAATAACGCAGGAGAAAGGACGAGGACGAGCGCGAGGAGGAAGAACCAGTGAAGGAAATGGTGTTGTAAAAGAACCGTCGGTCGTCGACGAGCATGATCATGTCGCTCTTGCGGCCAGGAGAACTCGTCAAAAACATCAACAAACGCCGACCAATTAGTCATTAATATCTCGGCGTGGTGAGGTGCTCCTCGTGAGTCACAACAATCATGTTCTTGCTCAGCAAGGCTGATGTGCTGGTGCCTTTCTCCTCGTGCTTGTCGTGTGCCTCTCGATTCGAATAGGTGACGTTCTTCTGGAGCAAGCTGCTTTTCTTGTTCCCTGCCGTTCCCGCGAAGCAGTGGAATGAAGTCGAAGAACCCCTTGATGAAGGCACGAGGGGCTTCTGCTGGTGCTGTTTCAGTGCTTTCTCTTTGTTTATCCTCCTGTCTAGCCTGCGCGTTCATCTCCCCGTCCTGCTGCACGACCTGTCCAGGCACTGGGGCGCGCTGCTGGACCTCCGGGTCGAGGTACAACACAGCATGGAGGGCGGGGGCGCTCACGCTCTGCTGGACCTGCTGCCCGCCCGTGCGTTTCGGGTTCCCGTAGAAGAGGACCGGCATGGGCCTGGCAGCTTTGGTCTTCTTTTCGTTTTTCGTATTCGTATGATATTAGTAGTTAGATATTGTTCGGGTGGTGCAACTGTTTAAACGAGTTAGTTAAGGGGACGATAAAAAAATACTGATACTTGAAAAATACCCGGTGATAAAAAATAAATGCGCTTTCATGTAAAAGTAAAACAACAAAAAAATGCAAAATTTAAAATGAAAATGAAGTACGCTACAACGGTAACAGAAAAAACAATTAAAAAGAAGTTAACTATAATAAGGTCGATATTTGGTTAGAGCTTTCGATGGATCCAGAAAATGAAAAATGTGGGCGCAAAAAAATCGTGCGTAATTTGATTGGGAAATCGGTAGATGAAGAAAGTTCTTCTTTTTCATATTTTTTCTCACGGAAAATAAACAGGTGTAAATGTAATAGTAAAAATGTTCGTCGTAGAAAAGAATAATAATACTCATTGTTTGGGGTTTAGTTGAAGAGTGTGTTGTTTGTATTTAGCTTTATTACGCAAAAAAATTCTTCAATGTGGGAATTATATTGTAACAGGGGGCAAGGCGTTTCGAGGAAGAAACCTTTTTGCGCATACGCAAAGTAGCTATGGCAAAAGAACGCCTGCAGTATCGAAGATATGAGGTCATGTGTTGTGCAGTTGTTTTTATTTTTTTGTGCTGAAGCTGCACAACGAAAGGAGAATCATCACACGGTGGAAAAATGACAAACAGAGACAAAAAGCGAGACGACCACCGACCATTTACCACGAGGAGAAAACGATCAAACCGAAGTGATGGAGCAGCGAAGAGCTGCAGTTGCGAACTCGGACGAGAAGGCGCGCGACCGATGGAAATTTCCAGTCATGACGCAAAAATACGAGTTGCATTGATGGCGAAGAGATCAGAGGCAAGAACGGACGTCCACGACATGTAGTAACCGAGAACTTTGTTTGTGCACGAAATAATCCAGCAGGGTCACGACAACCGGAAGATTCTGGAGGAAAAAATACCGGCCTGCAAGATAGTAGAACTAAGTACATCAACTGGTATTTCTACCGAAAGTGATGTTAGGTTAGAGGCACTTGCCAGCACGAAACCGAAGCATTGTCTTGTCATACCGATGGTAGAAGAGAGGAAGCCAAAAGCAGCAGTCGTGCAGAGCCTTGAACTTGACCTTGACCTTGCAGTGTGGATGTTTGTGCTTCCTTGACGTTCTTATATCTCTTGTTGTACTATGTATCAGCCACGTTGTACTTCAGCGTAAAAATGCAGCACCGAGCGAAAATCTCTGCAATACTGTGCCCGTTCAGATTGGGTTTTTTGCTTCGCTGTCGCCATGTAAATCTAGGTCTATGCATTAAGTGTAAGTCGAAAAATCAAAAAAGTGTATGTAAATAAAAGAATGGCAAATATCAAATTTGACAAGGTCGTGTAAAAACGGTCTAGAATCAAAATCAAAGTGAAATAGAATTTTTTGATGAAAGGCATGCTGTTGCTGCTACACAAACAGATTGTGGTTGACATAGTAGCGTGATACCTTGCCCTCCCATTTAATCAAACCTGAAAAAGGCAGATGTGAAATCGTCGTCCAGCGGGATGTCGACGTTGAATGGCTCCGATTCCTGCTCGTCCTTTCCCTCCAGCTGAGTTTGCAAGCGGATATGCAGTGTGGTCTTCTCTACTTCGCCTGCTGCCGTAGTACGAGTACTTCCACCCTCAACACCCTCAATGACACCCCGATGTTGAACCCCTTCAAGAATAATTTCTGTAATGGTAAAAGCGCCCCACAACTCGTCGGAGCTTGATCCTTCTTCATCTTCTGCTCCATCGGCTTCTTCAAAAACTGAAGACTCTTGCTTTTCAGATTCCTTAAAACGCTTTACCTTCTTCATCTTCATGATGAAGTCGTCTGCCTTGTAGAATTGACTCTTTTTCTTGAAAAATCCCAGTTTGACATATCCCGCCTGGCCGACTTTGTACTGCCGAAAGAGCAACTTGAACTTTATTTTTTGCTCCGATTTCGCTTTCGGTTTCGCCGTTGCTCTGATACTCTCCTTCATTTTCATCTACAGGCCGAGCCTATCTTTCTAATCTTGCCTTGTTGAAATGGGTATAGCCGTGAAAACAGCACACATCAGACCATATCCCCTGCCAATAAAAGGAGCTGTAGGAGTAGCTGTAGCTGATCGGCAATATGCACAACATCCTTCAGCGGTAGTGCGCGTAAGCGCGTTCTTGACCTGTATTTGTGAAAACGCGGCCGCGGGAAGGTTTGACTTCAACGATAAAACTAAATCTAAAACAGCTGCTAGTCGTGCTTCATATTTGCGTTTATCTCCATTTGCGGCAGATGGGGAATGCTGGGGTCGCTAGTTGGTACTTTTTCATAAGGAATGCCTCTGTTCAACAGCGTTTCATGAAGCGATGATTTGGCTCCGGCTTCTTGATCCGGAATATCGTCGTGATCTTCCGCGTTTCCAAACAAGTGGCTGCGGATCGCGGCCACAGCCGCCTTGGCAAAATGTGCAAAATTCTCCTCAACGTAGGTGACGATGGGTTCGAAGCCCTGCGAAAACTCTACGTGCGCCGTCACAAGACCTTCCACGGCTGTCAGAATCATGTTTTCCACATGATCGAGCTTGAAAAAGCTCCAAATCAACGCGGGAAGGACCCCGCTCAGCAATGCCGGAAGCGGCGTCTCGCGTACCCCGGGAACTAGCAGTAGTGCGGCGATTTTTATGGAAACGTAAACTGTGAATGCATGTTTAGCGCTACTTTTTTGACTGTGGTCGAGAGCGAGACCGAGGAGTCCATTCGGAAGAAAAGAGGAAATTTGCGCAACCCAGCTGTACTATCCTCGTCCCGAAGGGGTCGAAGTTTGGCTTTGGCATACGAACTGCATGCAAAAGCATAAATCGGTAGAAAAGGTAACCATACTCGGGTAGGAAGATGATGAGAAGCAAGCCATGGGTGGATGTTGACCCGGCACATTCTGGGCAGGAGGCACATGCTGGGCAGGAAGCACATGCTTGGCAGTGATTTTATTTTCATGAAGTAGATGAGATTACATGCACGTCAAGCCACAGTAGAGCGCTATGATTCTTACACCCACGGCACTTTTCGCGTAGCCAACAGACGAGATATTGCATGGCTGGCAAGAGCTACTAAAGCAGCATACAGCCCTTGGGTCAGGAACCTTCCTAGCTGGCCCAAAATCCGCATACCCAGATCTTCCAACCCTTGGACGGCATTTGTGGACGCTTTTGCTATCGTATTTTCAATGTTCTGCACAACGCTCCCAATTGTCATTTTCCCGGAAATCATCCCAGCACCCGTATCTGCACCCGTTTCAAAAGCCTCCAAGTGAAAACGCTTTTTACCCCTGTCCCCAACGGCCGGTCGGTGGTAGCGAAGCATTTTTTGAAAAAGTCGTCACGGCAAGAGGCGCACAACAAATAAAAAACGCTGCTACCGCTACAACTCAGTCTGAACAAACTACGGCAAGTAAGAGCAATACTCTTCCATCTTTCATCCACCTCTCATTGCAGAGGTGGAGCAGCTTGTTCTAAAATAATAAATTGCAGACCAGCACCATGCAAAAAAATGAGTATGAGGCTGATCAGGTCCTCGTTCGCATGATTCGGTATATCATAATACTGAACGCATATCAAGCTACCAGGAGCGGCAGTTGGTACTTGTTGGGGTAGTTTGGTATTCTTCTTCTGCATAATCTTTGTCGGATGTCCCCATCTCTTTTCCGGTTCCGTCCTCAAGAGCTTTCGCGTCGGCGGCTTTTTGGGGTTCATCAATCTCGCCACTCTCAGTTCTCCCATCGTCGTGTCTCGCCTTCGTCGTCTCTTGCGCCACTTCGCCTTTCGCATCGGTTTTCTGTCGGGTGTGCATCTGTCCGGCTATCTTCTTTTTCATGCCATCCACAACTTGACCTGCCTTTTGCTTGAAGTTCTTCCAAGAGAACGTTGCCGCAACACCGACATGCTGTTCTTCTTGCTGTTGTCCTTTTTGTTCCTGATCCGAATTTCCGTGCACGACCTTCGGGCCGGCAACTTGAGGAGGAGGAGAGGTACTGGGCATCATCTGACCTCCACCCGCAGCCGCTGTTTCTGGTGCTCCACCCGCGCATCCACCTTGACCCGCAAGTGCAACCGCACTTGCTCTGTCATCAGATCCCGGGCAGGCTTTGGAGGTTTGCAGAGAACTCGAAACTTCGTGCTGCTGCTCAGCCCCCGGCTCATGATCTTGATCGTGGAGGTCATCTAGATCTACATCTTTATCATCCTCACCCATTTCACTGGAAGCAACTGACTCGAAACCTGGTAACGAGTCAGCGCTCTCTGAAGGAGCCTCAGTCGAGTGGTCTGACGCAGCGTCATCAAAGTCCGTAGCAGCGTTGTCGCTCCTGATGTGCGAAGAGTGTAGTTGTACCCGGCTTTGCAGTTGTTCACTCGTCTCCCACTCTTTAGCCGCCGAGTTCAACGCAGCTCTAGCGGATGTTGTTGCACCACTGCCGCTAGTAGCTGCATCTCCCGATTGCTCTTCGTGCGCGTGTGCTGGAGCAGCAGGTTCGTCGGAAGACTGAAGGTAATTCACCAAACCTTGGAGGTGCGAAGACTTCGACTGGGTTGTATCCCCTTTTCCTTCCCCCACCCCCAAAATTTCGCTGAAACTACGGACCGGCTTCTCTTTCTCATGTAGTGTGGAGTCGGAGGTTTCTTGAAGATGATCTTTGCCTGTGCCTACAACTTCGTCGTCAAAAAAATTCTTCATGGCGTCAAAAAGGAGCTTTTCGAGAACCGAGCTGCCTGTACAAGTAGTTATTTGTGATGTGCTGCTCATGCTCTCCCCTCCGTTCTTCTCCTCGCCTGGAACTGGAGAAGTTGTCCCTTCTTCAGCATGCATTTTGGAGGTGCTGACAGTACTACTAAACACCTTGTCGACCATTCCCGTGAACTTGCACCTTCCTTGTACTTTCTCTTTTGCGTTTCCATCATCCTCGCCATCATCCCCCAGGAGAACATTTTGCATGACCATCCGGAGGCCAGGCATCGCGAGACCAAAAGCTAGTCCCAGTCCAGGCACAACGCTTAGCACGGGCGTCAAAACTCCAAGGATATTCCATGAAAACACGACTACATCAACAGGGCCACACGGTCGCGGGTCGAATCCGTAGAGCAGACTGTAAGGCATCTTCTCTAAGATGAGGAACGAGATCTCTTCATTTCGAAAATCGTCAGAGTCCGTAAATTGAAACTCGTCCAATTGCGGGGAAAGACAACAAGAGTATTACGGTTGCTTGGTGCACTGATGAGTCGGGCGCAATCCACCAGACAATGCGAGTGAGTACGGATCGGGGCGAAAGGAAGCAGTAAAGGGCTGGTAGAGGGGAGAGAGAGTGGCTAGTACAGATGATTTTGATTTATGATTGAACATTTGCCAAGATGCTGATGAAGAAGATCATGCAGAAACTACATTGCAGAGAAGACTTCTACGAGCGCATGAGGTAGCGCTTCTCTTCTACAAGTGCGCGGCGGCGGTCTCCCAGCGGACCCTGTTGACAAGCCCACAGTGTACTTACATAAGAAAAAATGGAGAGCAGAAAACCCACCAGCAAAGACGCGAAATTGTTTACAAGGTCATGAGCCATGCTCGCGACCCTCTTCGCCACACCGTCTGCGCGCATATGCACTGGCACTCCAAAGGCATCTTCTAGATACTGAGCCTGAACCTGCTGCACGGATACAATGAATACTGAACGAAGAGCGCTGCCGCTGTCTCCAACAAAGAACATATTGAATAAAAAGAAAAAGCAAGAAAGCCAACACGCACCAATAGCATCCATAAAAATTCGAACCGATGTAAGTAATGGGGCCAGCGGGCCAGTGCCTATTGGAAAAGCCTTCCCAGACCGAAAAAGACTCCACCACGACGGATGACGGTGGTCACCGTCACGAGTAGAGGGCGCATGATTACGTGTGCAACTACGTCAAGACTGTATGTAGAGTGGTGCCTTTGCAGTGGGTAAAGTACGTGCTTCAGGAATTTCGGCGACTTTCTCACAAGTGCAAGAAGACCAAGTGCTGCTACTTTGACACATTCTATCACCTTCCTCACAAAGAATGATGTTGACGCCCCAGCCTTTTTGCCGTCGTTGGCTTCATCTACGTGACGACCTTGTTGCACCAGTGTACTTGTTTGCACCATCGAGGACAGGGCAAGGGGAGGACCATTCGCTGTACTGGTGCTTGAGTCGTCGTGTTTCGGTAGTAAGAAATACGCACCTCGGCGACTGCTGTCATTGTCATTACGCGAATTTCTCGTCCAATCCAGCAGGTGGGAACCAGACGCGTTTTCGTTTTGGTCCGTCGATTCCAGAAAGCTGACATCTTGTTCGTGGTGTTCATGCGGCCCTGTCAAGAAGTTGGCTTTCAATAGCATTTTTTACTTAAATTAATTTCGCCACTTCTCATCTCGTTTATCCGTCTCTCGGAAATCAGAAGCAGAAGCACGGCGAGCAGCAGTAATATTTAAATGACGAATTATAGGATTAGCATTAGGCAAGTAGTTACGGCTAGTACAACCGCAACGGCAATGTCCGCACACGAATTGCCCTGATAAGCCCTCTGGGTCTAACAGAGAGAGCGCCTGAGCAATTGCCGGATACAGCACTTGAAATCGACCTTTTTTGTTTTTTGCGCTGGCCGAAGCCCAGGAGGCCGATGTAATTCTAAAAGAGAGACATTAGGAAAATTACAGACCAAATGCGCAGCAAAAGAATCCGCGAGAACATAAATTGATAGAGGAGACATGGAGAAGTGAAGGCAGCTGTATGTCGGGGGCGAGGATGTGTCTAAAGCACTGCCAGTGCCACTTCAATTTCCATTGTGCGAGCATAAAAAAATGAAAACTTAAAAGAGTAGCGAGCTCATGACGTCGTGTGTAACGATCTTTTACCTGGAGCTGTCGGCTGTCCGGACGAATCGCCGCCTGGTGTGGCCGGGTTGATCTTGCCTTCGTCTTCTTGTACTTCTCGTTCTGCTTTTTCGCTCTTCACTACATTTTCTTCTAGGTCTCGGACAAGGCTCACGGACACCGCTGTTTCGCTCACGGGTTCAGGTTCGGTTTCGGGCTGATTGTCGTTGTGAGTTGTAAACGTGAAGTCTTCGGACGGCTCTAGCTCTGCAAGCTTCGGCTTCGTCACCATCTTATTGACCGTTGCAGTGACTTTTGCGAGCGGATCGCCCACCATGGCTGCCAAATTTTTCATCAGACCGAAAGGCCCGGCGATAAATTGCGTCAGTGTCGTATGCGAAAACACGTGTTTGAAAGACTCGACACGGAGCTCGTGTACCACATGCGGAATGATGTTCTGAAACACAGTCGCAAATTGGTTTTCCACAAGCTTTTGAACTTTCTTGTCTGACCCCACACCAAGCAAAACGGTATCGAGAACCGCCGGAAGCACGACCGCTGCGACTTCTCCCATAGCCATGTTTACGCTGAGCGCCGCACGGACCGAATCTCCGACAAGATCCCTAATCCAAAACAGGGCGGTGGGGTAAAACAGCATCGAGAACAAGTTAACCGTTCCATCCGTAATCTTTTTTCGGATCATGGCAATGCTGCTTTTGAACGTCGTCCGCATATGCAAGACAAAAAACCCTGCACCAAAACCAATGATCGCCCCAGACATTACACCTTGGTCATCTTTTCGCCAACCATGCTCACATGCTTCAAACTGCTTGCACACACATAGAGATGATGCGGGCAGCATTGCACACCTCCACGGTGAATCGACGAGCGAACAAGCTCTGCAGCAACCTCGCGAGACTTTCCCTTGATATCATTAAAAAGCGCAGCCCTGTTGAGTGCCTAAATGGCATGAGAAGCAATAAAAAGGGGATCTGTCTACAAATAGCTGTGTAGATGCCTTGCCGTAATGCATACATACCATTAACGTTACTGCATTTATGAGCGGAAAATGATCTTCCTGAAGCAAGAAAGAGACGTAGACACGAAGATGCAAGTTTCTTTCAAATATCTTGACGATAACGAAAGTTGCGGGGTGGTTCTTCAAAATGACAAGGCGAAACCAGACAGAGCGACCCGGGGCGAAAAGTTGGCTGTTGCTGTTTTGGTCCTTTCCATAAAACATCTTGCGCCTGAAGTCTCGCAGAACGTTCAACCCGCTGCGAATGACTACAATTCCTTCCTTTGCAATTTTACTCGCGGCGTGCTTCACGCTACCGGCGATGTTTCCCATTCCCTCTACTGCTCCTGCCACAGCGTGCTTCGCGATTTTCTTCACTCCCGTCAGGAGACCTCTATTTGAAAAATGGGGAAGGAAATGCCGCTCCTTCCCCTTTATTTCATCTGAAATTTTCATCGCTTTCGATCTCTTCAACTTCTGTGCCAGTGCTGCTCGCTCCGCCGATTCGCCCCCTGGGCCGCCGTCTACGAAAGCTACGTCGGTAACTTGAAGCTCTCCATCATGCTCGCTGCGGATAACTTCAAGTACCATATCCTCAGCATCGTCACCAAGGTTTTGGTTTCTGAGCTTCTCCTCGAACGCGTCATGATGCTCCTGTTTATCGAATTCGTCGCTGTGGGCGTCGTCCGGAGGTTCAGCTTGCGGCTCGTGGTGCAGCTCGAACATATCTTTGAGAAAAGAAAAAGTCTCACTCTCGCGAAAAAGGTCCTTTGCCTTGTCTTCCACACCGTGGACAAATTCATCCGCAGCGTCTTTCACTTCCGCTGCGATTTTTTTGGGCAGTTCTGTAGCTAGTAAGCTGAAAATCACCGGGAGCGTATGCTGGATGACCGTGCTGAGCAGAGCCTTTTGTATTTCTTGAAATTTTGCTTTCAAAGTATCCTTGAATTTCTTCTCCAGGAGTTCGTTCAGCAGCTTCATAAACAGCGGCATGTAACAGTGCACAACCCGCCCCTCGTCCCCCTCGTTTGTCATGCGAAATCGCAAGTAATCCAGTCGCTGCGCTGTCTTGTAGCAGTGTTTGCATGAAAAATTCAGGAAGCGGAAGCCCAAACAGCACTATACTAGGTAATTTGTTATGCGTAGGCTCCACGTGTGTTGGTGTTTGTATTGCTGTTCATGCTATACAAATGAGGTGGGGGAGCTGGAGTTGTGCACTCTCATACGGCACCAAAACCGTTGACAAACCAGGTACCAGGTTGACCGCACTGTCGACGGCGGACGCCATCAGCTCACTGAAATAATTGAACATGTCCGTCTTTGTGAGCTCCAAAAAGTTTTCGACCTTCTGCTTTTGACCTTCTAGGTCGAGGAGCTCGCCCAAGGTTTTGCTGATCAAGCTGGCCGCGGGTTTGTGCACATCCTCCAAACGAAATCGTAGAGAAAGCGACCTGCTAGTAGCGCGGCGAGGCCTTTTTCAGCAAACAAGGATTCTAAAAATGACCAAATAAACGCGCTGTGCCTGTGTACTTCTGCATTGATGGCGTGGCTATGTCGCCTGCTTCATCACTTCTTCATTTGTCTTTGCTTTCCAATTAGTTCGAAAGTAGAAGGCGGCTTGTCTTCTTGATGTCGTCGAGGTCATCACTTTCATGACAGGTTGGTATGCCCATGTAATGTTGAAGAACTAGGACTGGTACACAAAATACGAGTGTCCAGGTCGTCCACCTTGATGTTGGCACGCACAAAAACTCATGAAAAATCTGACTCAGCGTCTCATGAAGACCTCATTGTACATTTACATGCTACGAGTACTAGCAGGTAGGGTTTTGTACGATACAATTTCTGCCCAAAAAGTCGCAAAGCCCCCCTCGATGTTGTGAAGCATCCCCGACAGTGTGCCGACGACGTCGCCTTCTTTTTTTGTATTTCTGATATCACTAATATGAAGCAGAAGCACGCACCCCTCTCCCATGATTTCCGAATTTGCGTAGATCTAGCTCAATGCGCAGCCGTGGTAAAATACGTAGCTCTAGCTCGTGTGTATATGCATTTACCATAACGGGTGAAACGAAGAGAGTTTGTTTCGATAGTTATGGTGAAGATATTTTTATCTCACCTCAAATAGCTGCAAGCGGGTAGTAGAAGAAGCTGCACCCGGTGATGTAGCTTGTTTGATGTAGCTAAATAAGGTACCTCCACGGATGAGCTACATCTACGGTCGAGCGCAGAAATCGATAGGGGTGCTCAGGTGTTGCGCGTGATACAGGAACGAAGCTGGCAAGTAACTATCGACTTGGAAATTTGTCTTCACTCCCCCCCGAGACAAGAAGCGAGTGCAACACGTCCTTTTTTCTAGCGACACAGGATAGTGTCTGAACAATATGAATATTCTTTTTGGATTAGTGTCTGCTCAATATGCAAGAACGCGGATATGCACGCACAGAGTGGTGCGCTAGAAGAACCGCAGATTCTGTACCGCGGATTCCGTCTTTTGTGAATGGGAGCGGGGAGCTTGAAAAACACGCTCCTTGTTGTACTACAAGGCCTATAAATCAATGTTCATGTTGCACAGTGCTTTCACTTCCTGCCGACGAACGGTGAGGACACCTTTCACGAATGATACGCGTGACCCAGAGCCGAGTGGAACTGGGGCAGGGGGCGTGTGAAGTATGCAGGAATAAAAAATGAGTTGTATCGCGTACGGCTAGTTGTACGGGTACCTACTTACACGTTATGAAATTACGCACCACAAGCTTCAGATTCAGTACTTACGGCCCCATGTCCATGTGATAATATGCCTATGCGTGAGTACAACGTCCCCATTGAGAAGTACAAGACCACCTGCAGCAGGCGTGTTCGTCGCCTTCGCCTTGCCTTACCATCATTAACTCAGCAGAGCAGTAGCACTACCAAGAATACCATGGGGACGAGCCGTGTCAGGCTCAAGGAGCTCAAAAGTAGCCAAACAGCAAACGCGAAGCTCCTGATTCGAATCTTCCACTACAGTAGGCCATACTATGGCCGTGACCATAGATCATGCTCATATATACATCATACGTACGTGTAGCGCTACATCGATACAACGTTCACGCAGGATAGAGGTACCGCAATGGGTGCGAGGTTCCACGAATTATGGGCACCTTGATGACGGTGAAGTACTACTTTATTTTCATCGTGTACCATCGATGCTCCTTCGTCGCCACCAAAATCATGATGGGCTGCATTCTTGCCGTTCAATGATACACTGGCAGCGGAACCGTCATCTTCCCCGTCGGCCAGCCCAGTCTGCACAGCAGTAGTAACTCCACCGTGTCCGTCTTGAGAGCCTGAGGAGGCAAGTGCGTCCGCTCCTTGCGATGCAAATTCATCAGTTTGGGAGAGCTGTGGTTGGTCTTGCTCATCTCGTTGCAAGAATCCAGTGGTGCTCGTTCGTCCCCCACCTGCTCTGGTCAACATGGTAGTATCCCCAAGTAGATGACTAGTGGTCGCAGGATTGATCTCGGCGCCGCTTTTCTGCCGCGGTGGTTTAATACCTCCTCCTTGAAAATAGTCGGCTCGCAGTGTTTCCAGAAACGAAGAGAAGGCGGTGAGCCAGCTGTGCGGAGGCCGTGCGTCCCGCCGGGAGGGTTCAGAGGACGGATTTGAGATAGAAGAGTAATTATGCATTGCAAAACCGCACGCGCATGCGCACGCATGATCATGAACACCTTCAAATGGAAATCAATGAATATTACCTATGTGAAGATGATATTAACCATCAACAACAAAATGGGGATGAAAATGAGTAAGCTTCTGCCTACTCATGCTGATGGTGCTTTCTCAAATCATTTTGATTTTGATTGTGTTTAAGTAGTAATTGCATGCATAGATAATCAACGCGCTCTCGTGCGACAAGCTTGCTGTTCAGGTGGATAGTCGAGCGACAGTTCTTCATCTCGATCAACCGCCAGCAGCTGCTGCCGGGCGACTGCCCCGCGAAGGTTTGCCCGCTTCATTTTTTTTGGTCGCTGATTGATTGCACGGTGCAGGTCCCCCTCATCCACGCTGCCCGACTGCTCAGAGGACACGCGATCAACATTTGTGGACAAAGTAGAGGAAGCGCTGCTCGAAGTAGAACTGACCACGGGCGAGGAGGTGCTCTCTGCACCAGCGTCGGGGGACGAGTGGTCGACGTTCAGGTCCTCTACCGCGTCTTGGGACACTTCTACGGCGAAAGCGGTAATGTGCCGGTCCGCCAGGAGTGTAGGAGACAGGACGAGGAGTAGGAGCGAAATGAACAACCAGTGGATGAATTGTTGCTGCAGCGCCGTCGGTCGGCGCCGGGTTTTATTGACGTCGGCAGGATCATGATGCAGAAGATGATCTTCTGGTAGTTCATCATGTTCTTGCTGAAAGAACGGCCCACTCGATCCGAATACTAGGTAAGAACCTTCTGCAGCAAGCAGCTGTGTTTCTTGCTCCACAACTCCGCGATGTGGAACGAAAAATCTTTCGCTTTCCTTAAAGCAGGCACGGAAGGCTCCTGCTCCTGGTGTTGTTTCACTTGCGCCTTTGATTTCAGCGTGCGTGTTCTTCTGCGCGATCTGGTTAGGCACGTGGCCGCCGCGCTGCTGGACCGGGTCGTAGACCGCAGCGAGGGGGGCGATCTGTTGAACCTGCTGTCCCCCCGCTCGTCTCGCGGAGAAAACCGGCATGGCGAGAACTTACACAAGTAGAAGTACAAGAAACAAAATTATATATGGAAATAAAATTTCAAAAAATGCAAAACAAAAAGACGCACGCAGGCGCAAGGGAAAAAAAAGACAAACGGCTCGATGTAATTTGTGAAGAGCAGCTTTGAAGCGACCTAGTGTACAAAAAAATGAAAACCAAAATTGAAAAAACGCAAAAATTTAAAAACCAAAACGATGAATGTGCATGTGGAGGATATGTGCATAAAAAATATTCGCGCTCGACTTTTGAAATATCTACTTACGTCAATGTGGAGCCATTAAAGAAAGCAAGGGGTTTCACATCTTGGCACGAAGCCTTTTTTTTGCGCATACGCAAATCTACGGCAGAAGGCGACGCTGATGCGAAATCATGACAACTAATGTTTTGTTTTTTTCTTGCGCACAAAAAAAGAGAAGAAATGACGATGGCACACAACGATAAATAAGGGCGAGGCGACCGACGATTGCGATTCACGCAGGAAGCACTATCAAATAACCGAAGCAAAAATGCGGCATACAAAAGGCTGCACTACGAACCGAAGTGAAGTTTGTTACGCATCGGAAAGAAACGTAGAGTAGCATGCGTGGACATTACAGGCCGTCAACGAAGCCGACCGTTGTAGCACGAAACCGACCGTGGAGTTCGTTGTGACGAGCACGACCGAAACACGCTTCGTAATCTAAGTGACGCATCCAGAGCATGAACGCAGTTGACGAAAACCGAATCGGAAATCCGCGGCAAGCGCTGCAAGAAGTGGCTTGCATTGGACCAACGACTTTCTCTATTCAGCTCACGAAGTAGTCCAAGAACAAAACAGATTCTACCGAAGCATTCGTTCTCTTTTCTTTTTCATACCGAAAGATGAAAGGGAAAGATTGAAGATGCCACGATCTCCACGTCATCTTGCTTCAAAACCAGCGAAGAGAATGACTGACTCACGAACAGGATGAACACATAGCGGCAGCACTGAAAAATGTAGTCAAGCGGAGGATGTGAGCCTGTCTGTGCGTTCGGAATGTTGTATTCCAAGTCCGGAAAGGTGCCGTAGTTGAAGATCACGGTAGGAGGTTCATTATTCCCTACTAGATTTTCCGAGTCTCGATTGATTTTCTTTCGACGTCGGTGGTCCTATGGCATTCTATTTTTCATCACCGCTCGCATCGTCCAATTTTCTAGCACAGTCGCAAAATAATGTCCATTACACACTCCGTAATTGGAATTCATCGTAATGAATGGAATTGTTCACGATCAGTCATATGCCGTAGTGCGAAACGGAAACCACATCGAACCCCTGGTAAACACGAACTTCTGCATTTCGGACGATGGATAGTACGTATTTCATGTCAACGAAACGTATCCACCCTTCGTCGCACGGTGCCGCCGAGCGTGTCCCTTGTCTTGCTTCTAGAGCTTCGGTCCCGGTGGCGGAAACAAATCGCTCGTGTAGATCGCTGGAAAGGTGTCGTGTGGGAAAACTGGTGTACTTTTTCGCATTCACCCTCTACTTGTCCATTCAATCATGGCTGCATGCTCTACAAGTTGTCCGGATCTAATATCTACGGTTGTTGAATGACGATCATGGTCTTGTCTTGATGCTAACAACAACTAGTCACTTTGCTAGGGGTGGCCGTGCTACTGCAGGTTTGCATCTCAGCCGACCACCTCAGCATGTTTTCTTCTAATGCATGCAATGATCGAGAGCGAAGGTGTCCCAACCACGACATATAGTGTCGCTTTAGAGCAAAAAAAAAGACAAGTCATGGGCAAACGGCGAACGAAGCATTTTGTTGCCACCAACGATACGCTTGCACACCAGTAAAGTCCAGGAGTTTGACGAAGTGGCGCCACCCAAAGGGCTCTCCGCGGTCGGCAAAGAGGCCGTGCTTTCGCAAGGGCAAATCCGGGCGGTAAAAATTATGTTCCTGCTCCGTGCTGCTGGGGCCACCGATGCTAGTACCGCAGAAAGACGGGAAAACTTCCAACGATCCACAGCTCGTCGCAGTGGTAGAACTTGGCACTTCTGCTGGGGGCAACAAATTGCCGACAGTCGAGGTTTTCACCTTGTCACGCAGCGAACTCTTGCTCTGGCGCCTCGCGACAGAGGCTGTAGTTGAGGACGACTGGGTTTGCAGATACAAGGGGAGGACCACGTCGCTCTCCTCAATCATGTCGTCGATCTCTGGGATAGCCCGCTGCGGGTCGGATGAACGCGCTTCACTCATTCTTCCCACCGTCGCCCCCCCTCCTTCTACCGCTGGTAGTGCTCCTTCTTGTGCACTACCATGGGGGGAAGATGTTGGAAAGAAACTACCGGATGCCTTGTTAAAAGCCGGCTCATGTTGTGCGTCCACAGCATTCTGCTGGTCGAGATTCACGAGCAGGACGCTTACGTCCATCGGGCTATCACCTCTTCTTGGAGAAAGAAGAATCCACGGAAAAATCACATTCTTCGTACTAACTTACTTGTTCCGGCGTCTGGCAGACATGATAGGTTGGAAGCTCTTCTTCTTCACGTGCACGGGACCACGTCGTTGACACTAGAAGTAGAACAAGAAGAACGTAGCACGACTACAAAAAAAGCACGAGTGCAACAAAATACAACGCAGCCACGACCACATCTTCCTTCTTTTTCCTTCAATATTGCCTGTTCGACGTCAAAAAGTTTTACGATTTTTCGTGCTGGATAAAAACTTCCTCCAGTACTTTCGGGATGATCTGCAGTCGGTCCATGACCGCGCAGACCGCCTCGGCGTCGGCCGGCGACCGGAGGAGCACCGCGTCCATCAGACTGCGTTGCGACGTGAACACCGCCTGCAGCGAATAAAAAGCGGGCTCGCTGCTCGCCAGTAACGCCGGAGCGCGCTGCGTCATGCGCTCGAGTGCCATCCATTCCGACCAGGAGACCCGGCCAGATCCACGCGTGTCCAACATCGCCACGATGCCGCGCAGCTGATCATGAAGATTCGCTAGTATGGAAGATGTTGACAAGGCGTATTCCGGTAGTGACGTCCCACCCACCGATTCTGGGTCGGGTATGTCGTCCCGCATGAGAAGTTGCACAATCCCTTCAACAAGTTCATCTAGCCCAAGTTCGCCGTCTTGGTCCGCGTCGAAGAAGACAAACAAGTCGTACCAGGGCAGCACCGGGTGCGTGAGCGTGCGGTCGGCGCTGTCGGCCACCGCCTTCGCGCAGGCGTGGAGCGCCATCCGCTGCAAGCTGTCGCACTGGCCGAAGGCGATAACCAGTCGAAGAAACTGGGCCAAGTGCTTCCGGGCCTGCCGCACGAACGACCTCTGCTGGCGGTTGCACTTCTGCGCCGAGGAAGAACTGCCGTCACCGTCAGGTGGAAGGCCAGCTGATCTTCCGGAGAGATCGTCGCGGTCGTGAGATGTAGTTGTTTCTCCATCAAAAGCTGCACTCTGGGTTGTAGTCGTCGTGGCCACGGCGCCCCACCGTCCCGACACGGCGTTTTTCGATCGGGACCGACCGTCTCGGCGAGGCAAAGTCGAGCTAGTATTGCTGCCCGGAAGATGTTGAGCAGAAAAATTATGCGGCGCCGACGTCGACGTAGGCTGGCTACTATACGCCTTCAACGGAATCCCGAGGTGATTCAATGCCTCTTGCTCACCTTGCTCTACTAGCACCAAATAATTCTGAGGTCCTCGTCGCTCTAGCTGTGAGTCGCGCGAAGTGGAGGAATCGCCAAAGAAGGTCCCCGTGGTCGCTTCCTCGTCAGTGCCACTGGTCGTCGACGAACACGGGGGACTGGAAGCAGCCGAAATCGAGGGTTTTTGTCCGTCCGGATTGATGCCTCCTCCTGCAGAGGCAGTCGTTAACATCGTCGTCCCAGTAGAAGACTGCAAATTTGTGCCATTACTACCTCCGCGAGAGGCAGGGTAATCCCTCCAGCGTCCATACTGCGCCTGCACGCCGGCCAGCCACGGATCGCTGAGCACGTGCTGCGGGGTAAACCGACGGGCCTGGTCAACCTGCAACAACTGGTTTACGAGCCGCCGCGCATTAGAAGATACGTGGTCCAGCTTGTGAGTATCGTACTCCCCGGCCTTAACGCGCTGTATCGTCTCGCGCGCCTCCCGGGGACCACGTGCGGTCGAGGACGACATCGGGGCTGCGCCAGCTGCAGAAGTAGTGGCTGGTGCAGGGGGCGCTTCTACTTCACTCACGCCTCCAGTGCCACCGAGAATCGAGGTCGTGTTCACGATGGCGTTTCCGCGCGGGGTCATCTTGACAGGCTGGTGGTCCGAAACGGCGATCTGCGGTTCTTCACGACCATCCCTACCGCCCGCAGCTGCACTGTCGCTGCCACTTCTTCTGCCGCCGCGCGGGGAAAAGGTCACGACAGTCGTCTTGCTATGAGAGTGAAAATTCGGATCCGAAACTATGGCGCTGCCGCCAGGTCCACCTCGCGGTGTGGGCTTTGATGCGCCGCCGCCGGTTGCAGTACTACTGTTCCCGCCTCCACCACCCGCGCCCCCGCGAAACGGAGACTGCCCGGAAAGCATCACGAAAAGGCAAACCCCGAGCGACCAGGCGTCCGAGGCACAGGTCGCGCGTTCACCGTTGTAAATTTCCGGTGCGGTGTAGGACAGTGTGCCTACGCGTGCCTGCCCCGTCGACGCGTCGATGGGCGTCGCAGTGCCAAAGTCGCACAGCTTCAGCAGCTTCTTGCTCTTCATAACGCGGCCCTGGGTGCCGGGCGCAGCTGAACTGTAACTACCTACACGACTGGAATTCGTCCTACTTCTACTTCCACGGCCTCCCGTAGTACTCGGCGCCCTGAACGTAGTACTACTCACTGGACCGCCGGTGTCCCCGGGGGCTGGCTGGCTCTGGCCGGAAATAGAATCATTCACCGGCTCTAGAAACAACCAGTTTTCGGTCTTCACGTCGCGGTGAATCATTTTCGCGCGGACGTGCAGGTAATTTAACGCGAGACTCATCTGGTGCAGAAACGCGCAGACCTCCCCCTCCTCAAGAAAGCGGTTGCGAACCGCGTGCGAGGCGATGTAGCTGTAGAGCTCCCCTCCCTGGCAGAGCTCCGAAACCAATCCCATGCAGCATTCCTGCTCGTCCCGCAAGAGCTTCTGCTCTGCGTCGTGCACTTCCCAGAGGCGGACGATGTGCGGGTGGTCTAGCTGTGCCAAAGCTGCCCGTTCCGTGAGGAAGTTTTCGCGGCCGCGCTGCGTGGAGCTCTCGTTCCAGGTTTTCACAGCGACACGGAAATCGCGGAAGTGCTTGTGCCGCGCCTCCCGGACAATCCCGAAACTGCCCCGGCCGAGCTCCTTCCCGACGGAGTATTGCGCTGCGAACTCGGTCGGGTCGGCGTGGCGGCGCGCGAATACGTCGCTGCGAAAGTGGAAACTGTGGGCGTTGCGAAAGGTCGTTATCACATTGTTCTGGTGCTGCCCCAGATGCAGGTCGAAGCTTTGCAACGCCGGCGCACGCCGCCGCTTGTTGCCCCGGACCTGCAGCTCGTTCTGCTGGAAGAGATTGGACGACGAACCGTCAGTCGTGCAACAATTCCCCGCAGCTGAAATTTCGTTGCCCATTATGTTTGTACTGTGTGCGAAAATGAAGAACGTCGTCGCTGTAGTGCGTTCGTCCCACTGTTTGTTCTTCGATGTTGCACCATTTCGTCCCACAATGACTACAAGGTCAACGACCCCCACCGCAGTTCCTTGATGATGTAGATGTTCAAGTTCATTTATTTGATGTTGGCATTGTTCCTTTTTTATTCAGGCTGCCCCCACCACAGTTCCTTGCTCGTCGCTCAAAAAAATTTAGTATTCCAATCAGTAGTACACAAACTGCTCACACTTCTTTGAAAAACAGCTCAAACACGATCTCGACTACTAGGCCGCCCCAGCCCGTCATAATTCTGACGGAACAAACATCACTGTCTTCATTCCGCTCTGTCGGAGAAGACACGGCGCTCACAGTGTGGCTGGCAAAAAACAGGAGAAGTAGAGACGATTCTACTTCTTTCTCCAGCTCTTGCGCTTGCTCCACGAGCGCGAGCGGAGTTGTCTGTGTACAAACGATTTACAAGAATATCTCGTACTTGGTCGTCCTGAACCATGGCATCAACGAGCGAAGGCTTGTGGCGAAGCTCTTCGAAAAAGTTCCGAGTTTGAATCTGTCACTGTCTGCTGAAGCGAAGGTGGTCAAAAACTTAAGTTGAGGTGCTGGTGGTGTTACTGCTACTGTAAGTAATTGATGTTCAAAGCAGCCCGTTGGGTGATGAATTTGCTGTTGATTGTACTGCTACTGTCACAAGAACGACCCGTTGGCGGCATCGACTTCGAGAGTCGCAAGCTATAGGCAAGCAGGACCTTTTTCATTGATAGTCCAACGCGGAGGCCTACTTACTTCTCTACCAACTGGAGGTGGCGACTTTTCGTTCTACAACATGCTGCATTTTCTGTTTGCATTTTCTTACTTTCGGTTTGAGTAAGTAACTTGTTGCCTGCGCGTGACAACAGACGCAGATGCGTCAAGAGGTCTTGATGATGATTAAGGGTTACTAGTAGAAACAACAAGAGTAGAAAAGAGATCGAAAGGGAAGGAGTATGTGGCGCAAAGCAATGCTCTCCAGGAGCGATAAAGATAATCCGCTGTTGAACTTCTACGAGGTGCCTTCAATGTTCTTGCTCCTGTCTACTGAGGTTTTGAATTTGCAAATAAGTTGATTTTTGTCATGAAAGCAAATTTTATCTCCTAAGCTTGTCACCTTGAGCGTCGTCATTGCGAACAATCCTCTACAAGCCTTGACTGCGGTAGACCTCCGGGTCCTGGGAACAGTTCAGGCCGGCGTTTCGGGGCTTGCTATCGGTGAAGGAGTGCGAGAACTTGTTGCTTTTCGGAAAAAACGCGTCCGCCACCTGGTGGGGCCGCGGCTTCTCGTTGCCATAAACACTATCCAAGAAAAAATACTGTTTCACTGTGATGATTTTGCAATATCTGCACCACAAGTTTGTTTACACATGACACACAAATTTTGGCATGCGCGCTTCCCAAGGGAAAACACGGCTAATTCTCCAACTTCTTGCAGGTGTAGCAAGACAAATAGTTCTGTGTTCCATTTTCTGCATCACAAGTTCACGGTGAAACAGTCTTTTCTTTTCTTGCCATAAACACTGGAGGTGGTGTAGTACAGCGGGTTCTCCTTGTATCCCACGAAAAAAGTGTTACAGTTACAAATTTGTAGTCAATTCAGCAACACAAATTTCTCTGCATGAGAGAGAAAACTTGTAATGCAGAAATCCTACGGGAAAGCACCTATGAGACGAGGCTTCTATACGTATCCGGCATGACAGAGCTTGTCTGTCTTGCTTGGCCTGCAACACAATGTGTAACTGTCACTTTTTCCTTGTGATACCTCGCGCAAAGGCGGATAAATCATGCGGTCCGGGTCCACGGGAAACCTCTTCGGCAACACGTGCGCGCTCAGTACCTGGCGGAGTATTCAAAATTGTCGTTGCAAAATAAATACAGGCGAACAACAAGCCAAGAAACGTAGAAGTTTCAACAAAAGTCTGCTTCTCTTTCTGCCTACTTCTAACTTATATTTCATTTAGGTCGTTAACCACTTCTTAGATAGAGTAGTACCCGCTCCGCATTGATGGAATCGGCTTCCTTTTTGATGGTGTTTGTCATAATGAAGTCCGTGTCCTCGACCACTTATCCTCTGCAAAAGTATCGCACCCGTGGTAATCCCAATCATGCATTGCAAATTCCTTTCTTGTGGTAAACCCACATTATATATAAATTCCATTTGCATTTGTCATGCTAAGGGAATTTGTCATGCGATTTCTACGTAGTGCGATACTTTTGCAATGCATACCACCGGCCGGACCGGCTTCTTCAGGTCGTCATTTCTCCGGATCACTTCCTTCGGCGTGAGGAGGTCCTTCTTCGATTTCACCCGGTTTCCGAACCCAATCTCGGACTGCGTGGTGCGCCAGAAGCTCGGCACCGCCTTCTGCGGAAGCTCTTCTTCCGGCATGATAAAAGTTTTTAGTTGAAGTAGATGATACGACCTTCCTACCGCTCACAAAATGTTGGGCAAAAAAAAACCTACAGTAAGTCAAAATAAAGACCGTTGCGTTGTCTTGCTTTGTAGGATTGTTGAACAACAGATGTCCGATATCTTGATCTTCACCGATTTTGATTTTCTTTCTGCTCCTTGCCCCAACGTTGCCCAAAATACAACTCTGACGAGATGGTGCCTCGGTCGTCTCTCAAGCGACTTCAAGTTGTTGCCGTTGCGTAAAGAAGAATACTATGTGAGACTAAGATGTCACCACAACTGGACTATCTATAGCAGAGTGATGAGCTCGACGTCAACCCGCCCTCGGGCTCAGACAATTATCGATATAGCTACTACAAGTTCAAGTAGTACGGGCTTCGAGAAAGTGAAAATGGGAATGAAATGAATCGTCCGAGCTGCGTTTTATCAAATTCGCTCAAGAAGTGGGTCCAACCTGCATCCGTGTCGTTTCTTGCAAGTAACTGCAACAAATAAAGGTAGCAGATCTTCTTCGCAAGATTTCATCTTTTATTTTTCCGCAAAAACTACTACAAAAGTATGTTCTTGCTGCTGGGCTCGGTCGCAGTACGTGGTACAAAATATCCTCTACGGCTTCTCGGACGCACACCTGATTTTCCAAGGACGAGAGACGAAACGAAGTGCGACGACGAGATTTTTTTAACTCGCGTGGACGATATTCATTTCGACGGGCACTATTGGGTCCAAGAAAGGCATGAAAACAACACCGCAGATGACCTTGTCTGCGTGACAATCAATGTTGATAAAAATCACCGATAATTTATGAGAACGTATATGTGTTTTTCAACCCGTCAAGTTGTCGTCATATACATGCACTTAAGGTCTTCAACGCCGTATGTCCATGGTACATCGCGGAGGTTTATCAAGAAAAATGTCGATCCTATCTATGCCCATGGGTACCTGTAGATACCAGAAAAAATCAAACTTCTTGCCCATTTCACCGAGGGAACGAAGATTTACAGCTGCGTGCGTCGGAGTACGAAATGCATATGCACGCACCCAAAACTTGTAGTCAAAACGTACCAGCATGAAATGGCGTCACACGACTGCGTCGTCATAGTAAAAAGCAGGAGCGATCCACCCACGACAACATCAAAGAATAAGAAAACGGCATCAAACATTGAGCAGCACACTTGACAACACAAAAACTGTGACTACTTGGGCATGACTAGCAAAACTGGTTGAATTTTTACTAGTCGTGTGATTGTGACCGAATATTCGTATTCCAAAAAAGTTTTACAAAAATTGTCTACTCTCTTCCTATGTCCGACGCGAATTATGCACGGAGATACAATCGACAGAGAGCTAGAAGTGGAGCAAGAATCCAGTGGAACAATGATTGAAGGTTAGGATTTATTAGGAAGCCGCCCGCCCAAATGGAGACACTTCTTCGCTGAAGATCTTATCGTATCGAAAACATTGGCGCAAGCCTGACAATCCTATCACTTAGTCCATGTCTTGTTCGTTCAATCTCTTCTACCCCTGCTACTTATTCCAAATCGACGAAGGTCGTTATTTGCGAAGTGCACCCTCTGCCGTGAATGGTATCGACAACTTTCATCTTGCAAATAGGGAAGGACGAGACCATGCGTAAATACAAATACGCCATATTAGCTGCTCAGATGCTGGCTTCAGAACTGAGATCGCTTGAAAAATCATACTCGTATCCTGTGCAAAAGTATCGCACTCGTATAAATTTAAATGCAAGTCTTGCATTACAAATATCGTGTCCACGACAAATCTGCACTACAAATCTTATTTCTCATGCTGGGGAAATTTGTAATGCATTTAAATTTATACGAGTACGATACTTTTGCAATGCATAATTCGTCCTCCTCGTCAACGTTTGTGTCGTCCAAATTGCTCGATCGCTTACTGCTGTGCGCTGTGTCTTTCGATGAGGAAGAATTGGCGTTTTTTTCACCAGATGTTGTCGTCGTAGTACTTGATGTCGCCGTATTAAAACTACTATTCAGCTTGTAGAATTCCGGAATTGGTGCGGCACTGATGATGCGCTTCTTGATGTCCAGAATCTGCTGACGCTGTGGCTCGTAGTCGCGGCATTGCATGCCCTCGCGACTAAACATCCAGGCTTGCTTCTGGTGCTTCTTGTTGCCCTCACAGGACCACTGTAGGTTCTCCAGCTTCTCCAGGTGTTTCGGGGTCAGAACCTGATGGTCGTAGGCGTAGTTTGAGTGACGTAGTACTAAATAGTCTCTCTTCTTTGAGTGATTTGGATATATAAGACGCAACAAGAGAAGGACACTGAAAACAAAATGGGCACCACCGCCCCTTCGTTGATTCTCATTCTCTGTCTAAGTCTATGCGTGAAAAAGTACAAGAACCGCCTCTACCTCGTCCTGATGCTCTCCACATAAAAGACAGCGCATCTTGCAGACATTTGCCTTCAGGAAATAATCCTCACTCATGACGAACATGAGGTAGGGGCAGTTTTTCCGCGGCTCCACGGTGGAAACGGTGTTGTCGAGAATCTTGTCGAGCACCAGCCGCAGCGTGTCCATGGCAATCTGCCGATTCTTCACTTCTACTAAATGCTCCGGGTCCTGCGAGTGCTCCCAGTAGAATTCCTTCGGCTTCTTCGTCGATTTCGTCCGACACAGGAGGCACTTGAACTGCAGACCGTGGAAATTATTGATGTCGCCGATCACTTTGCAGTACTGCCGCAGGTCCTTCTTTACGACGTACTGACATTCGTCTGTGCTCCATTCCAACAGATGATCCCATTCCCCGTTGTAGTTGTCCCACGAGTCGCTGGCAGCCTGGCTGGAGGAGGAGGATTTCTTGTTGTTCTTGGTTGAGGAGGAAGTCCCTGTAGTTGCTCCATTCTCTTGTTCATCCTCGTCCACATCCACGCACTTGCCGAACATGCACTTATCCAAAAACTTCGACTTCTGCCACGCCTGCTGCTTCCGCTCACGGTCCTTCCGCTCCTTTTTCAGCCTTTCCCGCTCGGCATTGTCCGCCTTCTTCTGCCGCCGGGCCTGCGCCTGCCGCTCCTCCTCCTCCAGCTGCTCCTGTCGCGCGCGCGCTTCTTCCGGACTCAAGTTCAACCGAGCTAATTCTTCCTCCAACTGACGCTGCAACTGGGTTTGAGCAGTGGTATTTGAGGAGGTCGCGGGCGCGGCAGGAGCTTTGCTGTGTTTGCTACCGGTGCCCGCTGATGGGTTCTGCTGCTGGTCCACCCGTCGTCCTCCGCCCATTTTTTATTGCGTAGAGGGTGTAGTAATAGTCCGTGTAAAGAGATGATATGAGGGTCGGGTCTTTACTGATGAATCCAAGATTTGTATACTTTTTGAGTCCAAGTTTATTCTGGTGTAACTGTACCCTCCAGTCTTCTACCAGCGACAATCAAAAGCGTTTTTTTTTGGTTGAGGACTGTACTAGCGTTTTTCCTTGATGTTTGTATTTGTTCATGTACTACATAGAATTTTGCAATTTTCAAATGTCAACTAGTGGTCACATTTTGAAGAGTCTCTTTTTCTGCTCTCTTTGCATGTAGGTACTTACGTACGTGGCTAAAAGGTTTGAGATCCTCTTTCAAATGCCCGCCATGCTGCTTCGATGTTCAAGTCTATTATTTCCATGCAGCTACTGCGTCAACTTGTTCCGCGGGCTACAAGAAAATGAAAAGCTCGTTTGTCAGTAGTTAATTGATACTTCGCAGAGTACGGAATAAAAAACAAAAACATATGCCTAAAGCACGAAGACGATAGAGAGTTCCGCCTGGGTCTCATCTTCATCTTTTTTCTGATTCCGTGACGTCGCATTGCGAGTGACATGACATCTCGGAATTTGCTGGAACAAATCTACTGGCGGGCGACCACGGCCACGTCACTTCTTCAACGTGATCGGTTCTTGTGGTTCGTCTGAGTGCATTCAGTATAGTTCTTGCAGTCAGAGACCCGACTATGTTGCGCAACAGTTATTCAATATTCAAGAAGGACATGTTTGACATTGTCAAGATCAGAAAGAGGTGCTGTGGCTGCCACGACTCAATTACAACACCTCGTCTTCTCCCTAGTGCTTTCGTTTTTTTGTCCCGTAGGTGCCAGGATCGTAGTCCTCGTCTTCGGAGCGCATGTCGACGTCACTCAAATCCTCGTCCATCTCCTCGCTTTCGGGGTCTTCCCCCGGCACAAAGTCGCTGTCCTCCGAGTTATCATCCAGCACCTCGTGCTGCTGTCGTGCTGCCGCGCTCGCCATCGATTTCGCAGGCATCTGCAGCTCCGGCACCTTGACTCCCCGCTCCTTGAGCGCGGCCAGGAGCGGTGGACACTCCTCTTTCGGGACCTGAGAAAGAATGTACAAAACTTCGGAAGGAGCTGCGAGGCAGTAAGAACTACCTTCAACCGCCTTCAGAATGAATGATCTTCACGAAACTAGCGCTATTGACGGCGATCAGAGTTGTGATACAGAATCTTCACACACTTGTCGTGAAGACAATTTGTCGTCGCGTCCCCTCACGATAGGCCACCAAGAAGTAGAAACAACTCAAATGAAGAATAATCCGCAACTACACCAGTTCCTATTTTTTATACCTGTGTAAATTCGAAGGTGGCGTCTTTGGTGACAACGGACATGACGAGGAAGCGATTGCTGTTGTGCATGTCCGTTCCCCGCTGCAGCTGTATCGCTAATATCCGCGAGTACATGATGTACAGAATCGGTTTGTGAATGAACAAAATCGCCTTCTTCAGCGGAAAGATCATGCCGTTGTTGCTCTTGTGGCTGCACATCACGCACTTCCCGCCCCGCGCCGACATGTAGGTGTCCAATGCGAGGGTGAGCGTGACGTCCGACAGCATGGTGAATAAACGGGAGAGAAACTCGTACAACAGCAAACTCCTTTTCCCCGTCGTGGGCTCGCGATTCAGGTTGTGCTTCTTGAGCTCGACCTCCTTAATGTTGTTCAGCTCCATCGCGTCCGGCGTCGGGAGCGACAGCGCCTCGGACTGCATGCAGATGAAGTGGTGCTCCTGCGACCCGTGGCGAATCGGCATGGAGAGCTGAAACACTAAATGCATGTCGTTCCGCAGCCCCTGTAATACGAACAGTTTCCGCAGCGTGCTGTAGCGAATCATGAAGTCGCTGCTTTTCCCGTGCAGGCTGAAACCGTTGCTGTGAAACTTCAAACTGCCCCGCAGCGCGGGCACCGCCCACTTGAGGTCCGGCACTTCGCAGACGGTCTCGCTCACGTCCATTTCCAGATCCAAGCCCGTGATCATGGCGGACCGGAGCTTCTCCGCGCGGGTCTGGTCTTCAAACTCGTTTGCGTTTTTCTTCTTGTTGCCGCCACGCTTATTTCTCCCGCCCACGTTGCTCGCGTCGTCGTCACCCGGGTTATGACAATGCGCACCTCCCCCTCATTTGTATAGCATGAACGGCAATACAAGCATCAGCAAGAGTGCCGGTTTTGCATGACAAAGTTACACTGGAGTGTATTACTATTTGGGCCACCGGAATTTGTCATACATGCCAACAGTGCCAAGAGGCAAAGGCTGGATTGGGTATTTTGCATGACAAATGAGGGGAGGGGGAGTTGTGCACTGTCATACGGGTCCAGGTCCCCGTCGCCGCGCTCGGGCTCGATGTAAAACCGGACTTCCGTCAAAAGTTCGGCGCCGGTGCGAGAACTACCTTGGTCGGCGCGGAGCGCTTCGTTTTCGTCCAATCCGAACGGGTCTTCCAGCTCGACGTGCACCTCGTTGCGGTTGGGGTTTGTCACCTGGGACACGTCCCGCGCGACCAAATGCAGCACCTGCTCGTCGTTCTCGTTCCGAAGACTGTACTCCAGCTCGTCATCACCGAGAAGATCTAAATCCCCCCAGTTCCCCCCGCGCGTCGCCAGCAACCGGTTGCTCAGGCCCGCAATCCGCTTGTTCAGCTTTGGGGAGGGGGAGCGTTCGTCGTCCGAGGAGGAATCACTTTCGTCCTCCTTGGCCAGCAGCTCGTCCGCCAGTAGCGGCGCCGCTTTGTGAACCATTTCCCGATGAAACACGTGACTACTTAAAATGCTCTCGATGTTCAGGATGTCTTCCTTTTTGAAGCCATCGTAACGGAAAATATTCTTTTTCGTGACGAACTTCAGCAAAAAGCTCCTGCCCGACTATCAAAACGAAAAATCCCCCCTCCCCATATCGAAAGCGAAATATTGTGATGCTGTATCTGAGTACACAAATCGACTTGTAATGCTAGAAGGCCAGGACGAGACGCAGCTGTGGCCTCGGTTGCAGGCAATTTGTCATGCTGTTTCCCACTTCCAGCTGCCCCCTGTCATGCTGACGATGCAAGGCTTTCCCACGCCAAGCAGCACTCGAGTCCGCATCTTTTCCCTTCTAGCATGACAAAGCTGATTTGTGACCACAAATCTGCATCACAAATTTCTAGGTTGAGTATGGAGTGGGGGGATTTTTCACTTTGATGCCGACACCTGGGTCACCTCCGGCCGCTCCAGTAGGTCGCGGAAAAAAAACGACTGGATCTTGTTCGTAAGCACGTTTTTGAACCCGCACTGCTCCGGGTTCAGTCGGAACAAGCCCAACGCGCCCGTGGGCACGTCCCGAATCTCGGAGAACGCGAGTTTTAACTGTTGTTCCTGCTGATTGATGTTCGCTGGGTTATTGTTGTTTGTCCCGCCGGAGGAAGGGCCTGCTGCACCACTACTCCCGCCGGCGTTCTTGCCGCCGCCGGTGGAGGATGAAGAGGCTGGGTTCATGTTGGGCCGGTGGGAGGACATCTTTTTTGTCGCCGGACGATATGATATTGTCGTGATAAAAAAGAAAGTTATGCGATGTGTTTAAATGGAAAACGAAAATTTGTACTTAATTCAACGAGCTCAGGGTCTGGAGGTACTATAGGTCGTCATTGGTAATTATGCTGGCACTTAGTCCAGTTCTACATGGTACTTGTCGTCTTATTTCTTCTGGGTTGGCATCTTCTAGTGGTAATGGTGACTCAATCATCGGCGAAAAACCGCTATGGGTCGTAAAGTTTATTGACGTTATGTATACTTCAAGTTGTCGCTGTATTGTTTCGACATTAGTATGTGGCTCGTGAAGTAGATCATTTTGCTTGTACTAGGTGGACCTGAGCATGATCAACAAAACGAGTCGGGGCTGGCAGTGCCGCAGCAGAAGAGAAACAGAAATCACATGAACAATGGTTCAGGTTGTAGTTGTGAAGATTACTATCGTCAAAAAATGGAATTAGGATCTTCGTCACGGTCCGTCTCTTCTTGTTCTTACGCTTGGCGGAATAACGGATAAAAAGTATGTTGGTATCTCTTGCTGCTCTATCACTACGCATGAAGATAGCCATGATAATGTTCGAGCTCCTTGACCACTGCTTTTGATGACCTCAAGGACTTTGTTGGGAAGCGTGTTGAAGATCAAGCTGGTGCCCAGAAATTCGAATGATGTGAATGTGATCCAGGACTAGATCAGGCATAATATCTAAATAAGGATGAATGTCTCCTCAGTGGTTACTTCATAAATGCGCCAGGACTACTAAGCGGAGCAAGGGTTTGCGATATCGATATTGTCAACAAGCGCAGCATGAAAATAACTAAATCTTGAGAACAAAGTTTACTTCTGCACGCCAAAAAATTGACTGATGGGGCCATAGGGTCGTCGTCGTTTTTCCGGTGGCTATAATTTCCCTCGTCACTCTCTGCGGACGACGCTGATATTGCGGTCCGCAAGTATTCAATTTGACCAACGTAATTAGAATCTTAAGGACAACGAACGGATGTTTCTTTTGTCTTGTTTCTATTTCATCTCCTTGTAGTACCATTCAGTCTAACAAGTCAAGATTCGTTTTCGTCCGCTGTGTCTGTTATTTTCAGACAACGGCTTCGCTTTTTTGACAGGTGGCAGCTGATGATGAAAAGAGGTGAACTTCTACGTCCCCTTCGACGCTCTACTTCCGAGCTGAAGTTCTTTACTTCGACTTCCTCGTGATCCGATCGAGTAGAGGTGAAGCAAGAAGAAGTTCTGCCGCCTTTATTCCGATCAGCTGCGCTGCCGATAGCGGTGCTCTACTCGTCCTCCTGCTGGGGTCGTGAACTTGCTTTTAATGGTTAATATTTCAGAAGAACGAATGTTCGAACCCATCTCGTGAGTAGTCTTTGACAGGACGTCGACAAAGACGAAGTAGGTTTATGTATATGAAGTACTTTGAATAGCGTTCAGAAAAAATCATCTTCGGAGGTAAATGTGCAGCGACATCACCGTCTCCTCTTTCATGTCACAAAATTAAGAACTAGCTCATCTGCGGGATGATGTAGTAGTTGCAAAACGCACTGCAAATTGAAACTAACTAGATCCATCCTGTTTCTCCCGTTCTACGTAAAAACCGGCACGTACTCCTCCGCAGGGCAGGTAGAGAGCTGCACAACTACTACCCTTTGTAATTGTCTCTGCTGTTGTAGCTCCTCACGCCGAAGCAGTGATGGCGTTCAACCCCGAGCTCTGCAGCATCAACTTCTGCACGCACAGCAGGGCTTCCCGGGCCACCTCACGCTGGCTAGCGAAATATCCCTCGGGAACTTCTGGTCACGTTGTGGAAAATCAGGACTCAGCAACTATTGAAGATATTTCCAGCCGGACGTCGTTACATGCATATGTTGATCCTCGATCTAGAATCGTGGCGAATGGAGGCTCGCTGCAAGAACCGCACATAGCATATTACCGCGGCAAGAACGGGTGGAAACATCTGCAGGCTGTATCGTAGCTACAAATAGACACGACCCGATGGTACGCGTGGTTTAGTTCATCTAAATCGGTTTGTTTTTTGCCTCTACTTGACCATATGAAGTCCTTCGGGATATGGACATCAGCTCCAGCATTTTGTCCTTAGCCCCACGCGTTGTTGCGATGTGCTTACCTACAGAGTCAAATGGAGGAACAGGATTAGGATTTTCTTCGCAATTAGAATTATAGTACTGTTGAGGAGGATGGCTGAGATTTTGCATCGAAAACAAAAAGGTGAGCATCATCATGCAAAAAACACTAGGCTCAACAATCGTATACCGACGGGATGCAGGCGGGCGAATTCCCCAAGATCGTGGCAGGCGACCGCGTATCAACTGTAAAAATGTCTGGGTCTGGAAGAGGGGTGTCATGCTTGTCTGGCATGACAAAAAAGTTTGTGATGCGTGTCCACGACGAGACCCTTATGCCTGTCATGCAAAAACGCAGTGTCTCATGCGAAAAACGCAACACAAAGCAGCGCAGATATTTCTCATGCTTGGTTGTGCATTACAGAGCATTCACTATTCCCAACACAGCATTACAAGTTTCCAGACCCAGACATTTTTACATTTGATACCGCGAGAGTTTCTGCGTCCTTACTGGTTCGCACAATCACAATATCACAGGAAAAAGTGTTAACGTTAACGGAATTTGTGATGCAGTAGTACATCACAAAACTACGTGCCCCCCAACTTTGTCATGTATAGCATGCATACCAGGCAAAATTTGTGATGCATATTTGCAATCTATGAAAATCGTTAACATTAACACTTTTTTGTTTGATACACCATCAGGTGGTCGATCACCTTGAAGTTGCTTCCCTCGCACTTCAAAACCTGCATTTTTGTAAGGCTAAGCAGTGGTGGAGTACTTGCGTAAGATGTAGCTGACGCGGCTTGTTTCCCTTTCGTTTCTGTTGATGTTGGCATGTTGTACTCTACTGTACTCTTCAGTATTTTCAAAAACATCGCAAATCGAAATCATGTAGTAAGTAAATGAATACGTTTTCGAGCCAGAACTTTTCACTGTGGATGAATCCCCACTTGAGCCTGCCGGACATGACCTCCCGTTCGAACCGCTCGAAATTGGTCAAGATCTTGACCTCCGCCTGCAGCGCAGAGATCAGCTTCTTGATGAGGGCGATCAGCTCCGGGTCCCTCCACTTCTCATATTCCAGGGCGGACACCAGGTTCATCGTCTCCTGCTCCGCCATTTCTGATTTTGGAAGAAATTTGAATTTCGATGATGATGAAATTGGTGGAGTTGGACAGTTTATACGATTTATTCTGTTCCATTTTTTTTCCATGTTTGTAGCAGGGCCTCCTGTTGTGTTTGCGCAGACGAGCTGGCGTGAAATAGGTAAATGAACTTCAATTTGTTCCCCTTCAACATCATGATGCGCGACAAGGACCTTAACGACGATCGGACGATCGTGATAAGGGCTGACAAATGCTGTTCTTTCAAAAACTACCCCTTGAAAACGAAAACAATAAATCCTGTACCTTCACACATGGTCTTCTTCGCGAGCAGGTTTTCTATTGCCATGAGCGCAATGCGGATCACTTTCTCAGTGCGCACCGTCTTCAAAATCTCGTTGATACTCGAAATCACGCTGGTTGGCATCTCGACGTCTGTTTTTTTTTTTTGAAAACTATTTTCATTTTGTTTGTGATTGTGAAGATCATGCGTCCTGCGTCTGTATAATGGATCGATGATGTAGATGTTGTACATCATCTTCGGTCGAGTATTCGCCGGCGAGGAGCAGGAGCGACGGATTCGTCGCACGAAAAACGAAAATCAAAATGAATCAATAAATCAGTACCTTTGTTAAAGCTCGTGAGCCAGACACACATCAGTGCTTTGTACATGGTCGGAACGCTGCTACTGGAAACGCCACTCAAAATTCGCATCTGCATCGGCGGAAAAAGGGTCTGAGAGTTTTTTTTAACAGAGACTCTTCAAAATTTGCTAGTTGTCTTTTTTCGATGAAAAGAATTTCGTGAGACAAAGATAAAGAAGTCTCAGCGTCTACTTCACAAATTTCGATGGCAAAGGCCCGAAAAAAAGCAGGAAAATAAATCCAGTGTTTTTTAGTATACCGATCGCCAATCGGAGCACTTCAGAAGATTTGCCAAAACGTCGAGTTTACCCGCCTCGGTACCGCTGTATTCCGAGCAGCCAGTATGAAAACGAAAAAAGAACGCGATCGACGGTGCCTAGTCTTCTTTCATGAACGATGTCGACAGATTAATGGCTATAGCTGGGCGCGATTAAGTGTCTGTCTTCGTATCCATTTTTTTTTTTTTTCCAACATGCACATGCTGGCGTGACAACTTATGCAACCATATCAATGCTAAATGCAGATGCATGTCAAGAAGATGAAGAAATGAAATCAAATGGTAGTCGCCGACATCTCGGTTCGTGCACGGCCACGCATGTAAGTACTGAAATGGAAATGCAAATGACCCTCAGGCGCCTGTCGAATTAAGTACAAAGTTCTGTTTTGCTTCCATATGCCTTGACCTGTGCGGTGGTAAACTTTGCTGGGTATCTGCACATCACGCCGCTGAGCAATATGGGTCTCCCAAGCGTTACATCCTCAACTGTTGCGTGATTTGTCATGCAAAATGACCATGAGCCACAAGACGATCAAGCTGCTTCGCATGACAAATTATCGAAGGGCTAAACAACATCTAAGTCCGTGCCTAATTGTAATTTGTGATGCAAGAGGACTTGCAGTTGAGAATGTAACAGTTGAAAACGCCATAAGCAAGCTGGCCGCCTTGTCGCACATGACCGTGTCGCGAAACTTCATCAGCTCTGCGAGGTTACTCGTGTTTTCCGGCGTCGCCAAAGCGGCATACAACCCGATAGGACTATGGTAGTGAAAAGTACACGAGTTTAGTTCAAGTTCATCACTTCGCGTCAAGAAGGAAAGACGAGACGCGGCTTCCGCATCACCTCTTTATTGACTCCGATTCACTTCACTCACTTTCGCTAGGCAAGAAAATGCTAGTTCATGATCATGATGATCATGACATCGACCATCAGCTACCAGTCTTGCTGCGATCAAAGAGCTAGGCTGCCGTAACATGCAAGAAAACATGACTTGGAAAATCCCCCCCCTTTGCGTCGGAAACTCCCCTCGTTGGGGAACGAGAGCCCAAATGCTACAACTTTGAGCGTTTTAAACATACTGAAGCCAAAACATCGGGCGACGTTGCGAACCACAAAAATCGGGCGTGGCTTACGAACGACATCACAGGCACCTTGCAGGCAGTGTAGCAGGGCGTTCCTATCGGCGATGTGGCGCGGGCAATAGCGCGCTGCAATTAGAAGGCTCGCAAAAAATTTTTCGCGCCATGCAGCAAACGCTACTAGCGACAGAGCAACACGCTTACGGAACGTCCTGCAATTTGAATCGGTAGCCCTCGCCCTATTTCTGCCATGTGTGCTGTAAAAGGTCAGCGCTTGCGGTTTTTTTTTGTTCATGTAGTCATAACTCACTGAATTGCCACTCTACGAAAATCCCACTTCTAGAATGATTCCGGGATGAGATAGCTTTTCTCTGGGGTGGTAATTCAGCGAGCCCTTGCTCCGGAAGAACCAGAAGCCTAGTAATTCACTTTTCGAAATAGCGGAGTGAGATTGTTCCAGGAGTGAATATTCACTGAATTTTCACTCGGTTTCTCGTTACGGAACGAGAAATCGAGTGAAAATTCAGTGAATTTTCACTTTTGGAAAAATCCTGCTTCCCGAATTCGCGCTCCGGGAAAACTTCGCCTCCGGAGTGAAAATTTTCAAAAAGTGAAAATTCACTGAATTTTCACTCGATTTCTCGTTCCGGAACGAGGCCTCGTTCCGGAACGAGGCCTCGTTCTGGAACGAGGAATCGAGTGAAAATTCACTGAATTTTCACTTTTTGAAAATTTTCACTCTGGGAGCTCAAGTCTCTCTCCCGGAAAATTCGTGATCCAAAAGTGATTTTTTTCAAAAAGAAAAAGTGAAAATTCACTGAATTTTCACTCGGCTTCTCGTTCCGGAACGAGAAATCGAGTGAAAATTCAGTGAGTATTCACTTTCGGAAAATTTTAACTCCGCCCGGGAGCCGAAGCCTCTCTCCAGAAACATGCATGCTCCAAAAGTTATTTTTTTCAAAAAGTGAATACTCACTGAATTTTCACTCGGCTTCTCGTTCCGGAACGAGAAATCGAGTGAAAATTCAGTGAATATTCACTTTTTGAAAAGTCCCACTTTGGGATCCCGATTTTACCGGGATTGAGAATTCACTAAATTCTACTGACTCCATTTCTCGTTCCGAAACGAAAACCAAGTGAGAACTCATTGAGTTCTCACTTTTTGAAAAGTCCTGGAGTGAGAATTCAGTAAATTCTCACTCCATTTCTCGCTCCGGAACGAGAAGCCGCGCAAGAATTCACTGCGTTCTCACTTTTTAAAAAGTCCTGGAGTGGCAATTCAGTGAGTTCTCACTTCGTTTCTCGTTCCGGAACGAGAGCCCACACGAAAACTCGCTGCGTTCTCACTTTTTGAAAAAATCCGGGTATTGCGCGCCTCGTTCCCGAACGAGGGGAGTTTCCGATGTCATTTTGTGGTAGAGGTTCCAAGTCATGCAAGAAAATTGATTGAATAAAATGGCTCGGCAGCATCAGAAAGAGAAACCCAGTAAACCCGTGAGGATTTTCACTAGCCATAAGAACCCCGCACGATGCTGTGGATGTTGCTGAGCCCGCTCTTCAGATTCGCGGGGTCGGAAAGACGCATGGCTTCCGAGAAGTACTTGGCGACATCGGTGAGCGGAAAACCCGCGATGTCGGCGGCCGAAAAAAACGAGATGGCCCCCGAGGACATGCGAGCGCCCCAGCTCGACACCGGCTCCAGCAGCTCACCGCCGGCCTCCTGGGCGCTCTGGAGGTAGTACGTCGCGTCCATCCTCCTGGGCACGGAAGGTACTTATTAAATCAACCGCACTCTTCTACTGCTCTCTGTAGTCAACACTTGCACGACCTGTAGCTGATGCTGATTTTTCTAGTAGTAGTACCAGAATTATCTCATGATGTTCATCGTCACCCGTCAAAATGATCATCTTTTCGGGAGAAGAAAACTTACGAGCTGCACGGGAGCAAACTCCGCCACAACCAAGCAAAAACGACGAGAAAAACAAAACAAGCACACCTTCAAAAACTACGCATTCTACCTTTAATATTTAACCTTGATGAGAACTTGTCTCGGTCTTCCACTACTAGGTACGACTACTGGCTGTGATCAACGCAAGCACTCGAAGACCAGCGTCAAGATGCCACGTCGGAAAAAAACTCGGACTTTTCTGCAAGAAAGTGAAGGATGAGCAGCACATTTGCAACTTAATGCTTGGCTACCTCCATCCACGTACAGATAGAAAACGAACACCCCTGTGCCAAGCACACGGAACAATTACTGCGGTGCGGCAAGCGCGTTCCGTTCTTTCCTAGATCTTCAATCTGTCCAACCTTCTGTCTTAGTCTTGTAGGGGTCCTGAGAAATAACGTGCTTCTAGCTCTACCCAAGTCGAGTCGTGCCCGTCCTCGCGGCACTTTTCTCCTCCTTCAGCGGTCTTTGAAAACTCGGGCATTGCTGATGCTCCACTACAACTTTCTAATTATAACCCAACGGGAAAGTCCGTAGTCTCCGAAGCCGAAACATACGCATGCCTAGGCTTAGGAGTCTACAAACTTACTACTGCTGGCCTTTGGCTGGGGATACCAGCCCCGGAACAGAATCGTCGAACCCTAAACCCTGTCTAAGTTATCATTCTCTTACAACTAGTTTCTTCCTTCTAACCATACAAAATTATTATTTTTTCATGCATCTCACCTCGGCCTGATGGACATCTTTTTTCTTTTTGAACCCTTTTGGTAAAAATAAAATAGATCCGTCTAGTAGCACCGCGGGCATGTGCAGACACATCGGCCAGTGTGTGGTTGGGGCGACATGCCATGCACAGCAAGTGGGAGCAGGATCTCCACTAACTTTTTTCCAAAACGATAACAGGAGTGGCTCTTCTGAACACTACTTTTTTTTTATTTTTTTCATTAGAGTATACGAAGCTACCGCCTCTGTTTCTTCGTTGGCCGAGGTGCATACAAAAAAGAGACCGACTAAAGCCACCGAGCCGCACAGTGGTCTTGTGCGCTACCACTAAATTTAGGTCGAGGCGGGCGCTAGCGCTACGCGGCATGTACTACACGATCATGCACTTGTGACGGCCACGGCAGTTAAGCGATCCGCGGACCGCAATGCAAATTTTCTCTAGCCACCTTAGTGGGCCCCGCGAACGTCACGCATGTCGCCGCTCCTGCTGATGCAACAGCAGTGCGGGGGATGTGATAAGCTAAGCCCTGCGGGCCTATTCTAGGCATCCCCGTCTAACTAACGCTGGTCGATGTGTACTCTCAAATTTTATCTCCTGCTGCAACAGGGGCGCTAGGTATACCGAACTTGTATACTGGTGTATCGCCCGGCGTATCATATAGATTAGAATTAGTACAGCTTTTTCTAACTTACTTTTATTGCCACCACCACCTCTCTATAAAAAGCCCACCTCAGCCTCTGTTCGCGTCTTTTGTCCTTCAGCGGTCTTGGAAAACTCGGGCATTGCTGATGCTGCCTGGTGCTGGTGCAGCAGTGGCGGGCTACGCTTCAAGTTCTAGTACGTACTGCTCAAATAACATTGTACACGATTTACATCTTTGTTGTGGTGCTTTCCACCAAAAATGCGACTTCAGTTGACGGTAAGTCGTGTTAATTTAATTGCGGTACATCACAAACACTAACTCCGTCTTGGTTTACTTAATTGGGTTAAGGTCGTGACCCTGAATTATAGGTCTCCAACTCTAGTACCTCCATTGAATAATTTCACCATACCAGTGCATCACTAAAACTTGCGAAGATAACGCTCCAATCGAAAATGCGTTCCCAGTGCTGCGCGAAGCTCGTTACAGTCGCTGAGTGGCAATTCGCAACCTACTTGGGTTGCAGAAGTCCATCCGCTTGCTTTTTGTGATGCTTGGTCGATCCTCATCTGCAGCTAGCAGTACGTAGCTGCACCTACTGCTGCTTGAGTCTGCATGATGTGTTGCTATTGTGTTAATATGTGCGATACTGACCCCCGGAAAAGCATCTTCAGCGTTCGTTACATGTACATTATAATTTTACTCAGATGCGAATCTGTTCCGCTTTTTACCGCTGGTGCGATCACTCAATGGATAAACAACTTTAACTTCTTTTTTTTTAATTAGTTAAAAACAAAGTGATGTTGAGATTCAGAATCATGCATGTTGGTCATACAGTAGATATAGGATGGTCTAGTGATTTTTTCGACAGGAGTGACATCCCGCCCTGCTCCATTAGTAATGAGAGGCTGAGCGATCGCGATGGGCTTGTCCTAATTATGAGTCCCTCCTGCTCATGGTGATTCAAAAATCACGTACTGTATAGACTTAAAGTATGAAAAAATTCAAATAGCACAACTTTACGGTTACTGAAAAAAGAAAGACCCTGCAAGAACTCAGCATCCACGACACAACTAGTGCGGTCTTCATGGGAGAGGAGGAGATGGATGATCACGATCTTCGTTATACTCCCGACTCCGACTCCGTCCTCGTCTACCCGGCGCGGGAGGCGTTCCAACAGGACCTGCCCCTCCGTGAGGGGGCGTGCTGTATCTGTGGGCACTAGGGCTTCGAGGACTCCGCGAGGACCCACGACGACCACGAGATGCACGTGGAGTACTAGTATCAAGCGACGGCACGCGTGGTCCTGGTGCGGGAGAGACGGAAGCGCCAGCCGCTGGTGCGGATCCGCTTCTCCCGGCGCTCCTCCTGCCCCCGCGGGTCGACCGACTGCGACTGCGGGCGGCTCGTCCTGGAGGACTGCCACCGCCAGGTGGCGGCGGCCCGGGCGGAGGTGGTAGTGGTGGAGCAGCTCGTCTCCGTCCCCTTGGCTCGTTTGCACCTGGCCACAGTCGCAGCCTTGCGTCCTTTATTTCCCTGTCCTCCGCGGCTTGTCTCTCCAGAGCTTCTGCTCGTCTGTCTTTTTCCTCCTGCTCGATCCGCAGTCGTTCTGCTTTAAACCTCCTGGTGATATCCCTCTCCGCACGTTTCATGCGGACCGCCTCTGCCTTGTTTTCCTGCTTGATCCGCAGGTGTTCTTCTTTCAACCGACTGTTGATAACCCTCTCCTCACGTTTCACGCGGTCCGGCTCTGCCTTGTTTTGCGCCACGGTCTCTAATCGCTCATGCTCGAGCACCCGCTCAGCTGCCGTCAATAGTTCCCCATCTGCCCTGGGCACCACGTCAATCTCCCGTTTGGCGAGCAGGGGGCCGTGAGCTTCGCCCCAGTTCAGGTACCGGCGCGGCACTGCAGGCGCCCTCTTTTTTATAAGTAACTGGTAAAACACCTGCGCGAGCGCGACGCTGTCGGCGAAGGCGGTGTGCTGCCCGGGAAACATGAACTGGATATCGTAATTCTGGCACAAAGTCCCCTCACTCCAATCCAGGTCGTCATTTTTGGCGCTAGCGCTGACCACGGTAGTCAAGCCTCGGTACAAGCTCGCGTACACATTCTTCTCTTTTTTCTCCGCCGCGGCTTTCGCCTTCGGCTTTGCTTTCGCCCCTGGCTGCGCTTTTTTCAGACGTTCTTGTAATTCTTCCTGCGGAGTTTTTTCCCCCTTGGCGGCGGTTGCAACCAGGGTCTTGAAAGCCTGACTCTGATCGTAGTACTCTTCTTTGGTTGCGGGCAAAAACTTCATCTTATGCCTTTCCGCCTCGGGCTCACCGGTGGCCTGGTCGATTTTCTGTGGGGGCAGAAGTTTTTTGATTACCTTCCCGATCTCGGGCTCGCGGTCTTGGATCTTCAACAGTAAAGTTTCGAAATCTCGAACCGCGTCATTGGTATTCAACAGCATTTTTGCGTCTGCTCCTGCTGGATCATATTGAAAGTAGCTTTTCAGTCGACCTAATTCCGCGGCGGTAAGCACGGCACTGCTTCCGTTGCCGGGAACCACTGCTGGGTGGAATACATTATGAGCATGTTGCACCGTAAGCCCATGCCCTCCCACTCCGGCGGCTTTGCCGATCGCTTTCCACTTGGCGTACAGCTTTGCGTCAGCCTTGCTCAGCACATTGGGAGTGTCCGGGTCCTGCAGCCTCGAAACAGAATACATCAATTGCAGAAAAACCTGCGTCAGTGCGGTGACAACCGCTCCAGAGATCGGAATGCGGTCTTTGCTTCGAAGGCCCGTGCGGAGGTACTCGTCATTACCGGGGGCGTGCTCAAACAGGCCAGCTCCCAGCGCTGCCTTGATCGCCTTCAGCGTATCGAGCAGCATGAACTCAAATGTCCGTGGAGGGCGAACGGAAGGACGACCAGCGACCAACTCTCCCGAACTAGAACTACTCGCCGCTCCGATCGGAGCCGCACGGCCAGCGGTTGTTGAACTATCATTCTCCTGCAAGAGCAAGTGCAGTTCCCTACGATTGCCCCTCGTTCCACCGGGCTTATCGCTGGGCAAGTCAACTCTTTGCGGCGTGGTCAGCCCTCGACTTGATGGTGGCTTTTTCGAGCTGTAGCCGACTACAAAGAGCGGCGAAGAATTAAAGCCACCGATTGGGAGACGCAATGTGGTTGGCACAATGGGCGGCAGGGCAGAAAAAACCTCGACGTCTCCATCTCCGCTAGCGGGCGAGGGAATGGTGCCATCTGCAGCCACCCCACCTGTTGGTCCCTCCTTGGCCCCGTCGTGTCGTTCGCAGATGCTGGCCAGGAGGTTTGTGTGGTAGTTTGCTGCTCCACCCGTAGAAGTAGAAGCTCCTCCGCTGATGTTCAGAAAGAGATGCGCCACGTGCTTCCGGAAGATTTGGCACAGAATTGGATAATCGAACGAGTCCCCATTGTGAGCGAAAATATTCAACTTCTTGACGTCCCGACCAGCTGTACCAGTTCTTTCGGTCTGCATCGGCTCAAACTCAAACTCTTTGACGTGCACGAGCCATGCGGCCATGTACTTGGCAGCGTGTTCCTCGGGTATGGCGGGCTCGTATTTAAAAACGTTGCGAAACTCGTATTACAGTGAAAAATGCCCCCACGACCACCAAAGTCACGAAAACTTGTGATGCGAAGTTTCCAAAACCTAATGCAAACTTTTTGTCATGCATGAAAGAAGTACGAGTCTTTTCCTTTATCTTTCTGATGCAGATGAGTCTAGGCGTGTATGTGTATCGCATCGCTTGCATGACAAGCGCCACTCTTGCTGGTGTCTTTTGCAATACAAATGCTCCCAAGTTCGGGGGTCGTGGAGAAATTTTTCACCTTGATAACTCGTCTTGGTAGCGCGCCAGCTCGGCCAGATCGTACACCCGAAGCTCCGGGCCAGATGGTACACCCGCCGCGTTGACGGGAACAAAAGCGCGCTGCGGCGGTTTTATCTTTATCCCCGCAGCCGGGTCCACGTCAACCACGCCTGCGGCTGCAGCTGCTCCCGGAGGAGGAGGTGCGCCGGCTGCCGCTGCGAGATGAACAGCAGCTCCTCCAGGTGCAGCTGCTGCTGCTCCCCCTCCTGCTGGAGCAGGGAGGTCGTGAGCATACCCGCCATGCCAGGCCACGTGGCTTCGAATCAGGCGCTCGGTGATCTCCGCCCGGAGGGCGTCCTCGGAGGCGTACTCGCCGGGTGCTGCGCCTTTGCGGATGCCCCAGACATTTTTCCAACTGTGGACGGACCGCTGGACGTCCGTGTTCAAAAATTTGAATTCTTCTCTCAGAGCTTCCTTTGTCTTTGCCTGTTGCACCCTGCGAGCTGCCTTGAGGCGCATCTTCCTGGGATCGAGACGACGCTCCTCGTCGGGCGCAGGGCGACTCCCAGGACGCGTTCGGGACGCACGGACGTCACGCGGGGTAGTACGACCGCGGCCCGGGGTCGGCGTCTCGTCGGGACCGGCATTCAACCACAGCGCCTCGGTGCGATCCGACTGATGCGGTGCTGCGGCACCACCAGTATTTGCAGGTCCACGAATCTCCCGCCGGCGCCGTTTTCTCGGTGGAGTAGCTACGAAATGAATATCTGCGACAACTCCGCCTGCGGGTGCGCCTGCTGGTGGTGCCCCGCTAGCTCCAGCGGCTCCGCCCGCCCCTACGGCTCCACCGGGCGCAGCAGCGGCAGCGGCCGCCGGCTCGGCCTCCGCCTCTGCCTCGACCCACCACCAACCACGGTCGTCGCTTACGAGGTCTTCCACGATTTCGGGCGAGCGGCCTCTTCCTTCTCCTCGTTCGGCCGCCCACCGGCGCATGTATTTCACAAATCTGTTGTTCCCGTTTAGGTAATCGTCTAGCAGCTCGTGAAATGCCTTCCTCTGTTCAGCAGGTACAGGCCAGCGTTGTTCATGTTGTTCTCCTGGTGCGGTAAAAATGTTGGCAGGGTCGTCATGTTCCTGTTCCGCAAGCCGCGCGAACTGCCAGTCCAAAGTCCTCCCCACAATACTCTGTTCATCGTCCTGCCCCGTCAGAACGCCCGGTTCTGCTGTCTCTCCTGGTGCGTATCGTTCGGAGTACGTTACTGTGATCTCGTAAAGGAACTCTTTCGGCTGCTCTTTCGCTCCTGCAGCTGGTGGTGCTGCGGGCGCCGCAGCTGCAGCTGCTCCTCCTGCAGCTCCTGCAGCTGCCACTGCGCCCCCGTCTGGCTCTGGACCTGCACCTGTAAAATAAATATAAAGGTAGAAGAGAAGCAGGACATTTTTACTAGAAACCCAATCACTTGTTCGAGGACCACAGTTCAATCGAAGATTGGGAAGTAGCTAGGACAACGACATCAAGAGGACCACTCTTCGTTATCACCAAGTATTGCATTGCCATAAGGAGCATGAGCACGACCAGAGAGATCATGATCATGACCATGAGGCCTCTAATTTATATCTGTGATCAAAAAAAAATGAAACAAAATGGTGAACAAACAGCAAAGAGCAACTACAAGTGTACTTATCCACCGACAAGCAGCTGTAGTAAGAAGTACCTGCGAGAGCACCTCCAGCAGCTTCACTGCCGGCCCCCGCGGCTCCAGCTGCACCTCCAGCTTCACCCTCCACCATTTTCACACTGATTTCGTCCAACGTGGTCAGGATGTCTCTCCGCCGCTGATCGGTGTACTTCTGCACCATTGCCTGCAGTCCGTTATACAACACGGCCCCGCACCATTCGTTGTATACATTTACTTCCGCGGACTCCCTGCCAAAATCAGTTCTCAAGCGCGCAGGTGCTTGCGGGAGGAACAGAAATTTATCGTTTGGTCCTGCTGGAACACTTTGCAGACCTTCACGCGGCACCAGTTCCCGCGAGGACCACAGATTTGGATCATCCCCAGGTTTTCCCGCCCAGTTTTTCCGTCCAAGAAAGATGCACTTCTCAAACGGGCCCCCGTCTACTGCCGCGTTGAAAGACACCCGCTTCCGCATATGACAGTGCACAACTCCCCCTCCCCCTCACTTGTATAGCATGAACGGCAATACAAGCATCAGCAAGAGTGCCGGTTTTGCATGGCAAATCTGCACTGGAGTGCAGTGCTATTTGGGCTACCAGAGCTTGTGGTCATGCAAAAAGTGCCAAGAGGCAAAGGGTGGATTGGATATTTTACATGACAAATGAGGGGGAGGGGGAGTTGTGTACTGTCATACCGCACGTGGGGCAGCGACACGATCACGTCGAACTCTCGCTGCCAATTCTCGCGCCGGTAGGTGTATCCTGTGCAAAACAAGTATCGCACTCGTATTACACTCATGCATATACAAATCTTTTTCCTAAGGCAAATCCGCATTACAAAATCTTATTTCTCATGCTGAGGAAATTTGTAATGCATTTATACGAGTACGATAAGTTGTACTTTTGCAGTTCATAAGGTGTCTGGCAGCTCTTCCCCGTCCCAGCCGGCTGCCTCTGCTCCCCGTCGAAATCCAGCCGTCGGCAGTTGTAGCAGCCCAGCATCTTCTTTCGCTTTGGGCGATCGTATCTGGGTATTGCGGTCCAGCAGAAACGCAGCGATATGTGTCAACGGCGTGTCCTTTCGCTCGCTGCCTTTTCTACTGTACATCGTCTCGAAGTCGAAAAAGATACCACCCTCCCGCAACTGTTCCCAAAACCTGGCGTTGTTATTTCGTTTTCGCGCCTGATGAGCATGATCTTCTAGTACCCCCTGTGGTTCTTCACCATCCGCGCCGTCGGCAAGAGGTGGACCGCCAAGAGGAGACGACGACCCACTCGCGTAAGTAACCGCGCAACTTGCCAGAAGGAGGGTGAAGGATCTGCCTCTACTTCGCCACGACGCCGAGCACGAAGATGCTTCCAAATTCAACACTGCCATATTTTTTTTCGGTGACAGTTCTCGAGATAGGTTTTGAATTAGATGGAAGTAGATAAAGATTTCTCCCAAAAGTTTTGCAGAAGAACAAATGTTAAAACAAAGGGAATCTGTCTGGAAATCCAGAAATAGACAAGGAACGATGCAATTGCCTGTGCGTTCTTCCCTTGACTTTGGCTATCACCTCTCTTAGAAAATTATGACCGCAATACTGACTGACAGAATCAGAAACAAGCGCAGAAAGAAGAAGAATGAATAACTGTCGTAAAGATAAACAATATACAAGGTTGATGTCGACTTAGTAGCAAAAGAAAAGCGCTTGCTTCAAAGAAACCGAACAATATCGGCCCTGGATATTTTTTTTTTCGAAAATCAAATGGAAATGACAAAAATCAGGCGACATCCTCATGGGGATGGGCAGGACACCCCTTACAGATTTTCCGATTTGCGATTGAATCGCGAATTTTTTGCGATCATGCTTCAGACACATCCAAATCCGGAATTTCTTTTTTTCACACATTCTGACGGAGGACGGATCCAAATTTTCTCAAGATCTGGGACCGAATCTCGGCATTTTCAATCTAGAAACCGATAGAATTTTTCCACACATTCATTCTGACCGACAGATCCAAACTTTCCAAAGATCTGTCACAGAATCATTTCGTCGGCATTTTAGTAGATGAAACCGATGTAATACGTAATTCATGCTCCGTTCTACTTTGATTTATCATGATTATAATTTTTTCCGACGACACGACACCATCTAAGTATCGCCATCGCCATCCAAACCGATCTCAAATAAATACCTCTTTGTTTCGCTTTTTGGTGCTGACGACCGATCAAAATTTTTCCGGATCTGGGAATTTCGAATCGTGGATCGATTGACCATCGGGAGAAGTCTTCTGACCCCCAGCACCATGGTGAAAGTAGAATCGGGCGTAGGAGCCGACGACAGAAAAATCTTTAAGTACACTCAATACTAAAAAGGCGTGGTGGAACAAATGCTTGCAATGCTGGTACGTACTATGTGCCGCGGATTATTTCCGCTGCTGTTGACTTGGGCCGGCGCCAGATTGAGCCGCCGCTTGTACTTCGACAGAACATCATATACTTGGCTTAGCCTTGGGGGTTGAAAATCCAAAGAAATTGAATTTATTCGTACTGCATTTGAACTTGTGATTTTTGTGGTGCTATCTAGGTCTACGATGTGAGGAGAAACAAATTACACGCCGGGGCTTCTGAAAAAGAACTTGAGAAAAGGAACATAGGAAACTACTAGAAGAGCCTCAAAGGTATCTTCTGTCAATGAAGGGGTTACTTTCGATTAAACAGATCTGTGAATATTTTGTTGGTCAAAATCAAAGGGCAAAAAGGAAGCGCCCTCACTTAGATATAAGCTCTTCCTCTGTGGAGTGATAGAGACATGGGAAATAAACCAGGTATGTGCTTTGTTTATTTGTCTTGTTCCACTAATAATACTACAACTTTCTAATTATAACCCAACGGGAAAGTCCGTGGTCTCCGAAGCCGAAAAATAAGCACGCTTAGGCTTAGGAGTCTACAAACTTACTACTGCTGGCGTTTGGGTTTGGCTGGGGATACCAGCCCCGGAACAAAATCGAAATCGATAGTATCAGCATCCTTCGCAACACTTGCAGGGACACTACATCAAGCACAAGCGCTGCGTCATAGTACTCTTTTACTCATAATCAAAAACTACTGTACGTCTAGCTCAATGTCGTCGTCTCGGTCTGCTCGGACTCGGTGGGTGATTCTGAATCACAAGCCCGAGTGATCAAAAGTCGGCAGATCAAGTTGTAGCAGCAAGAAAAAGGACAATGAGCTAGCAGACAGAGTTCTGATGAAAGAAAAGTTTTTGATGAGCGCCGCACTAGCTTCTTTGACTTTGATCAAAGAATACTTCTAGATGGCAACGTCGATCGATGTGTCGTCAATGGATTCAAGCAGGGACGTTTCCCGGTCGTCGTCCTCCTTCGACGGTTCCGGTTCGCGCTTATCAAGTGTAAAAATGTCTGGGTCTGGAAGAATGCGCGATTTGTCATGCTGCTTTTCCATGACCCATAAGGTCTGGAATGCCGGAGCTCGCATGACAGATTCTGCGAGACCTTTGCAATGCCTATCCTGCATGAGAAACTACCTCCCGACTTGGTCAAAATTGGGCGACTTTTGGTAATCACGCAACACAGATTTTTGCATGCTGCAGATTTAGCATGACAAGTTGCAATCTTCCAGACCCAGACATGTTTACATTTGATAGCGCTCCCCCTCCTGCAACTTCGCTTGCGCGCTTTGCGCCAGCGCCGTGGCAGCCGCGAGGTCTGCAGAAGTAGCTGGTGGTGTTCCTGCGGCGCGCTCAGCAGCGTTCATTTTGTCGGTTGTGGTGACAGAAGCTGCTCCTGTCGCAGCTGCAGCGGCGTCCAGGACGACCGGCGCGCCGGTCCCAGTCAACGCCTTCTCCTCTGCGTCGCCCGTGGCTCCGACCAGGTAGGAAAAGAAGCTGACCATTTTTTCACCGATGAAGCTCAGCCGGGGCTTGTTGTTGTCTTCGCGGCCCCGGTTCGCGCGGCCCAGAGCGCTGCCGCGGAACCGGGGTCTCTTGCCCACTGTTCCGGACACGGTGGCGGGCCGCCCGATGAAGCCTTTGGTCGATCCCACACACATCAGAGCGAGGACCATCAGCGTGATCGCGCTCGGACTCCGGACGAGAACAACCATTTTTGTTTTTGATATAACCGACGGTGGTGATCTGCTTGAAAGATTGTTGCTTCAGATTTCTCGGTCGGAATAAAACAGTTTACGAGTAGTTTCTGAAAAACTACTAAGTACTTTGTAATTGTAGTGCTAGTGCTGTGCTTCGACTTGACTTTCAGTTGTGCGCAAAACTTTTCTACTGCAGCAAATTTGTAGTTGAGTCGTAGTGATTGTTGGCCTAAAAAAGGAGCGTTTTTTGGGGCAAGTATCTAGTTAGAATTGTGGAGCTGGTTTTGAATTTGATGTCGGTTTACATTCAGAAAAAACGGAAATTGGCACACGAATCGTTGACTTGCATACTCATGTTTAGTATTTGCGAACGAAAACGAATGAAAAGGAAAAACGACACGAGCTAATTCGGAATATTGCATGTACGAACGACCACGAGCACGACCGAGACCATGAAAGAGGAAATAAGACACCGACTAGATTGGTAGAGAACTAGACTTCATCTAAGTTCAAATTCAGATTGAGACTGTACGACTGTACGTTGCACGGACGATGCAGGAACTTCCAAAAAGGACGAATTCACCGAAAATAGAACGTCAGACGCAACCGATTTAAAAGGGCCTCAGGAAAAATGAACTCGAAGTCAGTACTTTGTTGAACAAGAACACAAACAAGATGCACCAATCCAAGTTCCCAGTGATTGGACCACCACGACTGTACAGAAGAAAGCGGAAGGGGAAGCGCAAGAAAAAATCAGAAGAAGAGGAAACAAAAATCGGCAACATTATCGTGCAGCATCTACGTAATGGTAGTGGCATGGGGAAAAGCAGCAATTACAATTAGGTTTTTTCGTCGTCAGGTACATTTTATGTCGTTTCATCGCTAGGCCGTCGGGAGTTGCTCCCACATTATACTTTTATAGTTTTTCAATTTAGTTCTTTGAGTTGCAGCTCCTGCGGAAGTGTAAAGAAATCAGCTCCACAGGAAGAAGAACTCATCTGTTCTATGAATGTCACGCTAGCTGCGTTCATGATGCGCTCGCAAACGAAATCAAAAAAGGCTACAAAATCGACAGAAACGGTGGTGCAATTGTCGTGGTTATTCATTTGTATGTATAAACTGAGAAGCTGTTGGTTCTGCTTCAACAATTTGGACGCCTTAATGCTATTGTGCAACCCCAAGTGAGTTTTCGTCTATATCCATTTTTTGTCGACCACTTTATCTTCGTATCCGTAGTACGTATTGTAATTGTTCTTTTACTTTTTCCAAAATAGGCAAGAAAACCCGGAGGCGGCATCAAGTGCAACGACTTGACCATTTCCATTCATCACCATGCTGTTCGAACTTTTTCACCGCGAAGGCGCACTGGGGCTCGAGTTTTTAGCAAGGAGACACCCGCTGGTTCCGGCCTGCAGAGGGAAAGGCAACCGGGAGGAGGTTGCCAAGTTTCCGAAGCTGAACGTGTTTGAGTTTTTCCGGCTGTCCCGGCCGAACCCGAACCGCGGGGTTGGAATCGGCGACGGCACGGCGCTGGAGTGAGGTGGCCCACGCGTCGGAAAAAGGAAACTCGTCGCACTCAGGGCTGCGGTCTGTTGCGCCGCCGGCTGCAACAGCTGTCGGGGCGTCGTCAAAAGCTGCGCAGGGGTCGCGCTACCGGAAGAAATTTTGCTGGTGCCCGATGGCAAAGAACACGACACAGCAGAGGGAGGACGCTGCACCTCAGCTTCTTGGTGTTCTTGCTGTTGACTGGTCGTGCTCGTCGTGACCACAGGAATTACAGGGGCGCTGGTCAAACTACTCTGTTTCATTTCTCCTTGTTCCGGCCGTGGCGGCTGTTGTTCCCGGGGCGACCACAATGGGCGCAGCCCGGCGTGCGCAGCGGGTGCTGGAATTTTGGGCTCCTGAAGTGTGGGCGTGACAAATTTAGTTTTATTACCCGTCTTCAATTCATGAGATTGATCCGCGGCTGGTGGAATTACAACTCCGATCGTGCCAGCATCCAATTTATTTCCAGCATGATTCATCTGATGAACAAACGACCCTGCTGCGAGCATTGAGCTTTTGCTTCTCAGAGCCGCCGAAGCAGAAAGAGAAGGGGATGGTTGTAACAATCTCCTGCGAGACGTGCTACTGGTACTAGCAGACTCTACTTCTAGCTGAAGTTGATGCTGCATGCTCTTAGGCTGGACGCTGGCCGACCGCAATTGCGGCCCTTCTAGGCGGGTAGTCGTTACTCCCATCATCTTCCTTTCCCGTTCGAGCGAGCCGTTTCGTCGGTCAGAAAATTGGAACCCGGTGGTAATCCCGCCGGGTCGCAAAAAGCGACTCGCGGAGCGCCCGCGCCCGAGAATGGTCGTCTGCTGATTTATTTTTTCTGCCGTCACTCCTGCCGGCGCAAAGCACCCTTCTATTTTTCCATGGTGCAGCACATCACGTTGCATCTGGAAATCTTCGAAATGGTTATCACACAGTGCGTTCCCGTCTCCCACGGTTGTTCTGGCGTACGCTTGCTGACCAATGACTTCATTATCAATTCCCGAAGGAGAAGCAGCAGCAGCTGTTGCAACTGGAACAGGAACATTCGTACCAATCCTTTCACTGCTATTTTGCGGCGGATTTTTGACAGCATGGTGTAGTCCTTGATCGTCGTCTAAGGAATTATCGCTCGGAACGTCTACATCTTGTTCAACAAAAACTACATCAGCTGCATTCTCATCACTATTATTTCCATTTTCCCAAGTGCTGGCGTCTGCTTCCGTTTTATTCCGCGCCTGCAGCTTCACCTGCTGCCCGCCACCGTCTTTGTTCATCTCATCACGATCCCCGCCGCCCCCGATTCCCGGTGGGAACAGCGACAATTTCGGCGGTGTGAGGCCAAGCGAAAATTTGATTGAGGTTGGCGTCGGAATCGCAACCTTGTTCTGCTCCGTTTTCGCGGCCAAAATCTGCGATGTACCCGGCAGCGGCCGCGGCGAAAGCACAACGGGACTCATACTCAACGGCGTAGTTCTCTGGCAAGCCGCACTCCGTGTGGATTGTTGTAGGCTTTGAACAATCTTCGCGGTACCATCACCACCACCACCAGAGTGATTTTTAACAAGTGTCGGGTCGTCGCTGAGACGTTGTCCACGCGCTGCACTGGGACTCGGACAAAGGCTCCTGCGCAACATCGAGGTTGAAGTTGTGACATTGCTATTGCCAGTCGGCGCCAGCCCAGTATTTTTCACACTGTTGGCCACCTTGTGCTCCGTTACGCCGCGACTCACAGGGGACGAGAATCTTGACGCACTGTTTCGCCGTGACAACGACCCAGGCTGTAGTACTGTTCCAACTCCCATCAACGTATGCTGCAGCGGCGGCGGCGGAGCCAAAAACCGCTGTCCGCCTCCGACTACTTTGCGGATGACTTTATTGGTGCAGCTTGTGGATGGGTTATCTCTATTTGACGACGAAGCATTGAAGGTCGTCGTTGTTGGCGCGCATCCGCGCCGGCCCAAGCTGGTGGTTGTGCCGCAGGAGCTTCCGACGGACAAAAGCCGGTGCATCCGCGGGCTTTTCGGGTGGAAAATTTCCTGCTCCTGGTGTTCTTGCTGTTGTACTGTAATGACACCCGGAAGCTCGTGCTCGTCGGACACGACCTGAGCGTGAGCGACCGGGGCTGCAGTAGCAGTTGCTGCTGGTGCTGGCTCTTTTGCATAAGCACCCGCCCCAGGAGTTGCTGCACTTCTACTATCAGCCGGCTGCACTTCGAATCCTCGTGGCGTACGAAGTGTCACTTTCTCGTCCGGACGCGCATTCTGAAAGATCGTGTAGGGGTTCGCAACGCCGCCTCGGTGTGTTCTAGATATTCAAGAAAAAAACACCATCTTCACAATCACGTTTGCACATTTTTGCAATACAAGAAATTTTTGTCATGCGCAAAAATGCATCACTACAGTCAAGAGATATAGGCGATTGCCCTTTGTGTTTTTGCAATACAATAAAAATTTGTCACGCAAGGCAAATTTCTGATGCAAAACCTCCTAAGTGTGATTGCGATGGTGTTTTGTTCTTAGTAGAGGAGAAGCCTGTTCTAGAAGTAGCGTCTGGATCCGGGAGCGCAGGTTTGTTGCGGTAGACAGTCGAACCTGACTTAGTTTCAATGGCACGCGAATCGACACCGTCTTCCTCTGACCAACTTGACGCCGGCTGCGGGGGCTCGAATAAAACGGTCGGCGTGTTGACAGAAAGTTGTTGCGCTTGTCCAGCATCGGTTGGGGTTGCACTAGACGTACCGGTTGTAATACAGGTCGTTACGTTCTCCTTCCCCGCACCACTGGACGAGATGTTGAAAGTCGATAAATCATGAGCTGTGGTGTCATTGTGCTCGACGAAACAAGATGCGCCTTCAACCGTTGAACTACTGCTCCCAGGAACAGCATGGCCACCGCAAGACCCACCTCCTCCTCCACCGGAAACCGACGTCGCACCGTCTCCACCCAGCATAGAAGTGCAACCAGTCAAGTCCATCATGGATATCTTAGGGCATTCCGTGGACGCCGCGGAACAGGGACTGACGCTATTCATCTTCTTCCAAGAAGCCCCGCCGGAGCTGGCGTTTCGGTGAACGGTGGTGGTCACGGCCGCGTAGGTGCAGTCATTTACAACTTCGGGCGTTTTGCTCGTCGTAGCGTGGATGTTGTCAAGGTCTTCTACGTGTTCCTCGTACACGGCTTTCTTGTTGACATCTTGATCCCAGAATGGCATTTTCGACTGAAGATTTTGTTTGGATACAGCCAAATCTGGTGCTGAAGCCGGCGTACTGGTTCTTGACGTCAACAACAGATGGCCCAAATTCAGTTTCGGAACCGCGCTTGCAGAAAAAGCGTAGGGAGGGGTCACACTGTCTGTGTTCGCCTTGTAGTTCATGACTTTGATTTCTTCCTGGTTTGATAAAGATTCCGCCATCTTTCCAGCAGATGAAAATCCGCTGTTTGGACGGAAGAGAGCAGGAGCACTCGTCGTGCCCGTTTCATCATGATGTGTCGAATGGTCAACGCCCTTGTTGGTCGACGTGCACAAAGACTTCTGCGACCGCCGTGGGGGAATGACCTTCAGATTCTGCTTGCCCGAAGATAAAAGGGAATTCAAACTGTTTTTGCCGGCTGACGAGGTGGTAGCAGTAGCTGTGCTTGTAGTACTAGCGTTCTTCATCTCATGTTGCCAGCGACTCGAGTTCTTCGATAATTGTAGAGAAGCAGCATGACGGAGATGATTATAGCTCGCCTCTTTGCTTTTCTCTTGGTCATTCCGGAGATATTGCTGTTTCGTTTGTTGTTCGTGTCCGACACTATCATTAGTCACACTTTTTTGTTGTCCACCTCCAACTGCTCCTACACCCACCCTGAGTCCGTTCTTCATGTTCTTTTCCTTTTTTCCTCGAACGCGTCTCGCCTGCTGGTCTTCGGCTTCCTCATCGATAATGCCTTGCCGCTCTCCACAGGCACGCTGGTACGACGAGATGAACTGGTAGGTACCTCGAGTTGTACTACCATTGTTCTTCCCCCCAGTGACGTCGGCTGTCGAGCGCGACCGCTGCTGGCGGTTATAATTTTCTTCATGATCTCGTCTAGTACAACTCGAGGACCACGTTCGGAGGTGACCAACGGACTTACTCAACATGTCTGCTGGTGCTGCACCCCGACGGAGATGAACTTGAACCTTCTGGTTTTTTACAAACGCCGCACCAGAACAAGCCACAGGATAATCCTCGTCGTCCTCTGAAGATTCTTGACTTCCGGAATTATTGTTCTCCGAGTCGACGTCCGATCCGCGGCCGTGCACCCCCGCATGTTGCTTGTTCGCCGGAACAACGGACGTCATTGGACGAGGCCCGCCCTCCCGAGCGTAGAAATCCTTGCCACAAGAAGCAAGAACATTCTCATGGTACACAACGTTTGAATTATCGGCATCCTCCTCGTCCTCGGAGAGGTTACTTTCCTCAGAAGATTCTTCGGAAGATTCAGATTCATCTGTGCTGCTTACGACTACATCACTGTGACGAACGTCGTTCTTCCCCCGAACGGATGCCGATAGCAGGCGAGATTTTTGTTCCACTGCAGTGCCAGTACAACCAGGATCTACTTCGGGAAGATGCTTTTTGCTTTCAGGATCAACCTCCGCATGTTGATCATAGGGCGGAATCAGTCCCGTTCCCGTAGTACCCCTTTCCTCCTCCTCCTCGTCGCTACTGTAGTTGCATCCGTCTTCAGCATCGATGGCCTGACGAACGTGGTCTTGGCGATCTGCGGCTTCTTGCTTTGTTCGGTGTCCACCTCCCTGAACGCCAGCAGTTGCGCGTGTTAACATTTCTCGCCCAACGAAGCGAGGGGTAGCGGATTGAGGTACTAGTGGTGCCGCGTCTACAACTTGCTCGACGCCAGTCTTCGTAGCGCTCATGCGGGAGCTCTTGCTCACCTTCTCGCTCACCACCTGCTCAGTCATTTCTATGGCTCCTGTCGCAACTGGACTGTCGCCAGCGGAGAAGCCTCCACCTCCTTCCCCGTCTTTCTCTTCCGGAACCATCATCAACCCTCCGCCGGCACTACTGCCCAAAAGCGAACTTCCCTCCTGCATAAATAACTCGTTGCTGCTTTCCTCCGCCGCGATCTCCGATATGAACGAAGAATAACTCCGATCTTGGTCCGATTTGTTGTGTCCCGTCGTTCCAGGGGCGCCGCCGGAGGACGTACCATGTGAAGGACTGTGCCTAGTTTTCCGGCCAACCGCACCAGTGGGCGTTCTCGGGCTGGTGTCTCTGTCTCGCTGTGCAGAGTCGGAAAAGCGGCTCTGCTTCTGGTTCTGCTTCTGCTTCTGATTCGGCAGCTGCATATTACCGACCAGATTAGATTCGTTCTCCTCTGTATTCAACGTGGCTCCGCCGGTGGAAGAAGTACGTTTGTGCTTAGTGTTCGCTTTATTTTGCGCTCCTGCTCGCGCGGCAGCCGCGGCCACTTTAACTGCGCACCGATTCTTGAGCAGGCTGCTCTGCGTTTGTTCCATGTGACGCTTGATATCGCGGGACGAAGGGCCTGAATCAGAGTTCAAATACAAGAAATTGTTAGGCCCGTTTACCAAAAACGACTGCGCGCACCTCGTAGCAAACTGATACTAGATACAGCATGCAAGAGGAGCCCACAGCTCATCATGACCCACAGTGCGCAGACGAAGTAACATATTGTTTCCAGAGTAGAACCTATACGATTTTCTCCCCCGGCACCGCCACCTCGCTCTGCTCCGCCAGCCAACTGCAGGAGCGCCCTGGTCGCGGCTGAGTCGGGGTCACGCTGGTAACTCCGGAAGACTCGTCCACGCAGGCTAGGCTCACGCGGATCAACAGATGAGGACAGCGTCGCGCTGTCTTTTTTGGAGACGGCACTGGTTCTCACTCCGTGATGGGTCGTCGTGTACAGCATGCGCATCATATCTTGTGTCGAAGTAGAATTCGTGCAGGAGCTTGGAGTGAGGTCATTCTCAGTCTGTTCCTCTACCTGTTCCTCTACTTCGGCCATGTCGTAATTTTGTTCCGCACCAAGGTCCTCCTGGAGTTGCCTAAAAAATGTTTATCCGTTCTTGTTTCTATGATCGTATTCTTACTTTATTGATTGCTCCTGCTCGCTATTTACAAAAATGCATGTTCATGATCAAGGCGCAGCCGCAGGAGCACAACATCGCCGTACTAAAAATCGAAATGCACCACGAAAAAATTGTCTACTTCGTCTGCATCACCGGCGCGGAGTGGCGGCGATCTTGCTCCGTCGGCACGTCAGGGTTAATATGTTCCGCTGACGAAGACGAAGGATCAAACTCATCCGCCTTCAGTTCTTTCCGCCCACGGTGTCGTGGCGGTCCTTGACGTGGCTTTGCAATCGTTGTACTACAAATCCCAGCGTTTTTAGTCCCTTCAGCGTCGCGAACTCCAGTTGTTCGCGTGCCACTTCCTCCAACGCAAAAGTCCGTAGTCATCTTTGTCTTGTTGTCGTCGTTAAAATAATCCCCACCAGTACTACAAGAAGTTTTCAGGGAGGTGCAGATCTGCATCATTTTCAGCGTGTTCTCTTTCAGGTGGCACAGTTCCACGTGGCTGTTCTCCACTTCCGTCAAAAGTCGATTGCGTTCCTTCCGCAAAGAATGCACGACTTCCTCCTCGCTGATCCGCATGTTCAGCAGGCGTTCCAGCTCGTCTTGCTCGCGCCTGGTGGTCTCCACCAGTTCTCTGCGCAGAGCGTCAGTGTGGTCTAACATCAGACGACTTCTGGTTTTTTCATTTTCTTTCTCTCCTCCCGACGGCACGTGATCTGTGCTGCACAGTAGATTCGCGGGAGCTGCTGCTCGAGTGCTGTAAAAAATCGGAGTTCGACGAAGATTTTTCTTTTTCGAGCTTCTATCTTCAGGACTTTATTCAGTTTCACGTGATTTCAAAGATAGCCATCAATTACAAGGAAAAAATCGCAAAGAGAAACAAACAACTGGAACTGCAGAAAATGAAAACATGGACATCTCCTGTTCGATACTCCTCATGCAGCCGCCCAGAAGTTTGATCAAAATCTTCTGTCTCGCCTCGTCCACCCCCCCGGCTGTCCTTGATTCCATCCTGTCGCTGCCGGACTGCCTGCTCCTTGGGGCTGCTCGGGCTGCCATCGTCCATCACCATCGTGTAATTGTCCCCTGCATCAGCGATCTTCATGTCCACCTCGTTGTATTTTGCTTTGTCTTTTTCACCCTTCTGCACCTCCTCAGTTCTTTCGGCAGCAGGTTTTCTAGCAGCTACCGCATGGTCCACCTTTTCGTGATTGGCACCTGCTGCTGCACCCGGGCCACGTGGCACGGCTGGCAGCAAGGGGCTGATCGGGTCTTCATCCTCCTCATCCAACTCCTCCTCCCTCTTAGATCCGTCGAACTCCCGCTGGGTGGACACAGCTTTTGCTGTAGTACTCTTCTCCCGTTGGTCCCGCCCTTCTCCAGGAGAATCTTCACCAGATTCACTTCGAGGGCGGGATGATCCCTTCGCATTGCCCGCCAAGGAATTCCGTGTAGGAGGAGCTTTACCTGTGACCACCGGCAGCACATCGTCCGGTTGATCTTCGTCAAACACAACATCACCCTCGTCCGGATCCAACGGCTTCGGCACTGCCGCGCGTGCACAGCTTTCCCGCCGCTCGTACGATAGGGCAGAAAGGAGCTGAGGTGATGCAACACTTCCCATCTCGTCAGACGTGGTCCTCGTCGCCGGGTTTGCCTTGTTTGAAGGAGAAGCACCAGCACGACGAGCTGTTGTTTTGCCACTATTTGCACCATGGCCAACATCTTCCTCAGCAAGAACAGAAGCCGACGTCGGCCGCGGTCGTGCAAGACCTTCTACATGGTCGTTGCTCTTTACAAGGTTTTGGGCTCTCTCGTCTGAGCACTTGTTAGGACCGCCTCCCTGTTTTTTTCCATTATCGTTGTCCTCGACTCGATCAGCTTTTACTTTATTGATCCGCTCATCCACCGTGCCGCCAATCATCGTGGTCTCGACCACACTCGTGTTTCCATTTTCGTCTAGAAACTCCACCTGCTCCTCGTAGACAAATTGTTCATCCTCGTCTGTAGCCGGATCTGTGCTGGTACAACGACCGGGTGGCTTCATAATCTCCGAAGAACCAGTAGACAATACTCCCCCACGACCGGTAGGTACTGCTATGTCCTCTTCCTCGCGTTCATCTTCTTCTTGAGTAACATCATCGTGTGGTCGCCCTCGATTTTTCAGGTGTTGGCCAATAGGAAAATCATCCTCGCTGTCCGAGGAGTCCAATAAGGTGGTTGAGATTCGTGGGTAGCGATATAATGGCACTCCCTGCTCCGGAATGTTGACGGGCAGCTCTCGTGTGTCGTACAGCGGCGAGGCGCTCATGATGTTCATCATTATTGCGGCAGGCACCTCTCGTTCGTCTCCAGCCTCCTCGTTATCGATATTGTTCGTGGTCCCGAACACAGTTTGCGAGTGCGGTGCACTGGAAAACTCCGCATCGTCCGTCCTCGTGGGTGTCGTCGCCATTTTGATTATTTACGGAAAATGCCGTTTCTTCGGATTATTTTTGAGGTCGCTTTTACTGGCGCTCAACAACCAAACGCAAATGTTTGTGTTTCAAAGTTGTGACATGAGTGAGGGCTCGTGACCGAATAAGTAAATCTTCGGTCGAAAGAAACAAGAAAAGCAAAAGCAAAACTACATTTTTAATTTCAAATGGGTATAAAATTTTTTGCGGCCGTCGCAACGCACGTAGTCCTCTTTATCTTTGCCTACATCATCTTCGACCTTCTTGAGCTTGACCTTGATTGATCATCTTTGTTCCTTCAGCTGCACGATCGTTGTGTTTTTGGCTTTCGCGTAGTCCACACAAAACAACTGTCAACAGGGCGCGATCACTTTCGCAAATACTGTTCTGAAGTCATCAACATGATCGTCAAAAAACAGGTTCGAAGTCCAAGCAGGTTGATCTTTGCCACCATCTTCACATCATCTTTCTGCGTTCTCGTTCCACACACAGACACGCAACTTCTGGTGAAGAAGATGATCCCATCTACTACAGCTGATCGAAATGAAGATGAACCATTACACACTGGCACTGCAACAAAAAAACTACTCTATGTCTATGTATGAAAAGCATCGTACCAGCCTCCATAGCCTCAGCCTGTCTAGTAAGCTATCAAGCTGCATACACGACACGCTCGCTTTTGCGGGTTCAACAGAATTTCTTTTGCGCGCACCGTGAAAATCTGTATCTTTTCCTTTCCGGAGTAGTGAAAAAACACACACTTGAATAGTTGGATTTTGCAAGAAGGATCAGTGTGATCTTTAAGTTTAAGTTTTTTACGACAGAGCTGCAACATCAAGAACACGCGGAGCTACACATACACTTTTTGTCCATCCACAAAACCAAAGTGCTGCAGCTTTTTTGTCTTTTTTAGCGCCATCTTTGACATCAAAGCGTACTAAGATTCTGCGAATCGCCATGATCAGAATGCAGGTGCAAAATAAAATCGTTCATCTCAGCTTATTTTCACTTGAATCCTGGACATGATCCGGGACCGACAGATCGGGCAAGTATCCACTTTCCCCGAGCAAACCCCACATAACGCTAAGTGGCTACAAGGCCGAAGCAGCACGCTCCGGTCCCGTTCGAAACAGATGCAACACAGACTTTGCTCCTCCAGATTCGTGGATCTCGTATCCAGTATTTCCCGTATGCGCGAAATCTGCCACTGCAGCCACTCCCGGTACGTTTTCAAGTCTGGCGTCGGTCGCTGCGCGAGCTCGTGCTGACTGCATTTCATTTGCGACAGTTTCTGTCGCAGCTCCGTGATCTCCGAGGCGATCTTGGCGCAGTCCAAAGACCTGCTCTCCACGTTGGCCCGCAAGACCTCCATCCGGCGCCGCGAATGCGTCGCGGCGATCAGCGACTCACAGGTGTACATGTGGTTCATCGCCATACCCAGCTCCGTGCGGAGAATCTCCGCGGACTGGAGAGCGGAGGTGGTGGGGCTACCGGGGATGTTAGAAGCAGTCGTGCCGCTAGTACTGGTGCCTCCAGGTGGTAGGACCACTGTACTTGCAGAACTGGCTCCAGCTGTTCCTGTTGCACCACCTGTTGTAGAACCACCTGCTACTGCTCGAGACCCTTTTCCTTGCCCAGGACCTCCGCCTCTACTAGAACTACTGGAGGCCGCCCCCGCCCCCGTAGTTGCTGTCCCACCTCCTGCCATCATTGACGCGTTGTATTGCCGCTGCCTGTCTGCTATCGACGCGAGCACTTGATCTTCCGTCGTGATCGCCATAGAGGTTGCTGCACTGTTTGCAGCCAGGAGTGCAGCAGCAGCCGCTGACGTCGTACCGGTAGAGCTTGTACTTCCCCGAGGTGGGGACGAGACGATCATCTCTTGAAACCCCCTTCTGGAGGACGACGAGGTCGTTCGCGAGGGAATCGGCGGCGGCTGCCCGGCGTGGAGCTGGGTAGTGCTGGCACCGAGCGCATCCGCCACGGACTCCAGAATTGCGATGTCTTCCTGCATGGTCTGTGACTGTGCTGTTTTGGTTCTGCAGCGGCCAAGCAGCGACAACAAACGAGTTCGCCGTGCTGGTTTGATTGCCGGCCTGCAACTACAGGTAAGTCGTTCTCTTTCTTCATATGATGTTGATAAAGGTAATGGGTAAGGGTAACTCGAACTCGCAAGACATACAAAAAATGTCACTCGATGATGTAGGAGCCATTTTCACTTTGACGAACCTTCATCTTGCGTTAGCGGCCCCTTGGGAAAGCTGTATTGAAGAGCTTCGGCTTCGCTCTTAGTCTTTCAAAAAAAAAGACCACCGCATGAGTGCTCCAATTGGCTTCATTGTAAGTAGAGAGTTCGCACTGTCAGTGGTCTTCGACTCGCATCTTCGCTCGTCTTTTTTTTTTTGCTCGATCCGCACACTCAGCAACAAAAAAATCATGATGGCACCACGAGAATCACGACCAAGAAAAGGCCACGTAAAAGAGTAAAAACATCGACAGTGAGGTAACGTCGGCAGGTGACACCCAGGAAGACTCGAGGCTTTTCAGGTGCGGTCATAGCTTTAGCTACAACAAGTGCAGCAGCTTCATGCATATTTGCTTTGTGCGATCATTTTCTGTTGTAGTTATAACACTCCAAACAGGGGCGTGACGGCAGCCCCGTCCTCGTCACGTCTGCCCAGGATGGCCGCAACAAACAACATTTACTAGTGAGAATTGAGCTGAGCAGTTATGGCACATGAGAAGTTGCCTTTGGGGAAGGTGGGTAGATGGTCGTGCATTAGGTTTAGGTAATGTACAAACTTCAACTTAACTGGTACTGAAAGAAAAGGCAGCAGGTAGCACTGAAGCCGCTGCCGATCATACTGTAAACAAACATGTTGGAAGAATTACTTCAAGGATCTTAAATGTTGACCAGCAGCAAAATAGTATCGGATTGCGCCGAGGATTTGTCGACCGGTCTTGAGACCACGCAGCACGCGCAACACTCGCTCTACAAGATACCAAGACAGGAGGAGTTTGAGCAGAAACACTGTAAACACGCGCATCCTGTTCGAGGGAGCAGCGCCGGTCAGGCCCGAGGACCAGGATCCGCCGTTGAAAGCAGCGAGCCCCAACTCTTGCAGGTCCGCAAAGGCCCCCCGTAGCACCCACCGCGTCCACCAGGCTCTCACTGGAGCCAAGTATCGAACCGTTTTCAGGAGCACCGGTGCGAGCTTCTTTAAAAAACCCGTGTCAAACGGCGGCTGAATCGGCGGCAGTAACTCCAACTGCTTCGGCAGCACTTGTCGGTAGCGGAAGAAGCTCCTTTTGTAGCTGAGCTCCTCAAATCCAAACCGTCCGTGCACGCGCCCGCACCCCGAACGCCGGATGCCGCCGAAGGGCAGATTTTCGTGACCGAAATAGAACAACGGCGCGTTCTGCATCATGGCGCCCGATTGATGCATTTGTTTTACCGCTGAAATCAGAGCTTCGTCGTAGCCAAACACGTATGTGTTGAGCGGACTGTCGTGGATCTGGTGGATCAGACCCGCAATCTCGGCGGAAAGCCGTTCCAGCCGGTCGGAGGCAGTCTCGACGGAATTCCGCTCCGTTTCCAAAGCTTGATCGGCCGAAAAATCGTCGTCGTAGAGGATAACCGGGAGCAACGGGCCAAAAATCTCGTCCTTCAAATATAGGGCTCCCAAGCGTTACATTCTCAACTGTGACATGAATTTGGCATGCAGAAGCACCATCCTCATCCACGCGATCAAGCTGCTTCGCATGACAAATTTGCCTAGGGCTAAACGGCAGCTAAATCTGTGCGGCATTTATAATGCTACAGGCGCAATCTCCCCCCTTTCACTTTTCCCATTCTTGCATCACAAATCCATGTATCAGTTGAGAATGTAACAGTTGAGAACGCCATATCAAAATCGGGTCCTCCATGCTGGGGCCGATCACGAGGTGGAAGGGAAAGTAGCAGCACGTTGGGTGGTAGAGCAGGGCGGGGGAAGTAGTGGAGCTGGTGTTGTTAGAAGCCGGAGGAGTACCACCTGCAGTTACAATTTCCTCTGCAGTCGTGGTTGGAATCACTATTGCGACTTTGCTTGCAGAAGTACTTCTTGCCGACGCGGACGCGGCCACTTCCGTAGAAGCTTTGCTACTACTGGCTGTCGTTGCGGCCCCTGAGGCCGACGTGTTTGGGTGCAGCTGGACAGTGGTCGCGGATGTAGAGGCAACCGAGGACGCAGAGGACACTTGGAATGGCTGCTCTCCACCGCCTCCGAAGGAGGACAATGTCGCTTGGCTATTTTCCTTCGAGCTGTTTTTGCTGTTTTTGTTTTCCTTCGCAGAGGACAACTCCTGGGATAGCGGGTTATCCGTCTTCTCCGAAGGAGTACGACGCTGAGACAAGTCTATAACCTTCCCCGTTGTTGTCTCCAACATCTTTTGCAGCCTCTTCTGATGGTCTGCGTTAATCACCCGGCCGTAACTGAGACTCGTGTCCAAACCGCTTTTGTTTAACATCTTGAGGTCTTTCGCAAAAAACTCGTTCTGCACAATGTCGGTTACACAGGCCACAAAGTCCTCCAGCAAAATATCCTGTGCAAAAGTATCGCACTCGTACTGCAGTCATGCATTACAAATCTTTTTCTTAGGGCAGATCCCCATTACAAACTTTATTTCTCATGCTGAGGAAATTTGTAATGCATTTATACGAGTGTGATACTTTTGCAGTTCATACAAAATCTTCGGCAGCAAAACGTAGTCTGGCGCCATGCAGACCTGCCCGCAGTTCTGCAACTTTTGTTTCAACATGCGCCGCAACAGCGCCTTGAATTTGTCGTCGTTCTTCGTTTTGTTGTTCTTGCTCCCCGCTGTTGCAGAACAATACACGTCCCCGTCAAAGAGCGCGTCGTGGAGGAAAATGGCGGGATTTTTTCCGCCCAACTCCAGCGTGACCGGGGTCAAATTGCTGCACACGTTGCTGTTAGACACGACTTTCCGCGCAACGGCTTCCGACCCGGTGAACAGGATGTGGTCGAAACGGTTGTACTGCAATAGCGCCTTATGCAATACAAACTTCCTGCACATGTACAAAATGCATCACAAATTTCACGACGCTAGAGCATGCCACTTGTCATGCTGAATAGAATAGCGAGAAAGTTTTGTCATGCAGAAACCACATGTGTACTAGAAGTGTACAAGTACAACACGTACAGGAAATTATACCGTGGATATGCCTGCGTGAAGCTCGCATCCCCCTCGAACACCAGCACCGCCTCGGGGTCAACATATTCGGGCAGCACCCGCAGGAGGAAACTGCTGCTCTGGGCCGCGACTTCGGTTGGTTTCAGCACGCAGCAGTTCCCGCTCGCAATGGCGGTGATCAGACCGTCTAGTAAGAGGCAGATGGGGTAGTTCCAGGGGGCGATGACCAAAGCCACCCCCTTATCCTGAGTAAAAACGTACCCACACCAGAGTCAGGATGGGGATTTTGCACCACAAACCTAGGAGCTTTGTGAGTCACGCATGACAAGTTGCAGACCGTAAGGTAGTGCAAGTTAGCAAGTGCAGCCGCGTCACAGATTCATCTGCTCATGCTGTTCACAGCATCACAAATTCCAAAACACGACTGCCAATGGCTCTCATGGGGATGCGCATTACAAGTCTTCCTGTCTTTGCAAATCTGCGTCACAACTCTGGTGTGGGTACGTTTTTACTCAGGATACCCCTTCGGCTCAAACTCGTACCAGGAATTGCCGAACCAATACTCAACTGGCGTTTGGACATGGAACGGTATCCTGGGTAAAAACGTCGCTCCCACCCCGTAGTCAAGTAGTTGGGAACTTAGCAACACAAATCCAGAAGTTTTGGGAGCCACGCATGCCAAGTTGCAGTCCGTAGTGTAGTGCAGGTTTAGGTTAGCAACGGAAATTGCATCACAAATCCATCTGCTCATTCTGTTTTCAGCATTACAAATGCCAAAACACGATTGAAAATGCCTCTATTGGGTCTGCGCATTACAAATGTTCAGTTCCTGTAATCGCAAATCTGCATGACAACTCTGGGTTGGAAATGTTTTTACATAGGATAACCGGCGCCATCCATTCATCCAATTCCGCGATGGCCTTGTTCAGAAAAAGCTGGACCGCGATGATTTCCCCCGTTAGCGCCTCCACGAAATGCCGCCCGTGGTCAAATTTCAAACAGGCGACGATCTCTCGTTCCTGCTCGGTCAAAAAACGCTGGAGCTCCTTCAGTTGGGCGATCCGGTAGTCATACGACCGCGTTTTTCCGCTTCGGAACGTCTGGTGTAGGTCGGAAACCCGAGCTTCCATCCGTTTCGACTCGGATCGCTGTCGCAGCAGCTTGTGCGGCGACGGTGGCCCGTCCGAGTGGTTGTTCGGTGAGCTGCTCATGATGTTGATGGCCGAGTCGTCGTGTCGAGGCAGGAGCGGAGGGAGTCAAGGTCTTGGTCAAGCGACGAGATGCAGCGACCTGGAGGTCGTGCAAGTACCGCCGTGGTCGCAGGAACGATTAAGAAGAAGGATCAGCGGTTGCGCGCCGGGCACGACCGTTTTCAATTTTTGACGCGGTTACGACCGTTTTGGCAGCATCACCGTACATTCGGTTCTTTGTTTTATTGCCAACCACTAAGTATGATTTTTTCACAAATGGCACTGGAAGACGAAGATATCAGGACGGTCATATCGGTGGCGCTGAAGTCCGAGATCTAGCATGTGATGAAACGAGGCTTCAACATACTCGAACAAAAGTGATGGTGATGGATCATGCATCATGTAATATTATACTTACATAGGGGCGCCGGAGTACGATTCGGATCGGCTTCTGCACGAGGATATTAGCGATACCGCGGGGGAGTGTATTCTTTTTACAAAGTTGAAGGTCATGATTAAACTAAAGTGCAGTGGGGGCACGATCCTTCAAGTGACACGAGACGGGGACGGGGTGGAGGGGAAGCTGCTAGAGGTAGAGAGGAAAGAGTGAGCACCAGCTGTTGCAGTTCCTGACATAAGTTCTTGCGCAATCAATCAAGACACTTTCGCTGGTTTGAATCTTTTCGAGATGTTGAACTGCTTTGAAGAAAGGATCTCAGAACTCATTGCGCACCGAATTATGCCTACCTTGGTTGCAACACGAGGGAGAGCTCTAGAACACTCATCTGCAAAAAAAAATGTCTACTCAATTCACCTTGTTGTTGTTCCTTTTCTTATTTACACCTCTTCATACAGAAAGTCAAAATTTTCACGCTTCAGTTCCTAACCACTAAGGAGAGTGATGATTTTTCGTGTCTTTCTCTTGTTGCGTCGCATTAACATGTCTGTATATAAAAGACGTTCGCGTTTCTTTTGTTCGCGCCACTCGTCCTCATACAGTTTCAATTTGTAGTTTTCACAATACAAAAGCAAATACTCACTCACAAACATCTACATCTTCGTCATTCGCAAATCAATAAACTCAGTAAACATTTAACAACGCTCGAAACTGACCCGGAAAGTCTTTCTCTTCGTTGCATTTCGACAATGCAATCCAATCCGCCGCCTCCGCTTCTGTCGTACGAAAATACAGCCGCTGCAACGCCTTCGAAAGCGTTTCTGGGTCGATATCGCTGTAGGAGTCTCCGGTTGTACGAACTACGCTGGAAGTAGGTGTCGCCGCAGCAGTGTTGTTTGATTTTACAGTAGTTGCGGCTTTCGTCCCAGGAGCTCCTCCTAGGATCGTACTCGCCGCGCTCGCTAGGTCCCGCGGCGCGGCGTGGTTGACCACGGGATCAAAAATCTCGTCCTATCAACTGTAAAAATGTCTGGGTCTGGAAACTCGTGATGCTGGGTGGCGTTTGTTCATGATGAGGCTACAGATGCTGGCTCAGCATGACAAGTTTCTGAGCTCTTAGGTGTTGCCTATTCTGCATGACAAACTGCGCCTCTGCATCACAGAAAAACGGAGCTCTTGGGTAACGCGCATGACAGATTTAAGAGTCATGCCAGACAAGCATGACAAACATGAATTCTTCCAGACCCAGACATTTTTACAGTTGATACGTCCACAAATTTCCCTAATTCCCCCGGGGAAACAAACGAGTCGGCGCCGGAGAGATCCGCTACCAGCGCCTGGGCGTCCTCGACGGAGTAGCCTGCCAGGGCGAGCGGCTCAATCATCCACTCATGCACGTCGGAACCCGTGATCGCGTCTGTGTTGAAGGGATTTCTTTGATCAGATTCAGATCTTAGACCACATGTATCGTAAAATTATTCATCAATCCATGGAGAGACGGCCTCATCAACCTAACTGGTGAAAGTTGAAACTCAAACTATTGAGAAGATTTAAGTGCCATCTTTGTCCCGATCCATGGTTCGGAAGAGCGTGCTGTTGCACAAATCCCGAACCAAATCCGCAAACGGCGAAGGCTGGGGTTTACTTGGCGCGGATACAACGGCAGCAGTGGAGCTGACAGAGGCTTTGTTTTTTCCTAGGAGGTTGACGCTATTTTTCACGTTCTGCCCTTGTTGTCCTTGTGCTGCAGACACTAGCTTGGTGGAGGTCGTCTTCGACGTGTTGCACCGATCATTCAAACCGCTTTCTGAGCCGGCTGGTGATTTCGCGTTTTCCACCGTGGTATCAACTGTGACGCTGGTCTTTACTCCCTTCTTTTGTTCCACTTCAACGCCGTACTTGTGCTCATCTTTCTTTTCATCGCTGTTGACCTTCTCAAAGTCCAACTTCGAGACAGAATTCGCGAGTAACGAATTCGCCGAATTTCTGGCACTTACGCGCTTCACCTGTTCCTGCAACGGCGTCTCACTAGTCGACTTCACCGAGCGCCGGCCTGTGCTGCTCAGTCGAGCGGAGTTCCGCCCTGCACTTCCCTTCGCGGCGCTACTTTCTTTCACGGAGATCCGCGCACTTTGTCGACCGCCGGGTTGAGCCGGCACGGCGTTCTCCTTTTCAGACTGGATGCTCTCAGTTGCACATGTTGCTGCTCCATCCCCTCCTAACTCCGCAGCGAGGTGGACTGGGGCATCACCACCAGCCTCGATGCTCTCGTCTTCCTTCAGAGTACTCAAATCCACTCGAGCGCTCAACCGCGAGGCGGGCATTGGAGGTTCCGGCGTCTTCACGCTTTTCCTCGGTACTGCACTGCTTGTGTGAGATGAAATCCGCGCTACGGGATTAAAGCTGCCCGTAGAAGTTCCTGCCAACTTCTTGGCACTGTGGCTTGCACTTTCTACTTCCGGTAGTTCTTTTGAAGCTGCTCCTGTCGACAAATGTCCCTCGGGAATGGCGGGCATAGCGGCTTTAACACCACTTGCAAAGAGTCGCGGGTTTTTCGGTGTCTGGGAGGATTTTGCTTGCTTCGCCTCCTCCTGTGCTGGACTGGCGGAAGAAACATCGACGTAGTCGGGCTCATATGCACTGGAAAAGTATCGCACTCGTAGTAATGGCAGTCCTGCATTGCAAACCAGACTTTCTACCCGAAGTAGCATGACAAGTTGCATTTTTGTACTTGAGAGAATGTGCCATGCAATTTTTCACACTAGTACGATACTTTTGCAATGCATAGCTCAACGGCCTTCGACACACGGACCATGGCAGGCGGAATTGACTTTTTTTCTGGGCTATGATCATGCTCTCCTTTCTTCTTCGCAAGATCTTCCCCGTCGCCAACAGAAGACTCACCCGCGTTTTGTAGTCCCGTAGCTCCTCCTGCACCGCCCTCTCCTGAGCCTGGTTTGGCTGTACGACTAGAAGATTCGTCTGTAGCCGACGACAACGGATGCTGAAGCTCGTCTCCTGCACAGGGGGAAATATCCTCCTCTTCTTCCTCCACAACCGTTAAGAGGTCCAGTTTCGCCCGCTTGCTTTTTCGCGTGTCGAAAGCGGCTTTATTCATTCCACGACTATGCTGTCCCTTTTTCGTCTCGCTACCGCTGGTCTCCTCCTCGCCGAAGTCACTCAATGCTTCAGTAGGTGCAGTGAAAGCGCGTGCCAGGCCTGCGCGCTTCTTGTGACCAGGGGCCAGTTCCTGCGACGATAATTCCGCCTCCTCGTCCTCCTCATATTGGTCGATCGCCCCTAAGTCGTCCGTGGTCGCCGCACGCAGGATGTCCGACGCGGCTTTTTTCGGTGGCGGATCGGAGGAAACGCGGTTTTTGTCCTTCTGCTTCGCCGTAATCTTCTTGTTGAACAGGCGGATGTGCTTTTGCACCATGGACATGCAAACCGTTTGGGACTTGCGCTTGTCGATGGCCGCGGCGTCCACCAGCGGAAGTCCCTCGGGGATCGAAGTGAGGGGGAGCTGCTGGTGGGTGGACGAGGGTGTAGTAGTTGTCGCGGTAGTGGTGGAGTTTTTCTTCGAGGACTTCCTTGTTTTCGCGGGTGTTAGTGCAGAGGATCCACTTGACATTCTGGAAGATGAACTACGGGGAGCTGCCTCGTCGCCGACAACTACATCACCTGGGAAGAGTTTGATCTACTTTTGGCTCCGGCTGCTACTGTCATGAGCAAGAGCATCACAGTTCCGTACGTCATGACTCACAAATAAATCGCTACATCGCCATAATTGCTCATTGTAGTCAGTATACAGTTGAAGCAAAATCTGTTCAGGAACCTGCTGTAGCAGGGCCCGCCACCCGCACTGTTGAGACCTGCTCCTCACCAGCCGGAACGGAGCCTGCAGTCGTACTAGGCACGACTAGAGACGTGTTCCGCGCGTCAGCGATGTGACTCGGCTGCGTTGTTTCCCGTCCGTACAGCGCTGGGCCTGCCGCAAGTGAACCATCGACCCCGGAACCTGCACCACCTCGCGCGGCGCGCACATTTGAAAGCTGCGCCGAGCGCGTGGGGGTGGACCGTGAAGTAGTTCCGCCGCTTGTACTTTTCGCGCTGTTCAAAGTAGCTTTAGTTGTTTCGAGCGCAATTTCTCCTTGATCGTCTCTTGCGGCACCGCAAGTAGCCCCGGCTTCAGCCGTTACGACTTCTTGTACCTTGCTTCCCGTTTCGTCCTCCACGGCGGTCGACCTCGACTTTTCGTTCCGTCGGTCGCCTTCCTCGTCTTTTTTTTCTTTCGCGTCCAGCTGCTCGTCCATGGCGGACGTGGATTTTCTTCCACTATTCCTTCCCTCGCTGTTTCTACTTTTACCAGATTGAGATTGCTTTTGCTTATCCGTTGCAGCCGAGCTGGAACTCGACACGGACTCCGTCCGGGTATTTTTTCCAACGCGCTGCAAAACCGCGACCTTGGCCCCGGTGGCGAACGTCGACCGTGCTGTGGAGGTTCGAGAGGGTGGACCAGCTCCCGCAATTGAAGACTTCTTTTGGTTTTGTTGACCACTCTGCTCTTCACCTCTTGTAGGACTAGGAGTTGGAACTGCCGCGGTACTAGACTTTTTCGTACTTTTCTTCTGTGATTTCTTATTTGCGGGAAGACCAGCGGCTGCAGGTGGTGGAGGTGCTGCCACGACAACTTCGATTTCATCATCCTGTTCAGGTGGCCCACCAGGCGAAACCACAGAAAACTGCGTCGTCTCCCGCCCGCGGTTTTTTACCGCGACGGAGGGTCGCTGCGTCGATTCGCGTGCAGACGAGGGAGGCATGGTTTTTTACGGCTGGAGGTGGACTTTTACAACTCGAGTACTTACTTATCTGATTCCGACAGCACTGATATCTTGACATATATTTATAGTATCATTTTTGAGCTGCATGTACTATGCCTCCTCTCCGTCCCCCACGCTCGTTTCTTTGTTTTCGCTCAACACGTCATAATACGCCTACAACGCTCCTCTCCACATCTACTTACAAGATTGATCATCCCCAGTCACCCGCCACTCATGCAGAGAGATGCCCTTTCCGCTGTTCCGCCCCGGGGGAGTGCGAACAAAAGTCACGCCGTTCATTTTTATGTGCGAGTGATTCATTTCTTGAATTGTTCTGCGGCCGCTCGTTTCTTATTCAAAAATTCTACAGCACGCGATGTATTTCTGCCTTTCTTGTTCCGTGTTTCTTCACGCACTTGCACTATTACGCATTTCGTTCCGCATCTTGCGAGCAGTCACCCGACCCCTGGAATTTCCAGTTCCAAGGGCACACCTTTGCGAAGAAAATGCACAACTCTCGACGGTTCCTCCGAAGTAGCTTCATCCCTTCGCCCGATTGCCTCACTGTACGCCTGTAGAGACGAAAACCCCAACACTCCCTCCAAAATGTCCCCCACCCGAAACCCCGCTTGGTGTCCCACGCAGCCGACGTCAACGCGGTCGACTCGTCCGGACTGTGCGTCCACCTGCATCCCGAACAGCAGGTACTGCCGTACTTCACCTCCATGTTGATCTTCGCTAGCGTCTTGCTGCAAGTATCGCTTTTCGCTGTACGGGTCGAGGCAGACGCACCAAATTGGGAGGCCGGTGCTTGATTTCGAGCCCGGCCAGAGAAGCGACGAGGAGGAACCCATTTTTGTGATCTAATTCAAAAGGAACAGTCTTGCTTTGCGGTTCGCAACTCCGATCGAAGCAAGCTAGATTTCAGAAAAACTGACTGTGCAGTTAGAAGTATTCAGAACTGAGAAGCACCACACTCAGAAGGTGCAACTTTGAAAAATACTCTCAAAGCCATTTCTGCTCGTACGCTCGTCCCAAGAAGAAACCAGGTCCCTGAGGCATCCGACACCCGCTGCCCGCTGCAATCACCACGTACTGGTACGACCACAAGCCCCTGCGTTCTGTCTGCAAGCAGACCCGCCAACACACAGAATATTTTTCTGGTTGAAGAGAGATCCGCATCAACGTGCGAAAAACTAACACAGCACTGACTTCTCACTGGCTTCCTTTATTCAACCTCTGGCGCGCCGGGCCACTTCATATTGCGAATCTATCTTCGGGTGCATCTTTCGTTCCAAGCAGAAACCCGAGTGTGTTCGCGAGCCTGTGGCAACGCCTGCCATCAAGCGCATCGATCAACAGAGAAGAGTCACTAAAAAGTTAGTCCACGTTGTACCTAACTCGATCATAACTTCAATGCGACAACAGAGTTCTCAATTTTTCCATTTTGTTCGTGACCGCCTGCATCGCCGTGTCCACGGACTGCTCCGCCTCCGCAAGTTCCCCGGTCGCAACCTTGTCCATTTCATTCGCTTTGCATTGAATCATCTTCACGTCTTCCTCGCTTAGACTCGGTTGTCCCGGTTCGTCGTTAGGATCCCCACCTCCAGAGGACGCTGCACTACCACCGCTACCTCCGCTTGATGTTCCGGAAAACAGCTGCGCCAACGTGTCTTTCGCTTGATCAATGAGTTTCTCCAGCCGTTCCGCGCGGACTACTTGCACCGATTTTTGATCCGAGCCTCCGTCCGTGCCGGCGTCTTCGTTCTCCGTGGGATTGTTGTTCGCCAAATTTGACCGGCCTTTATCGACGACATTCCCGGTTGCCGCGTCGAAAGCGGCGGCGTCGCCGGAGCCCGGTTTGGTTGGCAAACCACCACTGGCATCCGCGGGGTCGTCCTCTTGTTCCGTGGGTTTTGGATCAGGTGTGGTAGCCTGCTTTTCGCTGTCCGCGGATCCCTCCGCGTTCTCCTCTGCGGACTTCTCTTGGTCCTTCTCAGCCTCGTCGGAGGCTTGCTGCTCATCGCCGTTTTTGTTTTCCTCTTCTGCTCCGTCGGCGAAAAGCGTTCTTCGAGGTGGTTTTATGGTCGTGGCGCGCCGACGATCAAGTAGAACAGCACCGGAGTTGGACGGTTTCGACGAGAAATAAGAGTTGTCCTCGAAAAAGCTTGTTATGCTGGTTGAACGACTTACGTGAGCATGGGCTGTTATGCTGGTTGAAAGACTTACGTGAGCACCATGGGCTCCTGGTCGTGATGTTGATGAGGATGAACACGACGAGGATCCAACCTGAAGTAGGACATGATGTTGACCCGATTCTTCTGAAGTTGGCCCCTCAGTCGTAAAAGGATGAAGAAAGAGATCAGCCAGGCGACCCATGTTAATGTTGGTCGGTAAGTGGAAACTGGAACTGCGTGTGAATAGAGACTGATTTCGATTTTCCTCGTTGTAGGTTCAGTATGCAGCAGCTAAGTCGTGCTAAGTTCGTCCGTTGCACACGAAAGTCACGGAGCACCAGGGGCTACGAACTTCAAACGATATGCGACGGTCCGCGGCGATATCATGCCCTTTATGTCTGTTATTGCGAAATTGGTTGCAGCGACCGGAGGTCGAAAACGAATACGAGTGGGCGGGTTCGAGGACACAACGATGCTGCTTCATCACGACTTCATTGGAAGCTACGAGGACTTTGCGAGCAGACAAGCCTGCTCCACCTCCTTGCGCAAACGACACATTTGCTTGCAGAGTCCTTGTGACTTTAGACGAGGATGTTGGAGAGACAACATCAATCATATCACCAAGAGCCATGCAGTTGTGCATTGGCCTCCTCCAGTGCTCGACGACGCCAGTTTTACTTTCTTTCTCTTGTACGACAAGGTGTCGCACTCGTCGGTTTGCGCTCTCCATGATCTTCCTCGTCAGTGTTGTTGCCAGTACCCTGCAGAGGGCAGATCTCTCTTCCTAAAAGCTCCGCAACAGCGAAATCCTTGCTCCAGCTAGTGTTAAAAGTCAGTTAGTAGCTACAACAGCAGCTAGAAGTCTTGAGTGTGATAATTGTGAAATTGAAATTCTAGAAGGTGTTAGTTCGTGATGCACGAAGTAACGTTCTTGCAGTCTGTCACTACAAGAGGTTGTTTACGATTGAAATTGAAATTCTAGTCCTAGTATTCTCATAGGTGATTTTGTTCTGTTGAAATTACTAGTAATTTTGCATTGTCATTTTCGGAGGTTTTGATCTTGATGTCGGAGCTTCTACTACTCCAACAAATACCGCAGGTGGCTCACTCTCGCCGTGGTTGTAAAGAAACAAGAAGCTGCTTCGTCAAGTCTTAGTCTTAGAGCGAAACAACTTCTCATCGAGGTAGCCTTTGACGCGCGCGCGCCACAACTAGAACTAATTCTATGCCATGGAAAGAATAATCAAATAAAAAGCTCACAGAAGCGCTAGTAGGCTTCGAGGAAAGGCGCTTACTTCCAGTACGAGAAATACCGGCTCTGAGCCTTACCGCACCTTCTATCAGGATTTTTAGCAGCTCTACACAGCACTAGAAACGGATCCTGTCCTGATCAGCGCGGCCGTGCCGGCTTTTTCCCATTCGGCGTCTTAAACGTCGGCGGGTACAGGTCCGGATTGGCAACCACCCGCTTCGCTAATTCGTCCTTTCTTCCCGTGGTCTTCAGGTTACAAGCTTCCAAAATCGCTTTTATCTCCGGCACGGTGCGCTTTTTCAAGTCTTCCAGCGTGTACTTACACTTCTTCTTGTTCAGTGCCTCCTTTTTCGCCAGTTTGCTCGCTGCGGAGGGCGATTTCTCGTCCGGCTTTTTCGGCTCCAGGTTCTCCTCGTCGGACAGAATTTGCAAATCCTTGACATTGTTCCGATTCCGTTTATTGTTCCGCATTTTGTGCTGTTGCTGGTGCTGCGCTCTGGAATTTGAGTCGTCATTCGCTCCTCCTGGAATTTCTCCTTGTTTCTGCAGTGACTGCCCGAAGGACATGTTGGAAGATTCGTCCTCCAAAATCGGGGTGGGCGGTTGGTCGTCGTTGTTCCTGCTTCCATTCCTCGCACCAGCTGCCGCCCCCGGCGCTATGGTGTCCCGATTCAAAACGGCCGCGGCTGTATTGCCCCCGGCAGAAGACGATGAGGCAGCTCCACCTCCACCTCCAACCTGGTGTCTGGCCATCGGCGGTGGGCGGATGACGGAATTTTGCGAACCGTGCCAGTTGTCTTCCAACACGAAAGGGGGAGAATCGTCGTCCAGCATAGCTTGCCGTTTTTTCTTCGTCTGCGCCGCACCGGCGCCGCGTTTGCCGGAGGGGAGGGGAACTCCACCGCCGCCGCGACTCGCTTCCGCAGGCTTCACTTCGATATCTTCCAGGAGAAAATTATTGCTTGTCGTAGAAGCGCCGGGAGGTGGATGATTTTTGTTTTTTGTTTTCAAATCATCCTTGCTATCCTTGCGCTTATCGCTGGGGTTTATTATCGGTGGATCAGCATCGGCTGCGGAGGACGATGCAGGTGGTGCCGGATCATCGGCGCTTTTTCCTGGATCTCGATCTTTATTCAGAGGAGGATCCACCTGCTCCGAATTCACCTGCTGCTTGGCTTTGTTTACCATTACCTCGGGCGGTGCAACAATTGCTACGCCGGGCTGAAAGCTTTCATCTTCTCGCTTGCTTTTTTTCGAGCCCCCTGCTGCGTTAGCATCTGCATCTTCTGGCCTTTTCTCGTCTGGGAGACCTGCAGGTGGACCACGACCTCCCTGCTGCTCTACTTCGAGCTTTGTCTTCTTCGCTTCCTCCACTTTCGCAGCAGCAGTGCCAGAGACAAGAGCACCAGCGTCCTGACTCGAAGATGATCCCCCAGCACCTCCTGCAGTTGTCTCCACCGCCGGCTCCCCCGCGTCGAACACGATCTTCCGCCTTTTCGGACAGTAGTGCGGCCCGCGCCTCGTCCCCGGGGGTTCCATTTCGAAGTCCGCCTTCCCCCCGCCCTGTCGGCTCGCAAGAATGGGACTGCGGGCGCGACTCGCTTTCGAGAGGAAGGAGCTCGTGGCCGCGGTTGCAGATGCTGATGATGAAAACCCATTTCCGGCTACACTGGGGTTTGGGAGTTGCGTTGGGTTGTTCTTTCTCCCTTTCAGAAGACTGGCGGCACCACCGAATTTCGCACCGCCTGCACCACCGCCAAACATCATTGCAGCCGTGTTAAACACCGCACTGCGGTTCATGGCCGCAGTGGAAGACTTTTGCTGACTCGAAGTACTAGTTCCACCGCCGACTAACGGCTGGGACGAAGATGACTTATTTTGCTGCTGGCCCGTGGCACCCCCGACGGTCTTCAGCCAGTTCTCCTTGTGATTCCCATAGCGGATCTGGTTGGTGTTTTCCGTGCCACGGAGCAGTTGGTGCTTGCTCGAAGAGGACTTATCGCGCTGTTCTGTACCAAAACCGAAACTGCCGTTTGGAGGCGGGTCTTGCTTGTTTTTCGACGCCGCTGCAGTTCCAGTTGGAGATCCTGGCCTTATCTTTTCGCCAAATTCTTTCTTTGGAACCGGGGGCTCCGGAGGGTCCGGTGCGGCATCCGTCTCTTTCTCTTTCTCCAAACCGGTTACCGTCTGGCCGCGAAGTTTTGCGAGCAGGTTTTGTTGCCCCCCTGAAGTAGAGCCTGATGCGCTTGCTGCTGCTGCTGCTGGCGGATTTTTTGTACTGACGAGAACATCAACTCCTGGCACTGGCACTTGTGCCTTCTTGTTTGCCCCCTCTTCTTGTTGCAAAAGTAGCCCGCCTGCCGCTGCCGCTCCGTCAGCGTTGTGCTTTTTCTCTTTGATGTGCTGCTTGCTCGAAGATTTTTCCTGATCCACATCGCTGTTCTTGTCGTGTTTCTTTTTCTCCCACATTTTTGCCATCTCGGACACTTTCGTTGAAAGTGGCTGTAAAGGAGAGCCTGCGTCGATTATGGGGGTCGGCGGATAATCCTCTGGTGGAACACCAGCGGCGTTATCATCTTCGTTGTTCGCAACCACCGGGGAGAACGCTGGCGAGCCGCCAACCTGCTCCGCCGAAAGCTTGTCTTTGTTCCTGCTACTTTTCGCTACATCAACTGCTCCTTCCGACACTGCAGATCTGCTAATATTTTTCGTCTCTGCAACGTTCAAGGACGGCGGCGGGGCGATGGGAAGTTTGTTCTGACTTGTTTTCTCAGGAAGGACTAATCCAGCAGCAGGTGGTCCACTTGAAGACGAAGAAGAAGAACCTACTGCTGGTGGTGCTGCAGAAGCAGCAGGGAGCGCGCTGCTCCGCATGGAGGCTTTATTATTCGGATGGTCTTTCACAACAGCAGGCACGTAAGTCGCCGTCCCGGTGGAGCTGGATGCTTTCTCTACCATCAAGACGTCCTGCTTCAGCTGCTCTTTCGTCTCCCGATTCTGCCGGTTGAACTGCTCCAATTTGCTACCCACGGCATCTACCAGCTTGTTGCTGTTCTTGTTTCCAACAACGCTGGGCCGATCAGAAGTACCACCTGGCGCATGTGGTGGTCGCTCTCGCTGTACGCCACCAGCGCCGATTGACAAAGGAAGATTCTTTCGACTCTCTATCCGCGCAGGAGGACCACGACCAGCATCGCCGGCGGAAGATGAGGGCTGATGTGCAGCGTGAAGGAGCTGCTCTGGACTGCTCGATGACCCACCAACTCCTCCACCGACCGCCAGCTCCTTTCGCTGTTGTTCCTTTTGCAGCTCCAGTTCTCGACTTTCGGACCGCAGTCGCGATACGTATTGCTGCAGCCGGCTCTGCTCGTCCATCAGTGCTGTTAACGCCGTGTTGTCACTCGCGATCTTCTGCAATTTCTCCTTGTACTCTTCCCCGGCCTTCTATCCAGGAAGAAAAACCCACCCCCATTCATTTTTTGCATGGCAAACATTATGGAAATTATGCATTTTTTGCATGACAAATTGGATGGGGGTGGGTGTTTTTCCCTGGATACCTTCTTCGCTGTCTCCACGTCCTGCGCCAGTTGCTGGTCCCGGAGCGCGACCAGCTGCGCGGTCTGCAGTTTCAAATTCTGCACCTCCTGGGACAGTCGTTCCTTCTCGTGCCGTTTCTCGTTCATAGTCTCCTCCATCTGCTTCTTACTCTCACAAATCTCCTGCTTCGCCTCCTCGAGCTCCTTCTGCGTTTTCAGTTGCTCCTCCTTCAGCTTTTCTAACAGCGCCAGTTGGTGTTTCTTGTCCTCCTTGTACGTTTTCTCCAGCTCTTCCAATTCCTTTTCCCGCTGCTCCACGCGGTTTAGCGTCGCTTCCTCCCGCTGCTTCCACTGCTTCACGAGTTGCCGCCGCTTCTCCTCCTCGGTCGTGTCCTCGTCGAGTAACAGGCGCAGTGCTTCCTGCTTCCGCTGCACCTTCGCGTCTAACTCTTCAAGCGTTTTCTTCCGCTCTTTCTTCTCATCCTCAAACTGCTCCCGGAAGGATTTCCTTTCGTCTTCCAGATTTTCCCGGTGCTTTTCCAAATCTCTCTCCCGGTCCTGCAACTTCTTGTTCAGCGCCTGCAAATCCTCTTTCGCCCGATTCAGATCCTTCTCGACCGATAATTTGCTATTCCTTATTTTCCCCTCGAGTTCCTCTTTTTCGTTCCGCATAGTTTGAATTTCGGATTTCACCGTGGAAATTTCCGCACTTATTTTGCCCTTTTGCGCCTCCAAATTGTGGATCTCGTTGCTCTTCTTCAACCGCACCTCTTCCAGCGCGGCGACGTTCGACTGCGTGTCCATCGCTGCTTGTTTGGCCTCCTCCGCGGCCTGCTGCTTCTTCGTCAAATCTTCCTTCAGCTGCGTGCGTTTCCGGGAAAGATCCTCGAAATCCCCCTTCGCGGCGGCGAGCTCGACTTTCTTCGAGGACAAATCTCTGTCTAGGTCGTCCACTTGTGTCCAGATAGTTGTCCTCTTCCGTTCCAATTCCAAAATCTCCGCACTCAACACTTTCGCTTGGTCCTGCTCGATCTGGTTCCGCAAATCTTCGTGCCGTTTCCGCAAATCCGTCATCTCCGCCGTTCTCTTGCTCGCTTCGGTCTCCATCTGGATCTTCTTCGCTTGCAGGTCCTGCAAAGCTGTGGTGTGGCTGAGCTTCTCGATTTCCAGTTCGCCTAGGGAATTGGACAACTCGATCTTCGAACTTTCCAACCGGTGCAGCTCCTGTTTCAGCTCCACGCCGCGCGCGTGCTTGCGCTCGTTCTCCGCCACCTGCTGCTCGTACTGACCGGTCAGGGACTCGATGCGCTGCATCAGCACACTCGCCTCGTTTGTCATGGTGGTCACGTCGGCCCGGGCGTTGTCGCTCTTCTTAGTGTAGGCTTCAATTTCCGCTTCCTGCTCCTCGACGCGAGATTCTTGCTCTTTGACCTGATAGAAAAGAAACGAATGCAACAGTTGTAAGTAAGTACTTCCGTGTGCTTCTCCTTTTCTGCACCTGCTGTAACCGTAGATGTGCTGGAGAACACAATCTCATTCCCTGTGTCTATTTCATGCAAAAGAAAAAAAAAGTCATGTAATTGATGCAACACAAAAGAGCGAAACTATACCTTCTCCTTCAGCTCCTCGAAATGCTTCTCCAGCTCTTCGTATTCTTGTTCTAATTGCTTATTTCCTAATCCGAGTTTGTTTATCCTCTCCTTGGTTTCCTGCTTTTCCGTCTCCAAGTGCTCTAAACTGTATCAAAGGAAAAAAGTGTTACAGTTACACATTTGTTGGAATTCTAGCATCACAAGTTGCTCTGCATGGCAAAAGTAATGCGCAGACTATAAGGGAAAACACACGCGAAATGACGCTAGCAAGCTCAAGCATTTCCTGCATGACAGAGGTTGTCTGTCTTGCTTGTCTTGCGTCAGGGTGTGTAACTGTAACACTTTTTTCTCACGATAAACTGCTCTGCAGCTCCACTGCTTCCTTCCGCATTTCCTCCAGCTGATTCTGCTTCTTGTCCAAATTTGCATCAACAGCCGCCATCCGCTCCTTCCGCTGCTCAAACTGCAGCTCAAATTCCTCGAATTTGTTTGCTTGCTCCGCTTCAATTTTCTGCTTCTCGAAGGAAATTTCCTGCAGTTTTTCCTGCATTTTTCCCAACTCCTCCTCCGCTTCCGTTCTTTTCCCATTGATCGCTTCCGTTTCTTCCTTGAATATGCATTGCAAATGTATCTGGGTCTGGAAGAGTGCAAGCTTGTAATGCGCACTTCATAACACAAAAAAGTCTCTCATGCATAGGCAGCAAAAGTTGCCCTCTTTCTGTCACCAAAATGGGGCATTTGTCATGCGGATTCGGCATTGCGCAAGCTTTTCGAAATCTGTAATGCTAGAGCTTCCATGCTATACCTTCTGTGTCATGCTAAAGCAGCATGACTCTTCCAGACCCAGACATATTTGCATTTGATATTCAATTGGTGGATTTTATTTTCCTCCTCCGCGTATGCCTCGACCGCCTTCGACAGCATGGCCCGCTGCATCTCCAGCCGTTCTTTCGATTCCGCCGCGGCTTTCTCCCGCTTCTCGATATCATGGACGACGGACCGCACCGCTTCCTGCGCGGCGCTCATTTCACTGGCCCAGCGTTGTCGTTCCGTCTCCTGCCGCCCGAGCTCGTCGTTTTCTTCCTGCTCGAGCTCTTGTAGCTTTTTGTTCGCGGATTCTAATTCCTGCATCTTTTTTTCGTATTGAAACATCAGCTCCTTAGATTTCTCTTCGATTTCCTCCAACTTTTCCCGGCTGTACTTCTGGTCTTGTTTCACTGCCGCGAGTTTGTTCGCCTCCTCCTGCAGTTTCTCGTCATGTAACGCGGCGATTTCGGCGTTCAGAGTCTCCTCCTTCTCCAATCGGAGAAGTTGAATTTGTTGCTCCACTTCCGTTTCCACCTCCTGCGTGCGCTGCGAAATTAGCTCCTCACGAATCTTCGTTTCTTCGGTAAGCAACTCCTTCTGAAGTTCGGTTTGCAAACGCAAAACGGCCTGTTTGATGATGTGATTTATTTCACGTGAATAAGGCTTATTCAATAAGCTCGAAGGAAGAAGTTGTCCGGCAATTATTGGAAGTAGTAGAAGACAAAGCAGACAATTTTTTTTACGTTCAGGAAGCATAAACATGTAAATCAAACATACAGAACTCGATCTAAAATACCGTAGAATGTTCCTCCTCCAGCTGCCTCTCCATTTTCGCTCTTTCTTCACCCGCCCAGCGACTCAGCTCCTTCTTCTGCTCTACTACCTGTTCTTCGTGTTTTGCCTGTTTCTGCTCAATCGACGCGAGTAACCGATTGTACGCTTCCATCGCTTTTTCGTGTTCGGCCTCCATGGTGGTGCGCGCCTTTTCGAATTCCTCTTCCCTTTCCTGCAAATCTTTCGCCAGCTCGTCCTTTTTCAACTTTATCTCCGTTTCCAACTCCGCCAAAGCGGTTTTCTTCTGAATGTCCAGCTCCTCCTGCAATTCCGTGATTTGCTGCAGCACTTGTTGCCGCTGCTGGTTGTCCGCTTGGGACTGCTGTTCCAACCTTTTCTGGTTGTCGGCTTCCGCAGTTTCGGCCTGTTGTTGTTTTTCCCGTAACTCGTCCTCCACTTGCGTCAACTTTTGACGAATCGAAGACACGGAAGCTTCGAGCTTTTGCAGCTCCTGCTTCTTGTCTGCTTCCTCCTCGGCCATGTTCGTAGCCGTGTTCGACAGTGCAGCGATCCGCTCCTCGTAGTATTTCACGCTCTGCTGCTTTTCCGCCAGCGCCTTTGTCATCTGCTCGAGATTTTCTTGGAGGACCTAGTTTTATTAGCAGACTCAATGACAAGGATCACGCCACTTCAAAGCCAAGATTGTTCAACCACATCATGGAGAAGAACGAAGCTCTCAGCGGCCTTGCATCTTTCTCTCTCGTTCTTTTCTTTTGTAGATGCAACACGTTGTAAAAACAAAAGTACCAGTCTAATAAGCATAAAATTGGTGTTTGATTATAATCTTAATGTCAGAGACAGAAGAACATGAAGAGACAACGCAACAGGGTGGAGAGGGGGACAACACTTCAGCCCGTAACGTCCACATGAGACAGACCACGCTGCTTGGGAAAGTAGCTCGAAGTGGAATGTACAAAATGTGGTGCTCGCATAAAACTGTGATCCCAATGTGCAAGGTGGTTACGGGCGCCGGCTCCACCATCCAAGCACTCACAGTTTTATCGTGTTGATGGTGGCATAAAAAGTGAAAAAAATACCTTCTCCTTCCCTTCCGTTTCCTGCCACACGCCCTTCAATTCTGCCAGCTTCGTTTCAAAGGAAATTTCCTTCGCCCGCATTTCTTCCTCCTGCTTCGCGAGAGACAACTGCGATTGGAGAAATGACTGCTTCCACGAGCAACGATCGTCAATGAGTTTCAGGGAAGACGTGCTGATTTGCTCATGCTGCTTTCGAAACTCTTTGTTCATTTCCAGTACCAAATCGCACCTGGCGATATCTTCCTTCTTGAACCTTTTCGCCGGGTTCTTGTTGTCTCCTGTGGTTGGCGGCGAGGAGGAACTACTGCAACTTTCCTCGTCGCTACTCGCGATGTCCTCGCGGGGGCGCTTGTCGTGAAGAACATCTTCGTCCTCATCGACAATGCCGGTTGCAGCTCCCGCTGCAGTAGTAAAAATTGTAGAAGGACCTGCGACGGCGCTGCCGGCGGCCGTGCTGAGGTTGTTCTTGTCCAGGCCGTCAACCATGTCTTGTTCCCAGCCACTGCTTCAGCTTTACTTTTCGTGCCAGGGTAGAAAGGGTTCTCCTGTCACATCTGTAGAACCAGTGTGCAGTCGTGGACGGCACTAGTTCTAGCGGTAGCGCAGTCCGCACTATATAATGAGTTGCGCGCCATCATATTTGCTAGGTAGACTTCTAGGAGCGAGTGACAATGGCAGCACGAAAAATGGCTCCGGCGAAAATCTTTAGGATGACAATGACTGTAAGTTGCACGACTTACTACAAGAACGTAGCTTCATGTAGTTCTCATCATCGCGCGGCTCGACCGCGGCACTTTTGTCTAAGTGAAAATTCATGAAGAGTCGGGTTGTTTGATTTTGCCAGTGCAAGTTGCTGGCGGTGCCCTCAGTATTTGCGGCAGCTCCTAGGGGAAGAACAATCGAGTGTATCAAAATACAGGCGCGATGAACAAGGCGGCCACAAATCTTCTTCAATCATGCTTTTCAGGACTGGTTGAAGATGAAGATCAACCGAAGTTCGCGGTTCCGAAGTACTAGGAGCAGAGATTTCTTGTATGTAAGGACGAACGCGACATCAAGCTCAAGCGAAAAAGACAACAAACCTCAGGGATTTCCAAATCCAATACTGCTCTCACCACACACCTGACTTCGCTTCCTCAACACGAAACAACTTCGGACACAACAAATCGAGATCACACACATTCGAAACACTGGAATGTTCTTTGACATAGGTACATCGAACTCGAAGTCGAACCACCACGACAAATAGAACTCAAACTCTCAAAAATCTAGCCCGATGTGAGGAAGCTCCTGCGTCAAATCTTTTTCATCAAACTTTGTACAGCTGGGGGCAGTTGTGAAACCATTTGTAGTTCGAAGGTTTCAACTCGTGATCATGGCCATGATCAAGGGGTTCTTTGGAGAAGCTCTATACAAGGGAAACGGTCGGGGGGCCCGCCTCCGTGTTGAGAAGTTGTGCATTATCACTCGACATTGTTGTTCCATTTGCAGCTTCGGAAACCGAAACGACAAGATCATACAAGTTTTTCTTGGCTTCTATTAATCGTAAACGATGCAGCGAACCTGCAGCTTCGATGTGTTTTCTTTTTTTGGCTTGAATGTGTATAGATGTGATGAATCTGATAGAAGAAAAAGTCCTAAGTAACCGTATTAGCCTTCATGACCGTGCCGGAGCTGTAGCTGCGAGTCATCTCAGCCTCATTCGATGTCGCTCCCGTCGGCGCGCTCGGTCATGGCGTGCACAGCTTGCTTGGCCCAATCCTTGGCGCTCCAGTCTTTCGGCACTGCACTCATGGCCAGCACGTGCTTTCGGAAATCGTCTTCCTGGTTCACTATTGGGGCGATCTCCGCTGCCTTCGACCTGGTACATAGTGAAGTTTCCAAAGAAAGCATTTCAGCAGTTGTTGTGCAGTGCTTCGATCGCGATTATTAGACCACTTAGAACTACTAGAAGCAGCTCCAGAGCAGAAATATCGGAAAATAAACGAAGCGGATTATTTTTATCTTTTTCTTCTTGCAAATCATTATCAAAAATGTGATCATCAAGCGGTAGTCACAACATCAAAAAGGTACCATGCCGTGAAGAACTGCGCGAACGCAGACTTCAGATTGATGATTTCGCGCTTTGCCGAGCTGCCGATTGCCTCGCTGCTGTAGTTTCCTAGCTCCTTCTATGCAATGTAAATTTCCTGTACATGTACAAAATGCATGACAAATTTCGCTACCTTGCAGAGCCCAGCTTGTCATGCTGCACTAGGATTGGAGGCAAGTTTTGTCATGCAGAAACCACATTTGTACGTGTACGGGAAATTTACTGTGGATACCTTCAGGGTGGCGTTGGCTTCGTCCACCGGTATTGGCTTGACTAGGGTTTCGTTCGCGAGCTGTGGGTGTTGGGATTTATTGTACAAAGTGTTTTCTATCTCCTGCACCTCGTGCTTTACCCCCTCGAAATATCGCTCGGTCTCGTCTCTCGCGAGGCGCTCTCTCTGCATCTCCTGCTGGTACTCCACATAGCCGGATATGGCCAAAAGCTCCTGCCACGTCTGGTCCCGAGCCCGGTCTGTGTCCAGCCTGTCTTCCAGCGAATTTTCAAAGTCACTTGTTGTTGGAGGCGGGTTCTTTGCTTGATCATGCACTGTTGTGTTACCTGCTGCGGTCGTGTTACTACCATATTTACTTTCAAACACGATGCTCGTTTGTTCCCCATTGGCCCCCATGACTTCTATTCTCGGTGTCAGACCGACGGAGACCCGGCCTAAATTCATCATCTGCGAGCTTTGCTTGGATGAGGGCCGGTTCCCAGCCTCGACCATACTGATGCCGGCGTAGAGATCAAAAAACGCGGCGTTGGTGCGCGGAGACGTCGACAATGCATCCGCGTTTTCCGACAAAAGCTGCCGCTGCACAATCTCCTGCTGCCGGGCAAGTAATTCCGCGATCTGCTTTTGGTGAATCGCCAAAACCTGCTCCAAATCCTCCGTGATTCCTTGCTCCTGTTGCTCCCCCGGCGCCGCAGTGGTTCGGCTCTGTGCCGTCGCTCGTGATAATTGCTCAGTCTCTCTTTCATCGCTCCGGAAGACCACGTCTTGGTTGGGTATTTCAGTCGGGGAGGGGAGAAAACTGCTGGGATCGAACGAACCTGGGGGCAGGCCGCCTCCAAATTTATTGTTTTTTACCTCTGAAACCATGGTCGCCTGTGCCTGCGCGGCGGCCTCGGCCTGCGCAGCCTTCTCGGCTTCCATCGGCGCGAACCGGAGTTCTCGGTTTTTCTCCGCCACCTCCTGCATTCTTGACCACTGGTCCTTCCAAAAGCGTCCAACCTCCGTCCTCAAGTCCCGCTCGTTCTCCCGGTGTTTTATCATCTGTGGATTGGATTTTTGTGTTTCTGCTTTCAACACTTTCAGTTTCAGCATACTGTTCAAATTTTCACGAGAAACCAAGGACGTCGTGGTCGTGTCGCAACAATATGATTGTAGTTCACCAGCACAAAAGAAAAGTCCATGAAGAAAGAACAAAACATGCCTCATTTCCTACTGTACTACTACTAGAACTAGAAGTAGAAATTACTATACCAGCTCTGTCCTTTGCAGCAGCATGTGTTTTGATATCACGATGTGGAGGCTCTTGCTGACGACGGAGAGATTTTTCACGTTGTGCCAGTCTCGGTATAGGACGACCTTTTCCCTTCCTTTCTTTGGCGCGTACACCGGATCTATGAGGAAGGCGAGAAACTGTTCGTTTTTGGTGGAAAAGAAAAAGTGGAAAGGTGTATGTGAAGAAGAAATGAAAAATAACGACCGTGTTGAAGCTTAGAGCGACTAGAACTTCTACCAGAAGAACCAACTAGCTAGGCTACACGCAATATTCTTACGTGAAAAACGTATACAGAAATTTTCAAAAAATATTTCTACACCACTTTGACTTTGCATTCTCATTCATCCAACTGTATATCATACCAGCTCCAGGTTTTTTGCCACGACCTTCCTTAATGAAGGTGGGTCCTCCGGGACCGCCTCTTCATCCGTCTGGGGCGCTGGCCCCAGACTCGGTGTCGGATCCGCCATGTAGTTGGGCTCAAATCTAATCTGCACCGTGGTCATGATAGCAAAGTTATTTTGAATGGGTTTGATAATTGATTTTTCGCAGGAATCAAGGCGGACAGCAGAAGTGGTAAGAGACCACAAAAGTAGGCGTTTAATGCTGCAACTCAGAGCAGGGTTGTATTACTTACCCGTTGATGTACCTCTACAGTATGTTACTGCTCATCAAACCGGGGCACGACTCTGGCTGCACTTTGCTACTCTAAATTCAGCCTTCTTTGGTACTTGTCACACTTCATCTCGCAGTAAGCAGCACCTCGTGTCCTTGCATTGACGTTCAACGTTGGAAAATGTAGGTATTTCCAAGTGGTGTTTGTGTTTCACGAAAAGTGGACCTGTTTCATCACCAGAGAACAGCAAAATGTGCTCATCAGACAACGGAAGTGAAACGACAGGTGAGGCCTTGATAAACGAGGACCAAACTACAACAACTAGCGCGAATTGTGCACCGAGCGAGTCAAGTGTGTCGGTGCACCGACGCGGATTATCTCAAAAACCGATGCTGTTGCCGTGAAAAGCAAGGCAAAAACTAACACGAGAAAGACCGATCCAAAATGTCGACGCGAGACCGAATCGCTCTTTAGTTTTCTCCGGACAAACGCCAAAGGCAGACTTAGAGATGAAGAACGAAGAACCGACAACATGCGCCAGAAGCGTACCGACGGACACTTCATGAATAGGAAGTGTCTCTCTTTCTACACCTGCAGGGGAGAGGAGGACCACGACGAGAACAAAAGCAAAGCGTCAAGCTATCCAACAACCAGGTGGAAACAGAACGAGTGCGCGACTTCTTTCATAGTGAGCAAGCTGTAGACACAGATGCGCAAGTTCTGAAAATAAGTGCGTATGCGATTTTTGTATTCGTGGAATGGTCGTGGAAATGATTTTTCTACTTGCTTTTCAATCTCCTGGAATGGAGTCGTGTTACCACTATGTATATGTAAATCGTATTTTTACCCACCAAACGTCGCACTCGCACAGTGACGGTGTCCGTCTGGTCGTCTTCGCTAGTACTATCTCCCTCACAGCCGTACGTATGAATCATCTCCGCGTCCTTAACCTACTACTTATGCCCAAAGTCGTATCATGTCCTTTTGCCCCGTTGCTGCAATGAGTTGCAGCACATCTGCGGCCTGGGCGCAGTTTGCCAACGCCCGGTTCACTCGGTCCGGCTCATCCACGTGTAGTCGTACCCAAGAGATCAACAGCTGCTTCTTCTCTTCTCCCTTCATCGCCGGTTTTCTGTTGAAAGCCACCTCTAACGAGCCCGCGTCGGACAAGATTTCGAAGGGGCGCACAATCTTAATGCCCTTCGATTGCGTACTTGCGACCAGGACCATGTTGTTCGGCATACTCAAGCTCATCGGAATTCCGAGTGCGCGGAAGTTAGGCACCGACTTGATATTCACGGCGCTTTGTAAAGAAGGCGGCGCGGTGGCCTCTTCGTTATTTGTAGTTCCATCGACGTTCTTGTCGCCGTCTAAAAGTAGATCATCTTCCGACTTCCGCACCGGTTGTTGTACTGCTGTAGCGGTTCCACCAGCCGCCGTTGTGGGGTCGGTTTTGACCGCCTGGTGCACCCGGGTCCACAGTTTCGCCTTCAAGGAGGTGAGCATCACGTCGCTCTCGTAGCTCCACCACGCGCAGGCTGGCTGGTGCTTATCAACTGTAAAAATGTCTGGGTCTGGAAGGATGCAGAGATTTGTGATGCAGCTTTGGCATGACCCCTGATGTCTGTGATGCATGCCCTAGCATCACAGATTGAGAAATGCCCTCTCGCCGTCGCAAAAACTGGACCTCTTTTGCTGTTCATGCAATACAGATTTTTGTAGAATCCAAATGCAGCATCACAAGTTGCATCCTTCCAGACCCAGACACTTTTGCAATCCATAGTGCTTCCGGGCCATCAACTTCGCCCGGGCGTAGTGGTCGCCCTGAAACACCCCCCGGATCACTTCCCGCACCGCTTTGACGACAATCACCGCGCCGTGCTTTTTCCACACACTGCCCGTCCCCTCGGCCACCTCCGCGTCCGTGTACGCGCCCAGGTGCATTTGCGCGGATCGCCGCCGCTTCCGCTCCTTCACGCCCTCGTTCTCCTTTCCCCCGACCGCCAGCTTCGCGGCGCCCTGTAGCATGGCCGGTGCGCCCTTGGACCGGCGGCCGATAGGCGCCAGCAGGTCCGCGTGGGAGGGCCTGCCGCCTTGGTTGTCCTGGGACGACGCCGCGCCAAGCCCCACGGACGTCTGTGATCGCCGGAACTTAGCCTTCTGCGCAGGATTTTCCGAAGTAGAGTCGGAGGACTTATTTTGCTGTCCCGTGGTGTCTGTGTTGTCTTCCGCAAAAGAAACCAGCCGAGCATCGCTCCCTCCAACATCTGCTCCACCCCCCGCCACCTGCTCTTTCACCTGGAGCCCCTTCTCCAGGTGCCACAGTAGCTGCAGCGCCCCCGGCGGAATGCGCAACACGTTTTGCGTGCCGTCGTATCCGACGGAAACCAAATCCCCCGCAGTTTCGCGCCCGTACGGCCGCTCGTACCGGGCGCAGCGCACACTCAGTAGGTTCTGGAAATGGGAGTCCGAGTCACCATCTACTTCTGCGTGGAGAGTTATCAAGTCCGACCCGGTTACTTCACTGTTGCGACCGCCCGTCGTGGCCCCCGCACTCGCTGCAACCTGGACCCCGACCCGGTGAATTCTCGCCATCATCTCGCGTTTCGTGCCGCCGGAAAGCCAAGTCGCGTCCACAATCTGGTCCTCCAGCTGCTCCAGGCTTTTTTCAACCTCTTCCTGCACTCGAAGAGATATTGTGGAGGGACAGTACCTGATATCAGTTTCGTTTTCGATCAGAAAGATCATTAAGATGCGGAGTTTCAACATATCTTCACGAGTCGTGGAAGTAGAAACAGCAAGCATGATGAACATCACCACTCAATTAAATCTGAACGATGGTATACTCGTCGGAAGTAGAGCGTACGTATATATAAAATAAAGTGAAACACAAATAGACGATAGGGATCATAACATAAATACTTCCTGGCATAAATTTGGTCCAACTCCGGCAAAAAGTATTTCTGCGTGAGCTGCAACGCCGAGAGCTGCAGGTCCTTTTTCATTTCCCGCGCAACCAAGTACCTCAAATACAGCTCGACGTCTGCGGCTTCCAGTTGCGGCAGCAAGTACGCCACCCGCTGCACACACTCCGGGTGCTGCACCAGCAACGTAGTGCAGGCACTACTCCGCCCTTTTGCCGCGACCACGCACTCGGTAACGAAATCGGTGAAGTTGAAGCAGGGAGTACTCGCCTTTTTTATCAAATGCAAATATGTCTGGGTCTGGAAGAGTCGGGGTTTGTCATGCACATTTTTCATGACCCATGAGGTCAGTGATGCAGGTCCTAGCATCACAGATTTTTTGAGAGCTTCTTGATGCTCATCACGCATGAGAAACGCACCTCCGCGTGCCAAGAGCTGGACCCTTCTTCCTGCTTATGCAACACAGATATTTTTAGAATCCGCAGACAGCATTACAAGTTCCACTTCCACTCTTCCAGACCCAGACATTTTTGCAGTGGATATTTTTCTTCACGGCTTTATTGTTCCCTCCACTTCCACCGCAGCAGCCCATCCGCGCAGGCGGCGCAAATTCCTTTATGGAAGCGCTTGACGTCGACGCGGAGGCTTTGGCGTTCATCAGCGCGACCATGTCGAATGCCTCGTCCGCGACCTTCTTTTGCCAGGTCACTGGGTCCGTTCTCACCGGCGCGATCCCGCTCTGCGTCTGCCCAACCGCCTCGCGCAGGCTGCGCTGCAGCTGGATGATTTTCGCCGCTAACGGGGCGGGGTTGAAATTCCCTTCGTGCAAGTCCTGCTGCTCGCTCGCGAACGCCGGGCCAAAGGCAAAACTACCCACCCAGGTTAGGACGTCGCAGATAAACTGCTCGTCCTCGACCTCGTGGAGGTTAGACGCCACCTCCAGCTGCCTGGTTGCTAATGATTTTTTATCCTCAACTGTGTTCACCGCCGCCCGGAAGAAGGCGACAATCCCGTGCTCCTGCCCGAGCTTGGTAAGGATTTTTGGCAGGTCAACGAGAAGTTTGTTGATCTTCCATTTCGGCGAGGAAACCGCGTCAACCACGTGTTTCGGCGCACTGATGCTCGTATTGTTGTTCGAAACCGCTTGAGGACCGCTTGTTTCCTGCTTCGCCGTTCGGTAAAACACCTTCGCGTGGTGCAGTTGCCTCTCTTTGTCCCGCTCACTCTCGTCGGAAATCAACTCTAGCTCCTGCCCGTCCTCCGCGGTGAGCAGCGCTTCGAGCTGCGCTTCCACGCGCGCCTGCGTGACCTCGAGCAGCCCCACCCACGGACGGGTGTCATCGCCGAGCGCGGCGGCGTGGTAGTCGGTCGTCAAAGCGATGTCCTCGGGAGTCACTTTCATTTTCTACTTTATTCGGATTGGGCGACCACGTGGGCCCCTGTTTGTTGTTTCTACTTGGGGTTTAATGTGGTAAAGACGAGAGTAGATCCCTCGATCTCATAGACATGATGATACTGTAAGTGTAACTACTTGACATAGACATGAGGTGATGGTAGAATGATAAGCTGAAAGAATGGGGAATAATGGGAAAATCTCTGTTCAATCGCAAATAGACATGTAATTTCTTTATGAAATAGATACGACGAAAAATCGCAGAACGAAGCATAGGAACTTGCCATTTTTGCACGAAAACTTTGAGAACGATTACACCGAGAAAAGTTGTTGTGACCACAAAACAGAACGAGACGCACTGGCACTTAGGTTTTGTACGGACCGAGGTACAAAGGGACGACTCCGAGTGCGCACCGACAGCATCAATTAACACGCCTTTGGAATTTAATGGCTGAGCAGTGAAGAGGCAAAAACCGATGGAAAAGTTACTAGCGTCTTGTGCTAGCTGTAGCGACAACCGAGAGGACTTCAATCTATCATAGCTCTACCGAACGAGAAAGGTGATGACGTTGGCAGTGTGCCAGCTGGTGGACTTTGTCAGTTGTGAATGAAAATTTTTCAGCTGCAGACTTGGCTTTTATTCCTGTACTAGCAAGCTGCTCGGACCTACTTATCACAAAGAGACAAATGCAACTTCAGGATCTCCCGTGCATTCGCGAATGAATGCGCAAAAAGTGTCTACCGGCAACGCCAGCGTGCTGTGGCAGGCGCAAGGGTGGAATGCCAGTCGGTCGTAGCACTTCGCATTTTCATCGAGAAAGTAACTAACTTTCGGGCGAGCTTGGCAAGAACTGCCAGTCGTTTCATCATCTTCTCCACCGATACAGTCGCGGTTAAACAGCAGTCCAAACGGCGTCACACTCCTATGAAAGCCTCAGGTTGGAAATCCTCAAAGTGGAAATAATTTGTAATGCAAAAAAACGACTCCAGTTGAAGCGCCATTTGTAGTCGGCGCATGACAAATTTCCCGGGCACTCGAAACGTGTCTGTCATGCTAGTTAGGCAAAGGGGTGCCCTTCTGTCGTGCTAATCAGCAGTCCAATTCTTCACCCCTAGCAGGACAATAGTCGGCCTCCATTGTGTCCTCTGCAATACAGTCTTTTTTGCCTTGCATTTCATGCGCCACAAATTATTTCCACTTTGAGGATTTCAACTCTGAGGCTTTCATAACTCCCCGGCAGCAGTTCTAACGCCTGGAGCAGGCTGTCGCTGCTGGCAAAACCCAAGCCGCCACTTGCAGCACCCGGGAGTTTATCAACTGTAAAAATGTCTGGGTCTGGAAGAATTCATGTTTGTCATGCTTGTCTGGCATGACTCTTAAATCTGTCATGCACGTTACCCACGAGCTCCGTTTTTCTGTGATGCATAAGCGCAGTTTGTCATGCGGAATAGGCAACACCTAGGAGCTCAGAAACTTGTCATGCTGAGCCAGCATCTTTAGCCTCATCATAAGACGCCACTCAGCATCACAAGTCTCCAGACCCAGACACTTTTACATTTGATAGAGTTTGAGTTTTTTCAATTCTATTTTCGTTGACGCCACGGCGGAGAGAAGGAAAAGGTTCTTCTTTTTATCCTTCAGCAAAAGATTTTTCATCTCCGCGGTTTTTTCTCCCAAATGGGGAGAAAATCGCCTTGCTTGGTCACAGGTGTACACTGTCGGGTGAAGGGCGAGGGTGAGATTTTTCGATTGGGAAAAAAAGTTTCTCTCCGAAAGCCAGTTGAGACACAGTCTTACGCCTTTGTTGAGGTGGAGTTGCGTTTCGAGTGGGGTGTCCTGTTCGTCGTTCTTCAGCGATGCACAGGACAGATCAACGGTCAGGGTCGTTTCGTACTGCTTGCCCAAATCTTGGAAGAGCTTTACTATTTCGGCATCGTTCAACATCGCAGCTGCGTGGTTGGTGCTATCACAACAACTCTGAAGATGAAGACCAACTCCGTTGCTAGACGAGCCGTTTATTTCGCGCACTGACGTCCTCGAAGATGTCGCTCGCAAGTCGGCAGCTGCAGAGGAAGAGCACGTGGAGGTCGAACGCCCAACGGCAGGCGAAGCAAGAGCGACTGCGGTTGGAGGTCCCGTGCGATCATGCTCCTGAAGCTGCTTGCAACTGTTCTGTGGTTCATCATCCGGGACGATTGATGCAGGCGCAATTGGAGGAAGGTAGAAGGCAGTGTCGGACAAAAATCGAAGGTGCTCAATTTGTAGCCGACGCTTGTTGCAGCTCCTTGCAGCGTCAACATCTTCAGCTTCACACGAAGGAGGCATTTTGATGTTGGAGTGTTTTCTTTTCTCTCTAGCAAGCCAAGGAAGAGTATTTGTTCAACAGGTTATGTACAGCAAGTCGTGCATGTGGAATTTTTACAAAACTTACATTTGGCTTTTCAAGATCGATGCCATCGCGACAGCCAATTAGACTGAGTCTGAGATCACTTTAAAAAGAAAAGGCAATAAGAATAATGGAGCAAGACAGATGTTGATCCATCACAGAAGCGCTGACACAGGTACGTTGATCCAAATCCAAATCCTCTACGACTGCGAATCTGTGTGAGATGTTGTAAATCTTCTCTGTCTCATCTGTACCCTACGTACCTGTTGTAGATGAGATCTTCATACAATTACAGTTACAAGTTACAACAGACGAGAAACGAGGTCGAACAAGAAGATTAAAGGTACTAACATTAGATCGTCAAGAACATTCTGATCGTCACAAACATGATCCTTGACACCAGCATTGATCTTTTATTTCAATGATGCGGTTTCTTCCGCATCTTCGATGGAACACGAAGGCCAAAAAAGCCCTCAGATGGACAAGAACTCGTCCTCGCTCTACTACTCAAAGCTCAAAATACCAAGCACAGGCTTCAACGATATCGAGCAGGCGCGTTTCGCTCTCGGTTTTACTCCTTCGCAAGATAAAACAAAGGCACGCCATTGGCATCGCCTTTTAGTTTTTGTTTTTGTTCCTCCAGCACCACCATCATCCAGCAGCGCGGCCACATTTTTGAATGATAGATACTTACGCAAAGAACCAATACACCAGCCTCATTCTTCTTGAAAGTTGTCGTATTCCGCTCTTTATCAAAAGTAAAAATGTCTGGGTCTGGAAACTTGTGATGCTGGGTGGCGTCTCATGAGGAGGCTACAGATGCTGGCTTAGCATGACAATTTTCTGAGCTCCTAGGTGTTGCCTATTCTGCATGACAAACTGCGCTTCTGCCTCACAGAAATACGCAGCTCTTGGGTAACGCGCATGACAGATTTAAGAGTCATGCCAGACAAGCATGACAAACATGAATTCTTCCAGACCCAGACATTTTTACAGTTGATACTCTTTTCTGTGGGCACCATTTTTTTTTCCGTCGTTGGTGTTCCTGACCAACGGGGTAGGTTTTGAATCTTCCGTAATCTCTATCGTGCGTGTAGGAAACGCACACCTTGTCCAAGAAAAAAAACTGTGTTAGTGTTACTTATACTTTCCTTGGCTGACAGCATCACAAGTTTGCTCTACATGACAGCGAAAACCTGTCATGCGTGGCTTGTAAGGGAAAACACACATGAAATGAGGACTGCGTGGCTGTCTGGCATGACAGGTGTAACTAACTCTGTTGTATGTTCTGCATTACAAAGTTGATACACTTACACAGTTTTTTTCTTGCATACACCTTGTCGGGCGGCCCGCTTTCCCGTTCGTGCACGTTGAAGTCGTATTCGTAGGTTTCGCGGTAGCTCGTGCCCCGGTTCCACAAAATCAGGTTCATCCGCTATCCTGAGTAAAAATGTCCCCACACCATAGTCAAGATGGGGATCGGCTAGACAAATCCACAAGTTTTGGCTGTTTTGCATGACAAGTTTGGATTCGTAGTGTAGTGCTGTTTGAGCTAGCTCAGCAGCATCACAGATCTAGCACACCGTGTTGATTGGAGCATGACAAATTGCAAATCACGAATAGAAACTGCTTCTCATGGGGCTCCGCATGAGAAACATTTGATTTTCAGCATGCAGATTTGCATTACAACTATGGGGTGGGGACGTTTTTAAATAGGATATCCGCTCCCCCTCCGTGATTTCCATCGCACCGTGTCGGTGCCTATCCTGTGCAAAAGTATCGCATTCGTATAAATGCTAATGCAAGTCCTGCATTACAAATATTTTTCTCAGGGTAAATCAGCATGACAAACGATATTTCTCACGCTGAGAAAATTATTTGTAATGCATTTATACGAGTACGATATTTTTGCAGTTCATAGTGCCGCCCGAGATGCATGATCGCGGTCCCCTTTTTGTTCGTGTAGACGCACTGGTTTTTCCGGTGGTCCTTTTTTCCCATCTTCCCGCAGAACCGCACCTCCGAACCGGAGAACTGCCCGATTCCCAGCGCAATGTTGATCGTCACGTCGGAATCGTCGGTGTGCATGTCCTATGAAATGCAAAAGTGTCTGGGTCTGGAATGTCATGCTGTTTTTGGACTCTGAAAAAATTTGCATTGCATGACCAGCAAGAGGGATGCAGTTTTTGCTACACGGACAGGGCATTTCTCATGCGGAAGGTACATTAGGAAGCCCTCGAAAGGTCTGCGATGCTAGGTCAAGCATTGCAGGCATCATGGGTCATGAGAAATATGCATGACAAATCTTGCATTCTTCCAGACCCAGACACTTTTACATTTGATATGTCCAGATGCGTGTCCTTCCGTGGGCTGTACTGCACGATGAAAGAGTGATGGCCGTCCCAATTCGACCCCACCGCGCCGAACCGCGCTTGGCCGAGGGGGCGGAGCAGGTTTTGGATGGCGTCCATCAACGGTTCCAGCCCGACGTCGTTGAGTATTACCCCGTAGTTGTTCATGCTGTTGGGTTATGCAGTGCAAATATGTCTGGGTCTGGAAAGTTGGAACTTGTGATGCTCACTGCCAGTCACACAAAAATCTGTCATGCATGGGTAGCAACAGCTGACATTTTTTCGCCACACTGAAAGCGGGTTTCTCATGCAGAGTAGGCGTCGTAAAGCGTTTGCAAAACCTGTGATGCTAGTCCATGCACGCGAGACCTTCACCTTCTGGGCCGTGCCAATTCTGCAATACAAGCTTCCAGACCCAGACATATTTGCACTGCATATGGGCCGCTGCACCTTCAGCTGGCTGTCGTGGACGCCGCGGATCTCGCTGACCAACAGGTCGCAGATATCCTATGCACAAACGTCCCCACCTCACAAGTCAAAATGGGAAATCTGCTAGACAAATCAACCAGCTTTGGTTGCTGCTCGTCACAGATTTAGCACACCATGCTGATTCGAGCATCACAAGCTCCGCAACATGACTAGAAAATGCTTCGTTCTCACGGAGCTCCGCATGACAAACTTTTTTGGCATGCAGACTTGCGTGAGAACTTTGCCGCGGTGGAAACGTTTTTACAGAAGATAGCAGAACTCGTCCGTGAAGAGCGGGAACGAATACACGTTCGGACAACCATATCCCACGAAAAAACTGTTTCACTGTGATGGTTTTGCAAGATCTGCATCACAAGTTTGTTACACATGACACAGAAAATTTGCCATGCGCGTTTTCCAAGGGAAAACACGCTTAAAAAGCCATTGCGTTGCAGGTGTAGCAAGACGAACACTTTGGTGTTTCGTTCTCTGCATCACAGGTTCACAGTGAAACAGTTTTTTCTTGCGATAAACCATCCGTGGCGTTCTGCAGAAACCGCTCGTTGATCAGCGCTTTGACCTCTCGTTCGGCAGAGAGAGGAAGGGAGGGACGAGAAAGCGAAGCTGATGTTGATGTTCTTGTTGAGAGGCGGGCGGCCTCCTCGTGGTCCGTAGTGGCAGCAGCAGCCAAACCGCTGCTCGTGATTTCAGTTGCGGAAGTCATAGTATGTTGACCTGGTGCAGAAGTAGACGCCGCTCTCCTCAGAATCTGTTCGTATTCTTTCTGAAACTTGCGGAACTCCGGGTGCAAATATTTCTCCGGAAAATTGGACTGGGGAACAACGACCGACGCATCATGGGTTTTACTTTCATCTAGTACACCTGATGAAGCAGACCACGCCGCAATCTTGTTTATGTTTTGCCCGGATCTTGAAGAGGCTCTTGCAGCAGCCAGAAAGTGTTCCTTCGCCTTCGCCAAAACATACTCCGTGTCGTCCGGAATCTGTACATTGAAGAAATCCTGGTTTCTCGCATACAAGGCCGGGTAGACAAACAAGTTCTGTCTCTTGTCAAACCAGGCCTGCGCGGCGTGCTGCTTCACCGTTGACCGCAGCGCGTCCGCCCGCTGCTCGGTCAAAAAGGGCAGGGACAGAAGTGCGGCGTCGATGTAGGTGAGAAAGCAGAGCGTCTTTTCCAAAGCATCGGCCAGGGTAAACCGGTAAGGGACCGCTAGGAAATAATTTTCTATTTCTTCTTGGTCGTGTCGGTGGTCTACTGCTCGTGGTGGCTCACTTGAGGTTGACGCCACTGCTGCAGCTGATGTCCTGCTTCGTCCGGCAATTGAATCTTCACGCTCGTGGTGCTCGAAAGCGAGAATCCGGACTGTCTTTGACTTTTTCTTCTTTTTCGACGAACTCTTTTTCTGTCTTTTCACCGAGTGTTGCGATGTTGTTGATGCGTTTACCTTTTCGATATTGCCTTTCTTGGAAGTACTTGCAGCAGGAGCTTCTTCTTGTCGTTCAACATCAACCTTGACTCTCTTCTCCGAGACGATCTTGGTCGTTATCGTCTTCAGCACCTTCCCTGCACTCCGGGTGAAAAATACCTGCGGAATCACGTGCGCGTGGCGGTCGTCCCGCTGCTGGCCGCCCAGGAAGGCGTGCTCAACGTTGTTGTGGATACTGACCCGCGGGGCGGAAAACGGGTAGTTGCGGTTGAACCGGACTTCCACGTTAAAAGTCAAACCGGCATAGTAGTGCATCATCTTATGAAAGTGCGAATAAACTCCCCCTCTTCCACCTCATTTGTCATGCTTAGCAGACTGCGCGACTAAAGCCCTGGGGGGTGCGGGGTCCGAGGGGTGCACTGAGCACTGCCCGGAACACCCGAACATGCCCCGCGACTGGCACAGGACCAGCAACACAACTATTATCGTCGATCTCAGTTTGTCGATCACAACGTAGCTGCGAAGCCGTCCATTCATTTGTCATACAAAGTCCCAACTCCAATTGCTACCTTGTGGCGCACCTGTTTGCGTTGCAAACTCTGGAAGCCCAAAGCCAAACAGTAGGACTACACTTCTCAGCGCAATAAACTTGTCATGCACAGCGTCCACATCATGTGTTGGCGTTTGTATTGCTGTTCGTGCCTTACAAATGACAATGAGCGGTGTGGGTAGCTGTGGACTCTGATACATCTTCTCCCGCCACCACTCTGTGATGATCGGCCGGTTCTTGCCCGCAATCCTCGTGTATCCTGTGCAAAAGTATCGTACTCCTACTCGTACTAAAACTAATCGCAATCACGCATCACAAGTGAGTCTCCTTGTGAAGCTGAATCCGGCACATGACATCAAGCTCTATTTGTCATGCTGAGCTAATTTTGTATTGCGGAATTACTATTTCTAGTAGCACGTCGGTACTTCTGCAATTCATATCGTGGTCGTGCTCGGGTTTCCGTTTTTCCGATTCCGCTCCACGACCGTGAGAAACTCGTTCGTGTTCCGGTTCGTGTACCCCGGCTCGGGGATCTGTAACGAGAACCGGATCGCCCACGGTCCGGTTTGTGGCGTCCCGGATTCCGTCACGTCGATCATGGCCGGGTTGCCGTTCATGCTGACCGCTCGGTACCGAACCAGCTCGTAGGACCGGGGAATGAAAAGCTTCCGCAGAAGGGAGTGGCTCGCCGGGGAATTATCTTCATCATTTTCGGGCTTCTTGTCCTGCTCAGTGCTATTTGTTGTACTTGAAGTAGTTCTGGGACGAGGACGAGTCGAGAAGATTTCCAACAGCTCTCGGCCCATCGCCTCCACCGCGATTCGCGCGTCACCGTGGTCATCGTCGTAGTAGATCTCAGCGGAGGACTTCGTCGTTCGTTCGGCCTCGAACAGCCGCCGCATCTCGTCGGCCGGGCATTCCGCGGTCTCCTTGCAAACTGCCCGGATCTCGGCAAAGTTATACTGCCAGTCTTCGCTTGCTGAAGAGGATGGGGTCGGCGGGGACGATGCCGCAGAAGCAGACAAGGTGGATTCTTGTGATGAACCCGAACTGGCTGCGAGGACCGTCGTCGTCGACTGAAAATGAGCCAGCCAATAAAGCAGGTGAAGGGTTCTTACCAGCAAGAGCCCCGGCAAAGATGAAGTCGTGTATGCGAAGCTGCCACCACGACGGGGTGATCCGGCACACATCTTCCGCGACTGTTGTGGTCCGCCCATCCTCTCTCTTTGATGTCCTACGTAGAAAGACGAACCTGCGGTGGTTAGACAGTTCAATCAAGGGTATTAATCAATAAAGCAAATGCTGATATTGTAGCAGCGTCGTCCAGTCCTCTTCGTCTTCCTGGTTGTTGTACAGTCACTCATGTTTCGCAGCACGACGTGCTGGAGGCACGGAGGCACTATAAAAGACGATGGTCGGACTCGAATGTCTTTGTCGTGCTGATATTGGCAGCATGAAAGCAAGGGGTACAAAGGGGCTTTTTTCAGGGAAAAAGCGGGGGGCTGCCAAAGGTCGTGGATGTGGAACATCACCAGACACGACTGACACAATAATTCATAATTATAAGAAGCTGAAGCTGTAGTACTTTCTGCTTGTTTCAAATTCAATGTCTGCTCTTCTACAATCACTACTCACAATCCGGTGTGCTACTGTTTTTCTCACGTTCGGCTCTTGAGTCTGCTACGAACAAAGACAAAGACTAAACCTTTTGAAGAAACGTCAGAATCATGTCGAGTGGTCTAAGTACTTGTCCTTACTTGTTGCAGTTGAAACACAGGGCGGGCTGTGCTCTGGTCATTTTAATTGCGAACGCACTTTTATCTCTTCTGTTGTGATTTTGCTTTGTTCTCATTGGTTGGCTCGTCTTCCTTCGCAAGAACTACAGCAGGTTCAATTTACAATTACATTGAAATACGTGGGCTCTTCATCACGTGAGTAGGGTGTCCTCGCCGGTTCCCTGGAATGATGTCGGAGTACTACATGCTCCACGCGCCACGGGTCCCGTCACGCGGTCGCGACCCGCCTCCTCGTCTCTGGGTACAGATCGCACGTGCCCGACTCGCCATGCCACCAGGCGAGCGCATACAGGAGACAGGGCACGGCGCCCAGGAAGCAGATGTCGCGCAGGATCGGGCACCCACCGAAGAAGCAGTAGTAGGTGCTCAGCGCCCCGGAGAACGCGCCGAGCAGCAGCGAAAAGCAGGCCCAGGGCCGGACCACGGCCAGCGCGCTCCGCACGTACTTGAAGTTACCTCGCCAGGGCAGCAGGAAAAAGATTAAATGATAGGTCAGGGAGGCGCTGACGCCCCAACAAGCGCGGGACATCATGGCGCAAACGCTCTCGTACTGGGGGATTTGGTCGAGTAACAGCACCAAGATCGCCACCTCCGCCGCTCGTGCCCAGAAACAGTAGGTCTGCGAAAGCTTTTTCGAAAAGATCATCGGTGAACAATCGGTGAAAAAACCAGCACCGCCGGCAGCTGCTGCAAAGCTTGATGTTCACAAAGACCCCTTTTCAACTGCTCCGAGCCGCCCGCGATATCGGACGACGGGGGTTCTTACGGTTAGATGACCACGACCCCGGCCCTGCGGTGGTTTCATCGCGGTACTCGTAGCGACTCTCATTATTTAATGACTTCTACATCTCATGACTTCTAGATCCTGTTCATGGGCACTGCAAGACCGCATGTGGTTGCGGCGGTAATATAGCTCCGCTGCAAATTCGACTGGGAAGATTGATTCAAGCTTCAAATAACGGGTCCGAACTGTCACCACGACACGCTCTTCTCTGCTTCCGAATAAATTGACATTGATTTTACATTTGTTGAGCGCAAGCCCAGCTGCAAGTGCAAAGAAGTGCGGCGTTGCTTTCAAATAAATGCAAGCCAAGTGGCTGCCGACTCCTCGTGAGTTGTAGCCTTGTTCCTTGATGTGGTACAAAAGAACAACACACGGACGCAGAGCGGTGTACAACACCTCGCCCCTTTTCTGGAACAAACACGCGGCGCCGGCAGCAACCGCTTCTTTTTAAGAAGTGTTTCGGCGTTGCTTTTCATCGCCGGGCGATTTCATTCTCGACTAAACTGTGTGCAGAGCCCTTGCTTTCTCGGACTCAATTCCTTTGCGCTGCTCCTCGTTGCTCAATGAATTGCGGCGACATGACCTGCCAACTTGTAATATATAGCGATCATTCCAATTTTTGTTTGCATGGACAAGGACATTTACTTTACAGCAAATTATAGGTGCAACTAGTATAAGTACACTTGCTCGCGTAGTCGTCCTTTGAAAAGTTCTTCGGGACGTTATGATCATCGTACAATCTTTGCTACATGTCGTGCATCAGACAGCACGTGTGCTTCTCAACAAAATGAGCACAGTCAAGAATTCTATTCATCCAAAAAATGAAACAGGCGCTCATCTACATCATATATACATTTTTTCGAAAGAGTTGTAGTTTCCAGAAAGAAAGTGGTCGTGTCTCTAGTAAAACAACTCCGCAGCTCCAACTGTATTGTCATCTGCGCTTTTACAACTAGCACCCATAATACTAATTGGGGTTCGCCGCGCTCAGCGAATTCCGCAGCATCCACTTCAGCTGAGCGCGATTTTCCTTACCGGCGACCTTTTCCCGGATCGTTGCGGTGACTTGTCCAAGCACTTTGAAGAGGTAATTTGGCACGAACTGGAGCTTTTCCTGAAATTTTCTTTCCACGTCGGAAAGCAGCTTCGGGTCCTCCAGCTTTTTCTTGTTATGCATCGCAAAGTGAAGCACTGTGGCTAATGTCAAAACGCAGCACAAGAAAGCAAAGCTGCAACAAAGCAGACGCAATCCATCGGAAAGAGGCGGCGGCTTTTCTATTTCCAAACCCCCGCGTCCCCACTGAATCCGCGCCAAAATATCTGAGCGCGCGGGGGTCATTCTGCTCGCGAGAAAATGAGCAAGAGCGCAAAAGCTGCAGCGTTATTGGCGCGACTGACGCGCTTCATTCTGCCGATTCGATGAGGGGCCCGAGGAATGGCGTCGCCTGTTTGAAATAAAAATATTTGGCAACGTCTAATTACCACGGTGCTTAATTTTGCAGTGAATACTTGACGTCCTCGATCAATTTCTTCCCACTTTGGGCGATCGCCGTCGGTGTCGGCATACACCACATTTTTGTTCCTTTGGTCGGATCCTCAAAGCTCTTCAGCACTTTCATGCGCGCGTCAGAATCTTTGCCGCGAACATGATCCGGGAACAACAGCTCCAGGAGCACCAACCGCACGGCACGACTATCCGCGTCCATTTTCGACGTCGGCAGGTGGAGACTCAGTTGCCGATGATCACGCAGCTTCAGGTGCACGCTGTGCATGGGATTGTACGAAACCAGAATCGCGTACGCCACATCGTTCATCAGGTCCCCCAGCCGGACGTCCAAAAACACGCCAAACTCCGAGGCGGCCACTTTCCAGAAGGACCGCAAGGGCGCCACGACGAGCCCGCCGATCGCGACCCCCCCGAGGCTGATCCCGGAAAACAGTGCCAGGAGGGGGGTGATCACGCGCTTCTCGAAATCGTCGATGATCTTGTCGCTCACTTCGTTGGGGCAGACCTCCCCGCTCTTGTCCGCGTCCAGAAAACTGATAAAGAGCGCCAGGTGCGAGGACATAAGTGCGGACACGAGGCGCGGGACGTTGCGCACAAGAAACTCTTCCGCCACCTTCAACAGCTCCCCCGCGCCCTTGTAAATTTTCTTTTTCACCGACTTATACAGCGGCGACAACACGTCGTTTACGAGACCTGCGAAATTCAGCTCCAATACGGGCATGCGGACGAATCCATATGCAGTGCAAGAGCATTTACATATTTGAATTTGTACGGATTGCAACACAGCATCAATACAAGCTAAATCGGCCTTTTTTATACCAATCAATTTCGTCTTTCATCAACTTGGGAAAGTAATCATTATCATTTGTGATGCCATAAATTTGACTCTTTGTCTTTCCAGGACCAGGAGTACGAAATAATACTAACTATAACTTACTTTTGCACATTACATAATCCAGAGTTTGCGATTATTTGCGCCTTGGCTTTCAGCCGGGGACAGCCGAGCGCTACAGAGATCTGTTCCGACAACTTTGCGCACTTGTCGAAGTTATCCCCTACTGTCCAAGCCTCATTGTCAAACACCCACTCGCACTGCTTCATTTTACCCCCCTCGCCCTTTTGCATGCTATCCCGAGAAAAAAGAGCTACAGCTACGCATTTTTTATTGCAATTTCAGCAGCACAAACAGGGAAAGTAAGTTTGCAATGCAGCGACCCCCCCCCCTAAGGGTGGAAAACACGTATGAAACGAGGGTCGCAAGCATTTCTGGCATGACAAAGGTAAAGGCTGTCTGTCTTGTCTAATTCCGCAACAAGATCTTCACAAAAATGTGTAAAACTGTAAACACTTTTACTCAATTTTCCTCGCATACATGCCCTCTGTGATCGAGTGCGCCGCTTCCGCCGTGGCCAGGAGCTGCCTCACGCGCCCCACGCGATCGACGTTGTGGAAGTGCCAGGGCCGAAATTGACAAAGTCGAAAAATTTGCGATGCACAAAATCGATGTCAGTTGGTGGAGCCTCAGTTTCCAAGTGGCGCATGACATAAACAGACTGTGCAACACGAGGTGGCATTGTGTTTCGGGTGATTTGATCAACCCAAAGACGCCGCCACCCCGGGCCCAACGGACCTGGCACTCCAAACTTTCCTCCTCACACACACGCCTCCAAGTGGCGCATGACAAATTTCGGGAGCCTCATTTGCCTGCTCCCAAATACAGGCCTTCAGTAACCTACATTTTTTGCATCGCATATTTTTCGACTTTGTCGATTTCGATCCTGACACATCCATAGACGTCGTCAACACTGTAACAGGATTGCTTCAGCTTATCGTATCCAATGCAAATATGTCTGGGTCTGGAAGGTTGCAACTTGTTATGCTGAGTCTGGATCATGCAAAAACTTCTGTTGCATGATTACCAAAAGATGTCCGCTTTTGACCAGTTTGACAGGGAGTTTTTCATGCAGGATAGGCACGACAGACACCTTACAGCATCTCTCATGCTAGGTGCTGCATGCCAGGCCTCATGGGTCATGGAAAACCTGCATCACAAATCTTGCATTCTTCCAGACCCAGACATATTTGCACTTCATATATCGTAGGCCGTGACAAATTCCGGCACAGCCGAATGTGCTGTCGCATCAAACAGCTCCAGCATCTATGCATTGCAAATATGTCTGGGTCTGGTATGGTATGAGGCTTTCGCCCTCCAGGCACATGGAATGCAAAGTGCAAAGGACGCTGGGTCTGCAACAAAGGTTGAAGCTGTATTGCGTGTTTCGCACATCTAAAAAATCATACTTAAGTAGCACATAAAGCGCCACACTTTCGTCATGCAAAAGCGCAGTTTGCAATGCGTTCTGCGCTTGAGAAAAAGGTTGAAAAATTTGTCCTGCTGCACTGCACCTACAGGCACAGTCAATCATGTTGACCATTCAGCATTACTCGCGCGCAAGGCCCGTAGCAATAGTTATTGCGTGCGAATTTGAAGGAAAAAGGAAACAAAGGAAAAAGGAGAATTTTATTTTGGAGTAGTTGAAGTGTGTTCTAAATTGTGATTGTGTAATTACAACATACAAGTTCCCAGACCCAAACTAGTACATATTTGCGTTTGATAGCATCGTCGAACCAACAACATGTTCTTCACCTTCTGGTTCCTCCGCTGCTGCTGGTGTGCTCGTCCACCACCAGTCGTCGTATCACGAGAAAAAAGTGTTACAGTTACACATTTGTTTGAGCTTCTGCATCACAAATTTTCGCTGTGTGACAGGGAAAACTTGCAATGCGAAGATTATAAAGGGAAAACAGGAAGGAAACGAGGCTTCCAAGCATTTCCTGCATGAGAAAGGTTGCCTGTGTTGCCGGTCTTGCAACACAATGTGTAACTGTAACACTTTTTTCTTGCGATACGTTGAGCTCGAAGTCTACTACCTCCTGCGGACCAGCAAAGTAGAGACCAGCGTGTCCTCCTCGTGCGCGAGAACCTTCTTTCATCCACATGCTTCCCGGGGGCGCACGCGCACGACGAGGAAACCGATCCACTACTTCGTCGCCGACTTGCAGCACCGTGACCCCTTTCTCCCGCTGCTTGGCCTTCTTCTGTTCCCGGTGAAAGGAAGCCCTCACGAGCCCCTGCAGCTCCGTGAGCAGCTTCGGGTTTGCAATCTGCCGGCGCAGCACCGTTCTCACTCGCATCATGACCGCGTAAAGCTCGGTGCTCTCCATCTTGGCCAGCATTTCGTACACCCTCGGATCGAGTTTTTCAACTAATTTTCGCTCGCTGAGTGGCGTGCGCAGAATCTTCTTGGCGCTCGCAGCCAGGTCCTGTGCCCTGGCTAAAAGCGCCGCCGGGGTGATTATGCACCACATTTTCTGCGTCCCCTCCCGGAACCGGTCGGGTTATCAAAATCAAAAATCCCCCCTCCCCATATTCAAAACGACGGGTCTGATGTTGTCGGAACTGCGTACACAAATAAGGGATCGCTGCTGGACGATTCTCAGTCTGCGCAGGCGAGTTCGAGTCTAATTGCTTCGCATGTTGGTACTAGTGAACGGCTGCCCTGTAGTACTAGCCCCAACAGCATGAAGATAAATCGCTTCCATAATGGGGCGGAAACCCCTGCTCTTGCCTTCTTGCTGATTTGTGGCCACAGATCAGCATCACAAATTTCCATTTTGAGCACTCATGGGACGAAGGGGGAACTTTTCCTCATGGCACGAGTGCGGCCTTCCCGCCGTCCTCCTTGCCACGCACCGCGTCCGGGAAAAGCAGTTCGAAATATCACGCAAAAAAAATGACTTCCAGCACTGTGACGCATTTAGTGCAGCAGGATCTACTGCGTCACAAGGTTGTCGCAGCACATGACGAAAGAAATGCAAATCTACTTTCATGCGTGCATCCCAACATTGGCGGATGATGAATATAACACATCTTTCTAAAATCAACAATCCGTTGCCTTGCACTGGTAAGAGGAAAAACTACACTGCTGCACCCTTGCACGACGCTCTCCTGTATGTACAACTGCTTCATGATAAGTTTTTTTACAGTGAAGCAGTACTTTTTTTTGACGATACGAAAAGTACGAGTTGCATTATGTCCGTTGTGGCCGCTCCCAGTTTCGCCACAACGTTCCCAGTTCCACCATGATGATGATCATGATGATGCCGGTGGTGGTGGTGGTGGTGGTGGTGATGATGGTGGCGGTGGTGGTGGTGATGATGGTGATGATGATGATGGCGATGATGGTCATGATGATGAGGATGATGGTGATCACCATTCCTACCACTACTTCCCCCGCCCTTGGCGTCCAGGGCGAAAACGAGCGTGCGCGAGACTTCGTTCACCACGTAACCCAGGCGGGTGTCCAAAAACACCGCAAACTGGCTCGCGGCCACGTTCCACAAGCGACGCAGGGGGGACGCCACTAGTTCGCCGACGGGAAGCGGCCCCAGTTTCACGGCCCCGAACGCCTCTACCAGCGGGTCGATCACGCGGGCCTCGAACTCTTCCAGCACTTTCTGACTGATCTCGTTCGGGCACACTTCGCCGCTCCCATCTACATCTAACATGTCGATAAACATGACCAGATGGGAAGACAACAACGCCGATATCAGGGGCGGGATGCGTTGGCTGAAAAAGTTGCCCACTTCGTCTTTGAGGTGCTCTATGGGGTGCAGCATCTTGTTCGTTTGTTTCGAAAAAAAGTCGGCAGCCGATGTCCACATGTCGGAAGTAGTGCTGTGTAGTGTCTTGCGCGGTGGTGGTCGCTTGTGCGGTCGCGTTCGTTCTTCCGGTGGCGTCGTCGGCGCGCGTCGAAAGCCAGCGGCAGTCGTCATGTTGTGCCACTTTTCGGTCACCCATTTTTCGACGCCTTCCTCTCCCTCCCTGCGCGCCATGAAAGAGGAGGCGCTGCCCCCGGAGAACATCGCACCCATTCTTTCCAGGAGCGGCTTCATGAGGTCCCGCACAAGTCCCCCGAAGTTCAGTGCGTGCACGGGGAGACGGATGTAGCCCGGCCGGTTAATGGCGCTTTCTCCGGCGGGCACGGGCTCGCACCCTATCTCCACCGAAACTTGATCGGACAGCTTCGCACACTTCTCCCAATTGAGGTGATTTGTCCACGCTATGTTGTCAAACACCCAAGAGCACGCGAGGTCCTGACCCATTCCCTCCATACAATCCGCGCCTTGAAGGTCGCAGTCGCCAGATGCGGATACTCGCACGCGTGCGGTCGCGATCATTTCCCGGGCTCGAGACAGACGTCCTACGTCGTCGTTTATCGTGTAGCACTCTTTCTGCAGCTTTTCGTACGTCACCGCAAACGACTCAACGTGCTCGTCAAGGTGCAGGTTGTTGTCCGCGCTCTCCTCCAAGTTCTTTTCTTCCCCTCTGCTCTCCGCAGTTTCGGTTTTCCCCTGCCGATCCGCTTTGATGCCTCCCTCCGCTTTTTGTTCGGAGGACTGACTAACTTTTTCCGTTATTTTATCCGTCGCGCCAGCTTTCCCTGATGTAGTAGATGCTTTCCCTTGCGACTTATCCGTATGATGATGCTGTTCCTGATGATGATGCTGCGCACTTTTGGATTTTTTCGTCTTTTTGATTTTATGGCGGGCCCTTCGCTTGCTTCTTCTACCCGGTACCATTAATTCCAGGATAGATTTTCCCTCCGCAGCCCCTGGGAAGAAGACTGGGCCTTCCTCTATCAGCTGTAGCATGGACGTGACACCATTCGGGAAGAGGGGCGAGATCTTCACTACTGTTGTCGCATTCTGGGGGGCTCCTGCGCCAGCAGCAGTTGAAGATTCGAGGCCATCTTCGTGGACCCTTTCGGAGTTCTGCGCTCTTGCATCAACTCTCGTCCAGCTCGGCGACAGAAGAACTTCGTCCTCTTCATGTAGTTGTGGAGATGTTGTTGACTCCGGTTTGGAGGTTTCTTCCTGCAGAACACTGCTGCTGCTGGCGGGTACTATAATTTCTTCCCCAGCACCTCCTGCTTCCGCTAGAACATCTTGATCTGTCTCGTCGACCTCGTGCGTCTTCAAGGTGTCGACCGAAACAGACGGCGTCGATGTTGTTGACACTGGTGAGGACCTCTGATCTTCCGCGACGTCATAAAAATCGGGTGGAGATTCCTCCTCTTCTGCTGCTGCGCTTTGCTCCTCCGCAACGACGACGCCGCCACCGACCTCGACAACGCTCTGGCGGTTGATGTTAGGCGGGTCTTGTCGTACCGCCCGGACAAAAATGAGCCACATTTTGTTGTCCGCATCATTATCTTCCCGGAGTAGATCACGCGATGTCGAGCCGTTGCGTTGTAGTTGTTGCGGAGAGAGATGTATTTCTACCTCTTGCTCCTGCTCGCGCACACGCAACAGCAAAATCATTCCGGCAAGGTGCTGCGCCAACAGTACCAGCCCGCAAATCCACATGAGGAAGTAGTGCTGCCGCGCAGGAGCACGACCACCGATGTGGTCCTTTACTACGGGAGATGATGTGGACGACCTGAAGCCCGTCCATGTTGAAAAAGCTCGTTTAGAATTCCGTGCCGTAGGTCGAAAAGTCGATGTAGTTCCTGCTTTTCTGCCCGATGAAAATAGAAATACGGACGTCGCGGCACCTGTGACGTTGTTCCTTGCAGGAGTTTCGTTGCGTTCTACTTGTTGGGCCGGCCTATTCTTTGATGTGGTGCTCATCTTCTTGGCTCCTGAGGTACTAAACGCTCTGGTTGCACAACTACCGGGTATCACCATCTTCATGGAGTTGTGCAGCGCCACCAATGCTGCAAGCCGAGCGTTCCCTTCACGACTTCCCTGCTGTATCAACATCTCCCTCGAAGTTGTTCTTGTCCCCGGAGTGTTTTTATCAACTTTGCCTCGTTGTTTCAACACCCGCCCTGGACAACGTCGTGGAGGAGCAAGAGTCCCTGTGTCGTGTCGCTTCATCTCACCTCGACGAGCACGCCGGCCCTGCTTTCCGATTATGACCATCGATCTTGATGAAGGAGACGCAGACGTTTTTTTATTTCACGAGCGTTTTCTAGTACGGGAGACCACTTCTGCTTCTGACCGGTAGGCCGCATGAAGATCTTCTCATCGTCGGTAACAAATAGCTGTTGCCCTCAAGTACATCAGCGACGGCTCAGCGATCCTTTGTGCTCAGATGCATGCTGTGATATCGAAAAATAAGGACCCCTCTGTCTCCCGAAAAGTGGACCCTCGCTTTACGATTTTTCACTCGTCCGAACTCTTATACTATTACTACCCCATCGCTTCGCAGCCACGACCCCGGAACTAGCAGTCTAGAACTTCCGCACGATGACAAGCAGGAACATGATCAAAGAGGTGTCACTAGAGATGATTCCATGAGATTCATTTCTCCAGACCAGTGGATAAAAACCACGAATTGACTACAGCATCAGACTTACTTCCCAGGTCGTCAGGACGACCGGGACTGCACACAGAAGATTGAGAAAACTTCCGCACCAGACAGGTGGTGCCTCCAACCGTTGAATACAGCGGCATCAACAATTAAGATGTTCATGTACATGTAGCAGACACATTCATGCCGCGCTTCTTGAACGAAATATGGTTGGCCATTCACCACACATATTTACCCCGGATGCAGATGGACTGCTCAACACATTTACTATTAGGGCTCGCGCTGCTCCGGCTCTACTTCACAAAAAAGAAAAACTCCTCCTGCAACTGCATGAACATTTCATCTCGAAGGCCGGGACTAGATGTTGATCATCTTCCCAGCTGCTCTTCACTGCACACCGCACCCGGCGTCCAGTTCGGGTTGCCCCTTGCGCTTCCGCAAGATATTCCGCATCTCCAGGAGTGTACCGGGCTGTTGCCGCAGAATCACGTTGGTGAAGGTGGTATCCAAGAAAAAAAACTGTGTATAGTGTAGGTCTTTTCTTTGGGAAAACAGCATCACAAGTTTGTCTGCCATGACAGGCAAAACTTGTGATGCGCAGATACGAAGGGAAAACACATAGGAAGCGAGCCGATCATGTACGTCGAGCATGACAAGTGTAAACTGTTTTGCATTTTCTGCATCACAGATTTACACTTAGTACACACTTTTTTTCTTGCATAGGTGGCGGGGATGTTGCCCTTGAAGTCCAGCGACGAGATGTAGGTTGCCTCCGTGTTCCCCCGCCCATTATGCACCGAACAAAGTGGCACAGTTACACATTGTGTTGCAAAACATGCAAAACAGACGACCTCTGTCATGCGATAAATGCTTAGAGGTCTCGTTTCGTGTGCGTTTCGCCTTATGAATATGATCTCTGCATTACAAGTTTCCTCCGTCATGCGAGGCAAATTTGTGATGCTGAGAATTCAATACAAATGTGTAAGTGACACTTTTAGCCTTGGATACCCATCCGCCTTCAGCCAGTAGCCGCTATGCAAGCCTCAGCATGGAAATTCTCATCAAAGTGGATGAGCTAATTTGTGCTGCATGAAATGCGACACCAAAAAGACTGCATTGCAGAGAACGCAATGGAGGTCGACTATTGTGCGCCTACTGGTTCAGAATTGGGCTCCTGGTTAGCACGAGAGAAGGGCACCCCTTTGCCTAACTAGCATGACAGACACGCTTTGAGTGCCCGGGAAATTTGCCATGCGCCGACTAGAAATGGTGCTTCAACTGGAGTCGTTTTTTTGCATTCCAAATTATAATTATTTTCACTTTGGGATTTTCCACCCTGAGGCTTTCATAGCCGCATTCCCGGAGTTCCGCCCGTACGACCCCCGGTTTTTCCGGGATCTATCAGATGCAAATATGTCTGGGTCTGGAAACTTCTGATGCTAAAATGTGGATGATGGAAACAGTTCCGAATGCAACCCAGCGTGACAACTTTCCAGAACGCGTTCTCATAGGCAATCCGCATGAGAAGCTGCGTTTTTGCATGTCTGTGCAAAAGAGGCTGCGACTTTTGTTGGTCTATGCAATATAGATTTTCTAAGTATGGAACGCTAGCCTTACAAGTTCCAACCTTCTCCAGACCCAGACACTTTTGCAATCCATAGGATCGCCTCGTCGGCCACCGACTGCGCCACCAAAACGCAGCCAAAGTCCGTCGGGTGCCACGCTCGCAGTAGGCACAGGTCCCGCGGCTGCACAAACAGCGCGCCCTTGTACGCCAAGTGGGCCAGATCGCACCCGGCTGCTTGCGTTGATGTTCTTGTTGATGCGCGTGTATTAAGAACTGCGTCGTTGTGGGCTACTGTGGTCGACTGTTCATCTTTACCATCATCTCCGCCTGCTGCGCCTTCGTATTGCACATGAACCCTGCCATACTCCATCTGCGAATCCCAGAGTTTCCGGCGCTCCAAATCCACGATCAGTCCCAGGATCTCCGCCGGCTCGGTTTCGGGAAACACCAAGCGTCCACGCACCGCGATGATGTCGTCTATCAAAATGAAAAATCTCCCCTCCCCATATTAAAACGGAGATTTGTGTAGCATGATTTGTGATCACAAGTGGCGTTGTCATGCTAGAAGGGAAGAGATTCGGATTGTATTGCTGGCTGGCGCAGGAATGGAAAGCCTTGCGTCTTCAGCATGACTATGACGGCAGTAACGTGCCCAACCCCTAACTTACCCATGGGGGATAAAAAAAAAATTTCGGTTTATCTTATATAGATAATATAGATATTTATATAAGCTACCTAGTTGAAATAGATATATAAGCTCAGTAGCTAGAAAAGGCGTTTTTGAAGGCTTCCACGACGCTACTCCGCCGACATCCAGCCTTCAAAAACGCCTTATATACATAAGCTATTAAGCTAACTAAAAACAAAGCATTTTCGCTAGCTATTTAATATATAACTACCTTATTTACACCGAAAAAAAAAAACTGTATCCCTTTGGGTAACTAGCCTGTTGGGCACGTTACTGCCGTCATAATGACAAGAAGCAACTGGAAACGGGAAACAGCGTGACAAATTGCCTCCAAACGAGGTAGCAACCGCGTCTCTTGGCCTTCTGGCAATACAAAGCGATTTTTGTACTCAAATACAGCAACACAAATTCCGTTTTCGATATGGGGAGGGCGGATTTTTCTCCACAATATCGTCCCCGACGTATTTTTTGCCGACGTACCGAGCGATCTCGAGTTTTTCGGCGGAAATCCTATTGTTCAAGGGCTTGGCGCCAGAACTCGATGAAGTAGAACTAGTTTGTTTTTCGCCGCTCTGGAGCACCATCCAGTCATCGTAGGATTCCGCTTGTTTCTCCAGTATCCTGTGCAAAAGTATCGTACTCGTATAAATGCTGGTCTTGCATTACAAATTTCTTTGTCAAGGCAAATCAGCATTACAAATTTTATTATTATTTCTCATGCTGAGAAAATTTGTAATGCATTTATACGAGTTGTACGATACTTTTGCAGTTCATATCCAGAAAATCCAGGCAGCCCTGACGAACGGCCGCGAATTCGGGAGACAACGCGGTGCTGATGGGGTTCGTGCTGGTGGGAGGAGACATTGGGTTTCTTGGGATTGGGTTTCTTCGTTGTATGTTGACGCAGCGTGTTCTTGTGCGAATATCTTGTATGTCAATGTTCTTGTCAACGATCCATTTGCGATGTTATGTTAGTGTTGCTCTAATACGGTCGATCTACTTCTGTCGCAGGTCGACAACTTCAATTTCTTGTGAAGGCAACGCAGAAAATAAGCCAAAACGTTGAATCGCGCTCAAGCTCAACGAACAAAAACTCTCTGAAGAAGAAACAGCCTAACAGGACCGATTTCTGTGCCAGCATCTGCACTCTACCGTCTCTGGTGTCAAGAACACTAACACAAGCACATGCCTGTTTATTGACCTTTAGTTTTACTGGCACTATGATCGCCTTCTCCGTTTTGTGTGTGTAAAATAGCAGCACCCAGAACCAGGTGAAAAAAGGGGCGAGGCCCACCGGGGCCATTAGGTTCGCTATGGCCAACCTGCAGCATCCAGGGCCGTCACGTCGAGTCCCCTCGCCCCCACGGTTTTTGATTCATTTTCAAGTGGTATCCATTCTCAACAACGACGAAGAACAACGACGAAGAACAACGACGAATAAACATCTTTTGCGTTTCGCGACTGTGTTTTTTTTTTTGCGTTTTTCGCATATGTATTTTTTTGTGTTTTTCTCATATGTATTTTTTTGTGTTTTTCTCATACGTATTTTTTTGTTGAATAGAGGTAATGTACGGGGAGTGGCGTACTAAGAAAGGCGCAAGGATCCTCTCGAAAAGAGACTGCTGCTGCAAAAGAAAAAGGGGACTGCTGCTGCTGAAAAAGGGGACTGTTGCTGCTAAAAAAGGGGAATGCTGCTGCTGCTGCTGAAATAAAAAGGGACTGCTGAAATACTGCTTGCAAAAGGGGCTCTGAGAATACTATTAGGCTTAGCACGGTTCAAATGATCATAGAAATGGGTAGAGTTGTTACTGTTTTGTTAACATGGGTTGAAGAAAAAAAAGAAAATGAAAAGTCTAATCTACTCCCTTGTGCGAACCTCGAATAAAGTGATAAAGTTTTATTGTAGTGCTTGTGCTGTTGCTGCATGTGATAATTTTCAAAAAATAGATGTAAATATGGCTCAAGCAAAAAAAACTTCTACTTCATGGACATTCAGAAAATTCGAATTTATCAAATAAATGCCCGATAAGCATGCAATATGCAAAGAAGCTGAAGAATGCGGAGAAAAGTGAAATGATCAAAAGTTGCTCGTCAAGTTGTAGACCTCTTCTGTTTGTTCTGCGAACAGAATTTCCCGCGCCTAACAGTCAGAGGGACAGGCGGTTTTCTTGCAATCGTCGACAGTGAAGTTCGGACCGAACTGAGCCTTGTATTGCTCGGTAGGATGGGCATGCGCGGCTTCACAGGTTTGTTGACAAGCACCACAGATCGGAGACGCAGAAGGCGTTGAAGTGTTCGCACCATTGCAGTTTGTGAAGCAGTCGGCGGTAGTCTGCCCTCCCATGGAGATGCAATTCCCAGCACAGTCGGCAGCGTCATCGTTGGGAATGTGAAAGCAGTTTTCCGACTTCGCTTGGCCCACGCAGACCTCTTTAATGCAGCTTGCTTGTGTTCCATCGCTTACGTTGCTCAGGTCAGAGTTGGAGTTCTTGCAACTCTCCACACATTCATCGAAGATTTTAAAATCACACATCGGATTGCGCTTTTTTTTCATAAAACTCAGCTTCGCGGTCGTACGTTTTTGGGATTTGCCGTTCTGCCCCATTTGGACAAAACCCACCGGATCGGTCTCGCTTCCCGCCCAGCTGTGGGTTGTCGGCGGCTTCTTCGTCTTCGACGCGAAGACAAACTCGCCGCTCCCCCCCCCCCCC